GAATTTGATTTAAGGAACTTACCGGATGTACCACGTCTGGACAAAGTATTTCAAAATCTTGAAATTTCATCTAATTTACATCTCATCACGGAAGAACCTTACACTACCGCTGTAGAACAAATGGTAAGAAATAAATTAAGAATAAAAATATTCTAATTTAATTAGTAAGTATAACTATCGTGAAATGATAAAATACAAACATTAAAATTATAAAATTTTTTTCTACATTTATTTATGGTTTCAATTCTTAATAACATTATCTGAATATAGATGCGAGATGAAATAAATTTTGGATTCCTACCAGACCATGAAATGGAGAAATTCATATTCCTTGGAGGAGGAGAGCAATCCTTGTCAGTTTCCCACGTATCCAAAAGTTTCTTCATCCTAAATAATCCTAATTCTATAACTTCAAATGCAAATTCATATAATTACAAATAAGACTAAATTACTGATTAATGTTTAAACAATTATTCGCGTTAATTATTTAGGAACGAAGTGCGACGATTTCCGTGGGATGTCTCTGAAGAAGCGATTAAAGAACCGGGTGTACCATTGGTTAACATTGACATGTTTGAAATTGAAGAAGAAATTCGTTCAGGATCTGCTAGAATAAATCAACAAGAGTTTATAGTTACTCTTGAAGGTTTTCAAAAATCAATCAATTGAATAGTATTATTATTTAAAATAAATACATAAATTTTATTATCGCGTTTCAGATGATCCACTTACAAAAGTTTCTACATATCTTAGAAAGAGAAGTATGAAACCTACTGAGGAAATTTCACCAAAGAGACGTAAAGTAAGAGAAGGAAAGAAATACCAAATGTTTAAATTAAAAGACTGCAGGGTGTAAACCGACCAGTATTAAAGAAGGATGCAGTGGAACTTAACACATTGTAATCAAAGATCGTGGGTCTACGTATTAATATTATTAATGTACGTTTTGTAGACACGTTCCGAAGAAGAAACGGTACCCGCCGTACCTGAACTGATACCATTACCACAACCGACAACTGATACTGTACCTGCAATAGAACTTCAGCAAGACCTAGTTCAGCAGCCTCCCGAGGATGAAGAATTAATCGAAGTAATAAAGCCAAAGAGAAAACGGAAGATTTATGACGAATACATTGAATTAAGCGATGTCGTAATGAAGAAAAATACTGGCAATGTTACAGCTCATACTATAGTTAGTTGTATTAACATAAAAACAATCAATTTTAGACATTTAGTTAGAGAAGAGGTATCAATTAAAATTTAAATTATTTTTCAGAAACATCATATATTTACAGCTACTTTACCACCGGCAAAAATATATTTAACGCAACCTTCAACAGTAACTTTTAATAGGTCATGGGGTCAACCGTTGATGCGACTTTTTAAACAACATATTGTTGGACCTTTCGTTGTAGAAAATGAATTTCAGGCGACTGACATGGAAATTGAGGAAACAATAGGTAATATAGAATGATTTGAAGAAATATTCAGTAACAATTCTGATACATGTTGAGCGATATATAATTTATTTATGTATGAATTTAATTAAAAGGCAATTAATTTTTTATAGCTGCAGAAACACTACGCGCGAACGAAAGTAAATTACGAGATCAGACAGGAGAAATATCAAGCAAAATCGGAACGATCATAAATGGAACGACTGATCAGTCTAGGGTGTTCGATAAAACACCACTAAATATTCCAATTGATGCGACTGATCAATCTAAGATATTAGATAAAACGCTTCCAACAATTGGGCAACCGCCACAGCTTGGAGAAGATCAACAACCAGAACGAAAAGAAGAATCTACAGTTGCACTTCCGGAAATTACTTATATTGAAGATAAAAATGGGTATAAATCATCATCTGCTCTTAGAATTTACATGATAATTTAATAAATAAATGTATACTTCTTGTTAGAAAATCTTCAATTCAATGTTAGAGGTACTGTGGTAATATACATGTATGTCTTCTTAGGGAACTGCAAGAAAAACAACAAAAGTCTACAAATGGAAGAAAACCAAAATCAAATTCCAGTTCTCCTAGGTCAGCTACTTTTCTTGTATATACTGAATTTTACTGTATACTACCTAGTATAATTTAATTTCAGAGTTATTTATTTTCATTGTAGATCTGAAATACATTTATCTAAACAAGAGCTGTTAGCATTCATGGAAGTCCAATGGCAGGAGAGAAGATTATTAAATTTTCATGAATTTTTTTCACCAGAAAGCTATAGTAGAAAAGAGGTTGCACTTGCATTTTTCTTTTGCTTAGGTAAATTAAAATTCATTACTATACTACTCCACTCATTAGACTTAAAAATGCCAATAAAAAGAGTATCTTACACCTTTCAATTATAGGAAAAATGTTTTAATTAACTACATTTATTTTTAATATCTAGAATTTCAAAAGGAAAAGGTTATCATTTTGAAACAAGCTGATCCTTTTGGTACAATTTGGATAGAAAAGTGCCCTTGTTACAGTTAAATTTCACTATAATTTATAGATATAATATTGTGTATTTAATCTGTGATATATGTATGTATAATACAAGTAACTTGGCAAATGAATATTATCATAATAATAAAGCTGTATTATTCTAATTTCTTGCCTTTCCGAGTAGGAAAACAACCCCTTCCGCATATTTTTCTCTACTGTTTCACAAGAAAGGTTTTTTAGGTATCCGCCTCCGATTCATTTAATTTTTGGACGTTTTAAAGGATCTAAAAATAAGATGTACGTACTTTTTCGACCCCTTAAAATTTCGACTACAATAGGCTATCTCGAAAACTATCATAGATAGAAGAAATCTTTTTAAGGAAAAGTTTCATGGTTTTTTACGAACAAATAACAGCGGGCCATAAATTTTGTAAAAAATAGTTTATTTATAACATTATTTTAAAAGTAATCACAATTCACATAATAACAAAACAGAACATAAATCGTTTTCTAAATCTATTAATTAATATACTAATTTTCTAAATCTATCAGGGGTGGGGAAATCTTATGCAAGATTTCTCCGTATTAAAAAAAAAAAAAGTATTTACAGCCACTGATTCCAACAAAGGTATCTGGCAGCGGCACCGTTATCAACCGTTGGACGTAGAGCGAAGTGAAACATCATCAGTCTTATAGCGACCGTCGAGGGGTGCAGATCTTCCTGCCTCTACCTTAATTGTATAGGGCCTCGGCTCAACCTTTCCAGTTATTTATTATTTTTTTGTCTTTAAGGGCCTCACGAGGTACAACCCTTTATCACTGCATCCCTTACATGTCTGCATCCTTAACATCCCTGTATCCCTTATATCACTACATTCCCTATATTCCTGCATCTCATATATGCCGGCATTCCTTATACCTCGGCATCCCTTACATCTCTGTACCCTTTATATCTCTGTATCCCATACACTCCTGAATTCTCCCTGCATCCCTTGTATCCTTTCAACCCTTATAATAAATATATCATAAATAAAATACTTATGGCCACTGGTTCGAATAAAGGTAAGTAAAGGTAAGTAAAGTCTCGTGAAAAATAATTTTAATTTAAATTTTTGCAAAATTTAGTTCCCCCTTTTGCCACCAGAGGGCGCTGGTTCAGCATCGGGATGTAAGGAATGTTGAGATGTAAAGGAATCACAGATGTAAGAGATACACACAGGAGTAATACAATCAACACGTTCTTAATGAGTTTATTCAGTAAGCTAAGTAGATAAATACAGCAAATTAAATGAATCTGCATACCGACCTGGGATCCTGGGGTGTCGAAGACCCCTAGACACAAGTGACACTCTGCATACCGATATTATGGCTACCGGGGTGTCGAAGACCCCAAAGTGCGAACGACACTCTTGCATACAGACGTTATGGCAACCGGGGTGTCGGAGACCCCAAAGCACCAATGACTCTCTTTGCATACCGACATTATGGTATCTGGGGTTTCGGAGAACCCAAAGCACCAATGACTCTCTTTGCATACCGATATTATGGTATCTGGGGTTTCGGAGAACCCAAAGCACAGATGACTCTCTTTGCATACCGACATTATGGTATCTGGGGTTTCGGAGAACCCAAAGCACAGATGACTCTCTTTGCATATCGACATTATGGTATCTGGGGTGTCAGGGACCCCGAAGCAAATAGCGAAATATAAGACCTAAATACGAACAAATCGTGAAACTCACTTGTTCGAGGTAGTGATGGGTACGACCGGATCTAGCGAAATATAGCGGCCATTTTCGCCCTATTTCTGGTAACGACGGTATGCTTGTAAAGTAACGGCTTGTATATCCCTTTTATTTATAATAATGTTGATTGATTATGTTGATTGTATATCCCTTTTATTTATAAAGGGATATAGAGATGTAAGAGATGTAAGAGTTGCAGGGATGTAAGGGATACAGCGTTGTAAGGGTTGCAGGGGGGCCAAAGATTTGCAAAATTTACTTCCTTTTTTACCGCTCGGAGGCGCTATGATGGGCTGCTTTATAGGGGCTTATCCCACATTTAAATTGAATGAATTGCGTATAAATTATAATAATATATTTGAAATTGTTAATATAATGGTATACACGTCTTTTGGGTTTAAAGGCTCTTGGAGGAATGAACATTCATAAAATTAATTCCAATTTGTTTTAAATATAACAAATGAATAATAAACATAGTTCGACAAAGGTGGCGGTGATAATAATCTTGACTAATCTTCCTTATCGACATCGGCTGCCACATGTAAAAGCCCGATCGATAAAGCATTGAATAGTTTCAGCCACTTTTGTATAGATGGCGCTAAGATCGAATTTAAAAAATTTAATATATGGCGGTCTTTTTAAAATTCAAGTTAATAAAATAATTGCTTTAACAACTTTTTGGTGCTATTTCTAAAAAGTAAAATACCAACAACTGTCATACCAACTGTGTTCTGTAATAAAATGTTTCATATTATACAAACAATAATAATGCGAATCATTGCTACAATTAAAATTAATCAATGATTTACAACTTATACATGACTTTTATTTTTTGTGATTATACATTTACTTGTTACATGTGTCCTTGTGAAGTTTCATACATTTTTATTTATGAATTAACATAATAAATTAGTAGCACGATAATAGAAGAAACCCCTTATGCTTTCCAAATATTCTTATTCCTTTTCTTTTTTCATAACAATACAAAAGTGGGATTAATTGCAATTTTATATTGATTTTATACAAAATATGTCTTTTCTTTCTTTTAATAAAAACCAGAATAATATATGATATATAAAATCTTCTTGGTATTATTATTGCATAGTACAAAGCTTTGTTAGAGTAACCTGATTTATTAAACGTTTTTTAATTATGTTCATTATATAAAAGCAAGAACAACTAGTAATGAATATGAAATATAAAATGTTGTTAATTAGATTTTTTCAACAGCAAGGAACTGATACAAAAAGGAAAGATAATATTTTAGCTAAAATTTTCATTTTACAAGTTCTTATGAAACAAATAACTATGATATACCCTTATTATTTAGAAACAAGGCAAAGTATATCGAATTTGTAAAGCGCTTGAACATTTTACAAACTATACGACGTATTTATACGTATAGGCGAACAATTTTATGAACTTCGTATGTAGCACAAGTTTAAAAAACTCATGTAACTTTTACAGAAGTTACAGAATGGGAGCATGTGTAACATTTTTTAATTGTTCTTATACAATTAAGTATACTATTTTCACGTTTTGTATTAGTGTTGAAATGTTTATTAATATATCATTATTAAATTACACTAATGAGCACTGAAAAAAAGGGAGGCAGCAATTAATGACATGTTTCTGACATGTATACTGTTAGTTTTGTTTTCGTTTCTCTCACAAGATTGGAATAAAATATGGAAAAATGTTTGGGTAGTACAGAAGATAAGAATGACTCCCTTTCTAAGACAAAAAACCATTCAATTATACATGTTACAATTACGCTAAAAAATAAGAATGCTTATCTTTATAATCACGATACACAATATTATTTAATTTACTTTAAACTCGAATTGCCGTTAAACGCATCATCGCGTAAAAAATAATCTTCAATGCTAATTCGACGAATTTTTTTCTATGGTCGAATATCGCACTAGACATTAATGAGTGAATAATGTTCTTTCTCGAAAAAAAGATAGAACAAAAATTATTTTATTCAACTCTATAATAGAGTTGGTGGTCCGTAATTGATAATGCTTCACACCTCATTTTTTTTTTTAAATGTAAACTGAAACTTTCATGAACGTTCTTGTTTCTTCTGGTAATGTTTTCTTAAGCAGTATAAAACTGCTATCATAAGATGTCCTTCTATAATTGAAAGTCCTACATTAATATGTAAGTTCATTGTGCTAAAATTTTGATGATTATATTTGAAATCATTATTATGTATGAAGTCACTTACTTTGGTTACAGAGATATAAAATTACATTTCTCAGCAACACCCTGATTTAGAGGCTTCGATCGGACGTCCATGTTCTATCTTCACTTTATTTGCTGGATCACTGTTACCACTCGACGGTGGACCCACTCTTAGTTTTATTTCTGCAGCCATTGTCATGAAAGCTTGTTCTACATTCATTGCATTCTTTGCAGATGTTTCCAAGAATGGTATACCAAGCTGATCTGCATACTCCTATGTATAATATTTGCATAATGATTTATATATAGCTTCAATAACCATGATTTCATTACAAAGTGATTTTTACCTTTGCTGTTGTGTAATCAACAACTTTTTTAGTATGAAGATCACATTTGTTGCCAACCAGCAGCTTATTTACATTATCACACGCATAACGATCGATTTCCTCCAACCACTGTTTAACATTATTGAAGGTTTCCTGATCTGTGCAGTCATAAACAACAATAATACCGTGTGCACCTCTGTAATAAGAACTTGTAATTGTTCTGAATCGTTCTTGACCCGCTGTATCCCAGATTTGTAACTTTATTGTCTTTCCATCTAGATCGATTGTTCTTATTTTGAAATCTACACCAATAGTACTGATATAACTTTCCGTGTACGTATCGTCAGCAAAACGGAGTAGAAGACAGGATTTTCCAACTCCTGAATCTCCAATTAAAAGCAGCTTAAACAGGTAATCACTGCAAAAAAATTATATTAAATATATATACTACCACAAAGTTAAATTATTATTCCAAATTAATATAGCTTAGTTATGTTTACATACATGTTATTGTCATATTATCCATAGTATAATTTATTGAATACTATTAAACATATGACATTACATATTAAAGAAACAAACGTTATATTGTTTAAAAATGCATAATAGTTTAAAATCATTTACCTATATATAATTTTTTTACTTTATACATAAATTATTATTACACACTATTACACAATAATTGATATACATACATCATATGTTAAATTATAGATATGAGATAACAATGGCATGTTGAACTTTAGTAGTTTGTAAATATATATAACAAATTCTTCTACAGACCAACATCGCTAAAAGTCAAAACTAAACAATGTTTTTTTCAAATGTATATTTAATATAATTATATGATAGCGATAACATAACAATTTATTTATCTCTATTTTGTACACTTTAACATAGTAAAACATAAAAGATTCCAAAAGTGAACTTTGTCTTCTTCATTTTTCAACTGATTTTCTAGAATCAGACTTGTGAGTAACAGTCTAACAATTTAAAAGTAATCTTAAAATGTTCATATATGTTTTTTAACTTCAAAGCAATAATTTCTAATGGATAATCAATGAATTGAGAATGGTATATCATAATAAACTGAAAAATGAGAAAGGACAACAGAGAATGAATTTCTGAAATATGGCTTATGAATATAGATAGGAAGAGTGGGGGAGAAAAGGTGATCTGTCAGATACTAAACGTTAGAAGTTTGCATTAATACAGATATATACAACACACGTAACATTTCATCTCTTTGATTTCAACTGTTGTTAGGGTTACACATAATTGACTATATATTTGACGAAACGAACGTTCCTAGATATACTTATGTCTGCGCAAAAAGAAGTTTACTCACTACTCGGGATTCATTGTGGACATGCTATGCTCAGAGCGCGCTCACTAATATCGTGTACCGTCGTTATAGAAATCTAGAAGAGAGACAATTTGTTTAAACAGAGAATTTCGACGATACAAATTCACTGATCACGTTCTTCGATATGAAGGAGCTGTAACAATGGCGGTCACGGTAACTCCTCCCAAACCAGCGAATGAGATATCCACCATTGACGTAATGCCAGAATGGCAGCAGGTGCTGTTTCACTCCCTCTGCTTGACGGGACTTGAGCGATTCAGGACATAAACCACGTCTGCGCAGTTCTTATCTTTTGAACCCCTTTCCTGTTTTCTCTTTTGCTTATTTTTCTTCTTTATTTAGATACTTTCTATCAATATATCTATTTCACAAATGTATAATCTCACAAATATTGTACTGGAGTCTATATAAAAATATATGACAGACTGTTCTTATTGAATATGTATGTATATTAAAAATTTCATGGCAACAATGGTATGCTATATATATGTATACACACTGAAATCACGACCTAAAGTTCCATTTTCATGATTTCAGTTGTATGAAACTGATCCTTGAATATTCAAAACCAATCGGAAAAAAGTATAAAAAGATACTGTTGATTGTTTGTTGTTTGTTTGCAAAATAAAAATGAATACAAGATTAATTTTATAGATACGTGGATATATACATACACACAAGTGTGATTACTAAAACGTTACAGAATTAAATATAAATTTAAAGATATAAAACCATAGTGTATACATAGATTTAGCACTTTTTATAGCATGGTAAAGGGTGAAATTATTTATTTGCAATAATATTGCAGTTATTAAAATGTATCTGAATGTTATTAAGTAGATTAAGTATGAATAAACCAGCAAACAATATATTTATTGCATATGTACTGCATTATTGTTATTAAATAATTGTCTTATTCTAAATGTAAGTTATTAAGTTTACTAGTAATAAGTATTTATATATCTTAACATTCATTAGATACAATTTCTCATAAAAAACGATTATATTAAATTTGTTTTTTTATTTTCAGTAAAAATCATTGATACGCTTGTGGTGACAACAAAATAACAACATTTTATTAATGTCGTCCATATGTCACAAAGATGAATCTTCACCTGAACTATTTTTCCAAAGTGTAAATGGATACAAATTGAAGTTAATTGACAAAAATACATCAGCTAGAAATGTTATGAAATTTGTCTTGTATAGGAATCCACATCTGAATGTCAATGTGACCCTTATTTTAATTCTTGCAAGTTTGTTCTTGTGGAAAGTATTTAACATTTTAATATCACTTATTGTATTCATATTAATTTTGATAATACAATTCATTTACTTTATCACATCTGTAAAAAAAGGTTTGTTGAATAATTATAGCTACTAAAGACTTGCTTAATCCGTACTAATTTGTATTACTTTATATATAGACACATTATTAGTAGTAGAATCTGTTGGCATATATACAGAAGGAAAAAGAGTATTTTATGGTTTAAGTTCATCTAAATTTGTTCCTTGGGATACAGTGGTTGATGTATTTATTAATGAAGTTATAAAAGGAGTATGTACAAAAAAGCTATAAATCAAAAATTAATAAATATTAAAAGATACGAATACTATAATTGTAAATATACTTTTTTATTTTCAGCAAAAGGTGTTGTATTTTCTTACATTTATAGTGAGGGAATCATTTGGTGGAAAGGATTCATTGAAATTGGTTCCCTTATTTCAAGAATTAATACCTGAAAGAAAATGCCTGGAATATATGTACGAAAAGCTAGCTGGCTTGATTGGACCCAAAAAGGGGAGAATACAATTTTAACAGTGCCTGGTTCATACTGGTTATGTCATAAAAGCAACATATATAAGTTTATTTTTAGATATCATCGTATAACTAGGTAGATATATATCTTATATCTAATAACACGAAGAAGAATAGACTTCTTAATATGTATGTTTATAGAAATGTAAAACAATTCAGTTTTGGTAAAGAGTTGATGAACGTAGTCAGAAGGATCATAAAGCATCAGCCTCGTCAAGGACAACAATTCGGTACAACGCATCTCTTAGTTACTTACAGTATCCTTTTTAAATAAATACGAATTTACGTTGATTTTAATTAGTGTACGATAGTTATAGAATGCTTCCTTAACATTACATAGACTATGCATCATGGACTAGACAAGATAAAATGTTTGCAATGATAAAATTTAAAGAGCGATCTGTCGCAGCATTTTCTCATGCATTTGTCTTGACTATAAAAGTGTGCTGCCCTTTGGAAAGTACAGATCGGAATACAATACATGTAGCTACTTCTCTTTCTAATGAATGTTCGATTCCATCCATTGAAAATTCAAATAATGCACATCCACATGAAACTAAAATAGAAAACGAAAGTAAAAAGGATTTGTTATATTCTTGCAATAATACCTCCAAAAAAAATGCTCAATGTAATGATACACAAGAAAAAGTTTTAGAATTAAAGAATAAAGAATCTATGAAAAAGAAAAGGAATAATGAAAACACTAATAAATTTAATAAGTCTTTGAAAGATAATACAATTAAATTGAAAGAAGGGAATGTGAATAAAGATGTACATAATTCAATGTTATTAGATACTAATTCGATTATTATTGAAGGGGATGAAATAGATGAAGTAGATGAAGTAGACGATCATTCAATTGATTTTATATATTTAGAAAAGACAAACAATAAAGATGAGACACTTTGTGTTGAAAAAACTAATGTAAATACTACTGAATCGGATAAACATCAGACTGAGAAAGAATCCACTGATTACAAAACCAATTTGGTATCAAATAGCAATAATAATAATAGTATTGTTGATAATGCTAATACAGATTCTGTCAATTTACCATACCAATATTTGATAGAAAAAGAAATAGAAAATGAAAAACATAACGCATCAGATTTCAAAAATTGTTTGCAGGAAACTAAAAACAGTAAAAGATCATGTGATCAACACGAACAGAATTCTAAAAAACATAAGTTGGAAGATGTAAATGAAGATGAAAAGGATTTATCTACTTCTAAAAAACGAAAATGTACAGTAGATAATATAACGGCACGTTCTTCTGATATTACTAATTTGGTAATGGAAGGATTAATGTTTACAATTCGACAAGGACAAGATACCGTAGCGGTTATTGAACAGAAAACTAAATTGGATGTAGACGAAGTGTTAGAAAATTCTGAAAAAATTGAAACACAAGAAGGTGAAAAACGTTTACGCAATTCTAGTTTACTTGGATTAGAAAATTTAATAACAATGATTGATTTACCAAAGCAAATTACAAATGGATACAATGATCAAAACAAAAGTATTCAACAAGATATTTCAAAAAACCAATCATTAAACAACCATCCATTTGATACTGTAAAATGTTTTTTAAATGATATACAATCGAAATCCTCGTATAATAATTCTCCTTTACCTAGTACAAGTGTTTCGAGTAACAATACAAATTTATACATTACAAATAATTGCCAGTATCTTGCACCAGATGATGCCTATAAATTTGAAGAAAATATGAAATTTGAAAAACATAAATATTTAAACCATACAAAAGAAGAGGAAGAAGAAGACATAATACCAGAAGCACTACAGAATAATAGTTTTCAGTTACCAATAAATTCTTTAAAAGAAGTATATGAATTTAATGCAAAATTTATGGAAAATGATAAATGTACTTTCTTTCCCAGCAACAGTTTATCACCATACAAGTGTCTGAATGCTCACTCTTCAAATGAAGTTACGAACACATCTGTTACAAGTAAATCGCTTAAATTATGCAGTGATAATGTAAAAACTAAGATAAATGCTCCAACAATAATTTCAAATCAAACTATTGGTATGACAGAAATACCTTTACCGCTACAAAGAATATTAAAAAATAAATTATCAACAAGTAGTATTCCTCTAATTAAGAACAATAAAACGGATAAACGGAATATTCAAGTTCATGAAAAGGTGCCTAAAATACAATCACATGAGAAAGAAAAAATTGTTTGTAATGTACATTCAGAAACTAAAAGTCACAATGATCACAATAATGGTGAAAGTGAAAGCATGTCGCCTGCTGTATCAAAGATTGAAATAAAAAATACAACTTCAGAAAAAAAATCGAAAAATGTGGAGGAAGTATCATCAAATAAAATACAAGACATTACAGAAGAATTTTATCAAGATCTATCATACCTGCAAAAGAAAAAGCATTTACGTAATGAAAAGTATGTTGAATCAAGGAAAAGCCCATTAAATGCATTGAGGAATACAAATTATGGTGACATGCATCTAGAAGTGGTAAAACTTTTTCAAGATATTACAAGGGGTGCCAAGGTTGTTGTAAAACGTATAAGTATAAATAAATGTTCATAGGTTAATAGAAAGTTCCTGTTTAGCCAGATGCACTACTAACTTAAAAAAACAAGTGTCATATTATTTAATCAATAGATACTAAGTAGTATAATTAAAATTTTTTATACATGTATTTCACGCAATCGGTGTGAATAATAAATAAATGTATAATATCACTTTGCATATTTTATTGTGTCAAATGTATCAAACTTAACCTCGTAATAATTTATTAACCAAAGATTTCTTATCTCGTTCAATTTGATCCATAACTGCTTCTAAATTATCCAATTTGTTTATAATACTGTGTAGCTTACGATCTAAATATTTAAAACTTATTTTATTTTCAGTAATATCGGTATTCAAATTTCTATTATGTTCCCAAGAAGATGGTTTGTCTATTATATTAGATTTCTGTACTTCCATCATCTGCAAAATATATCTTATGTAAAAAAATTCAATTCAACAAGCATAAAATTGGTGAAAGTATTACAAATATCCATTATACGTACGTCAGTTTCAAGTTTTATACATTTTTCTAGTTCATTTGCACACTGTAAAGGATACCGTTCTCGAGCATCACATAATTCGAAGAGCGCGTCTTCACACTGCTGTTCGAGGTTGTCTGAAAGATAAAACTAATGTGTACAATTTTTCTTCAATTATTCTTTTCCTATATTTACCCATTATTTATAAAAATGTCATTTAAATGAATAACAAACATCATCCGTCTATCTTAAATCTTGGTGACTGTAACCTGTAACTCATTGTAACTAGAGTTTCGTTCTTCCGGCGCCTGTTATTCGGTTTTGTTCTATGTATATGGTTCTCCACAGCCGACTCTAGTACTAGCCGTGCTGAAGTAAAAATGGCAACACCGCGAGAGTCCGGTCTGAATATATCAACACCTACCCTACTCTATCTGCCTCCCGGACTCCCAGACTCTCAGCCAATCAACGTCGTCAGACTCCCGACACTCTCTGGACTTCACATAACCTCTTTGGTTTCGATCCAATCATTTCGCTTGTTTCAAGGTTTTTATTAACTTATATACACGTTTATCAATTCTTAAATGTTTCAATTTGATCCAAAGATGGTTTCATTTTGCTTCATACCTAAATTTTCTTGAAACCACTGTAAATATTTCAAATATCATGCTTCACAACACCAAACTACTGTGAGAGTACACAAAATATATATCACATTTATAACAATTTTATACTACCACATCACTTCTATTTGCCATAGTTGCAACGTTTATATATTGTTTATACATAATTAACACAAAATAGTGTATATTACTACAGCTTTTAATTAAAAAGGACGTTAATTACAATTCCGAGCACAGGACTCTGTTTTTGAAAATAGGACTCCCGATTGTCACGTGAGCGGTGTTGCCACGTTGTTCAGCATGGCTAGTACTAAAGTCGGCTGTGGGTTCTCTATACATTCTGTAACTTATGGTAACGCGCATGCCCCTTTGTGATGATCGTCATAAATATATATACAGCACTGAATTTAAATGACTGTATTTTAAATAATTATTATTATATTTTTAATTTTAGCTCTTAATAACGTTTTATTACTTTATAATTTTCTTATAAATTTAATGAATAGGCATAAATATAAGACAAACCAAAATGGTATTCATTTTAAAATGATACAAACATTTACATAAATGTTTAAATTATTTTAGCAAATAAATATTTGTATTTTCATAATCTAATTACGATTGAAAACATGCTGATTTCAATATCATTAATGTAATTTACATACACTTTACTCATATATTTCTCAAGGTAAAAAATAAAAATTGACAAACAAGCCTTGGAACTTTGAGTTAATCCAATCGACTTATTGCCGAAATGTATTGTTACCATAACAAATTTTGGTGAGTTGGCCAAAAAAATAAGATTATACAGCAAACGGAAATCGATAACATCGACATCTTCCGTTTACGTGGCGCATATTTGGACCTCTTTTTAATGATATTGGTAAAGATACAACATATGCGTTTTACAGTCTGTAATTCACCGCCATTAAAATCGCGAATGCCGTTATCTAAGCCGGCAAGAAACAGTTAGGGTAAAGGTGGTTTTAGTTTTTCCTCGGTAGCATTAGTGCTGGAATGAAGAAAAGTTAATGCGTACTTCTGTTCATAAAATTTCGCGAAAATAACATTTAAATATAAAGGCACGTCTTTGAAATAACATAAATAATGGGATATTTAAAGTCTATAGGTACGGTGATAATATACACTGGTCTTTTCTTAGCTCTGATTACATTTTTACCGGGTTTACTTCCACACGCAGAATATTCCGAATATAGGTATGATATCTACTTTATCTATTATCAATTAATATAAAAATATAAGTAACAAATAGTTGTAATTTTTTAATAAATATTTCAGTATAAAAGTTCCTCACGATGTAAAAAATCAGGTGGAATTAAAAAGTCGATTGCAGGGAGCAGAAGTATTATTTGCTGCAGAGATCAAAGGTGCCGAATGTTTTGCGTCATATAATGGAGAAATATATACTGGGGTACGCGGAGGTTATGTCGTGAAACTCGAAGAAAATCGCATTGAACCAATCGTGAAGTTTGGTCAGAAGTGTGGTATGTAGAATTTTAATTTTATTCAGTTTTATCGAAAAGAAAAATAATGAATTTAATTGATTAGTCATCATGATTATTATTTACCCATATTAAATAAGATGAATATTTTCAGATGGCTTATGGCAAGAAGAGAAATGTGGTAGACCTCTAGGTCTGAAATTTAATGATAAAGGAGAATTATTTGTTGCTGATGCTTACTATGGTATTTTTAAAGTTAATGTTAAGACACGGCAGTATGTAAACTTAGTCAACAGTTCTAAACCCATTGATGGAAAAGCTCCAAAAATAGTTAATTCTTTGGACATTGCAAAGAATGGAGACATTTATTGGACAGATTCAAGCACAGATTTTGCCATACATGATGGGCTATATACATTTTTGGCCAATCCTTCTGGAAGGTAAAAATTTAAAATTTAATTAATATACAATATTTATTTCATTATATATAAATATTTATTTATTTATTTGTAGACTTATTCGTTATAATGCAGCAACAAAAAAGAATGAAGTATTGGTAAAAAATCTAGGTTTTGCAAATGGTGTTTTATTGAGTGATGATGAAAGCTTTGTGATTGTATTAGAATGTCTTACTTCAAGAATGATCAAATATCATTTGAAAGGTCCAAAAGCTGGGCAACACGAAATTTTCGCAGAGGCCCTACCTGGCTTACCAGATAATGTACATAGTGATGGACAAGGAGGATTTTTAGTATCTTTAATTGTATCCATAGATTCTGAGCATCCTTTTCTACCTCATTCTCTGATGCCACATCCATATATAAGGAAAATGTTATCCAGATTGTTGTATTCCATAGAAGCTCCATTTAAAATATTGCAAGATATCTATCCAAATTATTATGCAGAAAGATTTATACATGCTATAGGCTCATTCGAAGCTTTAAAAATAGTTGATGTGAAGAAAACATCGATAGTACTCAGAATGGATAAAGCAGGAAATATTTTGGATGCTTTGTATTCACCAGACATGAAAGTTTATGATATTTGCTCTGCATATGTACATAATGGATACTTGTGGCTTGGATCTCCTTGGAACGAATATATTTTGAGAGTTCCATTGAAACAAGCATTTCCAGACTTGGCAAACAATAAAAAATCATCAAATGCAAAAGTACAGAATAAGGAAGAACCGCTTCTAACGGTTTCCGAGACACCAAACGTGAAAGTAGAAGTGAAATCCACAAATACAAAACCTTATCAAGAGACTGATAAAAAGTCACGTTCAAAACCAACTAAAGAACAAACAACACAGAAGCCAAGTTCACAAGCAACAACAACAAAACCAACTACACAAAAACCTACAACACGGCTACCTACTACCACCACCACCACCACAACTACTACTACTACTACTACTCCAAAACCAACTACAGCACCACCACCACCACCACCACCTGCTTCAAAAGCTCCATCGAAAGCAATTAAAAAAGATAATGTAAAAGAAGCTGGAAAAGATAATTTGAAGGATGTTAAAAAAGATAATTCCAACTCACAGGCAAAAACTGAAACAAAAAAAAGCACTGAATCAACAGTAAAATCAAAGCCCGATGAATCCATCAGAAAAGGCGCTCGTGAAGCTCAACCTACAAAATCCAAACCAGTAGAAAAGAAAGATGATTCTGTTAAGAAGTAAAAAGTTAACTATTCTATTGTTCTATTTTATGTTAAAGGTTCTACATATTCCAGACATATCGACTTATTTACATTTTACAAGATTTAAAACCATATTTACATTCCGTTATTTTAATAATGTACTCCTTTTATTTACAGTTCTCGAACAAAGTTTCATAGAATGATATTATAACACGTTTTCTACGTTATTACATCTAATTTTCTCATGAATGATAACAGTAATTGGGAAATGCGTTAGAGACTGTGATTTAGATTTGTATATAAGGTTAATACTGTGTTATACAATAAAATTAAATATTAAAATAATAGTTCTATGAATAAGATAATTTATATTATAAATTACGTTCGTTTATACGATTTAAATTATTTTCTTACAATTAAAATTGTTTGTTGTAAACTATAAAAATAGTGTAAATCTTTCGTTACATTTTTAATTTCTATTTTTGTATGTGATCTATTTTTCTATGTAAGGTACGTTTCACAAAATATACATATAAAAAGAAACATTAGTTATTTTTTGGCTAATGCAATAAACCTACATACATATACAATTGCAATTATTCTTTGACTAATGCAGTAAACTTATATACATAGCGGTAAAAAATGATGCTTTTAATTGTATATAAAAGTTGGTAAAAGGATGTATAAATGGTATGAAAATAAAATGTTTGTTTTTTAAATACTGACTTTTATAATTGTTACTATTTATTCCTTTAAAAAAGAAAACAGATAACAGATGTTTAAGTACATCACAAAAGTATGTATTAATCTCCTTTATATCATTTGATGAATATTTATGAAAAGAATAAAAGAAAACAATAAAGCTACGCTCAAATATTGAGTTGTTTTATTATGAACGGGGGTAGTATGTCTTTTACTTTTTTAACTAAATTCTGTTTCATTTTCCATAAAACAGTAGGACGTATAATGAAATGCCAATATCCATTTCTTTTATTTTGCGCCCATTTCTGTGCTTTTAATAAACATTTCTGATAGTTTGAAACATCTTTATCCTTTGACGTTAACTTTGGAAAGTCTTTGTTTATTAAAGCAAAACCAACTTTTGTTAACTCTTCGCCAATTTTTACATGTTCCTGTGTGATTTCAGTATAAATAAATAAAACAAGACAGATATAAAAATATTTTCTTACCTGATTTTGTTTTAGAAGAACTATGCAGTTCAAGTATTCTTTCTCTTTGGTCACAGGTATGAAAGTTATCTCCTGTTGGCCAACAATTGTTTGTAACCAGCTAATACCTAATAGAATACCAATTATTTGAAACGCTGTATTTGTAGATGTTTAAATAGTACTTACCATTAGTTGTAATGTCAAGTCCAGCTATTTTAATTGGTAGATATTTAGGACTGCTTAATCGGGGCAAGGGTATTAATGGCTTGTGATCAACCATGAGAAGCGTACCACAACTAGGATGTATTTGTTTCACAGTACCTTGTAGTTGAACTTTTCTTTGTATAAAACGAGAAGGTATACTGGATGGTGTTCTAAATTTAGCAAACTAAAGATATAATAATAAAAGGTATAAAACATTGAAGTTATTTAAAACATTATTGGTACATGTCATACATACAGGTTTTATTCTATAAAGTGCAACAACTAAACTTATACTGGCAATTCCATAACTGATAACCTATAATCATTAAAATAGAGAAAATGATTATATATAAATATGTATATATATTTGATTCATTATAGCTAAAACAAAAGGTAGGTTAGGGCATACCTTAAGTTTTTTAATATCAGTTTCACTTAACACTATTAATCTTTCCATAATAGTGGGCTTTTTTTCTGCCGTCATTGTGTTCTGTTTATTTTATTTTATTTCATTCGAAAGTACTGTATGTTAATACCTATAACAAATTCAAACGAAAATATCTTTCTGAACATACATCATAGTATTTGATCATCAATATTTTTATACAAAACTCACTAAAAAAATTACAGTAAATCATAGTAATGTATTCTTTATATATGAAATTTTATTTCAAGGAAACAATACATTTTAAACTTAAGTTTATATTATATATAATTGTATAAATATATCTTCGTTTGAAATATTTTCGTTTACGAAGAAAAAACGTTAATTTATATCTATGTTAATTTATATTTTAATCATATCAATATATGTATTAATAACTAAATTAAGAAAACGAATGAAGAAATAAAATAAATATTACAAACTGTAAAATATAATATGTATCATCAATTTCTTATATTGTATATATAGTTACATTATAATAATGTAATATAAAAAAATTATATAAAATCTTTGCGTAAATAATTACATATTAAATTTTTACACAAATTTAAATGGTTTCATCTTTTACTTTCGTTTTCTTTAGCTCACACATGCGTGAGTCGGTATGCCATGCTGACATCATATCTTACTCAAGGTGACAAGCAGGGATATTATAAAATGATAGTGGATATGTTGTTAAACAAATAGTGTACAGTGTTTAAAACCGTGCACAACACAAATTCACAAGGAGACAATTAAATTGCTGGCAATTTGTAACATTATAAACAATGTTTCGTGATGGTCAATATTTGGAAGTAATTAAGGTATCACGATCAACAGCTGTTAACAGCTGTCATTAGATACTTCTACCACAGTATACTTCTACATCTACATAAATAAAACAGAAGCTGTGTTTATAGGCTTCAGACAATTGTCTAGCTACAGCTGTCGTCACTGTTCAAGAAAAAGTTATTAAGATTAAAAAGAAAAAAGTCTCGACTAACAAGTGGCTTGATCTCGAGGACTGGGCTGCTTTGTATAAAATTCTGAAGAAAGCAATTTTACGGAATGCCGAAGGATCACTGGAGGATTTCAAAAAATACAAATGGAAAAAATCTACGCGACAATTGGATGTCACGTAAGCAATATTTATATTATAAAATTCTAATTTCGATCGAAGATTTATATTTTATCACGTGTCTTATCTGATAACAAAATGTACACATGTAATTTTTTAATTAGATTTAGGATAAGGTGTACTTAATTTAATTTATTGTATTAAAATTAAAGCATCGTCGCAAATTGTATAATAGTTATCAGTATATGTATAGATCTGTAAAAATGTTTTTATAAATCACAGATATACAATTGACCCATCAGAAAGCGTAAAAGATGTTACATTATTACCAACAATCAGAGTAAACGTATCTCCAGCGAAAAAGAAAGTGGAAAAAACAGAGGAACCCAAAACAACGTCGAAAGGAGTAACCCGTGACCGAATGGTAGAAAAATCGCACAACCATACCAGTCGCACGCATCAAAAGGATAGTAAAAATACTTTAACAAAAAAATCGGAAAACAGCGATGCTATAAAGACATCAAATGATACCAAAAATAATAGATCTAAAAGATATTTACCTCTCGAGAGTGTAGAGACTGATGCGTTAGAGGAGTATGTACCGGATACACCTACGACAAAGAAGTTATGCGCAAACTTAAATTATATACCGAGTAGAAAGAGTATGTTGGAACAAATCCAACTATCTTCAAACGAATATTCACCGACGGTATCGGATAATAAAAGCATAGCAGAAGTAGTTCGATACGTTCCGAATTCTGTAGATTCATCAAAGGTATCCTACGAAACTTATGAACCTAGCGCGACCAATGTTACTGATCATTCTGAAGAGTATATCCCCAATTCAAAGGGGATCAAAGCTTCTGTCGAAGAGTATCATCCAGATTTTACCAGTAAATTAATGAAGTTCGATAATAGTTATATACCATCGAGTGTACACTTGACTAATGAACATTCGAAGAACGTCGTTGAGAGGCATAAAAGGTCACAGTCTGAAAAATTTGTTAAAACAAAATGAAATATTAATCTGTTTGCCTAAGACATATTTTCAAAATAAAATATATGTATGATGTTATAAATCATAATGTAATATTATTTTTAATACATATACAGGATACAAATTATCTTTTAATTCTATATGTCACTGTACAATAAATATAATGAAAGGATTGTATTTTCAGTAAAAAATATTTGCTTATTACTATTCATACTTATTTTCAACGATCATTGTCTTCACTTTCCGATGCTGGATCTTCGATTAAATTCTTGATTAGTTCGAATTTTGATTCTACATTTTCTTCTTTAACAGTCGACTGTTGATCGTCCATTTGATTAAATTCTTCGTCATCTGTATCGTCATCGGCTCCCGGATGAGCAGGTACTTTGTGATTAGGACTACTGGGTTGTTGTACTGTACCTGGTTTCTGCCATACTTTCTGTGATTCCTGTAATTAATAAATAAACGTTGGATTAGATTGTTGCTTGATCAATCATTATTGGAATAAATATGAAAAAAAAAAAAAAATTGTACTTACTTTCATACCGCTAACTTTTTCTATATAATAATCATAGACAAACTTAGCCATATGGGGCATATCTTCAATTTCCATTGGCGGAGTAGATGGAATTTCATCGTTAAGCCTTTCAGTGGGATAATGCTCTTCCGGAAGAAGTTGTAGCTTTAATGGTCGTTGCATTAATTGAGCAAAGGCAGGTGTTAATTCAAAACAGTTTTTGAAAAGGGATACTCTAGCAAAGACGTAAAGGCCAAGACGTGCTCTTGACATAGCAACCACCAAACGACGTGCATCCCTCAAATGACCTACTGCACGTGTTTTTACAAGTGATAACAATATGTAATCATTTTGTTGACCCTGGTACTTATCAACCGTCGTTACTTTATTCGGTCGACCTATTAAAGGATTACTAGCACATCTAATATTTATTACGTCTCTTATTAAATGTTTTTGCCCATTATATGTAGTCAATATACTAATCTTGTCAGCTGGATAACCAAGGAGACGCATGTACATAAACACAGCTACGCAATATTCAGCTTCGGCAAGATTTTGATAGAAGTAAGCACTGGGCTCGCTTTCTCCGACTCCATTGAAATCTTCCACGTTGATAAGTTGAAAGTCATAGAGAAATCCAGCATTTGCTACTAGATATTCCGAACTATTTTCCACGTGTGAAAGATTCCCCAATTTCTTGTATCTCCAATTATAGAGATTACAGATACTAGGTCTTGCACGTCCTTGACCATCGAGATCAACCGTCGGTACACCCAATCGAACGAATCTTGCGAAAAGGGATTGTTCCATGTTCGAATATTTTTGAAAGGCCATGTTTTTAATCACCGGCGGCAGCTGATGATGATCTCCTATCATTATCCAACGTTTCAGTCTATTATATCCATCTTGAGGATTTTGTAATAACAACGGTATGAAAGTTTCTATTTCTAAAATTTGTGCTGATTCTTCCATAAGAATATTATCATATTTAAAACCCATATCAACGAGTTCGCGTCTTTTAAGAGCGGCATGAGTACACGTCATGGCGATAACTTTAGCTTCTTTAACCAACAAGTATTTTGATCTATCTAAACCAGACCTTAACAATTCAAAGGCTCTAAATTCTTCTAATTGAGCAAAAATCCGTTCTACGTATCTGTAAGAAAATTTAGTTAAAATTTAATAACAAAAACTCTTACGTTTGTTATATAAATTATTATTTTTCCTATATTTACCGGAAACAGCTTCGTGCTATTTCAAGATCTTCCTCAAACGTATTGCGTTTAAATAATGGCTTTGGCGCGTTGTCAAAAAATTTGTGAAATGGAAATTCTTCGTCAATAATGTAAGCAGGAGGTGGATTGTTTCCTTGTCTCTGTTTAATCCTTGCTTCGAAACGTTCCCACCTTGCTAATATTTGATACATAAAAAAGTGTCCTGCTGTTTCACACGTGTACGCAACATCACCTTTTACATTTAAAGATTCCTGAAAGCAAATAATTGTTACATGCATGTAGAAGAACGTAGGTAAATACATATTATGAATTACGAACCTGCAATCTTTGAACTTCCATTAAGAGATCCAAACGCTTAGCTAAAACATAGTTAACTCTACCGTATCTGCTGAAGTCCTTTTCAGTTTCTAATGCTTCTTCTCCGTGACCGAGACGTAGCAAATGTCTTTCATCGATATCAAGCGCCATAATTTTTTCAAACAGCTGATTAAGAGCCTGATTCGAGTGGGTGACTATCAGCGTTCTTTGATTCGGAAAATTATGATAAAGATTTGAAATGATTTGAACAGCAACATCAGTTTTTCCTGTACCAGGTGGACCAACAACGAGAGTTAATCCTGGTTGCATACCAGCACGAATGGCTTCAACTTGTGTTGGTGTGAAAGGAATCTGATTCCTGTAATATATCATAATATTATAAAGAACATGATCCATAAATTCATGGATAAAATTAAATCTACGTACTTTTTAGGCTCGTTAGCTTTGTAAGGACCTCGACTAGGCGGTACATGAGGCTCCACCCTGATCACTTTTCTAATTGGTTCATTATTCTGTTTAGTAATTACATCTTCAAACTTTAAACGAAACGGTCGTACCAATTTTGATTCATCATCGGTAGAAACTTTAATTTCGTACTGGGGGAAACTAGCTCTTAAATGATTTATATCTAGGAACGTGTCGTTAAAATCCATCGTTGCTATTTCATTTGGCATTCTAAATAAAGAAATTCATAAGTAACAATGTATGATAATTAATTTTATACGTAATACTGTAAGAGTATACCATTTTAATGTACCTTGCATAACGGGCTGCTCCAGGATCACCGTATCCAAGAATTATATCATGGAGCCAATCGGGAACAACGCATTCCGTGTTCATAAGTTCCCTTATCGTTTCCAGAACTGCTTTGAAGTTATTCTCTTTTGGCTTACGTCTCATTATAATGTTAAAGCTCTCGTATACGTCTTCACCACCGTGACTAGCATTGTCCATGTCGATTCTATACTGATTGGAATCTAACCATACTCTGTATGTTCGAGTATCACCGGGTAAAATGGGACGTGGTTCAGGACCATCCTCGATTACTCTACCATTCGAATCCAGCATTCCTTCAACTTCGCATCCTCTAACTGTTGTTAATCCAACTTGTGGAACAAAAGGTAGTTTGTGACTGTATTTTGTGCCTGTATATGAAGAAATGTAAATCATATTATAGTTTCAATCGTGTAAGATCAACGAGAGGTATCCTGACAATATCGTACCGATTGGGTTCTGAGGTTTGACTGTAATTAAAAAACAGACGTCGTGTTTGCGAAGATTCTCCCACTCGGATTTAATTTCTTTACGAACACTTAAATTTATGGTGACATCAGCACGAACTCTGGATGGCCTCTTCTCACCGATATTAGGTTTCGCTACTTCAACTACGGCGAACTGAGTGATCGGCTGGGCCATTCTTGCCCAACCACCAAAATAAACACCACCGTCTTCGGCACGCCTGAATAAAACAAATAAAACAATCAAATATCTGCTACTGTTTGCACTTGTTTAGATTAATCTGAATTAAAGAAAGTTATCATACCAAGGACTTAATCTGCTAACTGCATCTTCAATATCCTGACGTATTTCATCTATAATAAATAATTAATATTATTATTTAAACTGTATAAATACATTCTATATTATATTCTTGGTATTCGTACGTACAAGTAGATTCGAGTCGAAAAAGATTAAAGTTCCTCAATAAATAATCGTGCAAAGTGAGAAACTGTAAATTCAACTTCGGCAAAGCTAAACATCCTTCGCCAGAAAAATATTCGGTGGGTACAATGCTTTCGTTCCAAATAATTTCCTCCGTTGGATAAAGCGGCATTTCATTCAGTTCCTCCAATTGCGACGCTCTACGCTCGTGCCGTGAAATCTGAAATTTCATTTTTATATATTAGTATCAATCAATTAAAAATAACAGGTTTTATCTACATTAAAAACTTACTAATAATTCTTGAAGAAACTCTACATCGTAACGATACCAGTTCTCTTCTTTTTCTCGTTCTTCTGATGGGACCAGACTGAGGTAACTGGCGATTGATCTCAATTTCCCCTGACTGAAAAGAAAAGAGATCAAGGTGAATTGAAAGGTGTATAATAATGGAGAAGGGAAATAATAATGAATAATAAATTAATGATAAAAACTAGAAAAAATTAGAGAAATTAATAATAAAATAGGGGAAATCTTACGTGAGTAAAACGAAATGTTTGTAAAGAGCCTCCCTCGTGTCGACGCTCGCCACGTTCGCCAATGCGAAACTCCTCAAGTCTGGGAACTTGGCGAATACTGCTTTCTGCGCAGAGTTTGAATTTTATTTCTTGGTTTATACTTTCATACCCCATTGGCTTTAGTAGGTGAACGTCTACCCTAACGACAATGTCGACGACTTGACAAATGACATAGACAAGTGGTATAATATTCAATGAATCTCTATAGCTGGATCAAAATCCACTATGGGGGAGTTGATGAGCTCGATGACAATGAACGTGTTAACAAAGGGAATTTCAAAAATTTCTTTCTTACAATATAAACAATTTCTACAATTTCTGAGACTTCAAATAAATAACATCGTTTGTTTTATACCTGAAGAGAAGTGATTTTGGTGTAATGCAACTGTGTCATATCGTGATCCGTAAGAGGATCTCCGCTCTCCTCGTTGATCTCGAATCTGGCATAAAATTTGAGCATCTCCAGTAACTGAAAAAAATTCATTAAACGTTATAAAGTAAAGAGCAGCAAGTACATACATACGATAAATTATCGCGGTTATTCGTCAATGATTTCCATTATGTCTCGGCTCTTTATCTTCTATTTCCTCGCGTCTTTGCTATATATTCATTATAATATCATAATGCTCTCAGCTATGATGTTTTAGGTCTCCTCGGGGTATTGCGCTGTATGTTAATCATTAGTCTGTCTACGAATAAGTTACTTCAAAGTAAAATAAAATGATTGTTAATCAAGGCCAACCGATTCGACGACTAACAACCAAGGCTGCGGTTCTCGTTACGAAATTTCATCTCAAAAAAAGAATTATCAGCTCACGAGTGTTACGCTTTTAAGATGTCGCGAATATAATTAACATAACATTAGTGTCGAAATTGTAGATCGTTAGAGGCTAAGAAAGCTGTTATTTATTTATTTTCAAAGCTATTTGTAAAGAACAAGTTGAAAAAATGTATAATTTAAATTACTAATGAAATTTGAATATCTATTTTTTCTAATATATTGCACTAAAAAATGAAATTTCCAGTAATCTAACTGTACGAGAGTAAAATTTGAAACAGGTTTATTACAAAAATCCTAATATTCTATATATTTGAAAAGCAGAATTGGGATTTCAATTTGAAATAATTCGACTACAACCCTGTTCGAATGAGGGTGGAGGAATCGCGTTCAACGAGAATGTGATCTCCTGGTAATAAGATAAAAAAGTCATGGTAGCATGACGGTGCCAGAAATGCGACACAGTGGGAGAAGATCGTTGCTATCTCTGAACGGGTAGTTCATCAATGCTTTATCCACGATTGTTTCAGTTCCACGCGAAGCGCAACTGTGTCAACGTGCATCATTCTCGTTCAACATTTATTTCTCGACGTTTTCATTTCGAAACGAGAACATAAGTTGAACCGACCACTCTGCAAAAGGTGAATCGACTAACAGAAGCTGATACCAAGTGAAAAAAAAAAGAACCAGTTATGGTATCAATAAATTAACATCTTAATTCAGATGTAAACAAAGAAGATTTATTCTCCAATACTAGCATCGAGATTTCAATCAATCCTTTGTTAAATAAGAATTTCCAACGACAGTGAAAATCATCGGTGATTTATGTGATTCATTGTTCGTCGAATTTCGTAAAAATCAAACTTGTTTTGTGACGAAGAAATGCGGTAACAAACATCAAGCGATAATGCCGTTGGACGTGATCATTAGCAGGTACTTGGGCACGTTGCCAATCAAAGGTGTGTAAAGCTTTGACGTTTCCTCTTTCCTTGTTTTCTTTTTCATTTTTTATGAAAACTATTCATGTATAATAAGTTGATAATTGCAAGTTAGGATAGTTGAAATATTCTAATATTCGAAACGGTTAAACATCGATTAATTAGAGTACTTAAACTATTTAAACTCTGGGTAATTAGGGTACTTGATGCGTTCAAATTACAGATAATTCGAGCACTCAAAGTATTTAAATTATGGGTAATTAGGGTACTTGGTGCCCTCAAATTACGGATAATTCGAGTACTCAAGGTATTTAAATTCTGGGTAATTAGGATATTCGATGAACTGAAATTTTGGATCTTTCGAATACTCGAAGCACTAAAATTTCAAACAAAGAATTCATATCGAAAATGATCCACATTAAGTTCAACAAACTTAACTTTTACAAGCCAAGTCGAAAGTTCAGGTACTTAAAGCATCGAAAATCAATCGCAACAGGATTTTATTGTCACGATAAAGAATGGACTATGAAATTCAACATTAATGCTGAATCGATACGTTCAATTGCAAGATATACTCGAATAATTTATAGGATAAGTCTCGGCTGAATCTCGCATTTGTAATCGAATCGCAAGTCTCCGTGTAATCTATCATGAATATTTAATCATCGAAGATTTTTCTCCTTATAAATGATCGCTTCGAAATAGCCCGTTGCAGTTTCCGATGAAAGAAACGCAAAATTCTTTCAGGCTGAAATACCGATTGCATCACGCAAGAAACCTGAAGAAGAAAACTTTTGCTCGCTTATTTTTTTCACTCGCCTGATTGACGTAGTAGATGATACAGGGAATACATATATCAAAGCGGGGTCAACAAAAATCGGTATTCATAGATACTCCCTATGTTGCTTATCGAGCCAGCACTGCAAATTATAAGATATCCTGGTAATAAAAAACTAATAATTTGCAGTGCTGGCTCGATAAGCAACATAGAGAGTATCTACGAATACCGATTTTTGTTGACCTCGATTTGATACATTCTCTATATATAATTTCCTAGAAATAGAAAACTAATAATTTACAGTGGTTGCTTGATAAGCAACATAGAGAGTATCTACGAATATCGATTTTTGTTGTCCTCGCTTTGATACATTCCCTATATAAAATATCCTAGAAATAAAAATACCGATTTTTGTTGACCCCATTTTGATACATTCCCTATATAAAATATTCTAGGAATAAAAAACTAATAATTTGCAGTGGTTGCTTGATAAACAATATAGAGAGTATCTACAAATACTGATTTTTGTTGACCCCATTTTGATGCATTCCCTATATAAAATATCCTAGAAATAAAAATTTTTGTTGACCCCATTTTGATATATTTCCTATATAAAATATTCTAGAAATAAAAAACTAATAATTTACAGTGGTTGCTCGATAAGGAACATAGAGAGTATCTACGAATACCGATTTTTGTTGACCTCGATTTGATACATTCCCTATATAAAATATCCTAGAAATAAAAATACCGATTTTTGTTGACCCCATTTTGATACATTCCCTATATAAAATATCCTAAAAATAAAAAACTAATAATTTGCAGTGGTTGCTTGATAAACAATATAGAGAGCATCTACAAATACCGATTTTTGTTGACCCCATTTTGATGCATTCCGTATATAAAATATCCTAGAAATAAAAAGCTAATAAAAATACCGATTTTTGTTGACCCCGTTTTGATACATTCCCTATATAAAATATCCTAAAAATAAAAAGCTAATTAAAATACCGATTTTTGTTGACCCCACTTTGATACATTCTCTACATAAAATATCCTAGAAATAAAAATACCGATTTTTGTTGACCCCATTTCGATACATTCCCTATATAAAATATCCTAGAAATAAAAATACCGATTTTTGTTGACCCCATTTCGATACATTCCCTATATAAAATATCCTAAAAATAAAAAACTAATAATTTGCAGTGGTTGCTTGATAAACAATATAAAGAGTATCTACAAATACCGATTTTTGTTGACCCCATTTTGATGCATTCCGTATATAAAATTTCCTAGAAATAAAAAGCTAATTAAAATACCGATATTTGTTGACCCCATTTTGATACATTCCTTGTATAAGATATTCTAGAAATAAGAAACTAGATTATTCTAATGATACCCTCGACGGGATATCATTTAGCGTGACAAGAAATAACGTGTTGCGAATCTAGCGCTCGAACAACAGCGCTGCAATTGAATGAATTGGATCGACGGACGTGTAAATGTCGGGATGTAACCGCGAAAAATAAAAGAATACATGGATGAATGGAAAAAGCGAGCATCCGTGTATGTGCAGGCATTGAGTCTAAAGAGAGCGTCTTGCTAACAGAAGCATCCCTTCTTCGCGCCAATTTGACCGTTTCATGATGCACATGTACAAACGGCCCGCGTTAAACTGGGTTACAACCATCAAATTCTATTTCTTTTTCAACACTCCTATCCATCGTCCTCGTTAAACGGCCGTTAAATAATAATCTTTCGTAATTAGGACTAAAAAATTTCGAATATTTTAATTACACCAAGGAAATTACCAAAAAAAGGGAGCAAGAGTTCAACGATAAAAAACTCGTTTGGATAAATATTCATTTAATAATTTATTAACGATGTCGGCTTCACATTTGTCCAAATAAATCATTCTTATCTCGTGTTAAGAAATATCAATGAAATACGACTGGGTCGTAAGATCCCCGAAAGCTTAGAAATAATTGAATGGAAACTATTAATTAGGTCAAATTTTTGTGTCATTTTTTTTTTTTCACAAAACACAGATAAAATATTCAAATTTAAAATAGTAAGTGAATATATGGAAGTATTTCTTAACCTTGTGCTTTCATGAAGTGTACATTTACGTTTGATATCGATAACGAACAATAATTTTTCTGCAATACACTCTATCTTATCACGACGAGACTTAATCACTTTTTTAGAAATATATTTATATCTGTTTCATTTCACCATACAGTCAGCCAATTCGTTTTGAACATCCGTTACTTTCCCCCTTCATTCATATCGTTATCTGTTGTTGAATTATTTTGAAATTAAATGCACCTATTTATCTTAGGTGTTTTTCCTTTAGTAATAAATTTGATGTATCAGTCCGGTCAATTAGTACATTTTAAAAACATAACTTGATAATTATCTGGTTAATTAAAGCTTTAATTGGATTCTGAGTCATATGCTCAAGAAATTAAATTATAAATTTAATTAGGTTTCCTTACAATTTGTTTTTATGGCTAGTTTAAAGGGATTAATCTTTGAATCTATCTTCGCTACCAGATTGACACACACATATGTTCTAATATCAAAGGAAGATAAAAATATTGAAAATTCACGAAATCCCCTGTAAGCCTCCGATGTGCAAGCTTGGTAATAGAAAACGCGATATAAACCTTCTATCAGTAATAGAAATCGAGATATCTATGTCATGGATGAGTATGTTTCATTTCACATGATCTCACGATAAATCAACGTGTCCTTCGAGAAGGACGCTTCGAATGCACCTTAATCTTCGTCAATATACATCTCACCATAGAACCGTGAAATTCATTAAATACTTATAAGATTTTATCGAACATTATATAAAACATATAAACATTCTGAATAACATTCACAAAGAATTAGTAGACAAATCAGATAAAAAATGGAAACATTAAACACCTGAATCACAGTATCAACTCAAGTATTCCTTTTAATCTAATCACCTATGTAATTCCAATGAATTACGATCGTACAATCGGAGATTGATAAAAGGAATTATTACCCTTCCAGGATTGTTATGGATATGTCTACTAACGTGGACAATATCAACGGGCCATGCGATCGAAGTCGATTGTTGCCCACACGGATCGCTATTGATGCCTTCGATGAATTGTTCCGATGGTACGAGAATTCATCTAATGTGCCCTCATGGTAGTTACCTGATCGACCCAGACGAATCTGCTAACGACAACTTTACCGTAATTTACGAATATGGCAAACCCTGGCTACAATTTACGGAAACAGATTATGAGAAAATCGCGGCGAACAGGTATAACACGATCCGTCTCTACTCTAATCGTTAGAAAATTGTTTTTCAGAAAATTCTCTTTCCGATGAACAATATATGACTCACAGTATGTTTCATTAAATATTTAGATTCTGCGTGGCAAATCGAAACAATGCCAGTACCAAGATCGCATTCGTATGCTTCGAAGGAGAACACTATAGCAGTTCAACGATATGGAAAGATACATTGTTCTGCATCCTCAGTATCATATCGGCTATATTTTTAATCGCTACTATAGCTGTTTACGTGCTACTGCCAGAATTAAGAGAAATTCAAGACAAAGCCATGATGGCTGCAGTTACATCACTTGCGGTCAGCTATATTGTTCTTTCCATTCAGAATCTGAGACCCCAGGAAGAAGGAGATTATACTATATGTATCTCTTTAGGTAGGAATTATTAATTGAAATAAAGAAGAGTAGAGTTATTTCACCTTGGAAAATCGAAGTACTTCTAATCGTCTGTGAATTGATCGTTTTTTTGTTTTTGTTTTGTTTCAGGATTTATTCTTTATTTTGGCTTTATATCTGTCTTCTTCTGGCTAAATATCGTCTCTTTTAATATTTGGAGAACTGTTTGGTAAGTTTGGATAAAGGTATATCCAATTTTCAAATTTGGAAATTTGGGAGTTTGGAAATTTACAAATTTGGGAAATTAAGAAATTTGATAATTTGAAAATTCCAAATTCTCGAATTTCCAAGTCGACTATGATACCGCGATTGCGACAGCGAAAGTGCTAGGAAAAACAATTTCATCACTTCTATTGCTTTCACAATATCCAATCGTTGTTACAGGTTTAAGCATTTCATGATCAAAGATAAGCTACTATTTACTATCTATTGTTTGTGCGGATTTGGTGGACCAACGTGCTTCCTGATAGCGGCATTGATAATGCATCACATCGATGGACGACACTTGAAGCCTGGTTTTGGCGAAGAAACCTGTTGGTTCAGTGGTACGATATCTCGGCAAAACAATTATCGTTTTAATAAGTTTTCATTCCAACACGTGTTCGATGTTGATTCGAAGAACTATTACGAAATGTGTTTATAGAATACGTCGATGTTTCTGTTTTTCAGGGCCCAAACAAATGTGGGCGTATTTTTATGGGCCAATTGCCATTTTACTGACGCTGAACATCATCTATCTGGGATTGACGAGCTGGAAATTGTGGCATCAATGTCGTGATTGCCATGGAGGAAAATTAAAAGCACTTCGCTTTAAATTTCTACTTTATGTTAAATTGATATTTGTTATGGGTGTTACTTGGATCTTCGAGGTGCTTTCTTATGCTGATGGTTCCAGGAATAATTTTTGGTAAATTACACTTAATTATATTCGAAGTGATTCAAAATTCATCCCTACTCCTTTTTTCCATTTTTCCATCTCCAAGTATGTATTAATATTAATTTTCACTCCAAAGGATACCAACGGACATTCTGAACGCGTTACAAGGTTTCATAATATTCCTGTTACTGGTCGCCACACGGAAGCGTGTCCGAAAGTTGCTAGCCAAAAAAAGACCTTGCGGAATTGGATTTCCGAAATCTTGGACAGCCTACAAGGACGAAGAGTGCGAAGACGTGGTCCTACCCGAGGAAGTTGAATTATCCCAACACGACTGTTAGTCCTTCTATCATTATCATTCTTCTATTATCTTTGCATTTTTAACACTTTGATGGTTGTAAATTTCATTATTAGAGAATTATTATTTAACAATTTTGAATTGTAAAAAGTGACAATAGCCGTCAAAGTGTTAATTAAAATAATTATATTTTAGGATTAATTTAATACTCTATTAATCCACCTAGTCGACATTTTGTTTCATAATCACAAACTATGCAAGAATCTCTGCACTATTATTATAAAAAAAAAAAAGAAGAAAAAAAAGAAAAAACACTAAAGTAGGAAAACGTGTTAATTATCATCGTGTGACTGATCGTGTATCGATTATGCTTTACACGATCTTTTGTAGATTAGTTAAAGAAAATCCATTCTATTTTTTTTAAGATTTCAACGCGATTTTTTTCGCAGTTAATCACTTTATTTTCCTCCTTTCAAAACGTTTGCGTCGTACTTTCATTCTAGTCGACTCATGCCGCATCGCTCATGACGATTCACCTTAAATTACGCACGCTTCTGACGTGTTTTAACCATTTAAAAAAATAAAAAAAAAAAAGAAGAAGAAGAAGACAAGACAAAACAGTCGTCATACCGTGAACGATACACGTGTCGCGCAAACAAGAGAGAGTACTCTTTATTATTTTTTTATCGAATGCTATCTCTTGAATGAAGTTTCGTACAAATACAAAGCAGAATATAAATAACACAATAGGATTTTTAAGGTTTATTTCTTATCAGATACGATGCCATTGTAACGTGTAATGATTTATTTCAGCATTAATTTTAATTACTTTCACCTTATTTTAAGATGTATACTAAAGTACTCGACTCTGTTTAAAAAAATTAATTTTTGTAATTTGAAACATTGGTAAAAAAATTTGTTAATAAAATTGCTTTGCAAAATATTATAAAAGGGTATTACTTGGCTAGAATCGCGTTCCTCGTTACGTTAAACTGTTGCGATAATTAAACAAAGCAATGCGCGTAAGTAATCAAATAGTCTGCTCAACGATGATGCGATAAACGAGAATACGTCAAAGAAAGAACTACGTATCCGAGTGACTATCCACGCTACCGTGAATAATGCTTCAGTGAGTTACACAGGGAATGAGTATTTTACATTTGCGCGCGGTATGCGAATGCAAAGAGACGCTTTGTGCATCGATGAACGCCTGCACGAACTAATCAATATTTAAAGTAACGCGAAACTTTTTGAATGCATAGCAACGGCTCGTGCGCAACACTGTTCCATCATTTTTTACTTTACTTTAAATTACGAAGAGTTTTCAAAGTTTTTAAAATGTATCAATAGCGTGCAGAATATTTTTAAATGTTTATAGAATTTATAATTGTTCCCTTGCAACTTTCCGACGAATTTTCTATGTAATATCTACGTTTGTATATTGAAAATTTGTATAAATAAATGTGTAAATAATAAAATGAAAAATATAAACGAGTTTCTTTATATTATAATTACCACAAAATGATAAATTTAAAGAGATTTGTTTTTAATGCGAAGTGTTTAAATATCGCGGTCAGCTCTTTCCAATAATCGAGAAATCGATTCTAATCGATTCGAAGAAAAATCCTGTTTTGAATTAGCCGCTCATTCGCGATAACAATGGCGTGACGTTTTTAAAATGGAAACTGATAGGTGCTGAATTACATATTCATGAAAAGTTAATTGGTAAAACAATTCTGAATAAAAATGAATCGCAAATATCACGATAGTCTCAGATACCAAATGACTGCGCAATACATGTATGTTTCTGCAAAAAAACGTACGTATATAAATAACAGATTTACATAAAGAAACCATTTCTGCAAATAATATGTCACATCTGTATCCTGTATCACGTCACGGAGATAAACGCCTGTAAGATGTTACAAACGATCATACTATAAATATCTGGGAACGTGGTACAATTAAACTTTTCCAGAGTACATTGTTTTTAGCGTTAACAAGAACATAACAAAGACCAGTGATGGATTTTCCAATGGAGGTCGCCAATATCCCACTATAAATTTCAGAAAACATATAACATCGAAAACTCTGTATATTACAAATTATATTTATGTACTTTTTGTATTTATTTTATTAATTACGATTTCAATGCTAATTAAAAATTGGAGGTTAGAATACATGTAGAAAATCCCTATAAAATTCGATGATTCTGCACTATCCTATATAGTTTCATGTACATAGAAAACTTGGTTTTCTCCATACGGTATTTTCCCTACTCATCACTAGCAAAGACACAGAAACATCAAAAGAAGGCAGCCAGAGATTCGTGTGAAGTGAACGAGAAAGGTAAGGATGAGTAACGGGTAGAAGGGGAATAAGGAAAACGAACGAGACGGTCGGAGGGAACCGAAAGAGAGAAAAAGAGAGGAAAGAAAACGGGTATAGAAGAGAGGGAGAGAGATAGTAGAGGATAGTGAAACAGAGAATGGGATGCGATGGCGGCGGGTATGGCAGGGGTAGCTCTTGCTAGGCGGGCACCCGCTGGCGGCATTTGCAGGTATGGCGATGAACAACACGGCAATTTCTATCGTCGCGTTGCGCGACCAGAGTGAATAAAAACGCCCTTGAAGAGTACATAACTGTGTAACCCTCGCGAAATCGATCGGTAACGAAGCTGCTAACTGAACTATAAAAAAAAGTGGTTAACTCATGCGAATCAATGCACGGAAACAGAGAGACAACGAGTAGGAACAGTGCCGATTCAATGACATGTATCATCTAGTGAGTACGCTACTTATCATCGGCACACTGGGGGCGAATCATCCCCGCATTGTTCTAGCCAGCAACAACGGTGAATTAAATTTGATTAGCGTCGCCAAGTGTTGCGAGCCCGAGGAACTTCTCGTCGACGACACGTGCACGCCATTGACGGAAACGAACGAGACGGAGTGGCGGCCGGAATTCGTGGAGGAGAAGGTGAACGGTATTTCAAGGAGCAGACCGGTCAAGCCGAATTATCAATTGAAAATAGGAAGACCAAAGTGTCAGTCGAACGAGCATCAATGGAACGTGTACCATTACCAATCAGGCGAGGATCGTCTGGCTATATTGACAACCGGTGTACTGCGACACTATACCAGACATTTGACAAAGGGAAACTACAATCATGGATATCTATACGGCTTAGACGCTGTAGGACTAGACGAGGATGACGAAGATGATCTCGAAGCGATATCCAATCATCATGACTATTCCTTCGGGCATTATTGCATTGATAAAGCAGTTTTAAGTAGAGATCGATTGGTTGCTACGTACGCTATGGTCTGCGTACCGAACGTAGTCGTCGGCTGGACTGATACAGATTATTTAATGAAACACGGAATCGATCCTACTTTTCACGCGATATCGATAGCCAGTTACCTAGTAGTTGCAGTCGTCTATTTCGTCTTACCGCAACTCCGTGATCTTGTGGGAAACATGATAACTAGTATGACTCTGTGCCTTATTGCCGGCCAATCTGCCTCTATGGTACGAATCTTCACGGAGTTTGGCAATCACGTTAGTTTTATGGTTGCCGGTACGATATAGAAAATATATAGAAAATATCCTATGAAATTTATTTAATATTTACTCGGGTTTACTTATGAAAATATTTTTCTTTTGCAGATACCGTAATGTATGTCTCGTTGCTTGCTGCGTTTTTCTGGCTCAATGCTTTGGGTTATTACGTGTGGAGCACATTTCGTTCGCGCAATGTGTTTCTACGAGTGACCGACGGCAGAAAATACTGTTATTATTCCTCGTATGTTTGGGGTTCAACAGTCTGTATAGCGGGAACAGCAATTTTCGCACACTTTGCCTTAGAAACCAACAAACCCATGGTCGGTGGAACGTTGTATCCACCTCAAGAAACTATCGGTTGGCTCGGTATTTCAATGTTATTTACGTCAATAGCATTCACGATAATTATTGATCTATGTTTTGTATTGACCACAGCGAATAGAATAAAACGAATGAGTACGTACGGTCGAATTCATCACAAAATGAAATACAGCTTTAGGATGTTTGTGTTTTTGTTTATAATAATGAGTACCGGTTGGCTGTCGTTGTTATTGTCACGATTGAATTACAATGCGCTTTTATACTGTCATATCGTTATTAATATTCTACAAGCAATTTTTATACTGTACGTTTGCGTGTTTGGGCAAAGAAGAGTTACATTTTTACTGGGTAAAACATGCAATTGCTGTAATTCTGAAGATAACATCGAGGGGCTTGATTGGGGCGAAGAAATGACTGCCATTAACGCGGGTTATTAACATTTTAGACTTTTCAAATAGACATATCAAACTACGTTAGAATGGTTTAATTAAATCTAATTTTAATTCTGGTATCCGTATACGAAGAAGTGTTCGATCCGTTATGTAAACAGTATTAAATATACCGCGAGGATAATATAAAAATTTTAAAAAGTCATAGTTCTAAATGTATAAATTTTAGTATACCAAGATATCGCATAAAAGCTTATTTAATTATAAAAATTCGTGAATCGAAATTAAATTATTCTATAAAAATGTAATGTGCCTTGAAACAAAATAACTTTTGCCTTATTGATGCAAAATATTCGACAAATTTATAACAGATTATATATAAATAACATTTTATAACTACGGTCATTATGTGTTCTCATATTCATTATTTCATAATGTAAACTTCTAGATTTGTCTTACTTTTAAGTATTCATGTAGTATTTATATTTGTATAGATATGGCTTTTGTATAAATGATATATCATTTTCATAAAAACAAGTTTAATATACGACTTTTAAAATATATTTGCTATTCTTACTTATATTCTAGAAAAAGTTTTAAATATAACTCACCTGACCGAACAATCCACCTTCGGGTCGATGTAATAAATTCGACAATTGACATCGTACTACTAGATGACAATCATCCATAACGGTATTAAAGAAACGTCTAGTTGGTAGTAAAGCTTCTAAATCTATCACTAATTCAAGGAACCTCTCACAATATCTCACTTTATCCGATAAAAGTGATCCTGTTAAAAGATAAATATTAAATTGTATCATTTTTAAAGTATATTAGAATATTTTTATTTTCTTTATCTTACCTTCTTTTGGAATTGTTTCTAATATTGTCATAAATTTAATCATCAGTCTATGTAAGAATTTGCGATCCCACTCCAATCTTTCTTTGCATTCAGGACTATCCTTCTTTCTAATTACTTTCCAGTATTTTCTCCATTTTGGATACTTTTTAAATTCCAATTCTCTACGACCTTGTTGTAGCGAAATCCACATAGATAAAGACACTAATCTTTTTACTTGTTCCCGAACTAACGACACCTCCATAGAATTGAAACAATGGTTTAGAAAAACAATCAGAGCTGTCTGTTCTTTTAAATCAAAATCCATTATACTTTCTTCGAGGCATGCTTCCAAGACTTTCTGAAAAAATCCAGGAAAATGTTTCTGATTCTTTTCGAACGCTTCCCAGACTTGCACTCGTTCTCTGAACTTCTCGTTGACCATGACAACAATAGACATGGTATGAGCACGGGTTGCGGTTTTTGCATCATAGTTTGGCCATAGAAAATTTTCTAAACACTGACTGAATTCTAACATCATGATTCTTCGAATGGAAAATTTAGAGGCGCATATTTCTTGGACATAAATATCTTCTACTATTTGAGGATTAAACGGAAGATGTGAATCCATAGTGTGCGGTGCCCAGTATTTATTCGCAAGCTGAAATAAATATAAAATAAACGTCTTTATTCTGTATTGAAGATAAAATAAAGAGAGGTGTAAAATAACAAAGTAACTTATAGTAAATACCTGAGTTATCCTATCAGCATTAATCTGCTCCACTGTCGGAGCGGGATTATTGCTTTTAACCGTTGCGCCGTTTTGATTTTCCATGGTAGCTTTTATTAATTACTGAATGTTTACACAAAATCCACCGCGACGTAAAACATTAAGGTTAAGAAATTCAACGTTACGTTCACTGAACTATATATACATAGATGTAATTCCAAACAAAAAATATTATGCATCGACTCTATTGCCACCTGGTAGTAGTTGCAGAAAAGAATATTTAGACATTTCTATTCTGCAGTCACTGTATCATGTTAGTCAATGTTTGGAAGTGTTTGGAATATATATGGTTAACGAAATACGTATAAATTTAATTAAGGGGAGTACGTGAGCTTAAAATTTCCTGTTCTTTTTTGTTTCTCTGTAATAGGTGTTTAGTTACAGTGAAATTTATAAAAGAAGGTCTTTAGAAAACGTTTTTCAATCATGGTATGATAATATTGATGTATTAGTATAGGAGATCATTTTTCATCTACACAATTTATTTTTATTCATATAATAATTACAACAATGCTAATTGAGATTTTGCTGTATAGTCAAAAAATTATATTATACATTGTACAACTTTGCTATCAGGTAACTTACTTTTCATTGATAATTTCCATTTTTAGACAAACATGACAGAGGAAATTCAGAAGAATCTAAAAACGGAAATAGACAAATATAAACAAGTTCAAAAAGGTATTTTATTTATTTCTACATATACAATGTGTTCCTTAAAGTATATTATGTGATTATAATTAATTTTCTGTTTGTATCAGATTATTCCAAAGCAATGATTCAAAGACAACAGTTGGATGCACAGTTAAATGAGAATATTGCAGTTAAAAAAGAATTGGATCGTATGAAAGCAGAAGATGATGTTTTTAAACTAGTAGGAACTGTTCTGATTAAACAGGATTTAGAAGAAGCAAAGCAAAATGTTGCTAAGCGGATGGAATATATTTCCTCTGAATTGTAAGCTATTAAATAAGGAGAGCAAAAGTATAAGAAATCCAATAATTTAATAATTCTTTTCGTTTATGCAAATTTAGGAAACGAGTGGAAGAATTAATAACTACCTTCGATAAGAAACAAGATACGCATCGTGAAACATTAGAAAAATATCAACACATGTTTCAACAGGCTCAATTGAAAGCATCCCTTTCTCAACCAAAGGCATAATTTCACATATGAAATATAAAGGGTCTACATAACAAGGTTTTATAATCTTCTGTAATAAAGATCATGTAACCTTGAACATCTTTAAATCTCATGTTTTATTATATTTATTAATAAAGTCTGATCAAAGTTTTTATGATTTTATTTAATTTAGCGATTGTAAATTATGAACTGATATTAAATGATAATAAATACTAACTTTAATTATAAGGCTATATTCGTTTACATTCTCAGCGCTATCTAACAACGTAATGCTAAACTATGATAAAACAAGACTCCATCGATAAATGCGTTTACATGATTATAAATAAATATGGTGGTCCATATGCCGCCTTTCAGAATCGAGAAATTTTTATTTTCATATGAAATATAAAGCAATTAATTATAACGTTCTTTTTATTAATAAAAAATAATGTTGTTACCGTTAAAACCGGATCATAAAAAACATGTATTGCTTCTTGTAGAACATACACCACAAGGTGGGTATATTTTACGTCCTTTATCGTTGATTTCCTTGTAAAGTAATACTGATCTATTTTCTTTAGTTTTGCAGGACTTTTGTAAATTGGTCATAGATTACCTGCAGAAAGGACCAAATTTTAAATTGTATAATGCAGCTGCTCGTAAGTAGATGTTTGTTTTATAGAAACATAAAGATTGTTTGACATTTCATTTTTTCTCAGAAAAACTTCAAGTTGATATAAATATGATTAAGAATTCAGTTGAAGGACTTGTTAATTTATTACTAGAGAGCTGTAAATATAAGGTAGTACATACATAAATTATATTGATTTGTATTTATGTTGTTCAATATATAAAATAACATGTATGATTTTATTTGTTTTTGCAGCTAAGTTCTGAGGACTTTAGGGATTCCATAATATCTTTAGGTTTTTCAGAAGAACAAGAAATAATATTAAGCAAATTATATAATGTTAAAAAAGATGAAATATTGGATACACTTACAAATATCGGATTTAAGTTACCAGAGTACCATGATATGGAATGGAGATTTGAAGTTCAGGTTTTATATCATTTTATCATTCCATCATTTGTTATGTTTCTATTGTTTTATCATTTAAATGTTTTTTATAGATTGCATCAAGATCACTGTTAAAACAGATTGCTCCTCTCATAACTTTAGATTTTTCAATAAAAAACCCAGACAAAGATGAAAGTATTGACCATGTACTACTTCAAACTGACCCTGCTAATTTATTACACATAACACAGGAGTTGGAGGAGGCTCTTCAAGAGGGTCGTAGTCAACACATTCGTAGACTTTCAAGAGTAGTAAAATGATAGCATCAATGTACACACTTATGTTCAATGGAATAAATTATACACAATTTCAAGAATGTATTGTGTATTATTTGAAATTAGATTAATTATCTAAACTTGAATATAAAAGCGTATGTAAGTTTCATTTTGATTAGATTAGTCTAAATTCCAGCTGACAGCACTTTTCACATGTCATATACTAATGCTGATAAAAGTAATATAAATGCATTCATTTGAATATCTTATTGGATGACTTTATTGGATCTGGCTTTACAAGACGTATAAAATGAGAATGCTGCATTTGTAGTTGCAGTTATAAAATACAAACGGCTGAATAGAAAAACGAAATGTGCTATGCAAACTTATGTCAGTGTTATATAAATTTCAATTCTTTTTGTAAAATTTTGTTCAACTAATTTCTTGTGATAACATCCAGGTCAAGTGTATGAATTTATTATACGTGCATTAGTGTGTTTTCTTACTTTTTAAAAGATATGGAAACATTAATTTCAACGAACACTTTCAATGCGACGATTTCTCTTTACGATGAAGCTAATCCTTCAGAATTGTCGATCATCACAACTACTGTAGGACCAAAATTTGCAAGACAATGGATGCGTTTTAATAATCAAACAGTTGTTAGCAAAGTACCTGAAGAAATGTTACATTTAATTGATACATATTGGTAATTATAATTATCTTATGTTTTATTTCATATATATAGGTTTATTAATCCTATTTTATTACATTTTAAAATATAGGTACAGGTTTCCTCCATTGAATCCATTATGGCATAAAGTCTTAGGCCTAGTTATGATCATATTAGGAATTATGGGATGGTGTGGACATGGCGTGGTAGTTTATATTTTTTTAATAACACCCTCGCTAAGAACACCGAGCAACCTTCTTGTAGTAAATCTTGCTTTCTCAGACTTTATAATGATGGACTTCATGTGCCCTCCCATGGTAATTTGTTGTTTCTACGAAACATGGGTCCTTGGTAAGTAACAATAAATGTGTATTTATTCATAATTGTGAAATAATATACAGTATTCTCACGTGTAAAATAAACATTTTTATGCAGGAACATTAATGTGTGATATTTATGCAATGATTGGTTCATTATGTGGGTGTGCTTCTATATGGACAATGACAGCTATTGCTTTAGATAGATATAATGTTATAGTGAAGGTATGTCTATGCGTATATCTATAGATAGATATAATCACTGATATTTCCAATGAAAATAATGTCGTAAAATCTTTTCAGGGTATGTCTGGAACACCGCTTACTATTAACAGAGCTATATTTCAAATTTTAGGTATCTGGTTATTTGGATAATTGTGGACTATTTTACCTTTAGTAGGATGGAACAGGTAAGGTTTTTTTATATCAGGATACGTTGTTTCTTAAGTGGCTGGCTATGCTAATGAATAACACATCGCATATCAATTAGGTATGTTCCCGAAGGTAACATGACAGCATGTGGAACGGATTATCTTACCGAGGATTGGGGATCTAAATCTTATATATTAATCTATTCTATGTTCGTTTATTACACTCCATTATTTACTATTATTTATAGTTATTACTTCATTGTTTCTGTAAGTATTTAATTGAAAGAATTTAATTATATTGACACCTTGCTTACCATAGTAAACACCTGTTAAATAGACGGTCGCTGCACATGAGGAAGCAATGAGAGAACAAGCTAAAAAAATGAATGTCGCCTCTTTACGATCCGGAGAAAATCAAGGCGGTAGTGCGGAAGCAAAATTAGCGAAGGTATTCAATTATAAGTAAAGAATATGATGCATCGTAAACTTTGATTATCATAAAAATAAATTTCGTTTATATCAGGTAGCATTAACAACAATATCATTGTGGTTTATGGCCTGGACACCATATCTTGTAATCAATTATATTTTCCCTGTGTCCTGGCTTTTTATAAAGCATTTCCTTAACCATTGCATCCATCAACCTTTCCCTTTCTTCATGGTAACGTCGTTGCTGTTCTAATATCGTTTCCATTTATTTAATTTCTGTAAAGACAATATTCACAAATTGTTTGTCAACTATGTATATAGAGGTTATTGATATAATTTAACATATAGTATTTTTCACGAGAGAGTACGAGTGTTTCGCGCAGCTCGACTGAGCTCAGAAAGTTCCCCCACCACTAGCGCTACCCCACCATGATTCACTTCCATTGCGATCCGCCATATACACGGTGGACAAAATGTACTAATATAGGAACAGCTTATTATAGGACAGAGGTAGTGAATAATTCACAAATTTCTAATCACCCGATATACCCCCTGTCCAGCGTGGCTCACGACATACAGCCGTACGGCGCTTGCGCGTTACCTTGGTAGCGGAGCGTGGCAGAACCAATCAGAGCCAACATGCGCAGACGAGACCAAAATTCGTTCATCCGTACTAGTACTCTCTCGTGAAAAATACTATAGACTACCTGAAATGAAAAATTCCTATTACAGACATGAATTATAACATGTACTCATTTTTACTCCAACTTTAGAATAAACAAAAACTTTAAAACATAATAAAATTCTTACTTTACAATTAATTACGTTCATTACTATCAATCACGCATGTTTTTACACAGAGCTTTTATATTTTGTGGCGCATCGTATCACAGCTGTTCATTGGCTACGAAAATCATCCAATCATGATTATCGGTTAAAAAGAAAAATAGTTTATAGTACGTGAATTGAAAGATTGAAAGAAAATAATTTATAAATTTGATTACCACAATTTATAAATATTATTTTCCATCTTTACAATTTTTAACCTTATACAAGGTAAATTTTCCTATATGTTCTTCGTACTTCTTCCCACTTCTTTCTGCTTAACAATATTCATAAATGAGGTGTCTGTAAATAAATTGTATTTTATATTAAAGAATATTTCTGTTATCTCATTATAAATATATAAGTATTTTATTAGATATGATACATAGAAATTATTTAGATAACAATACATATAACCGTTAGGAAACATATCGATGTATTGCAATTAGAAATTTGAATAGTTCCAAAGAACGGTCGTGTTCAGATTTTGATTAGTAATCGTTAAATAAGTGAAATTAACAATGTCAGGCTTAAGAAACATTAAGAAAAGGCGTCTTGATGATTCGGAAGACGTGAATTGTAAAAAAATGAAAGTGTCAGATGAAAATAATGAAGAAATAAGTAACAAAGTTATAGTTGAAAGTGATACAGCACATGAAGATATTGCTGAGCAATTATTATCATTAGAAAAAAAATTAGTCAATGAAGTAGGAAAAATTTCATTCAGTTTACCTGTAGCATATGTTTATAGTCCGCTTGAATATGCGTTTAACATACATACTTTATATGTAAAAAAGTATTGTAATACTCCAAAGAAAATATTGTTTCTTGGAATGAACCCTGGTCCTTGGGGTATGTCACAAACTGGTGTACCATTTGGAGAAATAAATATGGTCAAAAATTGGTTAAAAATTAGTGGACCCGTTGGAAAACCTGCTAGAGAACAAGAAAATAGAAAAGTAACTGGATTTGAATGCAAACGTAGTGAAGTTAGTGGAAAAAGATTATGGAGTCTCTTTAAAGAATTATGTGGAACTCCAGAAATATTTTTTAAACATGCATATGTACATAATTATTGTCCCATTGCATTAATGGATAAAAAGGGCTGTAACATCACACCAGCAGAAATGAAGGCAATATTTATATTTCTTATATAATTAAATTTATGTACTAAATTTAACTAATTTTTAGGGAAAGGAACAGCTGACATTACACTCTGATTGTGATAAGACTTTGGCAGATATAATTAAGCTTTTAAAAGCTGAAATTGTTATTGGTATTGGCGGATATGCAGAAAAACGAGCACAGCTAGTTGTTAAATCTCATAATCTGCATGTACAGGTATCAAAACCACTTGATTTAATGCCTACCTTTTTCTGTGTTTACATTTCATTGTAATTTTAGGTATTATGTTTACCTCACCCAAGTCCACGTGCTGCAAATAATAAAAACTGGAATGAGAAAGCAACTAAAAAGTTGACAGAATTTGGTTTACTTCAGTATTTTGCTGCTTAGTGATATATAATGAACAGTCTTACTTGGATGGATGTTGCGTTAGAACAAGCAGAGCGTTCTTTGAAAGCTGGCGAAGTTCCAGTTGGTTGTTTATTTGTATACAATAATGAAGTCATTGCTACAGGTAGCAATACAGTTAATGAAACACGTAACGCGACTCGACATGCTGAAATAAATTGTATAGATCAGGTCTTAAACTTTTGTAACGAAAAAGATTTGAACTATAAAGAAGTTTTTTGCGATGTCGATGTTATCGTTACTGTGGAACCATGTATAATGTGTACATCAGCATTGTTTCAATTGCAAGTAAGAAATATTATATATGGTTGCGCAAATGATCGTTTCGGTGGATGTAGTAGTGTTTTTGAGGTGCCTAAAATTTATAATTCCAAAACTAAAATAGTGGGAGGTATAAAAAATGATGAAGCAATGGCTTTGTTAAAGGAATTTTACAAAGGTACAAATCCAAATGCACCTGAATCAAAAGTTAAAAAAAGTCGTCAAAACAAAGACATAAACACTAAAAATGTGTAATCTTTTTTAAATGTAAAATGTATTTTTGTTTTTTATCTTATTAATTAATCAATAATCTCATTTTTATTTTATACATTCCGTGTGATATAATATATAGATTAAAGTTAATGTAAAGTTTTATATAAACTAAACATTAATACGTGACATGCCAGTATCTACACTGGTAACATACTGCCAGTAATGCAGGTACAAATCGTATTTTATATATTACTATTGTTTGTTTTGTACTTATTTAAAAATATGTAAAACGTGATTTGTATGTTATTTTTGTTTGATAAATAATAAAATTAAAAATGTTTTACTTAGGAGCACCATGAGTGATCTAATTCACATTTGCCTTGATACCATCTTACTAGTAATTGATTTCTTAGCGTATAATCCTTCAGTACCATATCTTTTGTCTGAAAATAACAGTTAGTATTCATACAAAAGACATAAATTGATGTATATTTATTGAATACAAACTTACTATAGGTGGTGGAAAGATTCTTTGGAAATTCATTTTATTTTGATGTTCCAGATAACTTTGAGATAAAATTGATTTAGTTTCAGTTGTAAAACAAGGGCTACAAAGCTGACATTCAACACGAAAACAGTCATTGCATTCTATACACAATTCTGGTAGAACCATTAAATTCTTATCAGCGACTTCCATTTCTTCTTCCATCTTATTCCTGAAATGCAAATGTAAGTTAAAAACATATTAATGAGATTTTGAAAAGTATTTAATTGAATTTTAATATTAGGCTTTTATCACCTTATTTTTAGGGAATCTTTTCTAATTCGTTGCCCTACTCCAACTAATGCAAATAAATTATATATAACTTGTTCATAAAGTAACTGGTTCGGTGGATAATGTGCTGAAGACAAATTTGGAGACATATTTGCTTCCATCATATAAACATTTAAATCTTCGTCGAGGGCAAAATCAATTCTAACTAATTCGAAAAAGTTTCTTCCATTTCCAAAACGTTTCACAGCTTCTTTAATGTACCCCTCTTTCGATAATGTAATTTCCTTAATCGCTTCATACATAGAATCCCAGACCTTTTCAGGATTCTTTCCTTGTAATCTTACGTATGCATCGAACGAGTCTTTCATTGAAAATTTCAGTTTACTGTAATAGTGTTTCAAGGATGGAACATTCCAAATTGGTAAATAGTCATCGCCAACTACATATTTATCTAAAACATCTGGATCAAATGGATAATATTTTACAGGACAAAATCTGAATAAGGCATCACCTTTGTACACGTATACCCTAAGAGGATCAACCGACGTAATTACAGTATATACTCCTATATCAAATTTATAACCATCTACGAGTAATGGTCGTTGTATAAACTCTTGTACAAAAGATCCTGTTGCTGTGATATTAATACTGCTAATATTTTTAACGCTGATACCTCGATGATCGTTTGATTTCTCTACAAACATCTTCTCAGGATGTTGTTTAACATATTGCAAGAATTCATTGTTTTGCTCTGGTATCTTAAATGCTGGTAAGATATAACGTCCTTCTGTTGTGGATAAATCTACCTTATTAGTAATGTATCCACAACCAGGAAAATGATTAACGCGTTGATGAGTTTGTAACTTATTTAAGTTAGAACTTAAAACTCTGAACGGATAATCGTGTGCCCACAACAAGTCCCAGTTTGAATTATTATAGGTCCGTTTAAAACCTAAACTTTCCAATACGATAAATACATGTTTCAAGTATCCGGTATCGTTGCTTTTCGCATATACGAAATACAGTGGATTCCCCTCTTTTATTTTAGATACTGTTGTGTGTACTCTTATTAACTGTTCTTGGTAGTATAAAAAAGAAAAAAATAGGCAGTATATGAGTATTGGACCTACTACAGAGTATAGAAAAACTTTTAGAAGTGTCTTCATCTTTAAGCTCATTATCTGATCATAAACATTACAGGCAGGGTCCTAAAACAAAAGATTATATTATTATTAAAATCAATTTAAATAGTTATATATAGTCTTTAATAATCTTTACGAACCTGTTTTTCATCTTCCTTTTCTTGTTTATTCATAGTTGATATATGATTTTAGTATGATTTATATGTGTAAAATAACAGGTGTATTCGTGTTGTTGATCAAATGTACCGTTGTAACTATTCCCGTTACACTACTCCTTTTCAATGCTAACGCGCTTGCAAGAACCGGTTTTTCATAGCGCATGTATTATGTTTTCTTTTTAAACATTTTATAAAACTGTTGTTAAATAATTTATAGTGAAATTAAATACATAAAAACAATTCTTTTCTAATAGATTATATAATATGTTATAATAAGTTACTTGTTACAATTACGAAATTTGATATAATTATTTTTTATAATGTCAGTTTGTCATGAAGGTTTTGTTTCTGTAAACATCTGCGTTTATCTGTAACATCAAATATATATTAAAAGATGAGAATATTATTTCATGTTATATTTGAAAATTTAAAAAAATGGCGGAAATTGTTTCAGAGTACGCTACTGAGCACAACGTTGCGTAGCAAACTAATAGTGCTTCCTGTCTTTTGGATTCTTGAATTCGCCTCAAGAAGATCTTTGTGTGAAAAAAATGGGTTTTCAAAACATTTGGTACTCCCATCCACGAAAATATGGGCAGGGATCTAGATCCTGGTACGTATTAAGGATTTTATTTCATTAGATGATATACGAATAACCTGAAATCATAAAATCACGTGGACTGTTTTTAACCGCGTGTCAACATTTGTTTTCATAATAATTATTTGAATTATAATTGTTAGTATAGTTATTTAACATAAATTAATAGTACATATTATTATGTTATTATAAATTACTGATTTAATATATGAATATAATAAACCTCAGTTTAAATTTTACAATGATAACCTCAAAATTATACAGTATAACCTCAAAGTTAAAGCGTTACAACTTAGTTTTTTTAATGTTTTATTGATATATATTTGTATTTTACAGCCGAGCTTGTGCAAACAGACATGGTCTGATTCGCAAATATGGTTTAAATATTTGCAGACAATGCTTCAGAGAGTATGCTGCTGATATTGGTTTCAAAAAGGTAAAGTTTCTTACATTTATAAATACATTTTAATAATATTAATAATACTAATTATACATCACTTTTTTGCTTGCAGCTGGATTGATGTAACAAAAATCTTTTAAGACATTTAATTTCTGTTTTCATAACAACATCAGTACCTTCATGTAAATTGAATAACAATAAACTGTCACTTTTATTAAACAATTAAATGTATAAATGTGTTTGGAAGAAATAGATTTTACTGTAATGTAATTATTAGTTCAAAATAAAGATGATTACTTGAATTAAATGTAATAATGTTACAAAATTGATTTTTTGGTCCCTCCTTTGTTGTAAATGTTTGTAAACATGAAATATTTAACATATGTAAGAAAAGATACATCATTTAAATTATGTTGCTCATTATGTATAATAAACATAATATCTTTATATCATTTTTATATTAAATAAAATATGGGTTGTTTTCATATTCAGATGAATATGTTTGTTTTAAAGCCGCCTTAAAAGCTTGTGGATACCCTCATAAGGGGATTCCAGGGGAATCACCTAACTTCCAGGGAAATTCATAATACATAGCTGACATAGCGCTGTATAAGTTTAGTTAATATCGTAAGTAATACTTATTTAGTGTAATAATCAACAACAAAAAATGTATTTTCAAAGTGTAATGAGTTATGCATTATCTGGAGCTCAAGTGTCCTTGGATGCAGTGTCAGGAGTCATAAAAGCCGTGACACCGGTAAAAATACCCGTGTTTTTTAAAAGTATACAAAACCGTTGCACCGTTTTAAATTTCTTTTATAATTAATATACATACACATATCACTTAGTAATACAGAGAATAGGAGAATAAGTAAATAAATTAATAATAACTAAATCATAACCTTGTGTATGTATGGAAGGTTAATTGATGAATGTCACTATAAAGTAAAATTTTTAATATGTATGTGCAGTAATTTTAATGAAATAGCTCTCCTTATTTTAGACACTCCAATATTCAAGTTGTAACCCTATAGTAATGTCACCTCTGTGGAAATTAGCTGCAAATACTGGACCATTTACAAGAATTGCAGCTATCAGTGGAGCAACAGCTGTTCTTGTTAATGCGTATGGTTCCCACTGTAAGATTAATGTTGAATATTTTAGAATATAGCTTGAAATTATGAAGATAGTTGAATGAAATAATTTTTATTTATAATAATTTCAGCAAAACATCTAAACGACCAATATCAAATAAAAGTATTTGATACTGCAAGTCGGTACCATTTCACCCATACACTAGTAATACTAGGATTACCTCTTTGCAGAGCACCTTACGTGGTACGTTTAATTAGATGATAATAATAAAATTGGAAAACATACTTATTACTGCTATATTATTTATCATTAGACTGCAACCTTCATGCTGTCTGGCATAATACTGTTTTGTGGGAGCTGCTACTATTATTCATTTACTGGTGACAAACGAATGAATAAACTGACACCATTTGGTGGAATATGTTTTATATTAGGGTGGTTAAGTATGTGCATTTAAGCTTTTAAGAAACACGGGAATGTGGTATTTGTTAAAGAGAAAAATAGAAAATAAGAAAAATTATGAGGAACTGAATTTGTAAATGTTGCATGATATATATATAATTTTGTTTCTTAAATAAATCATCTTTCATAATTTGAAACTGTTTTTAATAATATAATGTTTGCCTTTTACAAAATATTGTTGATTAGGAAAGATATTTTTTTTCAGCAATATGTTTGTATTTTTGTTTATTGAAAGCTACCAAAGAAACAGAATCTGAACTTGAATAAAAGTAAATCTTCATTTATACTAATGAGTTGATATAAATATAAGTTTTACTTATAATATTGATATAAGTTTAAAACATATACTAAACCATTAAACATTATGCAATGTATTTTCAGATCTGTGTTGCACAATTTGATCAATGATTTTTGTTTTTCTGTATTTTGGTACATTACCAGTTATAATTCACTGTTTACTTGTATTTAAAATGTAATGAAAAAATATAACTGTAACATGTTTGTATGATTTATAATAAAATATGTAAAAATTATGAAATATAACAATATCGTATAGTGACTAAATAAATTCATCATGTAATGCTAAAAGAAAATGTCGTAAGGTTGAGATGAAGCTATGAAGCAACATTATAGGCTTATTTGAAAAGTCAGTTTAAAATGGTGATTATTTAATACCAATTAACGTAATCGCCAATTCATCAATTAACTTTCATATACATAAAATTAGAAATCAGAAAGTGATGTATACATATATTGATCAGTTTAAGCAATGGTACACAATATAATTGTAAAACAAGTAGTCGCATATTATTATTATTTTTTTTTTCTACTTTTGATCGATTCATATTCTCACAATTTTCATACAGAATCACATTTCTACAGAGATATAAGAAAGTAATGTACCTTGTATAATCCATTTGATACACCAGCTTCGCTGACTTTATATCCATTCTATTTCAATATTATACATTTTTAGTACATTTTTGTTCATAAATAGATGTTTTTGCCTGTAAATGAGTAGATATAAGATAGTAATTTTTTCTTCGATCATTACGGTGACTCGGTCTGGCGATGCTGGCTGCACTCTTACACGGCTAAAAGTATTAATTGGACTATCTTACCTAGAATAAAAATATCAAATAAGTTTAGGTGGTGATACACTGAATAAACTTAAATATTAGGAGTGTTGCACGTGAAATTCGCGCAGTGCTTGTTAACACACTGGAAATTAAGCAGCGAACACAAAGAGATCGATTACGAAAATAAAATGATTGTCAACAAACACATTTATATTTGATGTTTGTTGGTTTGTTTTTCTTTTTTAAATGGTAATGAAACACGAGCTGCTTCATTCTGTAACGTACATTTGTTTACTGATTTTAAAACGTGATTTCATTGCAAATTGTGAGGCATGAGATTGGCGATTTATGGCGATGCTAAATGCACCACTGATATAAAATTCACTTATACCTAATAAACGTCCCTTCAGACTAAATTATAATTAATTATTATAGAGTTTTATAGCAATATCATTTTCTTGTTACTATTATATAAAGTATTTATATATATATTTGCGCATATTAAACTATATTTACAGCTTTTATTAATTATTGTAACACATTAAAGATAAGTTTCCTAGAACGAGGCTGCATTCTCGATACCTGGTTCGTAATACCACGGGAGGAAACTTATACGACAGAGCTAATATCATTTTTGCACTTTTTTTTCTGACAAAAACATATCACAATCTAAATTTATAAGTAAAAACATAAACAATCAAATTAGGATTTATTTAAATGAATTGTTGCTAAAATCAAGAAAAAGATTTTTTCGAAAAAAATTCGTATAAAGTGCAAATTTGCGATCACTGAGTTTTAAACAAAACACAGCTATTTCGAAAAATATTTGAAATGTTTGGATAATTTGTTTCAACCTGGACAATGCGATAGCAAAAGAGCAAATGACGCGCCGGTTTTCCATCCGTTTCTAGGAAAGGTGGAACGAATGTTGTCCTTCTTGTGCAGCTATTCGCAACTTTTCTCGCATTATTTCTAACGTTGTGTAATCAGGCAGTTTTAAGTAATTAACGCAAGTCATTACGGATGGTAAGAAATCGTCTGTTTTCATCGAAGGGTCAAAAGTTTTACGCACTATCGTTAAAGGTGGCGTTAAACTCTTAAAACCTGTAAGAAAGTAAAGAATTTCATTTGATAGATTTCTGATACATTGTATCCACCATATACCGTCGTATAACAAATATTTACCTCCAACTGGTAATCGCGGTGAACCTGTGACGAATTGGATAAACTGCCTTTGTTCTTCACTGTTATATTTTGACATAACCTCAAAGAGGAAACGTATAGCACGGGAATCTGGAGTATATCCATGATCAGTTCTACAACATTCTAAAAGTGTTTTCACGTCCCACTGGCCACCTGTTTGTGCATGCCCACAGAACACAGCTTCAAGTTCTTCCGGGAAGAATAGTCTTAGTTGCGATGGCGGGAACACAGATTCGAATCCTTCTCGAAATGCTTCCATTTGTCTGAAGACACCTTCGTACAAGAACCAATGTACCACCAACTGAAAATGCAAATTTTTAAATACCATTTCACGTACAAATATTTTCGAATGTTACCTTAATATATTGATGTAGGTTATAAACAGTGACGGATATATCACTCCCTCCTTTCCTTAGCTCAATATTCTCATAACCTGGTAGCTCAAAAACAAGGCCAAGCTCCGAAATCGGACATCCATCTAAACCTAACGAATCTATTAGTTGTGCTCTCTCGTGTGGCCTTAACGAATCATCCTTTTCAACTGTTTCTTTTTGTCTAACGATTTCCTGCAGTCTAACAAGAGTTCGATGTACATCAGGGCATACGTATGCTAAATCAGCTAATGTTAATGTATGTTCCTCTCCCAATAACCAACGGTAGAAGGTTAAACTGAATGGTAAATCCAACTGTGAAAAATTATATATACAATAATATAATAATGAACATATTCAAATTTACATAACAGAGTAAAGAAATGTTACCATTCTTGAATCATATATCGCTTTCGCCATAAATTTTCCAAGGAATTTAAATTTTGTTTTAAGTTTCGCGAGATGCGACACTTTAGTATTCCATGGAATTGGCATTGAGAAAAGTCCATGAGGAGCATTAACGTATCCTGCGTCGGTAGAACTTGAACTACCGTGCCAAAGATCAAGATCAGCACGTTGTAATTCCTGAGAGACTAGAGCATAAAATTCCAGTGTCGGTCCAAGACCAGTACCAACCTAAAAAAAACAGGACGTTATGTTGTTTATTAAACCATTTGATGAAATTCTTAAGATTGTTAAAATTGAAATTGTATGAAAACCTCATTGACATATTGCACTTCAAGCAAGGCTTTGCTAGACGCCAAGTCTTGTATCACTTGTTCCGCTTGTTTAAGAATATCAGTTCTCGAGATAGTTCGTTTTCTTCGTTCCAAACGAGGAGTAACACGTTCTTGACTATCCGATCCCGATAATTCTGGAGCAGAATCTAAAAGTCGTTGTAGGGCTCTATCCCGATCGAATGATGTTGCATAAAGTAACAACTGTCTTGTTTCAAAGGGGAACAGGAATGGACTGAAAACAACAAAACACATTTATTAGCACCATTCACATTAGCGAATTAGCGTGACTCTTGTGATACTAACCAGACAGTAGCAATTTGTTGTAACCATAATGGTAAGTTTCCAGTCATAATGACTAAAGGATCTTGTAGCTGCCGGCTCGCTTTCGCGGCTATTTTGTTGTTAATAAAATCTTGCGGGGACAATAAGTTTACATTCTTTAGATGAGGGAACAGAACGGACCAATGACGGTTTAATGCGTATAAAAGACGCAATAGGCATAAACCGTCGAGCGATGCATCGGTGATCGTAACCGAAGGTGGTAAAGTGGGAGATAAATATGGATCAAGCGGACATCGTTGAGGGGGAACTGCTCCTTCGAGCCATAAATTATCCTCTTTTCGTTTTGAACTGATCTTTGTACTTTTTCCTTTGCCTTTGCGGCTGCTACCCTGTGAACTCGATCCTGGTTTTGGCGATGTTGTGGTTTCTTCTTCTGGTACAGGCCTGAGAATATATAAAAACAAATCATTTAAGTTTATTCCTATAGATAAGTAGAGAGGGTTAGAAAATATAAATACCTGTAGTAAATTGTATGCGTTTGTACCCAGACGGCATCATGGCCAAGCGGTGGTTCACCATCAGCTTCTGCCTCAGAATGATCAATTCCGGAACAACCAAATTGTCTAACAGCTTGATAAACAGTCATATTGAAAGGCAGTACTTCATCCCCGATTAAGAACTGAAGTTTATGCTTTGCCGATCCTTGACTTATAACTACCGCTGCCTGTAAATTTAAATACATTCAAAATAATTACTGTTTTGTAAAAAACAAATATCTTTCTACATATGTATATGATTATTACCAAAGTATCATCTATATCATCTTCGCTGTTATCGTCATCACTAACCATCGATTCCGCTTCCCTTATTCTACCATATCCACGAACCATTAAATAACGTTCGATAGCTTGTACTAACGCAAGGGGATCTATCTTAACGGTGCCTCCTTTCCATTGTTTCAAATTGTTACAATCAGGATGTCGTTGCAGATTACACTATAATACCATAATAAATTAGACTCCATATTATAGTACTACTCTTCATAAGTATATTTTAAATGAAAATTAAACTATACCTTAAGTTGGTGTGTATTGAAAAACTTCAAAGCACTAGTGCCTCCACGGCCAGCACCAGATCCGGCTGGTAAATCGTGTACCTTCACAGGAAATTGTTCCAACTGTGCAACACAACTATTCAGTTTTGTTACCAGAGCACCAAATGCTCCAGGATTAATATCCATAATTTTGTTGCTCTGTTGCATCTAAAAAAAAATTGATTATGTATAAAGAAACTGTACTGGAAAAAATTCATTTACTTTACTTACTGTTGATTCTGCGAACAATTTCCAGAACATACGAAGTCGATCGTAACGATTACCAGGAGCATCTACAGTAGTGAGGTAGTTGAGCAGAGCTTTAATGAGACCACTATAATTCATTTCGAATGGAGATATGTCACTTTCAAGTACAATATCTCTTAATTCAGTAAGAGCTGATAACATTTCATCTAAGTCCTATTAAAATACAATGAATTATTGTTTTTAACGAACATGTAAAGCATTGATTACACGTTGCTTATGCTAACGTATACGTACATTTGATTGTAACCGTTGTATGGCAGCAGTAAGTCTTGAAAGGACTGTCATTGCAGGATGTGTACAAGGTGCATCATCTTGATACCGTGACAAGAACTGAGCAGCCTGTTCACGTACCCATGCCTTAGCCTTATCACGATTACCACCTGTTAAACTCGAATTACTCGGTGGTTTCGACAAATTCGTAGACGAGCTCGAATCTCTTTTGTCGCTAGTAGAACTCGACGATGACGACTTTCTACCCCATCTAGCAGGATTTAAATTTCCTAAGAAACGATTATTTTTAGGAGCGAATCCAGTGAAAAGTGATTCTGGTTGTTGTGTTTGTTGTGGTGTAGTACCGCCTAATCTAGAAAATCGACCCTTCTTGTTTTGCCTTTTCCTCTTTAGAACATCACCGATTCTCCTAATAAAAAGAAAATTAAATATACAATACTTTCTATATAATTGTCTAAAGTTTCTTCATCGTATACTTACAAATGAGCACTTTGTGGTGTGGTTACATCATCTATAGTAGAATTTAATTCGTTTCTTGCATGTGTTTCCATCGATGCAGAAAGATTTGGCTTCAGTTGACAAGTTGCAATTGTACCGAACAGTATATTACCGTTCGTTGACGGAGAAGCAATCGGGGATGTGGCATTACTAGAAGCGAACATCGTTGTAGAAGATAGCGATGTATTAGACGGACCTGGCTGTGGACTTGGTAATGTACCTAACGAAACATTAAAAGTATAAAATGGAATTTCAAGAAAATGTATAGGGGACTATGAGTAACAAATGTAACAAATTACCAGAAGGGCACTTAGGTGGTGAAACACCAAGAGGTACTTCAGGATCAGCTAGTTGACGTATTTGATGTAATACCCCTTCGCGATGAAAGTGTACTCCAAATACTTGTGGGAGCCTTTTCATCAATATGCTTGCCATTTGTAGAGCTCCAATAACAATTCGTAAATCTTGGGACGCCAACATACCTGCTATATGTGACGATACTATTTGGTTCTTTAAAACATCCTATAATAAAAATAAGAAGATTAGATAACAATAAATAATTATGCAAAACCAATTGCATTATTATATATTACCTTAAGTAAGTCAGTTGAAGCATAATATACCATACGTAAAAGAGCTCGAAGACATTTACATTTTACAGCAGGACCAGCAGAACTGCTGTAAACTTCATATAATACAGAGAATAAAGTTCGAATGAACGATACTAACCACTCGTTCGTTTCAATTACCGGAGGTACAACATCCACACTATAAAAAAAATTTGTGTAGTTTAATAAAACATATTTTTTCAAGTATAAAGAAAAACATATTTAAAAAATCTTTACCTAGACGAACAAGTAGGACTTTTGCCCTCTGTGGGATGTGTATTCACTCTACGGAAAATGCTTCTTGCTACTCCAATGTCTTCGTTAATTTGTTTCATCACAGTTAAATCTATCGTGTAAGTTCGCCCTAAAGACGAAAGACAGATTTCATCCTCACCATTCTGAAATGCCATCTGAAAAAGAATACTTTCGTTACACTACATTCATTTGATTTTGTATCATCTCTGATAAATTATAATACCTCGATAATTCTAGAATCAATAGTACTAAATGGATGACAACAGTGTCTTTCATCACGCCACTCCCAATGAACGTTTTCTTGTTGATTACTGGTCCTTTCAAGTAAACTATTTACACTAAATATGCCATCAGTTGGCAACGGAGGCATCAGTTCCTCAATTAAGCAAGTAATTTCAAACCACTCTTGCGGAGATCGCGGTACTAGTTCTACATCTTCTGCTTTCACTTCTAACGATCCAGTTAAAAGATAACTTAGCGTAAAAGCTATATTTTGTTGCAGAAGCAGCTGTGCCAAATCCGGACAGCGATTTGATATCACAGAAAGCATCCGTAACACAGTTATGAAATTACCAATGCTATTGACGGGTGGTGTAATCATTAACTATAAGGAGATCAACGATTAATTCAACAAGATATTGGAAACGTACTTTAAAAGTAATCATTTTCCTTACCAGTTGTTGTAAGTTTTGAAGAAGTTCCGCATTGATAATTTTATGCAAAGTTACAGGATCATGTTGAAAACTATCGACTAAACGACTAAATGCTTGACAAACACACTCAACGCTTTTTTTATCTTGATTCGTTAGCCTACTTGTCAACAAAGGTAAACTGTCGACTACTAAGTGAAAGTCATCGGGGTGAAGATTTTGACAACAGTTTGCTGTAATTGTTAACGCAGCCCGTTGTGCAGTTATGTTGAAAAAATCAACAAATTTCAAACAAGCTGATACTCCCCCCTAAGAATGAATAAATTAATTTATAACAACACATGTTACGTCGAATCTTCGTATTAAGAATTAAAAATACATACCGCGTGTAAAATGGTTTTACTGTGTCGACGCGAAAGCATAGCTAACGCTGTCAAACACTGTTCTGCTACATCCATACATTCAATAGATTCTAGTTTTTGTAAGAACACGGGTACAGCATCAACCACGACAGTCGATGATCGCGGTAAAGCTTCCATCATGTAAGTAAGAGCACGACACGCGTGTGTCATTATTACAAAATTATGCTCTATTCCAAGTAAATTAATTAATGCTGCAACCACTTGTTTTACAGGAAAACCAGCTAGTGTATCCTCGTTTCCCATTACAAGAATTTCACCCATTCCAATAACAGCCTGTAGCTGTTCTCCTTCGTCGTCAACAGCTTGTAAACCCGCCAAAAGCTGTTGGGCTTTAGCAGCTGAAATCGTATAATTATTTCATATACATATATGTTTTCAATTACCATTACTCTTGGTTAATTTTATAAAAAAGGAGAAAGTAATACCAGAACTTGCACCCATGCTTCTATTTAATAAATGTTGCATTCTTGGTCCTAATGCACCAAACACGTGTGGAGGCAAGCCTCTAGCTTCCAATAATGCTTGTAATCTTCCAACTTCACCGTCGTCACTTTCACTATCTCCAGTAGTACCAGACATTCCGGATGGACCTCCACCTGCTTGTTGAATCAATCGACATTTAAATATTACTATTACTCTACTACAATGAGAACCGTTTTGTAAAAGAAATTTACCAGTGGCAGGTGTAGCTGTTGAGGCAGATTCGTCTTCACCTGTGGTAGATACTAATTGATTGCCAGGAACTGTAGACGAGACAGATGTTGGAGTGGCACTATTTGTTACAGATTCAGTACCAGACATCACACTTCCTCCAGAACCTCCTTCTATCACTGCTTTTCTTGCACGTGATGAAGAACGGTGTCTGTGCCAACAGAATGTATATTGTAATTCTAATAATTCATACTATATACAACACATCGCTAACGATATAACCAGTCAACCATTATTACCTGGAACTTGAACAAGTACCCGTTGTAGAATCTTTTTTATGATGTTTTCCTGAAGTTTTGTTATTAGTTGGCAGTTCTTTAGATTGTTCGCTGGAGAATTTTGCGCGAGAACGTAATATATGCCTGTGCGTAGAATGAGGGTGTGTAGGGTTGGCAGTGGCAGAGGCAGACACAGATGGATTGGCAGTGGCTGTGGTGATGCCACTAGTGCCTGCCCCGTCATGTGCCAACGCCCCCCCACCGCTCTCCACAGAATTACTGGCTGCGTTACCCACTCTGATGCTGGACTTCACACTCAGAACTTGACTACTTGTACTGCTATTCGCGCAGGTTGCACCACCGTGAGATTTTGACCCTAAAATATTAAAGCATTTTTATCATTATGGTAAACACGCAAGGAACGATTTTTAGTACGTGTAACGATTTTTAGATGTTCTAAACTTTTATTTTCATCATAGGTCAATTATCATTTTTATTAATAATAAAGAAGGGGGTTGAGAGAGAGAAAGATAGAGACACTAACATACATATATAATGCTTCGGTGCACATAAAACTATTCGTTATGTTTTCTGTGCATAATTATGAGAATCAAGCATTTTTACAAGTTGAAAATTTATGATAAACAGCTTATGAATTTATACTACAATATTTATACCGCACTTTAGTGCAATGTATAGCCTATTCAATTATATGTTTTTACATATATTTCTATTAATTATATAGATGTATTTATGGAAATACACCTTTTTGTTTTTGGTAAGCCTAAATAAATATACAGCACATACTCTTATTCTTTTGAAAATTATCTTAAAATTTTTGTTAAATGACACTTTTAATATAAATATGATATAAATATCAAGTGTATTTGATTACAGATGAGAAAATAGTATTATTATCAGTTAATTAGAAAAATGCTTGAAATTATTTATTTATGTGTATGTTTTAGTCTTAAAAGGTTTTTAAATTTATACAACAAATTATTAAAATGACATAATTATAATGAATGGAAAGCATAATTAATATCAAGTTTTGCATGGAAAATTTTATGTACTTTCGTACTTATATGTATTTTTTGTCGAAGTGCATGTATAGAATATGTATTTTTATACAACATTACTACAAATAAAAAATATTTACCTTATTAATTTGATATCCATCCATTAAATTAAATAAAAATAATTTGTACTAATTGGAGATTTGGATACAGAAATTTAATATATTTAATACTTTTAAAACTGAAAATAATAATTGTATTAGTAAAAATGTTATTATTACTTTACTAAAGTTAAAACACTGTTTTGATAATATTTATTAGTTATATATAAAACATAAAAAGAAGTTCATAAAGTGAGTGCATACACTTGATGCAATTATTTAATTGGATTTATAGATATTATTTAATATACATATAGGTAGTAGCTTAATTATTCAGTGATTCTTTTCAATTTTAGATAACTGAAACTAAACAAAACAAAATTCTACATTAAATATTATAAGATAATACTACAAGAATAATCGATATACACTGGATTTATGTATTATACCTTAACTGATTAACATTTATGATATATTATGAATATTATATTTATGAATTGTTATAAATATTCAAAATAATGTTGAACGATAATGTTTGCATACACATATATTTAATTTCAATAGTAATTCCAAATAGCCGGAATATATTGTAAAGTTGCATCAAAATCATGTTTACTATGTATGTCTGGAGAAATAATGTCATGCATAAATCAAATTTGACTTAAACAATTTGACCTGACATTAAATATAATGTACTTGCATATGGATATAGGGAACCAATTTAGAGAGCAGATTTATGGTGGCTTGTATTCGTTTAAAGATATCTACTCATGAATTTACAAGAGAAAATTAGGGTAAAAAAATGTAGTACGAAGTGTGTACTCCTTAGGCTTACCTTCTTGATGATACGTTTGTGTTGATATTGGAAAAAGTGCTTTGACAGCAGACACAAATCCTTCCAGACATTCGCTCATCCTCAGGCCTAATGATACAGTCTGATCTATGACTCTTATTTTGGTAATACTTTTTTTCTTTAATTTTAAGATACTTGTGAATCAAAGCCTAGTTTTACTACCCTATTCTTTAGCCTACTGCTTCAAGAAATGTAGGTTGCAAAACACACTTTTATGATATACCAATGAGGAGTATTTTTAGTTTATCATGACACTGAATTAAGCATAGCACTAAATTTCTGTGACATTATTATATGATGTATATATTTCAGATACTAAAAATGTTTTTTTTTTTTTGTTAATTCTTCTTTGAGGAGAAGTATTGTCATAGTTTAAATGGTTTGTATGAAATTTATATGTAATTATGTATAAATAAAAAGTTTATTTGTATAACTTTAGTTAACTTTAAATATTTTAACAGGGGAATTTGTTTCTTTATGAGATCATTATATGTATTTTTAATGTTTGCCTTTTAAAAAATTTAGTAACTATTATTTAAAATATATTTCACTAGTAGTAAACTAAAAAGAATGTACTTTTTAACAAAATAAAAATTTCAAAAACGTAATTCTTGTTACAAATTTTAAACATCTGATTATTATACTTGTTATTAACAATTAGAAGTCATAATTCATCACAATAAAATTTAACAAAGTAATAAACTGTTAGTAAATAAGTGCATTATAAAATAATATTAGTTATATGTACATAAAATCATAAGTTCACTGATTTTTTAAATAAAAAAACGTGTAATTAAAAATAATTAGTTTTCTTTTACTGCAAATGAATGCTAATTTTCACCCAAAAAATTAAATATAATCACAATTAGTATAAAATGTTAATGGTCCGATTATTAATTGGTGTTATTATCAAGATTTATATATTTTTATGCATTTTTAAAGGTAATTATTAATATATTTAAGAGTATTTAAAACTGGTTGAATTAATATTTAAATTGTATTATGTATTCACTCAGTTCACACATCACATCTCATTGCAACCAACACTTTTTAATAAGTAGAATATAAATAAACTAACCTCTTCCTCTAGATGTGGATGGATGACTAGTAACAGATGCAGAACTTGATGACGGTACCAAACTGTTATACGTCAAGTCTTCTCTGTTGTTATAATCACTGGATAGCGATAAATCGTAACTATTATGTCCTTGCGATATGGCTTGTGGATTTTGTGGTGTACGAGAACGAGTCCTTGAAGCAACACAGTCAATTGCTGTTAGATTCAACTCTGGCAAACTTGTTCTTGTAGCACTACGAACTCTTGTACTGTTCCCACTAATATTACAATTAGATTGCTGAACTTTATGGGGTGCCCTCCAGTTAGTATCTGTAATTCGTAATTAACGTATATTTTAAAATTAGAGGTAAATTCTTTTTTCATTATGTAACCGTATACTTTTCCTAAATTTCGATACAGTTTAATTTCAAAAACTATTTAACGTATATTAATTAATTAATTCAAGATTATCATTTATATTTATGCAATAATTATGATAAATATAATTACCTAAATATGATTCTAAGCCACTGCCATGACTTTTACGATCACCTCTTGTTCTACCTTCTGTTTTGAAGGAATCGCTTGGATGTTTACACACGGAAGTATTATTAAAAACTTCGGTTGATTGTGGTTCACCAATAGTCTGTCTACGTCTTTTTTCTTCTACAGTGACTGGAATAGAACTAGTGCTTTGTCGTTTTCTATAACCGCTGCTACCACTGCTAGAGCTCTTCCCTCTAACTTTAGAGGTATCTGCTGAAGCATTGGCCGTCTCTACAGACCCCCCTGATAATTGATCTTGTTGATCTGCCATAGATTAATCGACTCATGCCACTATTCTGTCTACAACAAAAAAAATTTGTTAGTTATTTTATATATGAAAAATAAAAAATTTAAGGATGTTCGTGTACAACTTGTCAGGCACATAATTATAATCAAAATGGTCATAGAATCTTTGATACCGTATACATTATATAATACTAAGAGTGTAATCTATCTTTAGTTGAATTTTAGTGAAAATCGAGAATATGGAATAAATAATGATTATTTAATAAATAATATGATATCCAGTTATACAATTTTATAAAACACTAAAGAAAAAGATAATTTATTGTTCAAAACGTTTCTGGATATATTTAGATAAAAGTAAATTATTTTATTATTCGTATATTTATCTCTTAATGATACAATGACATGTGTTTAATATTAAAAAATTAACATACGTTATACAAAAATACGTTTGTTACATAAAGATATTTATTTGAACGTAAAATAATTTTTAGCAATTGTAATGAAAAAAATATATATATTTATACCTACTTTTAAACAATATATCGAAAAAACAAAAAAAAATATACTACGATCCGGACAAAGTGAATTAAATCGAAGCCACTTATTACGATTAAACGCGTTAAACGAATGCACACACGGATAACAAGAACGTAGCTAAATAATACAGCAGAAGCGATACGCAATTAATGTTTTCCTCCACGGTTGAAAGAGATAGTAACGAGCTCAACAATCATAACAAACACTACAACTGGTATCCGTTTATAATATTACAAGCAATGCGAAATTGTGCCGTTGACATCATAGAACACCTTCTAAGAATACTAGGATTACTCGGTTGCAACAAAGCCACGAATAGACTCGGTACACCTTCAGGATTCAACGAAAGACGTAAATAATTATAACAAAGACTCGTAAGTGAGCAAGCCACCATTTGCTTATGAACAAGTAATGGAGGACGAGTTCTTTCTTCGTCTCTTTCTCTCTTTCGTTTCTCCATTCTCGTTCACCGTGTGACCTCAGGTTGAGGTCTTCGAAAAAGAGAATCCTACTCGGATATATGCAAGGTTCCCTGATATAAAGGAAAAAAAAAAAAAAAAATTGAACAAGAATTACGGAAAATGTTACCTGAATGTCACATAGGTTTGCCCAGGGCATTGCGAGAAAAATGTCCCCTGCCTGATAATTTTTACGAGCACAAAACGTTCCTTGTTACATACGACAGAGAAATGGATTCTGGCGCAAGCACATAAGTCGGTGAGTGGCTATGTGCACAAGCACATACCAAAAAACGCACCGAACGCACTGCCGAGGCACACTGAAGCAAATCAGCGGAATGCGATGGCTATCGGGATCGGGTTGGTTAGAATTGGGAAGCTGGATGACGCTCCGCCCCCATCAGGAAACGTCACACACAGAGTTAACGTAGGTGCGTTCTAAAACTCGGTGCCCGCGTGTAGCGAAATCGCGATTCATAATGCAACAGCAGACGCAAAACCGGCGCGAATAGCCATCTTGCTACACTTTTTTCAAACTCACAACTTTTACTTTCTCCTCGTCTACGATGTAAAATTAGCCGCAAACAATTGCTCCGACATCAATGACTAATTTTTAAACGTATCATTAATTATTTTTTCTAACTAATACCTTTACACTACGATCGTGTTGTATTTTATGTACGATCATATACACTTCACTTAACATCATGCAATGTTGCAACATGCATAGAAAGGTTTAATATAATTGTAAACATTTACGAGTGAAATTATGAAAGTGTCAAAAGGTTATAACATATATTCATAAGCTTGCACGTGATTCATGGGCTTTTGGATGGAATTTAAAACATCGATAGCTTACATACAAAGCATAAATGTATATTCTAACAAAATTGTTTTACAATAGGATGAAAAATGATTATAACAACTTCGCTGTTCCTTATCAATATATCATTCTTAAGTTATAAACATATAATAATCATAAAACTATCGTTTCATTGTGTTTGAATCTTTTACGAAAATCTATAAACATCATAATTGCAACAGATCATAACAGATTTAAGTTCTATTGTTCAATCTTGACAAGTACGTATATATCGGCTACGATTGGATGAAAACCTTATTCAGTAATACCCAATTGGCTGATAAATTGAAATATTCCTCAAACAATGTCAAAACAGCTTGTGATAAATGGACATTACTAGTCAGTCAGTTAAACGGATTTTTCATGCGTCCATTATTACGAAGATTAAAATAACCGGATATGTTGTGATCTTTAATTTAATTTATTAATAGCTACTTACCGAAAAAGGGAGCTCCTCCCTGGAAGTCGGACTCCAGTTACGCAATACGATGCGCGAGAGGACACGTGAAAACACGGACTGTACTGTCAAGTCGATTAGAGCGTCGTCTGCTACGATCGCTCGATCAAGGATTATACAGAACATAGATGGGACATTCTGTTCCGTCGAAGCACGTGGCTCCCTTCATGTAAATAACCCTAAAGTAACATTTTTCAAAAGCTGATTGGTCTAATACTTGATTAAAAAATTAATGGGAATATAATATGCAAGTACATATTTATAATCAACAAAAATAAAAAGTAAAACATAATTTATAGTGTAATATATATACTTAAGTATTTATTTTGAAGGGAAGTATGTATAGTAAGGAACAGTTAATATTTATTTAAAGAGCTCGCTATGTTATGTTCACATTAATATAAGTTATTAAATCTCTCAGAGTAATATAACTCTTATAGAGCATAAATAATTACTTTTCATTAATACTATACAATAATTGTTTTAAAGATTCTTCATTAATAGTTTGTAAATTATTTGTATCATTGCCAGTATTACCAAAATTTTGTTCCAAATTTGTATTAATTAAATTCATTTCTATTTCATGCGTTGTACACCTAAAATTGTCGTAAGATTTGAATATATCTTGCTTCTGTATAGGAGATGATACTCTTAAATGTTCCATTTCAGTTGTAGGTGAAGATAATCCATTTTCAAGAGGAGGTATTACCATTGAGAAAAAGTGATTTGTATCATCTTGAAGTGATTTCTCATTTTTTGAATTATTTTCAACATTTTTAGAAGTTTCAACGGATTTTTTAAATATAGGACTATTAGGAATATCAGACTTCCATATATTCTTTGTTTCTTCACTTTTATCATTTATTCCAATAAACTCGTCAAATTTTTGTTCTTTGTTAGAAGCATTCTGTGCTTTATTTATATCTGATTCTTTTGTTAGAAGATGTTGACCCTGAGTGTTTATTATCAATACGTACTTGTTCTCTTCATCATTCGTGATATTTAATATTGATTGATCTTTTTCTAAAACATTTTCTTGGAGATTTTTACATGAATCGTTACTTATTTTTTGTGTATTTGATATACATACAGATTGCTGGTCTGGATTATTAATCTGATTCACATTTGTCATCTGTTGTAATGAACATTTATGGGTTCTTTGACTTACCTACAATAATAAATAATTTATGAAATTGCAATGATACTGGTTTTTATCTAATTATAACATACCTTATATCTGAAACTTTTTCCACATGTTGTACATTTATAAGGCATTACACCAGTGTGAATTCTACGATGAACTAAATACGAAACACGTTGACGGAAACATTTTCCTAGAAAATAGATATTATTAAAAAAAAAGCAAATCTTCTTTTATTATTACATATAATTATAGCTTTTAATATTATATATACCATTTGTCTTGTTTCTTAAAATACATGTCATATAAATGTATAGTTTGTATTCGTAATATTTAGTAATTTCCAAACATAAGGCGTATTTATAAAAAATATAGCAGTAATCACAGAATTGTTATACATACATTGCACAAATAGAACAATCCATGTTAAATTGTTAATGATAACTGAAAACAAAACATGCATTATTCTAAAGCTTTATAATGTTTATCAATGATGTTTATAAAAAATTAACATACCACATGTTTCACATTCAAAAGGTTTCTCTCCAGTATGAATCCGTTCATGGTTGTGTAAAGTGGATAATTCTTTAAATGATCTGCCACAAGTTGTACATGTATGTGGCTTATCATCTTTATGGTATAGCCTGTGTTTATGATACGATTGTTGGAAAGTGAATGTTTTGTTGCATATATTACATTTGTATGGCATTTCTCCTGAATGTAATCTTTTATGTTTTTTCAAAAAATACTTTGTTGTGAACATTTTACTGCATACATCACATTCCCATTGTTTCGCTTCGTGTGTTTTTAAATGCTGCATTACATGTTGTTCCTAAAATAACAAATTCCTTCTATTTGTTTGAAAATTACTAAAACAAAATTCAATTACCTTTTTAAATTGTTTTCCACATGTAGGACAACTGTATTTATTTTCATTAAGTATGAATTCTATTCGTCCGCCTTTAGCTAATGAACCTGAAAAATTATTTATTTGTAGACATCTGTTGAATGACATAATTTTAATATAATATCAATAAGTTACCCAGATTGTATCCCATATGTGCTACTCTCATATGCACCATCAGACTACCCTTCATTTTAAAGACTTTAGAGCACAAGTGACAGGAATAGTTTTTCAGAAAACTTTCAGGAACAATATTTAAATCTTTCTCATTGATCGTATGTATTAATTGTTTATGTAAAACTAAAATATTATGGTCAGGAAAATGAAATCCACATATATTACAACGTTCAGTCTTTTCTTTTGTTGATAGAGTTTTAAAAAGTTTTAATTGAGGGAGTATTTCTTCATTCTGATGACCTTCATTCTCACTTTTATTACACGTGGTAGATGAATTATTTTGCATATTTTTATAATTATTATATTTCTCTAATGGCATATTAATACAAACTGATGTATCAGTTCCAAAGTTATTCATTGTTGTTGTTTGTTCATTATTACAAGATTCTTCATTTTCTATAGGTCTTTCCCTTTTATCTAAATTTTCATTTGTAGAAACTTGTTCTTTACAATTCTGATTCTGTATCCAGTTTTTAAAGGTTTCAGTATTTTCATGCTCTACTTCAGAATAATTGTGCAAAAAATTAATGTGTTTAATATTGTTACTGTCATAATATTGTGTACCATAATTTAATTTTAATGTTTCTTGTAATATCTGTTGAGATTCTTTTTCTGACTTTGATATTTGTTTATTTTCATGAATTGTATTCATTTCTTCGTTCTCAGATGTTTGATGTGGTAAAAATGTAACTTGAGGTGCATGATTCAACGATGAATTCTGATTTTGAATACAAACTTTTGAGTTCAAAATTGGATCTTCATCTCTTGTACTTGGTAAATTTTTAGAAAATTTTAAATTGCTTTGGATATGATTTTCCAATTTATTTGAATCTGCAGTTTGTGTTTCTAATACATTCCAATCTTGAAAAGTAGTATTTTGTTGACTATGCATTACTGACGAATCAAGGCTGTTATTAACAACATTGGTATGTTTTGGTAACTCTGTTACATTATTGTTGTTTAAATTAATAGTGTGACTAAATAAATGAATAGTAAGTTTATCAATTCCAAGCAACACTTCGTTGCATACAGGACACACAAGAGGTCGAGTTGCTACACTTATTAACCCAGCTCGCAATGCATCCAGTGTTAAAAAACCTGGTTGTGAGCACAAAGGGCATGTTAAAAGTCGTGCACACATATTTCTTACCAATGTTCTGTTTGTAAAGTACTTTATTAAAGCAGTAACTATCAGTTCCATGCGATTTCACATTACTTCGTTTGTGTAAAGCACCATCATTTTCTTAATATTTAATAATAGCAAAGAATTATGTAAATGATAAATGTTTTCTTCATTTCTTTTTTGTATCAGCGAAAAACGAAATTTTGATAAATGTTTAACAATACTTGTTGAAATATAAGTGTACAAGGTGCATACAACTTTAAAGCAGCTGGTCAATTTAAATTTAACATTGTCAGGTATAATATTATTGGGGTTATGCTTGAACTTGACCTAATAGCACAAATTAAAGATCAAAATCATACCTTACATATTTACAATTAAAAATAAAAGCTTAAGAGAGTAAAAGTTTTCCTTTTTTAAGATGCACAAAATAGAATAAAGATTCACATATGAAGATCTAATTATAGAATAAGGATTTCAAATATTTATCTGGGATTCCTTTGATTCTCTATAGTGTGTATATAACGTTCTTAGTGCTATATTTAGACGAACGGCGGGATGTTTAAGAAGAAATTTTAATGGGAATACAAATATTTTTATTAAATTAAAAAAGTATAAAACTCGTCAAATTGTAACAGATAAAACAACCCTAAAATGAGGTAACATTAATTTTAATATAATGGACATTTATATGGCGCACCATCCTTGCAACAATATTCTTTTCCAGTAGAAAGATTTGTATTAATCCATCCACTTTGGCAATTTTGAATAAATAAATAAGCCTGGGACAAAATAATTTATACAATATTGAATAGAACAACCTTTATGATAAAATAATATAATAAAACTTACTTTTTCTTTGTAACAGCTATGCTCTATTGAACCACATAATATTGTTGAACTACTTGGAAGGAATTTAACAATCTGTAATTAAATTTAAATATTTGGAATGTTTAATCTACAACAATAAAATGCTTTAATTACTAAAAACATATCTCTTTTATAAATCAACTTACAGTCTCCAAACATTTATTAACACAATGTCTGTTTCCACTTTGAGTACATGAAAATATTCCAGGATGTTCATGCATAACAGCAGGATCTCCTATAGGTGGTTCTTTACTACCTTTCTTAAACTGTTTAGTTAAAAAAATTCCACAAACACAACCATGCGGTGTTGGAGTAGTTGAAACATGAAGAGTATTGTTTAAATTTGTTGATTTAATCTGGTCATTTGCAAGTGCAGACGAAAGGCAGAGAATTAATAACACTGGATACATTGTTATCTGTGGAAAAAAGTCCATATTTTACTAATTTTATATAGGTAATAAATTTGAATATAAAATTTACATATATAGTAGGTAAAATATGAAAAATATTTCATTATACTTACATATACTGAATGAATCACTTGCATGAACTTAATGAAAGTTAAGCATTGCTGCAGGTTTTGTTAAAACCTTATTTTGACAAGTCAGCAATTAATGTGGGTCAAGTAAGTACTTAATAAGCAATATTTCATAATAGTGTAATATGTAATTATATTCTGTATTTGTTTATACATTATTTCTTAGCAGGATTATTTACAAAACGTAAAATTTATAACTTTTTAATGAGTTTTGCATTGCCTTTTAAAACTATTTTCTGTCCATTTGCAATACAAACATATTTACATTCCATAATTTTTCTTGGAGAAACGATTTCTACTTTTATTTCTACTATATCTCCTGCATAACACGGTGCTGGATATTTAAGATTTTGTTCAATCACTAGGGTTCCTGGACCTGGTAATTTTGTTCCAAGTACTCCTGACACTAAGCCATTAAGAAGTGCACCATGAACAAGATTATTTGGGGCATTGACATGTACTGAATTATAATCACCAGTTAATTCAGCAAAATTTAATATATCATCCTTTGTAATTGTTTTGAAAACTGATATTTCACTTGCAGTCTTTGTTAAATCTGAAGCTCCTGTGCAATATCTTTTCAGTAGCTTAAAAAATGACTTTGACAGCTTCATTTTATTTTCAATACAAACTGTACTTTACAGTTTTCTTAGTGACTAACAAAATTTATTTCTGCTAGGATATTTTTGTTATGTATTTTCGGACTTTTCAATGTTATTTGTCATTGAGGAATAATCATTTAAAAATATTGTTGCCAAGTTCTTAATACGATTACTTTCATGATTTGATAACTCAGATATTCTTTCGATTGTCTCAGATGTTATTTCATCTTTTGATTCAGGAGTAATTAAATATATTAAACTAGTAATTGCAGATAGTACAGTGTCTTCATTTTGTGAAACAAGTATCGACGTTAGAAGTTTAATGCCTTGATTGCGTAAAATGTATAATTTATTTATTGGATCTAAAAATATAATTTTCAAATATAATTATAGTCATTTTTCCAGCAAATAATATAATTTTTACTTACCAACGCATAAATTACAAATGCCTCCTGCTGCCCAACGTACCAACTTTACATTATCTTCAGATAATGCGTGAAGAAATAAATCAATTATTTGTAACTGTCTTATATATCCATAATTAATAGGATCGTAAGCAAAATTAGCAAGATTTGCTAGAACTTGTTCTTTTGCTTCTGTAAAAATAAATTCTGTTATTAGTTTTGTTATTGATAAATAATTATGTAATGATTACATGATAAATTATCTAACCCTTTTCATCCAAGTTACCTTTAGATTTAGTAGTTTTATATTCTGTTGCTAAAAGTTTTAAAAAATCGTAACGACCAATAGGATTTTTTCCAGTACGTTTTATTAGTTGCTCCTTAGTAGTGAACATGAGAATCTTTTTTAATATAATTTAAAATATTATATTATTGCTTGTTATTTTGATGTAATTTGTGATTTCTGTAATTCCTACTGTTGAAAAATCTAAGTTTATCGAAGAAGTTACATTTCATTATATATTAACTTGCTGCCATTAAATTATATTTACAATAGCAAGCTGATTTTCTTTAATAATTTCTAATTTTTTATGCCTTTAAACTTTGTTTATAACACTAACGCAAACAAAAAGTATTAATCTGAAAAGTTGTTAAACTAATGTGTGTTATCCGGATATGACGTTTGAAGGCTAACTTTCGATGCGTTATATGTAATTGTACTCGTGTAGATTATGGTTGATAACTGAATATTACATTGGTAGAAAATTAATTCTATTGGTGGGTAAACTATTTCTGACTTCATATGTTGTTAATGAAACCAATCAGTAGCTTGATATTCGTATTGATCCTAGTGTATGTTCAAGCGCATATTCGAACATACTATTCCTCTACCATATTCCTATGAAAGTACGAAACGTCGCTGTGGAAGTCATGGTTAACACGTAGCCGGTGTTCAACGTGTCTTAGACTCCTAGCCTAAGCATAGTGGTTTGGAAATTTGTTGCGGGCTGCTTGATTTGCAACGTACTTATTGAATACAAAGAAATGTTAATTATCATGTCAAATATCAATTAATACGTGAGGGAAACATTTACCATACATTCGTGTAAATATAAAAAAAATATGTTGCCAAATAGATCATCAACGACAAATACCAAAAAAGATATGTTTCCTGATAAGAAATCAACTTCTAAGCAAATGAAAACTTCCACGTTAACAAATGCCGCGGGTCTTAGTTCTCTTATTACTTTTACTGTTTTGCTACTCGCTTGGATCTCAGGATTTGCATCTCGGTTATTTGCAGTAATACGTTTCGAAAGTATCATACATGAATTCGATCCTTGGTACGTATTTTTTACACGCTATTATATCAAGATTACATATGTTTATAGATAATTTAATGGAGATATTTTTTTATACAAAAATAATTTGATTTTCATTCGAATAAATTAGTTTCTAATAAATAATTTTAAAATAAAATCATTTTTATACAATATAGGTTTAACTACAGAGCAACAGCGTACATGGTACAACATGGATTCTATAATTTTTTAAATTGGTTCGATGAAAGAGCATGGTATCCACTGGGTCGTATCGTGGGTGGAACTGTTTATCCAGGATTAATGATCACATCTGGATCAATACATTACATATTACATTCTTTAAATATCCCGGTACACATAAGAGACATTTGTGTATTCCTAGCTCCAATTTTTAGTGGCCTTACCGCCATTTCTACGTACTTATTGACAAAAGAGATATGGAGTGCCGGTGCTGGTTTGTTCGCAGCGTGCTTCATCGCAATTGTGCCTGGCTACATTTCAAGATCTGTAGCAGGAAGTTACGACAATGAAGGCATTGCTATATTTGCATTACAAATAACATATTATCTTTGGGTTAAGTCAGTTAAAACTGGCTCTATCTTCTGGGCTTCTATGACTGCTCTCTCTTATTTTTATATGGTATCAGCATGGGGTGGCTATGTTTTTATTATTAATCTAATTCCATTCCATGTATTTGCATTGCTGGTTATGAATCGATTTAGTAATCGCCTTTTTACAAGTTACACTACATTTTATATTTTGGGACTTCTATTAAGTATGCAAATACCATTTGTTGGTTTTCAACCGATAAGAACATCAGAACACATGGCTGCAGGAGGTGTGTTCGGTCTGTTAATTTTTGTAGCAGCCCTCAGGTATGTTGATATATTTAATACATTTGTATATAAATTAAATATATATTCTTTTATTATAGATATCTGAGAACTGTCCTTACCAAATCTGAAATGAAATATTTTGGAGGAGTAGTTGCAGTTACAGCTGGTGTTCTTTTGCTTATTTTGATCTGTTTAACTTACGCCGGTGTCGTTGCTCCTTGGAGCGGAAGATTTTATTCCTTATGGGATACTGGCTACGCAAAAATTCACATTCCAATAATAGCATCTGTTTCTGAACATCAACCTACAACATGGTTTAGCTTTTTCTTTGACTTGCACATTCTTGTTACAACATTTCCTGTTGGTCTCTGGTATTGTATTAAACACATTAACGACGAACGTGTTTTTGGTAAGATTTTACGATAAAATCATTCATTATTTAAAAGTATTGATATCTCTTATTAATATTTATTATTATTTTGCAGTTATATTATACGCTATCAGCGCTGTTTATTTTGCCGGAGTTATGGTTAGGCTTATGCTCACTTTAACCCCTGTAGTTTGTATGCTTGCCGGAGTAGCGTTTAGCGACCTTCTGGAATTGTTCTTTAAAGAAGAAGATAGTGAAAGAAACGATCGAGGTAGTAATGGAAGTGAAGAAGAAAGCGAGGAAGAAAGAGAAAGGAGCCCCGGTAGAGCATTATACGATAAAGCTGGTAAACTCCGTAGAATGAAACATGAAAGACCGAGGGGCAATGGCGATGGATTGGGTATTAATCTTCGGAATGGTGTTGTCATTGGGGCATTTATGTTAATGATGATGTTCACTTTACATTGTACTTGGATTACAAGTAATGCATATTCTAGTCCCTCAATTGTTTTGGCATCATATAGTAACGATGGTGGTAGAGCCATACTTGATGACTTTAGAGAAGCTTATTATTGGTTAGCACAAAATACACCAATTGATGCTAGAATTATGAGTTGGTGGGATTATGGTTATCAAATTGCTGGAATGGCTAACAGGTATATATGTTACATTGACACAATCGTGATTATTGAATACAGCAATAATCTTTGTTAAGTAGAACTAAGCGTTTCTTTTTTAATGTAGAACTACTCTTGTGGACAATAATACTTGGAATAATTCACATATAGCTCTGGTTGGGAAAGCAATGAGCTCAAATGAAAGTGCTGCTTATGAAATTATGACATCATTAGATGTAGACTATGTATTAGTTATTTTTGGAGGAATGATCGGGTATTCGGGAGATGACGTTAACAAGTTCCTTTGGATGGTTCGAATTGCTGAAGGTGAACATCCACAAGATATTCGTGAAAGTGATTATTTCACTGAGAAAGGAGAATTTCGTGTGGATGCAGAGGGTTCACCTACTCTTTTAAATTCATTGATGTATAAATTAAGTTATTATCGATTTGGAGAAGTAAAAATCGATTATCGATCACCTTTCGGTTATGATCGTACGCGTAATGCAGAAATAGGAAATAAAAATTTCCAATTAACATATTTGGAAGAAGCTTATACAACCGAACATTGGCTTGTTCGAATTTACAGGTAATTCTGTTAATGGTGGTAAGAAAATCATTAATCATTCAAAAAAATAATACAATTTATATTAAAATAAATTTCAGGGTGAAAAAACCAAGTGAGTTTAATAGACCTAGTATTCCGATATCTAAACGAGTTGTGGCACGTAATGCCAATTCGTATATTAGTAAAAAGGTGAGAGTTTTAATTAATTTATTTGATGTAAGATACATCTTTTGTTACATTTTATCGTATCGTTTCTCATTTTTTTAAATATAACATCATGTAATTTTGAAATGTAGTTGAAGTTGTGGGGGGTTGCACATTAATGTTTCAGACTTCACGTCGTAAGAAAGGTTACATAAAAAGCCGGCCAACCGTTGTTAAAGGACAGAAACCTCAACGAAGAACTACGTAACAAACATTTATTATCTAATTCATAATAATTTTCAAATACAACTTTTATAATAAAAAAAAAAGAAAATTACCGTCCCTTGGGTCTACTACAAACTATACCTCAAACTAAGAATTTAATATCATTAAAAATCGAATCATTTGAAATATAAAATAAAAGAAGTTTACAACAGTTGAGGCAATTATAAAATTGTTTTATAAGTATAATCCACAGAAAATTACATGTTTCATTTTACTTATTACACTTCTTGTTGACTTCTCTAATGTTATTAAACATTGTCTATGTACGACTGTCTCACATATCATTTAGACATAATTTCTATATAGTTACACCGTGTAATGCATTTTTATAACAAGATCACCATATTTTTGAACTAGACAAAAACATATTCATACGTTTTAAATTTTGTTTGTACTTAATTAGTCTCTAGCTTATTGTTTATTCATATTATGCTTTTGTTTGTAAACTCGTTCAAACAAGTAATAATATTTCTGCTATATCTGTGTAATGCACACATTTTACTTGAACAAGTAAAATTCATTAGTTAGAGTGAATAAAAATAACTACCAATATCAAACAGTTGAAATCAGAGGGATTGAATACATGTTATGTATACAAAGTTTATTATATACCACCTTAGTGAACATTTATAAAAGAAATTTTATGGTTTAAAATTGCTGAATTAAAGTTTCATTTGTTCTCTACACAGGATTTAAGAATAAGGACGGAGGATTCTCAATATATCACATATTTTTGGCTTTGTAATCTTTTAAATTGTTCCTGCATTTTTATTAAATATATTTTATGTTTACTATTACTATGTTAATCACTTGTTATTATGAATTATATTATTTTTTTATAATGTTCATATACCACGGATTGGTCATTATTTTTAATGTATATGTTTGGGAGATCAGAAAAAAAACAGTTAAAACAATGTTAAATATATAAAGTAGTTATGTATATATTCCACTGTGTATATTTAATTATCAAGAGATTAAGAGAACTACACATTCATGAAAATATTATCCCACCAACTATGTGAAACTCAAAAAAGTTAATTTTATTAAAAAGGTTGCACGTTACAATTTCTTATATAATAATATATATGAAAAATACAGCATAAATGAATGAACAGCTATAAATTGTACATACATAATATTTAAAAAAATTCTGAACTCTTCTAATTTGTAATAAAATATTTATAAAAGAGATCAAATCTATAAATCAACAGGTGGTATTTAGTAATATATTTCGTGAATAGGTTATAATCTTTTAAATGTCAAAATCAGCTGATCAATGGTAACAATTTTTCAAGGTTACTAGACTTTGGGATGACTTTCGTCAGTTTATTGATTTAACAGAAAATGTTATTATTTAATAGTTTAACAATTCAATTAAACTTTTAATAAATAACAGTACCACATATGAAAATATAGATTGGTTAAAAAGTGTAATGAAATATTACTTTATACACAGAATTAATATGTATACAAATTAATGTGTAATTGTAAGTTTAAATACATATATAATTGTTTATTAATTTCTTAATTATTAAGCAGAAAATACTATTTTATATGAACAAGACTGTTCATAAAAAGGAAACAGATTTTTCATTTTATATATTACTCTTTATTACAATTGTATAAAGAATTATTATTTTAGGATAATTTACCATAAAAGATTATATTAATTATAATTATTGCAATTTATTAAACTATTATTCAAAATTTGTATGAATTCTTTAAATGATATAGTGTGTCATTCTGTGTTTCACACAAGTTTTAAAAATACCACAATTAAGATTATAAAAAAGTATAATAATTAACAATTATTATAAATGCAATACTTGGAAATTTTGAATGATATATAAGATAACATTTTAAATTGAAAAGAATAATACATCACAACAAGATGTTTCTTTAACAACATAATTGTAAAATATAAGAGAAAAAAACCAATGTAAGTTACATTCATTGTATGTGTAAAACAATTAAAAGGTTATGTCAAAATGCATAATGAAAAACAATGTAACGAATTCTGGCAGGAATCTTCGAAATCATGTAAAAGTATGTTTTTATATATTAATACATAAAGTAAGTTAATACTTAAAATAGACGTAAAATGTTTGTATACCGAATTCATAATGATAATACAGTGAATTCAAAGATTTTTCGCATCAAAAACTGTTCGTGTGTGCAGCGTCCGCCATTTTGCTTCCCTTACATCTGACATGTCTTTCTAATGTTATTATCGATGAATGCTGAAATTTGTGCGTGAATCTTCGATCTTATTGAAGTATATTTTGCAAGAAAAAGGTCGAATTGTTCCTGATTGGACAACAACCTCCATTACTGTTGAGAGTAACATCCATTATCCCAACCTCGGTTAAACTAAATGAAACGAGTCCATAAAGGGAATTTCGTGAGCGTATTTGTGAATAGTTTATCTTTGTTAAGGAGTGCAAATACGCGACAAGACTCATCTGATAAATTTTTCTAACTGTATTGTCAAAACTTGATTGCAATATTTTGCTGAGTGTCTTATTGTCTATATAAGGAGTGTACATAACCAAACAGTGTTGATATCCAACATCATGTACTCATGTCAACATTGGAGATAAAGTGCTTAATAATATGGCTTTGTCTTGTCCAAGATTATCAGAACTCTTAGAATCAATATCCAATAATTTGATGTTCTATGCGATACAATCGCTCAAAGATGTGTAGAATATGTTATATGTGAATTGCTATGCGAGGCAAGGATTGTTTTTATCCTGATCTAGCCATGGACTAAGTTCACGCTTACTGCTTGAACCAGGAGAGTGTAGTAATTATCTTGTATGCATTATGTACAGCAATACAAATCTAAACTTAGAGTGATAAATAGCTTTAATTGATCTATATATTATTGACTGCTAAAGTATTATTTGCACTTTTAGGGCATAGAATAAATTTTATTGTCATTTAAATATACAAAGTTTTTGTAAGGATCAACTACAAAATTTGATACTAAGTAATAAGTAAATAATTTTAATCTTTTTATTAAAACATACTCCATGACAAAACAAAGTTTTGTACATAAAAAGATGTAAATAAGATAGCTGGGTGTGTATCAATGTTAATAATATAAATAGTGCTCATGACTATTTTATAATTTATTATACTTTTTAAAAAGAAAATTCATTTTGTTAGTTATCTTAATGGACATATAAACACTGATGTGTCCGAGGCAAATACAAAAACTAAACTGTGATATAATACAATAAAAATAACTTTTTATTTTTTTATTCTCAGTATTATGAATTAAAAAATATCACTGTATGGACTTGGATCTAGGCATATGGCGTGAACTAAGTTTTATCTAGATAGGAAGTTGATTTGGAGAGTTTGAGAATGCAGGTGGAACAGGATACAAGGAAAGCGATAATCAATGAAGGTCTCTATGTCCGAAAACTCAAACATGGACAGTAAATTGAAGTTTTCGGATCGCTTGAAGGCTTTGTTGAAAACTGAAGCTCGTCAAGATGTCGATCCATACATTTTTTGTGAGCCAGAACCATTTACTACTACAGCAAGAAAAAATGTTACAGTAGTTTCATCCAAAAATTCTAAAGTAATGCAAAATTGTAAAAATAGTAAACCTAAAGGAAAATGTATTAAGCAAAGAATAAGGATAACATCTATACCAGATGGGGAATACAAACCTGTACAAGATCATGCTGTAGAGTTAGATATTGACAATAGTGTCGGTGGTGGTGGCAGTGGTAGTGGTGACGGTGAAAATATAGATTATAAATTTGCAAAAGCACTTCATCATAAACAACGTCACATTGAAAATTTACAAAGATTAAGATGTAGAAGGCAAAGGCGGGACCATACTCTATTGTATTATCCTAGAGCTGGAGATGAAATATCAGATAGCGATTCAAGTGGAGATGAAATGACAATTTATCAACATTATTGGTTCTCTGGAGAAATCAGTTCAACATTAAATCGTTCGGCACGTCTTTCTCAATTACGCTCTCAATTGAGAAGGCGATTAATTCAGTTACATAAAAGTGGAACAGACTCTGAAGCCTTATTACGTGATAGAGCTAGATGTTTGTTGGAAGCTGCCTATAAAGATCCTGCGTCTACAGCAAGAGCTTTAAGCAGTTCTCCAAGTACGAGTAAAGTGGTGGATGGGCCACTTTTAGTTGGTGGACTTTGCGGAGCTGAAGGATGTCAACAAATATCTTTGCCCTGCACTCGTCATTGTTCTCGTCACATTATGTTGAACGGAGATCAACTTTTGTTTGAACATTGCACTGCCAAATTTAGTGATAATACACAGTGTTGTATTCCTGTGTTTGATGTTGCACATGAATTACCTCTTTGTCCAGAGCATGCTAGGAAAAGGGATAACTATCATCGTAAAGCTCAAGAGTCTAAACCAAAGAAAGCTCGTAAAAAACCAACATCCCCAACAATTTCCAGGCCTAAACCAAAATCTAGGCCAAAGAAACGGAAACGGCCTCCTACAAATAAACTTGAGAATAAAGGTCCTACATTGGTACACGAGGAGAGTCAATATTTGAATCAAATAAACTCTAGTGAAAATCAGACAAAAACTTTAAACAATTTAAATACCATAGCACAAGGAAGTTCAAATACTTCTAATTTAAATTTAGGACTAGGCCTTGGCCTTGGTGGAGGAGGGCTTAAAGTAGATCTGGGAGATCATGAAGTGTTTCCTTCTTTGGATTCTGCAGAGCATGATTTTGGCAATGTGCTCAATAATTTACCTCCTGATGCTTTTAATGATTTGTTCATTGGTAATTGCAATATTAATTACATAGATTAAATTTACATCTATTCGCTTGTTTATTTAGTTAACTTTGAAAATCTTATGTAAGTTGAACAAAGTACTTATTATTCTAAGTTCTAGAATTGGCAAGGATTTGTTATTTTTCTTCCAGAGGGTAGAAATGGGGAGTATGAACCATCGAGAGAAGAGGAGGAAGAATTGGAACGAGCGTTGGAGGCAGTGGATAAGGACGTACGAAATTTGGAAAGGATGGGGCAAACACATGGACTTTTAGAGCCAGCCTTATTGGCTCAACTTATGTCAGATATTGCATCGTAGCCCCGCCTATTTTAATAATATATTAATTTGGAAAAAACGAATTCGCGTGTGTTCCTTATAATATAGAAAAAGAAATACTGTTTGTGTCTGTGCTGCTAAGTGTAAGAGTTGTGTTACTGACTTTCGTTAGATAACTATACAAATCCAAGATGATGGCAGGGATTGACATATAAACCGAATGTTGAAAGAAATAGTAACTACTATTAATTTAGTATAAACTTCATTGGTACAATATCATACCGCAATTAGATTCATATAGAAAAAAAAAAAAATCGTATTTCTTGTAAATGCTAAAAAATTTAATTCTTGCTAAAAACTAATCATAAGTGGATCACAATCTCATCTTATCTTTTATACTATATATTTGCAATTCACTTGCAAATTGCTTTGAGTATGTTCTAAAAATTTAGTTACATTCTTGTAGTTACAATAGTATGGCAATAAATATTTTTTAATGATGGAAAGTATAAAAACGATGAAAAGGAAATCAATCTTATAGAACAATTTTGACATACTTGGATTTTTCAGGGTATAAAGACTCATTTTTATTTATTTATTACTTTATTCAATTCCGATATTATTTTCATTAACAGTAATATTTTTTGTTCTCGAGTACCCTGTTGTATCTACAGAATATATTCATAAATAGTTTGGAAACATTATCAAGTGCTTATATATACAGCTTCTTTAGGTTGTATATAAATGAAATTATAAATTTTTGTTGATTTTTTTTAAGCAAATGATTAAGTATGATTGCTATGTTTGTTGCATGTTTCAATAAGAATATACTTAATTTTCATTTAAACAGAAGTTGAAACTATTTTAACAAGTTATTTTCTATTAAAAAAAAAAACTATTCTTAATACAATTGCATGAACACATGACTGAATTTAAAAGAAATTACATACATACGTACATACATAGTCATTCATTTTCATCTGCTGTAATAATATATGCAAATAATCACAAATAATCTTATTGTCATACATAATCATAATCATTATCATTATCATTCTTTTCATTTTGTATTATAATCGTGTAGACAGGAGTTCAGTAATAGATAATTGTAACATATAATTAAAGATTCAGATTAATAAGAAGTGCCGAAATAGTTTCATTTTTGATATCTTTAGTAACTGTAATACATTTAAATTTCTTTTGCAGCCTATAAAAGAAGATGACATGCTGTGCATTATTTCATTTTTTCATTTTTTGAGATAATGGTATTTAAAACAAAAACGTTAAGATTAGACAAATATTAACGAGGCACAGATTTTGAGAGTAAAACTAGATTGTTCTTACTAATTGTATGTACATGATTAAATCATTTACTGCCATTTGACATTTAAAATATTGCAACATAGCTATAGCGCTGGAACTAGTATTATGTGTGTACATGTAACATTTTAAAATGTGCATATAATACAAATTATCATAATTTTAATACATATCGTAATTGAAGTCAAATGAAAAAAAAAAAAAGATACGTTGAATCATTTTATAGATTATAAATATGTATGTACAAGAAACAAGAAACACATCTCGTTAAAGGAACACCAAGATTGTATAGGTTTTTGTGAAATCTAGTTTTTATTATCAAAATTTTTGTGCCAAATATAATTGATGAGGTATTCCTTTTTGTACCTTATGCATATGTGTCAGAATGATAGGTTGCAAAGAAGTACATCTTGAATAATGAATGTTTTAGCTAAATGTAAACCATCTCAAATGGACAGTAAATTTGCCACTTGTATATGGAAAGAAAAACAATATAATTTACAATTTAACCCATATTGGGATTAAATTAATATTGTTATTATATATAATGGTAGTAAGTAGGTACATTAATTATTTATCTAAGGACAATGCAGAATTTAATTATAAAACAAATGCATTGCTTCAATTGTATCTATATGTGTATCTCCTTGTAAAATATCAGCATTAGTGCGCATTATTAGGCATTATCAATTATAATAAGCATATTTTTTACATTGTCTTATTGTATTCAGTTTATCTACCCCATTCACACGTCCTTAACAGTTTTTCCTGAAGACACATACATATATTCAATTATTCGATCTTTATTAATCCACATTAATATTAAGTAATTATATAAAAAATAAAACGATCTTCAAATAATCATTAATAATTCATTTTTGTTCTATTTATTCATTTTACTTTGAAAAAGCTGAAGTACTAAAACAATGTATTTTTATTATTAATACATGTACTGTTATTTGTGAAGATCTGAATAGTTCAGTTTACATAAGACGCAAAACAGAATATTTTCTACTTAAATACTGAAGGAGGTTTATTGTACAAATATATACGATTTAAAGAAAAGCTGAGCCTCTGAATAATATCTTAATCTATCGTTGTCGCTACTGATAATGTATCTATTTGTTTATAGGTCTGACGTTTAATTTCTCTAATAAACCATTTCTTTCTTGATTCTTCACGAAGAGTTTTATATCCTCTTGGTGATATATTAATCATCTCAAGCGGAAAATCTCGAGGTAATTTAATTTTTTCTCGAAATGGTGGAAGTCTTTGAGTTGTTATAGGTATGTCCTAGAACATTTATTTCAAATTAATAATTTAAGTATTTGATATGTAAATATGTCAAGAAATATTGGTAAAAACTTATTACAATTTCCAATGCATCTTTTGTACTTCTTCTTGTTTCATACTTTTTTGTTTCGGATAGTTGAGCTTTTTCAATCTCTGTTTCTTCGAGCGGTATCAACATTATATTATAATTAGCTCTATTTTCTCCAAGAATTCCTACTTTAATTCCTAAATCATGTAATTTTTCTTCTTCAATAAGTAGAGCGTTTTGTAAATAAAGAATTCGTTCATCGTTTGAGTTATGTCCTATATTTGTAGACTATAATGTAATTTTCTATTTTCTTACAAGGAAGTATATGAGAAATGGAGAACATACCTAGAGCTAACAAACGATAGTCACAATCAGAGTATATTAGCTCTTGTATTAAAGGAGAATTTCGTAATAATTTTCTTTTGACCTGTAATTTTGGGCCATGTAATATTTCAATGTCATTACTCAACATTTCTTGCATAACTTGACTAGTGCTCCGTCTTTCTGCCATATTATATGCTTTTGTTCTAAACAATCTATGTAACTCAATTTCTAAAATAAATGTTTCTCTCTTTAACTAAGTATAACAAGTTAGTAACTGTTTGATTGCTGCTTTACATAACGTATCTTCTTGTGAAATTAATTTACCAATCAAACTAAAATGTTTACGCTGCAATGCTATCCAAATAACACGATGCGCTATGCAAATTAATGTTTCAAATGTTCTTAAATCTTTTTCTCCTTCCGATTGTGTTAATAGCGGAGATCCCTTTTTTCCTCCAGTCATATGGTGGTATTGAGTGTTATCTTGACAACCTATTATTAAATCAGCATATTCTCTACCTAAGATACAACGAAGATTTTGCATTTCTTCTGCATATTTAGATCTATAGCCTTGGGCTAAAGGATTTGGTGCTTTCTTTATGGTGGCTGCATATTCTTCTATTAATTCTTCCCATGTTATTATGTAATATTGAAAATAAATTATCAGAGCTCTTAGGAATCGATCAACAATTGGCATGTGGAAAAAATTCACAAATTGAGGACTAATAGGACTGACTAACAAAAACATTACAAGATCTTTTATGTCTTGTAAGATAATAACACCTGGTTCATTAGGAGCGATCTTCCGCAAATAATATCTTCTAAATTTTAACTGAAATAACATATATTTAATTAATAGAAATTTAATATAAATATTTCTTTTTCTGTCGTTATTATTTACCTTTTCACGCTCGCTTAAAGTTTCATGGAAGTTTAAAATTAAATATGCATGTGGACAATATACCTCTGAATCGTGAACACGATCGAATTTTTTCTTTATCCTTTTGACTTGTTTATCCTCTGTGTCTTGTGTACTTATGTATAAATGTAAAAATAGTTGAAATAGATAGAAACATAAAAAATTAAAGGCAATTTGAAAGAAAAAAAAAGACAAAATAATACAATTACTTAAAAATTTTTTTACCTTAATAAGATTAATCCATCAGAAATTTCATCCCATGCAAAATATTTATTTTCCATTTTTATTATTGAAATAATAAAGTATTATGCACTTTATTGGAACATTGAAGGCTTAAGAATCAGGTTAATTGATTAAACAGTGAAAGATAAAGCCAACAATTTGATACTACACAGCTAGATTATTGATTATACATGTGTACATGCTTCAGAAATATAAATTGTATTTATAAATAAAGTTTCAGCAAGATAAATATGCTTTTATACATATTTAATAAAATTCAATATATTTCTACAAAATATTTTTAAAAATTCATTGAGATTGTTTTTGTTTTTCTAATAAATTAACTCTATTAATATATATGTATATATAGGTGTACATACATATAGATCACACTGTTTTTAAACAATATATAATTATGTAAAATTAAATCTAACAAATTTGATTCTTTTATAGCAAATTTTATTTATGATAATACATTTATTTCTTAGTAAACTTGGTTTTAGTACTTGATTGATATTTTGGTAGAGAATTTAAGACTGGTTCATCTTCTGGGAAAATTGCTGCACTAGGCAATTGCCAATATGGTACTTCATAAGTAATTTTCTTGCTTGGATTATTAGTATAATGATGTACTCTACATCTAACTTTAGTTTCTTCACAATTATTGACTTTAACAGTGACATAAAATTCTTTATTCTCAACAGATAAATCCGGACCAGATATAGCTTTCTCGGGAAGAGTTATTGCATGTTGAGGTACTATGAAACCTGCATTACGGAAATTTGCACTTACATGCCATTTTTCTATGGTCCACGGTACATCCATATTCATTGTTACACTTAAGCAACATTCAGATAATAAACTTATTGTATTTTGTACAAACTGAGAACTATGTGTAGCAAATTTCTTTCTCTCATCTTCATCTTGAATTAAATATTTTTCAATATTTTCAGGTGTTGCATATACAGCCAACTTTGGTAACAGAAAATGGTGATATGCTGTCAAACTTTTCACTTTAATTAATTCACCTCTTTCTCCTGCATCTTTTACAGTATCCAATAAAATTAGGTCAATTAATGGATGTTTTTTAGTATTTGTATTTTCTACAAGATCGTAAAGATAATGTTTATGTTTAAGTCTCGGATAACGCTGACCTTTTTTCATTAACGGAACTGGAAATCTTCTTTTTAAAATAAATGTATTCTAAAATAAAAAAGAATAATTATTTACAAATACATCAGGTAACTTAACACCATTTTTTTATGTAATGCTTCGTAAATTTACCCGGGTTTGTTGCATTAGTAAGTCATTTTGATTACATAAAAGTGTTGCTGACCGTGTGTTTAGACTATTTATACACGGTCTGATACACTTCAACATATTTATTTATTTACTGTAAATAATTACAAAACAATCAAACAGGGTACACTTATTCTAGGTTAAAGTATATACAACTTGAAGTTGCATAAAGAAGTTGACTATTTAATTTAATATTTAACTAACAATAAGTTAACTATTAATATGACAAAATTGAAAAAGTTTTTTTGGGACTAAAATTGAAAACTTCAATTTATTTAATTACAATTTACGTACCCTTTAAAAAGTGGTTCAAATTCGACAATTGCGCCATCTATACAAAAGCGGTGGAAACTACTTAATACGTTACCGACTGGTATTCCGAAACTTGTGGCGGCCGGCGTCGAAGTCGGTAATGAAGAAAATGCCTTCAAGAAAAATCTCAACGCCGCCTTTACTTAAACATGCTCGCTGTTCATTTATTATATTTTAACAAATTCAAATAACTTTTGTGAACATTCATTCCTTTATCATTCATCAAACCATAAAGACATGTCAACCTTTTTTAAAATTCCAATTTTGAACTACCGGTCGGTCGGTAAGTCGGCAAGTAGTTTCCACCCCTTTTCGACAGATAGTACCACTGCTCATTATATTCTTTTTTATTATTACATATTACGTATAAAAATAACGATATTATTTTCATTACTTAAATAATATTAAGTATATCTTGAATATGAATTGATTATAAAGTTGATTCATATCTTATCAATCAAATATTGTAATAAAAATCTTAAAGGTTATAGCTACTTCATAAAACAAATATTAAGATTTATTTATCGTTTTAATTAATATTTAGTATTTGTTTGTTAAAATTAATTTCAATTATACGTATATGGTTTATACGTTTCATTCAACCTTTACAAAAATGTTTGAACTTATAATAAAATGAACAGTTTAAGGAACACAATTTATTATATGATAAACAGACCTAAATGTATCATAAATTTATGTATATAGTTTGTAAACAAAGGTACTGTAGTTAAATACTTTGTAGCTGCATTTTTGTACTTATTTGTATTAGAATTTAAAACATGGAAATTTTAAATATCATTGTTTTAATAAAATATGGCGGCGATCAGCTGTCTTCTGTCATAATGATATTTATATTGATAATTAAGAGTCTGAATATTTGTAAAACTATTTGTGCAGAAGCGTTCGTAAATTACAATAATAATAAGAAATTGTTTTCAGTTTATTAAATTATGTTATGTAGATACAATAGATTCTTTAAAAAAAGTGGATATGTATATGTATTGTTAATCATCTGAAGTAAGCAGCAAGTGAACGCAGCTGCGTAAAAAAAGCAATATGGTGACTAACGAATTAATCAACTGTTGAAGATAATCAAGAATACAAATGTTTAATAATATTACTAATTTTTTGAATGGACGGTGGTAAAGTTGAGTGATGAACTTAACGTGATTAAAAGCCTTTCAGAGGCTAAAGAGAGGGAACCATGTGCGATGTGTGTGTTGACTTTCACGACCTTCTACTCTCCTGTAAGCAAAATGTGTACAATACCTTTCATGTTAACCTATTATACTACGTTGCATGTTGCAAACTTTCATCGTTTGCGATGTCAAATGATAATTTAGCATATGCTATGTGAAAACAACTTATTCCAGAGAAAGCATCTAGTGTATATTTACATACAATTACTATTATCAGACTTGTTTTACAGCATTATATTGTATAACCTTGCTGTTTCTGTATGATTTTAAGGCTTGATAATTAATGCATGAATATGTATTTTGAGATTTAAATATGTGGCATAGAACATTGTATTAGTATACTACATTTTTAAAAGTCGTATTTAATAAAAAAATTGTACGACGTGTCAAAGTAGATATATTATTTAAGATAAATAAGAAAATGAAAAAAATAATTTAAAAACGTTTGTTTGAATAGACCTTATTTGTATCAGTAACCTTACTTTTGTTCATTTATTGTTTACTTTCTTATCTGTAATTTGTATTTAGATGATGACAGATCATCAAAGGAACAAGATGGCTTGACAATACTTTGTATTTCGGATATGGATACAACACTACACTATGTTAATCAATGGGTACAAAGGTCTGCTTTCATTTGTATGTCTTATATGTAATATAAACATATATGATAAAACATAGATATTTGGCATAGTCAATTCATTTTAATCTTAAAAAAACTTTTGTCCTTACTTTTTTAGGCAGTGTATGTGCTGTTATCGAGAAATTAAAAACTTTGATCGGTTTATACGCTTAACTCAAAGTGTTGTATTATGTTCATTACAACAATTACAAATTATACAACAAAATGGACAGCAAACAAATGCTGGGAAAGTATTATCCAAAGATGAAAAAGAAGAAAAAGCAGATGAAGCTAAAACAGAAAATGCGGATTATAATGAAACAGAAACGCAAACACAGCAAAACTGGTCTCAACAGGACAGAGAAAAATTGTTTCATTTACTTTCAAAAATATTTTTATTAAATTTTCCTCTTTATATTGCAATGAAACACGGTGGTGCAATTAATCCACTAGCTCCAGTAAAAGTAACATCATATTTCATTATAAAAAGTGTCTTTATTTAATTACAGATGTATATATTACCTTTCATTTGTTTAAAGGACGAAGGAGGGTACTGTGAGCCTCATGATCCAGAAGTACCAGCTCCTTTAATTAGGGCAGTTTCTATTTTTTGCCATCAAGGTGGTTTCAATCTAATGTCTGCTTGTTTTGATATGGAAAATACATTACCTGTTAGTCTTGCGCACTCTATGGTTGCAGTGATTTGTAATTTAAAACTTTGGTTAAATTATGGTAGTGTTATTCAGCTTTTTATACCATTACGTAGTCGTGTTATGAAATATATGTGTCGTTTAGGAGATAAAGAATTACGCACACCGGCGGTTAGAACAATGGCAGGTAAATTTTAAGAAGAATAATATACTAATACCTCCATGATTATTTTCTATACTATAGATTAATAATTTTTTCAATTTAGATTTTATGTGGAGTGCTGTTAAAGACCCTATCGATGCTGTTTTACCAAGTTTCGATCGTGATGGATTGGACCTAGCATTTAAATATTTTACTAGTACAACATTAACTATGCGACTAGCCGGAATAGCTCAGATAAATGCTCATATCACTGCATTCAATGAACTTTGTAATAGTGAAACTGTCGCTGAAGTTGAACAAGTGGGTCATGCATTGGCCGCTTGGCTAACAGAAAATAATATAATAGCTCATATATTTGGACCAAATTTGCACGTAGAAGTTATTAAACAAAGTCACATTGTATTAAGTTTCTTAGCTATGGAAGGTAGAATCACTTGTTCAGATATGGATACTATGTGGCAAGCTGCACAATTGAAACACTGTGGACGACCTGTATATGATTTATTGGCACCCTTAGTCAAACATTTGGCTCCTACTCCAGTTTTACATTTGTACTCTTTATTAGGAAAATTAGAGCCAAAGGACCACACTGAACAAAGTTTATTTCTGGCATCTGCCTTGATCAAATTTATTTGGACAGCAGGTGGATCAGGTTATCCAAGAGGTTTATCTATAAAAAATCGAGACATTTTAAGAGGTACTAGTGGTATTGGTGGTAGTAGTACTAGTGATCCTAGTGGAATAGACGGAAGCAGCCCGGACGAAGATGAAGAAGAACCAAGTCCTGCTCCATCTGAAGGACCTTCACCAAGGAAACAAGCAAGACGTGATAGTAGTGATGGAGAAGGTATGCTATATATAAAAGTAACTTTTATTTTATTTTCAAATATATTTATAATAAAAATCTGAATATTATTAGGTCCTTTTAAAACAAAAGGTATGGGTACAGCGGTTGTGCAAACAACTCTAAACGAAACAGAAGATTCTACAGTGGATAAGTCTGAATGCCTTCCTGAATCAATGAAAATTTCTACGTGTAGTATACAAGATATGAAAGAGAAACAGAGTGGTTCAGACGTAGAAGCTGACACAGAAAAATCCAATGCAGAAGAAACGGTCGCGGTTGAAAAAAGAAAGAGAAAAGTATTAAGGAAAAGAAAAAAGCCACAAAAGCGTTCATTAGCTACTGTAGATAAAACGTTGGAGGACATCGTTAATCAAGAAAGCGGTGTAAAAGCTAAAGATTTAATGTTGGATATGAAAAATAGAGCTGACGATGTTTTAAATAGTACTTTGGATACCGGTGGATTAGTTTCAATCGATGATCCGAAAGGTGTTGACGCTTTGGATCGCGCGAAGCAACAGGCGATGGCCTTAGATTCGAGTGACCAGCAAGTTCCAACAACGGCTGCAATCTTAAGAAGAGCTAATAAACACAAATATATGTCATTAGTTGGTCATAACGTAGATCGAGCTCCCGATTCTGCAGATACATCACACGATGAAGACGATAGCGACGTAGCTGGTGTACTAGCTGCAGCAGACGGGCCTAGTGCTGTTATATCTGAGCTCGCTGGTTTAGTACACGCCACTGGTCCGACATTTTTACCATCCGGTTTAGATGAAATGCTGTCAGACGAAGAAGCGTATTCTTATAGCAGTAGAATATCAAATAAAAGTGAGAAAAATATGGCAGACTTTGACGGTGAAGAGAGTGGTTGTGAAGAAGAACTAGCTCAATTAGCTGCGCGTCATTTAACAGCGATACAAATGCAAGCTTATCATCCCCATCATTCGCATCCAACAATGACCATCAGACGATCTGTTTGTCGTCCACCGCAAGTGAGAAGTATTCGTCAAACGGTAACACGAGTTAGTTCCCAATTCAACTTGGATACCGTTTGCAAACCTGGAAATACGTTATTATGGGATCTTTTGCAAGACGATAAAATCGGTCAGCTAGGAGAAGGTTTAGCATTAGAGGCTGAAAAAGCTTTGTGTAACCTTCTTTGTTTCAATGTTGATCGATTGATACCTATGAAATTCATAGAAGGTTGTTTAGAAAATCTCGCTACCAATCGTTCAGTGGTTGTATCATTAAGATTATTACCTAAATTATTCGCCAGTTTCCAACAATTTGGTGCAATGGATGCGCATACGATAACGACGTGGGCAGATCGTGAACGTGGGATGATGAAGCATTTCTTTAATAATCTAAAAACGTACACTAACACAGGACCGAAAAATGGTTTATATTCTCATCAGACGGAAATTCAAGTTCGATTACAATTTTTATCCTCGATATTTTCACCTTTGGGTTCACCTGATTGCTTCCGCTTGAGTCTTGAACAAGTAGATATACTATGGCAGTGTTTATCACAAGATCCAACCTGTGCTGATGAACTGTTCAGTTGGTTACTAAGTCAAGCTAAATCAACGGAGCAACACGCTCTGGGAATGGATACGCTTAAACACTTATGTATGCGTAAATTACCAAGCTTGCCACCGGAAACTATCAGTATGACTGGTCTTAGTCTTTTTCAACAGTTGTGCAATTTGGCTCGTTTAGCAGCTGCGCATTTAGATAGACCTTTGAGAGACGTAGATTCGGTTGGTATGGATTTCTTATGGAGAATCGCGTTAAAAGCTAAAAGTACAGACGTTAGTATGGCGGCTATACAATATCTAAACGGATATTACATGTCTAGACAATTGACCCAGGAGGCTGAATTTGTTTCACAATGTATGACCCATCTCGCTGCGGCTAGTGCTGATCTAGAAACGAACGAGGAAGCTAGTTTACGTTGCATACAAAGAGCTTTGTTATTACTAAGAACGCATTTGGAAGCATTTCGAAAACGATACGCGTATCATTTGCGTCGCTGGATACTGGAAGGTAGAGGCGCCGGTAGCCACGTAGCTATGAACACTTCGGAGAAGGGTCAACAGTTGAGAATATTTGTACAACCAGCTGGAATTCCTGAGAAAACAAGCTTCACTCTTTTTAGTACCGACTACGTTGCCGATTTGAGAGCCGAAGTAGCTAAATGGTGGGACGACACACAGAATAATCAAGAGAAATCATCGTCTACCACAAATTCAAGTCAAAATAACAGTTCAGTATTAGGATCTCTTTTAACCGACGGACCGATCAGGATGATCACGCAAGGCCAAGAGTTAACTATTGATTTCGATGAGAAAACACTCCAAGAAATGGGCTTTAAGGATGGACAGCTAGTATTCATATCTCCTGGCGCTAGTCGAGGCAATGGTACAGGTAGATGTAACAAACGAGACGTTGATTCACCGTCTCTTTTGCCACCACCTCCTCGAGAGTCTTTACCGACTTTGTTATTGTTACGACCACAGTATTTTGAGCAATTATTTACTCTAATGAGAACACTGAGCGCCATGAAAACTGTAGTGAAAGGTGGTCAAGAGATTCCTCATACAAAGGCTCAAGTACTTTCAAGGAGGGTTTGGGATACGTTAACTTTGTTACCAACTAGTCCTACATTATTAAGAGGTTTTCAAAAACTAGGAGAAGCATCATTGCCGGAATTGTTAGATCCTGCTAGCCCGCAAAAGTTGATGTATTCTTTATATATTGTGGAATCTCTAAGTAGACGTAGCACGACCAGTCAGCCATCCATCGTCAACCCCGGTACAACTAGCAACGAGAACGAAGGGGATGCGGATGATAATCACGATGATAAAGAGAAAGATGTTGCTTGGTCTACGTTGTTCGTTCAGCACGGAGGTTTACGTCATCTGTTCGAGATCTTTATGTCTGGATGTTTGGAACAAGGTGACGGTAGCGAGTGGCAGCAGGACTGTCTCGCTAGTTTATTGAAACAGCTATGTTATTTGGGTGTCGTTAAAGAGGAGAAGAAGCGAAGTAAAGCGGACAAACTGCTCGTACCTAAGTTAAGCGAAGCTATGCTTTCAATGATGAACGTCGAAGCGGTTATGTCACGAATAACGAACATATTAAACGAAGCATCCTTGCCTAGAGATCCGAATCACTATAAAACAGGACTTTTTGGTAGATCTCAAGTTATTCACTATACTATGGCTTTACTAGTTTGTTGGCTGCACAGCGATGAAACAGTCAGACAGTATCTATTCTCATCGCCGGAACCATTTGGAAAAACTTGGCTAAGGAGATTGGTATTAGAGGATCCTGAACCTGCGGTGAGAAGGGAAGTTTGTACAGCATTATATAGATTATGCTTAGGCACTACTGAATCCGAAGATGACAATTCTGACAGTTCTAGCTTGATCGTACCAATGTTGAACACGTTATTGGAACATCTTGTAATTGCAGAAGCGATGCAGCCTTCTCATAGGAAACCAGATTTACCATTACACCTACATCCAGTGTTGGACGATGGAAAAGAACCGTACGGACCTGCTTGTAGAGATTATTTTTGGCTGGTTTGTCGTTTGGTTGATTCACTTCCAGAAGAAGCTATTAAGGAAGGTTCAGATGATTCTAATGTAACGATAGACCTCGAGGCATTAGCGATAAGAGTGATCGACTCTGTTTTGAACAGAGAACATCTCGAGACACGACATAATACAGTGGAGGACGACGGTCTGGTTGGTTTGTTAAATCTCACTTGTAACATCATGACGCATAACCCGCCCTGTAAGCAAGGAAAGATCGGGCAGAACTTACTTCACGAGGTGTTTGATTTTCTATTCGCATTGCCGAATCCACGATCTAAACACGTGCCGAAATGTAAGAGTCAAGTATCCAGATCGGCGGCTTTTGATCTCTTAGTCGAACTTGTCAAATCAGCTCCCGACAATTACAAGATACTGCATGAAAAATTACTGGCTCAACATAAGCCCGGTCCTCATTCTCCGTATCCATGGGATTATTGGCCACACGAGGATGGTCGTTCCGACTGTGGATACGTGGGATTGACAAATTTAGGCGCTACTTGTTACATGGCCAGCTGTATGCAACATTTGTACATGATGCCGCAAGCACGTGTCTCGATATTGGGAGCTGATTGTAATCGAGCGAACAAGCATCAGCTGACGTTAAGAGAACTCCAAAGAATGTTCGCGTATCTTTTAGAATCCGAAAGGAAAGCGTACAATCCTCGAAGCTTCTGTCGCGTGTACACCATGAATCACGAGCCTCTTAATACCGGTGAACAGAAAGATATGGCTGAATTTTTTATAGATCTTGTGTCTAAATTAGAAGAGATGACGTCGGATTTGAAAAATTTGGTGAAGACGTTATTCTGCGGTGTGATATCCAATAATGTTGTATCATTAGATTGTGAACATGTAAGTAGAACGCTGGAAGAATTTTATACGGTTCGTTGTCAGGTAGCTGACATGAGAAATCTTTATGAAAGTTTAGACGAAGTTACAGTTAAAGATACATTGGAAGGAGACAATATGTACACGTGTTCGCAATGTGGGAAAAAAGCAAGAGCAGAAAAGAGGGCGTGTTTCAAAAAATTACCCCATATACTGTGCTTCAATACAATGAGATACACATTTAACATGGGAACTATGTTAAAAGAGAAAGTCAATACTCATTTTAGTTTTCCATTAAGGTTAGACATGTCTGGATACGTTGAGAAAAAGCTTATGCCTCAACATTATCAGGAAGAGAAGAAAGCATCTGAAAAAAAGAAAAAATCTGAAGGTGATTGTCAAGGATTAAATAATGACGATGACGAAGGAGAGATGGAACATTACCAGTATGATTTAATTGGTGTAACAGTTCATACTGGCACTGCGGATGGTGGGCACTACTATAGTTTTATTAGAGACCGTACATCTCCTAACAAAGATAAATGGTTTTTATTCAACGATGCTGAAGTTAAACCGTTTGATCCGAATCAAATAGCAGCTGAATGTTTTGGCGGAGAAATGACGAGTAAAACATACGACTCTGTTACGGATAAATTCATGGATTTTAGTTTTGAAAAAACTAATTCTGCATATATGCTTTTCTATGAATGGTGTGCTGATCTTGGTGATCAGGCAAAGGAAGAAGAGGCTACTGTCTCCAGCCCTAATGGACGGCAATGTTCTTCGTTAGTTTACAAAAATACTAATAAACTACCACCTTTGGAGTTGAATAAAGAATTAGAAGATTGGATATGGCAGGACAATATGCACTTTTTACAAGACAAAAACATATTCGAACATACATACTTTACATTTATGTGGCAAATATGCGGTTACATACCGCAGACATTGTTATCTGTACAGCCTGATATCACAGAAATGTCAGCAGACCTTTCAACATCGTTTTTTATGGAAACCTTTATCCACGCTAAAGAGAAACCAACTATGGTACAGTGGGTAGAATTATTAACAAAACAGTTTAACGGTTCAGCTGGTGCGTGTGCTAGATTCCTTGAAAGGATGGCTGGAGATTCGTGGTGGCCAATTCAAATTCTAGTCAAGTGCCCTAATCAAATGGTAAGACAAATGTTCCAAAGGCTATGCATTCATGTGATACAACGATTGCGCGCTACTCAAGCACCTTTATATCTTCTTTGCGATGAAGAAAACGACATAAACACTGTCGGTACTCGGTCATGCGTTACGAGATTCGTGAGAATGCTTTTGTCCCTGATGGAACATGCGAAACAACATTTAAAACACCTTACTGAATATTTCAGTTTTTTATATGAATTTAGCAAAATGGGCGAGGAGGAAACGTTATTTCTAATAAGAGTACAAGCCATATCGACTATGGTAAACTTTTATCTTGGTCATAAGACACACGAATTTGTTGATGCGGTTAGCGAAGAGGAAGAGGAAGAGGAAATAGTTGCTGTGCCAACAGAAAAGTTGAGACCTGCTTCTCTAGACAAAATGATTACTTTGATAGCAACTTTAGTTGAACGTAGCAGAGGACCCGATCACAGGTAATAATTTAAATTACCATCATTTTATCTAACATAAAAATATCTGTATAACGTATTTTTTTTAATATTTCAGACTGGCACTATCGCCAGCAGATCTCAGTGCCGTAGCAGGTGGTAAAGGATTTCCTTTTTTGTATCAACAAACCCGAGATGTCATTAATCTCAATCAGACACGAAATTTAATACAATCTTTATGTCGTTGGAATGATAGATTAGCAATACATATTATAACAATGATATTTCAAGCTATAACAAAGCATACCGACGTATGTCAACCATTCTTTAAACTGTTGACATTGTTAACCGAGAGTTCAGGACCAAGTGGATTACCTTGTATGACTCAATTAATTTTGGGCAGAGTATGGGAGGCAGCTAGAGTTGCTCCACACGGTGCACTAGAATGGCTAGCTTTAGCTGTAACAAGAAGCAAGCTTGCCCATGCTTGGGTGTTACAAGGGTTGGACACTTGGTTGCAACATTTTTTGTTGGAACATTCGAATCAAAGAGTTCGTTCTGCGGCTGCCTTTCTTCTCGTATCGCTTGTTCCATCGACTCATTTTAGACAGGGTTATCGCAGTGCTCATAGATTAGGTTTAGGATGTAATACATCTAGAGAACTCCAACTGTCATCGGAAGCAACATTGATTTTGCATCAAATATACACGGCGCTTTTAAGATTATTGCAACCTGCCAGGCATTATATTGATATACAGACTCACGGTACAATGAAACTCACTGCCTACTTTGCATTGCTCACTTATTGCGTTGTATCTAAAACGGAAAAATTAATGGTAAGTGTAACGTTATATTATTATATTGTTATCGCATCGTTATAACGGAATATTTATTTACAGTTTGGACAGTATTTAAATGATTTGTGGACACTCTTTCATCCAAAACTTTCTGAGCCTAGCATTCCAGTGCATCATAATAAACAAGCTGTACTGTTGTTTTGGTACCATGTTTGTTCTGATTGTCCAGAAAATGTTGCTCTCATACTTCATAATCCGCACATAACTAAAAATATTGCATTTAACTATATATTGTAAGTAAAATCTTCTTTATGTACCTTTAAGCAATCTTTTTTTTTTTTTCAAATCATGTTCATTTTTTAGAGCTGATCACGAGGACCAGGATGTAGTATTATTTAATAGAGTAATGTTACCCGCTTATTACGGCTTATTACGGCTTTGTTGTCAACAGTCGCGTACATTTACGAGACAGTTAGCTGCACATCAAAATATTCAATGGGCATTCAAAAACATAACACCTCATCCTACTCAATATTCGACCGTAAGACTTAAATTTATTTATGGTTTATTTTTTGCTGCTGTGCAAGTTTATATACGAGGAAATATTTCTTTGTTACAGGCGGTAGATGAATTATTTAAATTGATGCAATTACTAGTTGCAAGACATCCAGATCAAACAGAACAAGAAGAAGCTGAAATTGCATCGTTCAGAAGGGGAACATTATCGTCGTACTTACAAGGACTAGACGGGAGATCCTGTTGGGCTACACTTATTTCTGCATTTCGGTATAATGACATTTCTTTACATTTTTTTACTGTCCACCGATGACGAGAAGATACTATGCACTAGTCATACATCACAATGGGACATCACAACAAAGTTACATTCTCATGGGACTTGTGATCGGTGGACAATACATTATTTAGCAACAAGCACATATACATTTATTTATATATCAATATTTTTATAGCATTCTAATCGAATCAGACGATGATCGTCTCTACGTTGTATATAACGGAGGATTAAGTATGGCTTTGGAAGCATTTCATATGTTGCACATCATGTATCACGAAGCAACAGCATGTCACGTTGCTGGAGACTTAGCTGAATTAATTGCCATAATTGTGGAACTGGTACGATGTATCAGAACCGCTAGGGATGGACCGGATGCAAGAAACATATTGGCGAATTGCAAAGAATGGCCGGATATTCTACGAAAATTAGCAACGTTATTGAACACGTATAATCCTCCAGATATGCGAAATCTTGCTATAGATCTTTTAAAAGAACTCGTCATGCTTGTTCCCGCTGAAGCGATATTAATTTTGGCACCATTGCTCTCACACTGCCATGCAGCACTTCAAGAGTCTCATGCCGCTGTTCCGCCTGGTCCGTATCTTCCACGAAGATCTACTCCTCCAGGAAAAATGCCTACTCGACCAGCTAGACCGATGGTTCAAATGGCAGTGCCGCATTCTCAGTTGGAAGCGTCTAAAGGAGTAGATCCAGAATATGATAACGCTTTGCTTGAATTTTATTTACCATATCATGAACTAATTGATGTAATGTGCAGATTGGCAATCAATAATGATTGTATGACTGATACATTAGTTAATTTGAGTGCTATGTTAGGATTCGAAGGTAAACATCATTTATTACTTAACAATTATTAAAAAGTGACAACACTTTATGACAATATCATTTAATTCCAGGTGTTCCATTGCACTTAGCTTTGTTCCCTAGATTATGGTTAGATGTTCATGCTGCTACACATATAGACAGAAAACATATTGCATCCCTTCTTTGTTCTTCCTACACAGTGGATTACGTAGATGCTGTGTTACTAGACGAGAGATCTTCGTTAGGGATACCAGCGATTCATGCTTTTTTCAAGACTTTCTTTCCTAAACTTGCTAATCACGTATTAACTGAACAAACTTGTTTACTTATCGATAACTTAGTTAGTTCGATGGTGGCAATGGTGGAAGCGGTAGATATTCAAGCGTCTGCACACCGGTTAACCGGAGATTTGAGAGCTTTGGCTCTTATCTATAGCAGTAGTACAAGACTGAAACCGCCGAGTAGTTTGTTACCAGCTTTAGAAACGTTACTATCTCGAACGAAGGCCATTAAAGTGAAAGATTCTAGCCAACAGGAAGTAGAAGCCCCAACGAAGAAACGTAAATTTAATGTTAACGAGGATAGCGAGACGAGTGATAAAGAACTACATCTACCTATAAAGGAACTTAACGAACAAAAAAATGTATCCGACATAAACGTTGAGAAAAAAGATAAAACAGAAACAAATGATATGACTTCGTCTGATTCTGGAGATGATAAAACCATATCAAGAAATACTATTCAACCTGAAAATATTCCTACCAGTATCACCACGATATCCTCGAGTTTAATTGATACTGTGACAAGTAACAATTGTACGAATCAATTACGATGTTCGTTAACTAACGTTTCCTGGTTCGAAATGTTGGAAAAGACTATTAACGATTTGCAAACTATTGTGCAATTACAAACGAAAAGTAACTAATTCTGTACGTGTTTTTTTAATGGTGCTCTGATCATAGAAGCACATAATACAGGACTAAGTTTACGTGTAATTGTGTGGTTCTCTAAGATAACAGGACGGAAAGATTCAGTTATATACATTCAAGATTTAGATGGACAAATTTTAGTGCGTTTGTGTTCTATAGAAAAAAAAAAAAGGGATGCATATATTACCATGTATGTATCAAATGCAATTTATTTTCCAAATGTAGGTAAATAAGATAATTTTACTCAGTTAAGTTATATTAACACATGAAAAAAAAGAAATAATCAATTGGAATTTTCATTTTACATAATAAATGTTCGTTGGTGCTGTGAGATCACCTATCTCCAGGCAACATTTGTGTACATTATAATATGTACAGCAATATAAGCCGCCCAGTATTCTGTAACAGGAATTGTGAAATGCCTTGAGATAGTTTAAGAGATACAGAATCGTGAAAACTTTCTTGGAGCTATAATTATGTTTCTATACTTATTTCAATTTATAGGGGTACCACCATAAGATTCTTTCAGCCTTTCATAAAAGATAATAGTATGTTTTTTTGGATCAGCTTTTAAACTATGTATGTTTAAATATTATTTACGTATTGATCTACAAATTTCATTAATTTATCATTGTAATATACTCTTCATCATATTTTAAACGTTTTCAAATAATTAATCATGTAAGTTATATATGAGTGCTTTTTATCATAGATTGTTGCACTTCTATCCAATAATTTCCAATATAATTTATGTGTAAAATTATATACCGATGCATTCTCTTGTATTTGTTGTATACTTAAATAGAAAATATTAATTTTTCTTCTAAGTGAATTGTATTAACAATTTCGATAGATTTCTTTTCAATATCGTAAATGTATTTTGTTATGCCTTATTTTTTTTCTGATATTGTACCTCGTATATTTTTCGTGAATTACAAGAAATCTAAGAAATTAAAATAAAATTTTTATTTATAAATACTACACACAAAAAGCGATGCCGTTAGTAAAATTGGTAAATTGCTCTCTTTCTTTGTAAAATAGTAACCGATACAAGTATCTCACATCACAAATGAACAGTTGTGAAATTTCAAAAAAAAAAAAAAAACGCCTTTATGCAACATTTAATGAACAAAATTGAAAACATATCTGTATAAATTTGTTACGTATGCGTTTGATTTATGTGTACTGCTTTATTGTATTTATTATTATTGCATAGTAACCGTGCGCTATTAAAGAAAGGAAAATACGTATATATATACAAATATATGTATATATATTATTTTTGTTTTTGTTTTACTAACTCGTTTCGTAAACAAAGTGCTTTGCCGTCATTTATCAAACAGTTTTAAACTCTTACATGTAAGAAGAAAAATCAGTATGATTAAAATTTCATTTGTGATTCATTTAATGATTTTTTTTTATTAAAGAAAAAACACAAACGCGGGTTAGAATTTCTTGATCAGCCAAGCTGCTCAGTAAAATAATGTTTCTAGCAATAAACCACAGGTGTTTCAAGAAATATATTTCGTTATTGAATTCATGTATTTCATTTATAATATCTTCAAAAATATTGTACTGTGATTAGTCGGTGAAATAAGTTTCTTGAAATAATTCTCTCTTTAATATTCGAAACACTGTTTTACTCAGCCCTCTAACTTAGTACATCGTTCAAATACAAAATCGTAATTAATTGTATACGCTTAATACCTGCGTATATGCACCCTTATAAAATTAGAGACATGTTTTCGTCGTAATTGAGCTTATTGTCAGACAATGGCACTAAAGTATAACTCGTCCACGTTAAAAGTTCAGGAATCATTACGTATGTTTTAAATTTTTGATGATCTGATTGTAACGAATTAATGAATGACTGACAAGCGAATGTTCAAAGTAAAATTATATGGTGTTCTTGTGCGAGCTATCCGTTTCCTCATCTTAACGTTATACTTAATTAACTAATTACCATATGTCTCAGAGAAGATTTTAGCTACTTACGAAATATACATTTAAAGAGGAACAGGTTAATGAATTAAATGTGACAGGAAATTTATAGTAGAAATATGATGTGACAATTTTTCAGTGCATTGTAAGATAAACTATAGATTTTAAAAAACTATTGTCGATGGCTACATTATAATCGTTAATTAACTTTCGGAACATGAATTTGATAACTATTAAAAGAAATGAAATAGTCATTGCAAGTGTGTTAATGTTATCCATTAAGAAGTTCGTTTTCTTAATGTATATTAACATCATTTGTTAACGAATGTTAAACAAAAATAAGGTGACATGCTTAGTTTTACAGAAAGCTAAACGAGTACCCTGTGCGGTATGATTAATAACGTGTAATATTTCAAATTGTATTTCTAATATTTGATGTATGTATTTGTGATGAAAATACTGTGATTAGTGATAGATTCGCTGGTTTGCAACAAATACAAATAATGACAAGCGTACTGTACACGCACACATATTATAATGAATTTTCCACCAAATCAAATATTTTTAACTTTTTCGTGTCAAATAATCTATTGAGTTCAATGAAATCGTAAGTATAATATGGTAACCAACAAGTTGAAAATAAGTAGAAAAAGAAAGAATAAGGAATGTAAGAATGTAAGACTACACGCGAGAAAAGCATTTACAATTATTTTTAATTATTAAAAATGACGAATGCCTTTGTCTTATGAAACGTGTTTCAATAATCACGATATTTATAAACAAAAAAACAAAATATACGTGATAGGGCGCTTGTGCTTTCGAATAATTAAATTCGGAGCTGATTAAGACTGTATAAAACAAAAAAAACAAAAAAATAAATATTTCGAGCGTCCTATATTACTTTTATCACTTTATTAATTTCTGAAAATATCGAAACTTCTTCGCCAGATTTGTATCTCCAGCATGTGTTTATGTTTATGTATTCATTTGTATACTTAAGGTGTATAGATTTTGATCAAAGATAAATAAAGTCTTTTCATTTTAAATTTTGAGTACTACTTTTGCATTAAATTATAAACATTTGATGTATTTAATGCAATTTAATAAATTGAATATTTAAAAAAATTAAAGTTGCTATTTTGAGGGTGGTAGTTTTTAAATTTCGCCTTAATTGAATTGATAATTTTATTTAAAAGTTTCTCTAAATTATATGTCATATAATTTATAAAGAAAAGGAAAGAATTTTCAAGTATAATTGATCTGTTATCGAATTATTTTGATATCATTCTTTCCCCTTTTCTCCAATCGAAACCAATCGAAACCGTGCATGCACCATACCGCATTCCGCATAAAGCACTCCAAAGTGTTGTCTAATATTTGTAACTTATCACTTTGTATCTTATATATTTCTTAATTCTTATTATTTTCAATCAAGTATAACTCTTTAACTATTATTTTAGAATAATCTTAACCGAACGAGATAAGTGCGATAATAAGAAACTTGAAAATTAAATAATAAGCGCTAAACGAAGATTACGTATATAGAATGCATAGTACGTTATCGCCGATGGATAACCTTTTTAACATGCTGTCAAATTTCAGTGCGGGTCATGAAAAAGCTTTAAAACAAGGCATTTATAATGCTGTCGCACTGTTTCTTTTGTGCTTGGTTTCAGCAGCCGGGTACGGATTGTACATTATACTGAGTCCATTTATAAAACCTTTAATTTGGGCTCTGCTATGTGGTTCTGTTTTATTCCCTTTCAAACATTCGTTAACAACTATTGTACAATCATGGTTTGAAAAAACCGAAACGTCTCACACACCTCTGTTTATAAATTTAATGCTACTACCTATCCAAATAGTAGACAAAATTTCTGATGATTTAGGATCATTTTTATGGAAACACATTAAATATATTTCCGCTACTTTTTTGTTGGGATCATTGATTCTGTGTGTATATCATTATACACCTACTATATTAAGTTGTCTGATATGGAGAATATGTATAGCTTTTAATATTATTTTTGGATTTTTTATAACAACATGCAGTACCTATACGGTAATTTCTATACATTTAAGAAATATATCTTACCAAATGTCTAATGTCAATATATTAAAGTTATGTACTTTTTTTTGCAGATAATTATTGTACTCATGGGATATTTATCTATATTATATATTTATTGGACACCACAGAATTCCATCCATTTTCGTTACACCTCGTTTGTCATATGGTTTATGATTAGTTTATATGTTTCTAATATATTGGGTGCTTATCAAACTATTGTATTTATAGCACTGCAAGTATTATACTTGGTTGGATTTATTTATGAGGTAGCAATTGTTATGGAAAACCAAGAATTGGATGGTCATTCCATGACGTTCATGGAGGCAATACGTTTTACATTAACAAATAATGTAATTACATTTGTGACAGAAGATACGCTACCTCCGTTAAGGAGCAAAAGCCCTATAGAGAATATTAAAAAGGAAATTAGAGATGCTAACGAAAGTGGTGAAATTGGAGAAATTAAAAAAATCACTTCTGCTTCAGCATTGACAGATCCTAGTTTTATGAAATTATCTAAGAAATCAATGTCACTGGATGCAGATAATTCACCATCAATACATAAATTACGATCTACATATAATGTTCCTTCTGGTTATATGTCGTTACGCGACCGCTATTTCTTGAAAAGATTAAAAACTGAATTACGAATGTCTATAGATATGGAAAACGACGAAGTTGATACCGACAAGTACATGTACGGAGCACTATATGCTTGCATTGGTATGCTTCTTTGGAAACATAGATGGATGATATATATTTCAATTATTCCTATAGCTTTATACATCATTAAACAACTTGGTATTTATTTTGGATTGTGGAAAATGATAAGGAATCAATGCAATATCATTATAGAAATTCTTAGAAACTGGTTTATAGAACGTCATCAAGCCCTTTTGCCAGCTAACATTAGAGGTTTATATAAAGTTGGAATAATAATTGATGAAAAGTTAACAAAAGCCTTAAAAGCCTCGGTCAATTCTGTGGCAACAATTGCTGTGATTCTTGGATTAATTATATTTATAATTTGTACGTCCATTTTTATAACAATACAGGTATTAATGCAAACAATATTTGAAATATTTTACAAACAATTATTATAAATTATCATTTCCATAGGTTTATACAGAAGGTATACATCTTATTCAAATTACTGGAGAAATACTCAATTCATCCTTAATGAATAATCCAGATATTGATTGGTTACCAGAACACTGGGAAGATTCAGTTAATAGTGTCTTAGATAATGCCTATACGTATGGACGAAGTGCTATTTCCGATGGAGTAAGACACAAATATAGTTTCTTAATTGTTGAATCATTTTTCTTATTATAATATATACTTTTTAATATAGATAAAAAGTTTAGTAAAAGATTTAGATTCTGCAAAAGCTGATCAAGTGGAGAAGAAGGTGTTAGAGCTTTGGGATAGACTTTATCAAGCTTGGATGATGTCTAATGAACATTCAGAATTAATTGGGCCTACCGTGGATGTCGCAGCGGCCTATTCAGTATGGGAAAGTTTTACAGACAGTTTTGGAAAAACACCTCTACGTAAGATGGAAATTAATAGATTTAAATATAATAATTACAACCATTCGCTTAATGTGTGTGTGTTTTTTTAATAGAATTGTTTAACGTGACCAGTATACAAAACTTTATAAAAGAAAATATTGGAACCTTTATGTCGGTGTTGGATTCGATTTGGAGTATCGTTAAGGGCAACATGTCTGTGATACTAACAATCTTTACAGAGTTATTTTATATTATACTTATGAGTGGATCGGCGGTACTTAATTTTGCTCTCAGCATGGTAAATAATTAATTATAAAAAACGTGTGCAACTTGAAACATATTTTATAATAGAAATTTTCTTTTATTTAAAGGTGGTATTCTTCACGACGCTGTTTTATCTTCTTAGTTCTAGCAATAAAACTTACAGACCCATCGAATTTACTACGGTGTTTAGTCCTATTAGTTGTCATAGGTAAATTTTTTAATTTCTTACTTATGATATTTTATATCGTTGTATTATAGAATTTTTTATCAAATCTATTTTCTGTATTAACAAGCACTCTTCATATCGAGGGGTATGTTGAACTATGCATAACAATGAAACTATAGTGCCACATTAATTGGAATAGACAAAAAAATACTTTTATATTTTTGTAGATTTGCTATTGCATTACAAGAAGCAGTAATTGGAGTATTTGCTGCAACATTTAAACTTGCTTCTTTCTTTGGCATGTGGACGTGGTTTATACATAACTTATTCCAAGTAAAAATTGTTTACTTACCATCAACTTTTGCAACTATACTTGGTGCTGTACCATTTTTGGATGCATATTTTGCTTGCATCCCGGCTACTCTGGAACTTTGGTTTACTCAAGGACCTATGATTGCAATTGTATTTTTTATGTTCCACTTTCTTGCTTGTAATATTGTTGTAACTGAATTCTACAAAGAAATTAAAGGGTATTTGATTTTTTTTACTTCTCGATTTTTCTTCTTCGATTACTATTGATCTAACTAAAACATTTTTCATTATAGTGGTGGACATCCATACCTTACTGGTCTTTCAATCGCAGGTGGAATATTTTGTTTGGGAGTAGAAGGAGCAATATTTGGTCCTTTATTACTATGCTGTATAATGGTAGCAATCAATTTAAGCCGTCGTTATCTTCAGTCACCGTCAGAAGTTATGCCCGCCTATCCTGAAATTAAACATTAACGTTAGAAAAAAGTTGTTCTATCCATAAGTAATTAGTAGCAAAAAGTTAAAAGATCTGCGCAACGAAATTCGAATTCATACAGTTATATTACTAAATGCTAACATTTTACTAATTCTTAGATGAAACTAATAATACAAAGTCTGATTCTTACAAATCCTATTTAAAAATACCCATTTCCCTAGGTATGTATTTTGAAAAATGATAGCTTTATCTAGTCTTTGAGAGCATTCATTAACAAAAAAGTTTATATAATAATCGCTTTTTTTTTATTAATATTTTACAAAAATGAGATTAAGGAAAGTTGATAGAATATATGATAAAAAATTTCAGCTTACGCTTATTAATATAGGAATACTGTTATATCCATTTACAAGCCTAATCTTTCACAATTTTTAATATTATATATAGATATAAAAATTCAATAGAAGATAATGATAATATCTTCCATGTTTAAAGCTTGCAATTGTTAAGATGTTTTTTTATAAAAAAGATACATATACATGTATATATGTATATAACAAATGTGTGTATATCTTTAATTGTGTTAATTATAAATATTGTATATAACTCGTTTGTTTTGATATATAAAATAATATACTAACTTCAGTATTATTAATCTTTTATTTTGCTTAAAAAAGTTTTACATGTAATTAAACAACGATCAATAAACTTAATTAAGATTCGTTAATACATAAAGATAAATTTACTAGTTTACAACCAACATGTCAAATTTGGTGTACTTAGCAATTAGCATAATTTTGATTATACTTAGTGTTCTTGTTGGATTCGAAATTTATTTACATCATGATATATATTTCCCTCAAAGCCACTAAACCTTAATAAGGAATCTTTAATTAATTACAGTAAAATTGACATCTTCTTATTTATATTTATATCAGAAAGAGTAGTAATGTTTAAATTTTCTTTAAATATTTTTGGTGTAATTGCTTCACATGCATGGAAGATGATCTTTTTATTACTTTCAAACATATGAAAACCATTTTCTGAGAAATGACCACAAATATTGCTCGTCTCCAACCATACAAAAAATGTTATGTTGTTTGTAGTTAACTCAAACTCGATGTCTGGATAATTAAAATATTTTCCAGGTAAATGATAATTGTTCACTGTGACCTAAAATAAGATTTCGAGATGAAAACGATTAATTTTCTATTTGTTTTTTGTAGATTCAAGTATAGACTTACAGAAACATTTGCAATTGGTAATGCAGCAGTTTTGAAAACACCAGTTGGATATATGTAATTCCTTGGAGCTATTTCAGATCCAGTTTTGTCCTTTAAGGTAAGTGTCGTAATGCAATTATTTTTGCCACTATTACCATATTGACATTCGCTAAGTAATGTGGAGTTCAATATCCATGAATGTTTAAGTAAATTTTGATGAATTTTTGTTACTGCATTTGCTTTCTAGAAAATATTCATAAATAAATTACATCAATCATCCTCCTTTTTTATATACATAGATTAATATACATTTTTATTATGTACTTACTATAGTTATGTTATAGTAAGTATATGATTTTATGGGTTTCATATTATTTGTTGTATAAAGATTCACTTCCAAAGTAGTATTTGTTATTGGATGTAATTTGTCAGAAACGATATAAAATGAAAGATCCATATTTCTAACATAATAAGTAACTATAATAGGTGCAAAAAACTCTGCAGCATAATAATGAAGCATCTTCCATCGTCCATTAATATCTGAAAACAATATTATTGATATGATATTAGTGATATTGAAATAAATTTAGATTTCATATATAATTACCTATAGAAGACCAAGATGGAGCTTGCCAAACATCGTTTAATTGCCAATATAAAGCACCCATTGTCATTCCTTCTCCAATTTCGTTTAATTCCGACATTGATTGTCGGTAGAACTCTGTTTGTATTTTTACAGATACTGCCTGATTAATCTGACTTAAATATATATAGTATATAAAATCAGTTACGTTATTTTGAGTCTCAGGTAATTTAAAATTCTGGGAAATAAGAGTCTTTAAATATGATATTCCTAATGGCAAGTGTTCACGATGTTTCATAAAGTCACTGTCTAAATTTAAATCATCCAATTTTTCTACAACTGGTAACATAGTATAAATTGATGGCAGTGATTGAAATCCATATTCGGATGAAAATCTTGAACGGGGATATTGGTGTACATCCCATCCATTATTGATATAATTGTAGTAATGAACTAAAACAATAATATATGTATCTTAGTTAAAAGTACACTCTGTTTCCATGCTGAAATAGAAGAAATATATTTTACCATCTCCATAGAAATTTGAATATGGATCTTCTCCAATATAATTATACTGCTCTGTATATAATCCATTGCTAGGACTAGATTCTACAAAGGGTCGCGTTAAATCTAATTGATTCACTGTCTTTTTGATCACATCTACATAAAGTTTGATATAATCGGTTTTGTATACTGGTTTAGTTCCAGTTCCATACCAATTTCCATACAAAGCTGCCTCATTTTCATTGTTTCCAGCCCAGACAACAATGCTGGGATGATTTTTTAATCTTCGTACATTTTGTATTACTTCTTCCTTAACTGATTTAAGAAATTCTGGTGCAGTAGGATACATTCCACATGCAAACATAAAATCTTGCCAAATCATGATTCCATATTTATCAGCCAGATCATAAAATAATTCAGATTCATATAGACCACCACCCCATACTCTAAGCATATTCATATTTGCTTGTTTAACAGATGTTAATAAATGTTCAATTGTTTCTGGTTTAGCACTTAGCTCAGGAAAGATGCTAGCTGGAATGAAATTGCTACCCTTTGCAAACATTGGTACACCATTTATTTGAAAATAAAAGCTCAATCCCTTCTCAAGAGGTTTTTGTACAAGTTCTACTGTTCTGAATCCAATTCTAACTGTTTTCTTCTTTATATCAGTAGGTGTAAATGCAGTTATATTTAATGAATAAAGAGTTTGATTGCCATAACCATTTGGCCACCAGTTATCTATAAATTTCTATAACATGAAATAATAACGTATTAAATTAAAAATAAATACAAACAATAATATGTTTCAATATTAATAACTTACTGTAGGGACTTTAAGAAGAACAGTTGTTTCTAGATGTTCATTTTTCGTACTTATATCAAAATTAGTAGAATTATAAACGCTTAATTGTTCATTGATACGAAGTACGGAAAAGATATGACAAGGTATAGGTTGATCACTTTTTTGAGAAGTACTATCAATTAATACTGTTATTACAATGTTCCAAAAATCTTCCTCTTTATAAATATCTGTTGTAACATCAGTGATATAAATCTCATTTATGGGAATTAATTCTACACCTTTCCTAGAATATTATTCAGTTGATATGTGATAATAGATCATATGTGCAAAATGAATGAATTGGATATACCATATGCCCATTGATGGAAAGGCTGGACCCCAGTCCCAAGAGAAACTTGCTTGCATTTTTCTTATGTGATTTACATGACATTCTCCATTGTAATCATTTGGAACACATACTGGGGGAATAATGTATTTTGATGCTTGTTCATTGTATAATGATTCAGCTATTTTAACAGCAGAAGAAAAGGAAACTTGTAGCAAATTTTCTCCCTTCTAAAAATAAATGTAAAATCACGAATTCTGTATAAGTATTTATAAGAAGTTGAATTACTTACTTTTAAGTAATGTTTTACATCAAATGTATATTGCAAAAACATATTTGATGTTTCTGCAACTTTTTCATTATTTAAAAAAATTGTAGCAAATGTATCCACACCATGAAAGATGAGTATTACTTTAGGGGCACTTAGTAAAGCATCATTAACTGTGATATAAATTTTAGTGTCAGTATCAGTTTGTGTAGTCTTATATGAAAAATATTATTAAATAATTACCATAAAAATTTTTATTATAGATAACTGACTGATTACCAACCCAACGATTTTTTATATCATTATTTGTAATAAAATTGTCTGGTATAATATTTGCTTTATTCAAATCTGTATATATTCCACCTGGTACAGTTGCAGGAAATGTAATCTCTACAAAAATAATATATTATTGAGAATATTGCAATTTGTTACACTCAATTTTTGTTCATAGAAATTCTTACCATCCCTTTTGTCATGAGCCATAATTTTACCTAAATAAAATGTAATAATATAATAAATCTGATAAAAAATTATTGAATATAATACATTTACTAATACCTATCCATGATCCATCTAAGGTTATGGATAAAACACTATTATTAATTACAAATATTCCCAACAAGAACTGGAAAACTATCTTCATAATGTTTGCTTTTGAGAATAATGTTATATGAACTGGATACTCCTCCTAGCTTTGTAATTTTATGGCAATTATTTTTACAAGCTCTGTATATTTATAACATAGATTTAAACTGTATTAAATATCTTATCTTGTTTGTTTCAACTGTGTATTCATGATCTTGCTTATCATAATAGATTGAAATATATTACTTTGAGATCTTGATTTTTAATATCAGAATGATTATCAAAAGGATAATTTGTTTTCAAAAATTATTATGAAATTTCTTTAATTGGTTTAAGATAAATTAGATCAAAATATATAAATATAGTAATTTATTCAAAAATTAGAATTATTACTCATATAAAAATACATTTTATTATATAGTACAAATATGTGACTTACAAAAGGTGAAATCAATACAATTAGGTATACATTTGCTTCAAATGCATACTGCACGTATTTTAACAAGAACTTGTAATTCATTAAATTATTTAAGTTTTCTGTGCGTATATTTTAAATCAGTTCCATAAGTATATATAAAAATATCTACTAATTTTTTTAATGACCCAAAATTTATCAATTTAGCTTCTATCTTGTTATTACAATTTGATTTCTAGAAGCATTTTAATTCAATTTTAACATGAAGTAATAAATAAGTTTATAACAAAAAAAGGGATAATGACACATGTAAAGAGTTGCAAAACACGGAATGTTATGACACATATAAAAGATACTAATTAGAATTTGTATTCTATATCCTTTTTTCTAACGAAAAGCTTAGATTTTATGCTTCGTATTATGATTGTATCTCTTTTATGCTGCATTTAAATGATATAATATTATCATTACAGCAATACACAATTTTTGTTATTAACAAATAAAAGCATATCTACAATATAGAGACAGAAGTAATATCTATTAACGTTTTCGTTTTTTACTGGAATGTGTTTGTGTTTTGTTATTTGAAAGAAACTGTTTTCTGTAATCTATATATGAATCAGTTTGTTCACTAATTGGCCGATAACAACGAATAGGCGAATTAGGGACGTTGTTAATGTCAGCACTTGTATGCTCTGAAAAAAATGTATCGTTAACTTATGCAAAGTATGATTCTATTTACAAAAGTGTAATAATTTTGAAAAATTAAGAAAAAATAAATACCCTGAACCGATTGTTCTTCATGTCTTAGTAAACATTTATTAACATGGTCTTCATAATCTATTCCACTAGTTGTTTTAAACTTTGAACAAACATTACATTCAAGAATTTCAGAGTTATTACTATTCATTGGTATCGTTTTATTTTTTAAATGTGAAGTATTTTCATATTCGTTTTCAGTTATATATTGTTCACATCCAGCAGCATGTGTTTCTATTTCATCAGTCGGAAAAGATTTATTACATATAGGACAGTCTATATTATTTGTTGAATCATTCTCTACAACTTCCACGCCTTCAATTTCAAAAGTATCATTGTCCTTGAAAGAGTAATGCATATATTATTTAAAATAATATACATATTATTCTTTTTTTTTTTAATGTAAAAAAATGTTACCTGCAACAATTCGTTTTCCTCCATTGTTTCATAAAGTTTATTTCCATCTTGTATGTTTTCTAATGTTTCTTTATTATTTTTGTTATTTTTCTTTTGATACTTCATATCTACTACATTTTTCCATTTTTTGCTCTTTTCTTCTCTGAACTTCTCTTCCTCTTCTTTTTGTTTCTCCCTTTTTTGCATTTCATTAACTTGTTTTTTATAAAATTTTTCTCTCTTTTTCCTTTCTTCAATTTCTTTTCTTTTAGCCTCTTTTTCTACAACTTCTATTTGTTTTTGTTCGTCAAGCTTAATTTGCTCCAAAACCATACATTGGTTCTTTAATCTTCGTGAAAGACCTTTAATTGGTAGTGGTTTAATTTTTACATTCTCTAATGTTGTTTTAATATTATCACGGATATTATCCTTTTCTAATTCTATAAGAATTTCTTCATCAGTAAGTATATTATTATTCTCTTTGGACGTTGAACTTATGGCACTTTGCGTTTCACTGCTACTATGTGCTAATGAACAGGTGGGCGTTACGTTAGTATGTTCCTTCTTTTTATTAATAGTTTTTCTAACATTTGGAGGCATAATTCTTCTTGGATATAAGGGCACTAATTCCGGAGATAAACGTTCCTCGGCTTTTCTTGTAGGTTCTATTTCACAATTATCAATTTCTACATTATCAAAATCTTTGTTAACATTATCATTGGTTAAATTTTGATCGTTTTCACCGCTGATAACAGGGCAGTCATCTCTGTACGAATACAATACTTTGTTTATGTCTTCCTGTGATCGAATTTTCGGTCTTTTAACTATTTTCTCATCTTCATCATTGCTACACTGTTCTGTATTAGAAGAAGACAAAACCAAAGTTGATTTACGTTTATTAGCTCGTTCACTATTACGTTTGTTCGTGTTTTCCATTTGATTTTGTTCAGTCTTACTATTTGTTAATAATTTTCTATTCGAACTATCTTTAGTAAGCCCCACCTACAGAAATGTTGAAAGAAGGATTAGAATTATATCAGATAAAATAAAATGGACAACTACTCTATTGTTTTTCTTTTTTTTACAGAAATACGATTTATTCAAAAATTGTTTGTTGCTTACAATTTTAATTACTGTTCGTTATAAACACTTATGTATACATGTGTTTGTATAGATGCAAAATTTACAACTTTCATAAGAAACATCAATCATGAACTTGAATTATATCTTTATACAAAGCATTAATTATACTTCTCTTGAATTTTCTTATCAACGTATATGCAAATAAAAAATATGCAAATTGGATCAGTAAAGATATCTACAATATATTAGTTAAATTTTATCACAACTGTGATCTCACTAATTATAAAAAAAAATATATCGAATAGTTTTTACACCAATGTTACATCAATAAATGATTATACACTTTACTGGAAAAAATAGTTTAACTAAAAATGTAAACTCAACAAGTAGGTATGCTTACGATTAACTGTAATATTCATGGCACAATGTTGCATTAAGAAAATTGTAATTATATATTTTAAAAAACCTGTGTTTTCTGAGATTCATTAATGATACGATCTGTATGAAATGGATTGTACGGAGGTACCCACCTGAATGGGTGACCCCCACTGAAACTTAGTATCGGTAGTACGATGCCAACTATGCCACAATTCTGCCGTTTCTTTCAAATGAATGTTTAATGCAGGCAGTAATTTTTCAAGCATCTCGGGTGTCCGTGCTTCTTTGCATAATCTAAATGGCATGCGATCTTGAACAACAGGCCGATTCGGTTCTTGCAAAGGCACATCATTTTCGCTAACATACGAATCGAGTGGATTAATTTGCCAGCTATCCAATTTCTGCTCGCATTCAGAATGTGTATCCATTTTCATTTGTATACTATTTATAATATCAGAATCTTGTAAAGAGCTTTTTGACTTCAATGAAATATATCTATTCATGTTATGAATATAATTATCTCTTGTATTTGAATTATCTTGTAATTTAACAAACATATTTTCAGCGTCTACATTTTTGCTTCTGTACATAGAGTTTCTTGATTCATTCATGACAGGTTCAAGATCAGGACTGCTACAACCATGAGCAAACATTTGTTCTCTTATGGGAGATGCACGATTAGGTCTATACGAATGTATTGATTGAGATGTATCGTTATGTTCTTGAATTTCCAATTCTTGAGTTAAATTTGTCTTGGGCATTACATCTCGGGTACAATTATTAGGAGAATGTAATAACTCCTAAAAATTATAAGGGTAAAAATTACACGTTTTGTTAAAATGTTTATCTTTCACTTTTTATCACAAGTGAACAACAAGTAAACTATTAACTGATTTTCAATAAACTAACCTTTCGTACATTTTTTTCATCATTTGACATATTTGCCATATTTTTAGATTCATTTATAACACCTAGAATTTGTTTCATATGCTTGTATGTATACCCTGTTTCATACATCTTCATATCTACAACATAAATAGCCCTTTCTTTTTAAATGTAGTACTTTATAAAAAGCAAAAGTTATTGTATTACTATAACTATAGAAACTATAAGATTAATTACATTAATAGATAATAGATTTTTGATAAAAAAAATTATAGTTTATTACCTAAAAGTTCTTTCTTCATTTCTTCTAGTTCTTTCTTTTCTTTGGCTGTTAATAATTCAGGTTTATCTCGTTGCATATTGTCTGACATATTTTCTTGTGTAAATATAATATCAAAGGTATGAGTTGAAGATCGTTAACAAATTGTCTTACACAAAACAAACAGTAATACAATTGTATAATTTTGTAGCTTCAAATGTCTTTGCATCACTATATAATCATCTTATTTGCAGCCATCTATCAATACCGTTACTGATAAAAATAACGATTTTATGACAGAATTGTAAAGTTTCAATCTGAAATTAACTTCAAATATCAACATTGGCGTTGTAACGAAGTATCGATACAATATAGAACAATAAGCAATTCAGATTTCTCAATCATTAAGGTGATGCGAGCGTCGAGGCTGAACTTCGAATTCCGCGTCGGTAAAACAGTCAACGCTTCATTGAAAATTAGGCCGAACAGAAACTGGTTTCAGCGCCACCTCAGTATTGTAATTCTTATTGCATCCAACTAACGGCATGCTATTCTACGTCACTTTTCGACATTTAAATTGAATGAATTGCGTATTAATTATAATAATATATTTGAAATTGTTAATATAATGGTATACACGTCTTTTGGGTTTAAAGGCTCTTGGAGGAATAAACATTCATAAAATTAATTCCAATTTGTTTTAAATATAACAAATGAATAATAAACATAGTTCGACAAAGGTGGCGGTGAGAATAATCTTGACTAATCTTCCTTATCGACATCGGCTGCCACATACAGGGGAACACCAGCGCCATCTATCCGAAAATTGCTGAAACTAGTAGACAAATGGTTTCTGCTGATTCGAGATAGATGGCGCCAGTGTTTCCCTGCTTCGTATGATCGGTCGGTAAGTCATTGAGTAGTTTTACTCCGTTTTGTGGCGGTCTTTTTAAAATATAAGTTTGTCAAACAATTATTTGACCGATTTCTAAAAAATAGCATCTATGGGAATCAAAATTGTGTCTTTGTAGTTACAATTTAATTTTGCAATTAATTTATAATTATCGAGTGACGTCACCAAAGGCTCTATAATGAAGCTTTCATCTAGTATCAGTGAAATATCGAAGCAATCTGCTGTTACCGTCAACTTACGTTAGATTGTTGTATTGCGTACTGGTTTACATTTTTATTCCAGGATAGAGCAGATGGTGCTCGATCTCGAGGCACAAATTCAAGACCCCAAGGCAAGGCATATGCATGTTTGTATGTATGTATGTATGTATGTATGTATGTATGTATGTATGTATGTATGTATATACATATCGGCATATTAATTCTTGTTGGATGTGTAGATCTGTAGTCACTGATGTGCACTGATGCAGTGACTATAGATAGTCACTGACTGATGTAAAGAAGGCGAGAAAGGTGTATACGGACTGTTATATGATCCAGGGATAAAACAACTTTTACACAATTATGACTCTTAATAAATGATTAATAATACTTTTTTAAATGAATTTTTACTTATTTTTATTCAATGTTTTAATGATTGAATCAATATCTCTTCATCTCATAGCAACGTGATAACCTTATTTTGATAGTTCTGTCATCCAAATTCCATCAAAATGATGCAACAATACATGAAGGAATTAGAACAGGTAAATTAAAAAATGTCATTTGTATTTTTAATTCGTACAATGATTTATGATAATATTTTGCCTAACAATATGTTCCTTTAGGATCCCTTTGATCCAGAAGAATTTGTTGAAAGACTTGCTTGGAGGACAGTCAATGATACTGTGAAAGACAGTGGGAAAACATTTTTTGATCCCACAATAGTGCATGAAACATTTTTACAAGCAATTAAAGATTTGCAAATTCTCCAGGAACGTCAACAGAAGAAGTGTGATAAATTGGAAGCAGCATTAAAAGATGAGGAAGCAAGACATATGCTCGAAATACTTGAATTACAAGAAAAAAATAAACATTCTATTGATTTGTTTCATCAATTAGATGAAAGAATAAATCTTGTAGCTACTAAGGTTTTGCATTTAGGGGATCAGTTGGAAAGTGTTAATACGCCAAGGGCTAGAGCTGTAGAGGCTCAGAAATTAATGAAACATTTCTCAGATTTCTTAAGTCCTGGTCCTTTAACAGATCCAATATTCACAGATAAGTCATCGGTACATATGTTTATTTTGTGTATTTGATATTTATAATTATGATTCATATTAAATATGGAATAAAAATTTTGTATTCCACAACAGTTAGACGAAGCAGCTGATGTGATACAAAAGCTTCATCTTATTTCACAAGAATTGCCATCTGAAAAATTCGAACATGCAAAGAAAAAGATTGCTGTTAAATATGATGAAATTGAAAGAAATCTTATAGAAGAATTTGTTAGAGCCCACAATAGAGAAGATGCTAGTCGTATGAAAGAGTTAGCATCAGTTTTAGCACATTTTAAAGGATATTCTCAATGTATCGATGCATTTATAGAACAAAGTCAAATGGGTTCATTTGGTGGAAAGGATGTTTTCCAAGATGTAATACCTATGTGTACAAAATATAATAAATTAATGCAACAGGTATTTACAAATCCTGAACAGGTAATGGCAAAGTTTGTGTTAAATATCTATCACTTAAGGCTTCAAAAGTATGCAGTTGCTAAATTGGCAGACAAAACAGATCCTGATAAATATCTGAAGAATTTGTATGATTTGTATACAAGAACTGTGAAATTATCAACAGAATTGAAAATATTTAATATGGGTACTGATGATACATATCTTGCAAAACTTACTAGAAATATATTTCAAAAATATTTAGACACTTATATTATGTAAGTTACTATAATAAGTAATATATCTGTAATAAGTTAAACTAACTTATATATTATTTTAGCATTGAAACAAAAGCATTTCGAGAAAAATCAGCAGCTCTTCTTATTGAATACTATGAATCTAAAAATCACCAGAAGAAGCAATTACAGACTGGTGGTTTTCAAGAATTGAGAAGAGATCTACAAGCTGTTTTAGGCGCAAGGACTAACATAAATATTGCTCAGATAGAGAATTATGGTGGAGAGACATTTTTATCAGAGGAACTTGCAATTGCTTTATTACAAAGAAGTAAACTAGCTTTCCAAAGGTGTCAGTTGCTGTCAAAACCTGATGATATACCAGTAAATGTATTACAAATTTTGGAAATCTTACTGCAGTATTTAATAAGTGAACACGTTGATTATGCATTGGAATTAGGTTTACAAAGCGTACCAATTCCTGAAAGTAGAACACAGCCTGAAATACATTTCTTCAATGTGGTAAAACAATGTAATGCAATTGTACGTCTTTTGGAAGAACAGTTTAACGACAGTGTATTACCTCTTGTTATGTAAAGTTCATTTTTATATATGTTACAATTGAACTAATACAATGTCCATCTACAATGTAATTTTTTCTTTTAGATCGACTCCAAAGCATGGTGATTGTAAGTTAAAAAAGAAAGTTGTATTAGAACAAATTGAAATGAAATTAGAAACAGGATTAGATAGAAGCATAAATGCTATTATTGGCTGGGTGAAAGTATATTTACAAAATGAACAACGGAAAACTGACTTTAAACCAGAAAGTGATGTAGATACTTTAAGTACACCAGCTTGTTTGACAGTAGTTCAATATGTTACTGGAATGATTCGACATATTCGAAATACCTTGGATGGGAAAAATTTAAATAACGTTCTAACCGAACTCGGAGTACGATTTCACAAAGTTATTTATGATCATTTACAGCAATTTCAGTTTAATTCTGCTGGCGCAATGTGTGCGATTTGCGATATGAACGAATATCGAAAATGTGTTAAAGAACTTGAAGTTGATCTTGTTACCTCCTTGTTTGATACTTTACACGCTCTCTGTAATTTACTGCTAGTTAAGCCAGAAAACTTAAAGCAAGTTTGTACAGGAGATCAACTGGTATGTTGTAAAGATTTGAATATACATATAGTTTCCGACTCTGAATTTAATTATAAATATTTTTTTTATTACAGGCAACATTAGATCGTAATGTTTTGGTGAATTTTATACAATTGAGAACTGACTATAAAACCCAGAAATTAGCTAATTGTTTAAAGGGTTTAGCTACATAATAAATTTATGCTATTTGTAGAAATTCATTATTATTTGAAGTTTCTTCACTACATTACATAGGTTTTAAAAATAAAAACATGGCTAAACAATGTCATTGTGTAAACTAAAACTTGATAAAGAAAGGAAATATTTCATTATTTAGTGAGTTGTACAAAATTTTGTTATAAAATATTATTTAGTTACAAATAATTATATTTAAATAACAATAATTTGTATCATTATTTAGGCTTCAGCTGTATATAAGAAGAAAGATGAGAAAACGTTGTTTGTAATTATACAATAAATGTGAAAAATTTATATATTTGTAATAAATACACCAGGTGTATTGGTGTGTAAAACTTTCATGAGAGATTGCAGTGTCTGGTATGCTTGTTTCCTCTTTTTTAAACTTTTAGTATGTACAAGCAGTGACTGATTTATTACATTAATTTTTTGTTTGTTGATTACTTTCTTTGATTTAATGATTGATACACTTTTATACCAAAACTATTTGCTAAAAAATTTAATTTTTTACAATATTATCAGAGAGTACTTGGCATTTGTATGCTCTGAAAAAAAAAAAATGGGTGATCATCAACTAAGTACAGGACATACACTTACTTCCAAATTTATTAGAAATGTAATAATTAATTTCCAACGTTACGACAATTACCAATTTAGAATAATATAGAAGAATATATAAAATATAAAATTTACATGTATACTAAGTAGAATTAATAACAAAATTTGAATCAATATTTAAGTGTAGAAATCTTTTAGAAATGCTTGTTACAAAGTCAACATTGCTTTACAAAAGCAACATAATTTTGTTGTAACAGTATTAACAGTTGAAATGTTATGAACAAAAATTAAATTAATGTTTTGATCAAAAAACATTAGCATAATACAATAAATATCACTGATATCAAGTATGTATTTATATCAGGAAGGTGTTGCTGCTGTTGATAATGATAATAATAGTAATAATAATACATTTCAATTTACTATCAAATTAACAAAATATAATATTAAAGTTTTTCATTTGTTGTACAGAATATAACGCAGTTTTAAACTATTTGCAGGAATACAGTATTGTGTATATTTTACATGCCATGAATTTAATCAAAAAACTGTTTTAAGAATACGGTACAAAACGTGGTAAATAAGTAGTATATTCCTTTGAACAAATTAATAAATTTACCGTATATAGTATTAAATTACTACGATTCGATCATTGAAAATTATAAGTTACACATAAGACAATCGCAGAAAATATTCCAATGTGTAATGTAACGTGGTCACGGAAAAAAGTAAAAACATGGAATTGTCTAATACCCATACTTCTCATATGCTCTTACATAATGTTCTGTAAATGTACATTGTTTGTGATTAAGTTATATATTGATCTTATTCTCTTGAATATTGTAAATTCTAACTAGATTAATCAAGGTTTTGGACGTTCTAATAATTCTCAAGCAGGAAGCATCTAAACTTCTTAAAATCAAGGATAAAAACATTTAAATAAGTCACACCATTCATTGTACCGTACTATTAAATTTCATTAAATCATCTAATATAATCCAATGAGATAATCAAAGTCTTGATTTCTATTTGATTACAGTGTTATGAATCATGAAAATAAAAGGAAGAAGATGAATAATCGGATAGACATCAGCGCATACGGTAAGTATTAGTTTCATGTACTTGGCACAATTCTCCTTTAAAGTCTAGTTCAATGCTGAAATCCAGATCTCTGTAATTTCTTGCATTGGGCTTCATTGAAAACACACCATATATTTCTTCGCCTTTCTTGACCGTCATATATTCATCAAAGTAGAACACAGTTTGTTTCCAATGAGTATACTGTACTTCCGGTGCTGTACTAAAGCCAATACGTTTGTGGCACTTGGTGAATTCGATGTTGAAGAATGTAACTAGTGCTTGAACATAGTCGTTTCTGCGAACTTGTAGAGTGAACGGCGACGAAAATTCCAAATCAGCCTTAGTTACAGTGTATAAATCAACTTCCTTGATAAGACATGCATTTGTAACAACTTGCTTGGGATCCACAACATCCACTAAAGGTTCGCTAATAGCTACTTTCCTTATACTACTCATATCAAATCCATATACATCATCCCACCAATTAATCTTCTCATCCTTATATTGTCTATCTTCGATGCCACAAATAAATAAAGTTGCTTTGTCAGGGAATAACATACCATCTTCACGAAGCCATTTATCTCTAGCAAAAAGCACTGTATCTAACATTGATTCGTAAAACAAACAATAACCCATCCATTCAGAAATAATTATATCAACTTTTTCAATGCCGTCAGGCAATGAAACTTCTTCAACTTTTCCTTTCAGTATTGTTATGACATTCGACAATTGGTTTGCTTCTACAATCTTTTCTGCATATTCAACAATATTGGAACACTCGATACCAATAACTCTGGTTGCCCCGGCTTTAGCAGCAAACATTGAGAGTATACCAGTTCCACAACCGATATCAAGGACTGTTTTGCCTTTGAACAGATGTTTGTTATGGTACATTGAGTTACGGTAAGTCACTGTACGCACTTCATCCTTTAGCATTTCTTCGTGAATTCCATAATGGGCATACGAATCAAAATAATAATCTCTTGATGTCATATCATCCACAGAAACAGATTCTCTACAAGATGATGGAGTTGCATCTTTGTTTGACGCAGAGGTAGTTTCTGTTACTTCCATGGATTCCATTTTTGATACCTACAATAATATAAAACACAAAGAATTATCGTTAACGATATACATGAATTTAAAAGTCTAATATAATAAATTTTAGTTATAATTGATGTTACCGAAACAACAGTAAATACAAAGATTTTATCATCCAAAAGATCTCGGTTGCATAATGTTAAAATTAATATTTAGCGACACAGAGTATTGCTAGTTAAAATATAAATGTTAGTTATAGATTTATCATAAATTATTACGAATAATTTTAAAGATGCGAAGAAGACCTACAGTTACCTACGAACACGTGATACGAATTTTGTTATTTCAAATGAAAATTAAGAGGTAATTTTTCTTTCATTTAAATGTAATAAGAATTATTATCAAAGATTATTTACAATGTTGTTCATTAGTAATAAGAAAAGAAAAATTTCAAACGTTGAAATTTGTAGAACACACTCGTTTAGGTCGACACTGGAAAAACGCACACGTGCCCGCCAAAACGAATGGCGTCTAAGATCGAATGACCAGTCGAGATTCTACTCACACATTTCTATATTAACGTGTTGCCACTAATATATGTATATACAGAATTGAATATATTTCATTATCTCTTGACGAACGTATAAAAACTATTAAAAATTATTTTTCAGATGTACATTTGGATAAATTAAAAATATGTAATTAAAATGATTAATTTATTGGTGAGATTCTGAATTGCACTGAGGACTATTATGACAAAAAACGGTATTTGAACATTTCTTCTCTTCAGAAGTTTATGAAGTATCGTCTGTTGTTCGTCTAACGTCGATACATTGGTAATATTATTAAGATGTTTTCTTTTTACTTTCATAAAAATATTTTCCTAAAACTTACCGAATTTTCTGCTGTGCACATGCCACTCTGGTTGATTTCTACCGGCACTTCACTACTCGACGCCATTTTCTTCCGCGTCACAGCAGACGACCACAGACAGGAATGTATAAAGACACATGGCAGATCCTAAATGTTTCTGTCAATAGATGTTCAGTTACTTATCAATAAATTTTATAAGACATCTTTGTTAAAATATTCTATGTTTTTTATAAAAACGCTTATTTACATGTCGACATAAATTGAATTAGTTCTTTGATCAAATAACGAATAATGTTAACACAATATTTTTCTGTACGTTATTTTTTTATAAACATCGTTTAAATTTATTTAAAAGAAATAATTGTATTAATGTTTATTGTTTCTTAGTATATTAAGTTATATGAAAGAATTCTGACATGCATTGGTATGTATAACTTATAAATAAATCAATTTTACGTTCACACGTATTACGTTACAGGTTAAAATCAACATTATTTATTACAGCTAATGACGTACAATCTTACACTTTATTTAAACGTAGTATTATTATTTAACAAATACTAGTGCAATACAAATTTCAACTATAAATTTGTAATACCATTTATATACATAATCTTATAAACTGTTTAAATTTTCTTTATTATTATTATCTCTTATTCGTATCTTACATACTAAATTTTATGAATTATTTCATGTTATAGAAATTATATAACATTTCACAAAGTACGTTGTACAGGTATTTTACAAAAAGATATTAGTTTCTAAAGATCATTCGATTTTATAAACAAGTGTTTGTATTTTTGGCAATCCACGTAATACGTACACATGAAATTTAACAAGAAAGATACACAAATATTTATTACTTGCATTAAGACTACAAAGTCACTTTGGTTCTGAATATCCTAGAATGAACGATTTACTTAAATTGTGATATTGTTAATACGTCCCTGTACTATGCGCAGTGCAGTCTTTTCAGAATTTTGATTTTCATGCTAAATAGATATTGATTTATCTGAAAACTGTATTCAAAAATCGTATTTTATTTATATGATTACATATTTAAGAAAAATGATAATAATTTAACAATAGGAAGATATTTTTAATTTCGTATCTCCGCTCAGTTGTTTTCAGAGAGTGCAAAGACATCGTCCAATAGGAGTCGAGTGGCTAGCTGACAAGTTGCGTCGGGGTGGAAATGGGCAGGGAACAGGAGCTTGTACGCATTCGGGCCGTGAAGTGTTGGTTTCGCGAAGGGGGTCAACTTCTCTGTCTACGTGATATTTCTCGTGTTATTACTTTCGACGATATAATATAAATTTCAGTTTAATGTCACGCACACGTCGGTGTTCGAAGATTATTTATATGGAGATTGTGGAGCGCTAGAAGATGCTGGTAAGAAAACAGGCGGGAGCAAAGTTGACGTAGAAACAAGTGCGCAAAGATTGTATAGTTGTGTTCTTTTTTTTCTCTGCCGTGTGCATCGAGAAAGTAAAATACGTGCTTTTGTTATGTAGTTACAACGCTTTCGCAGGTTATTTACTTGGAGCGAATGTCTCGCCTAAAGTACCTTCGAGGTTACAACTATTACCTGATGTCTGAGAAATCGACAGCCTGTCACGAACGTAGTGGACTCCGTTTTGAAAACGTGGTTAAGATGTCAAAGTATGAGTTTTATTTCAACGAAATACCTTCGTGCAGAAATTCTTATCTCTTGTAGGATACCTCGTTTCAGAAATAATTTATCGTACCTGCGAGACATGACCGCCTACATAAACAATAGCTCATCATCCAAGGCAGCTATCGTTTTTATGTCTTCTAATATTCATTAATATTAATCGAAATAATGTACAACGTTAACAAAATCAAATAATCATAAAACATTTTGAAAAAAAAATTTAATGTTTAAAAATTTCGTAAATATTGTGTTATTATATTTTTTTTTTTTTTTTTTGGTAGGTCTTGTATTATAAACCTTCTTACTTTATGCAAAGAATGAGTGTATACGCGTATATGAAAGTATGTTACAGCGTATGGTAATATAACAGAAGTTAATTGATTTAAATATGTATGTCTTTTGTTATAGGGAGACGATCCACCGTACCTATCAGTGGGTACGGAGGTTAGCGCTAAATACAAGGGTGCCTTCTGTGAAGCAAAAATTCGAAAAGTGGTACGCTCGGTAAAATGCAGAGTGACTTATAAACAGGGCTTAGGGACTGCGACTGTAGCTGATGATCAGATAAAAGGAACCTTGAGAGTAGGTGCATCCGTTGAAGCTAGGCACGGAGACAGAAAAGAATTTGTAGAAGCTACAATCACAAAGATTCAAGATTGCAGTCAATATACTGTAGTTTTTGATGATGGAGATATTACAACATTAAGAAGGACCGCGCTGTGCTTAAAGAGTGGGAGACATTTTGCAGAAAGCGAAACTTTGGACCAACTGCCTTTGACCCATCCAGAACACTTTGGGAATCCAGTAATCGGAGGTAGAAGAGGGAGGAGGTCTAGACAAGCCCAGTGAGCGTTATGAGATATTTATAATACCATTGCAAACTTGAGATGATAAATGTAACGATAATTATTGTTACAGAGATGAAAGCAGCGAAGACGAGGATAGCCCTCCCAGGGGAACTCGTGATTCAGGTTCTAGTGGAACAGGGAAAGAAGGAGTGGAAACAGAACCTGAAATTGGACGAGTTGTATGCGTGGAACTTGGAGATAAAAAGAAAAAAGATAATTGGTTCCCTGGGTTAGTCGTTGCACCGACTGCTCAAGATACAGTGAGAATTCGAGTTAGGGATGACTATCTTGTGCGTTCATTCAAAGATGCGCGATAGTAAGTTTAAACTTAAACAATTATTGTAAGAAATAAGATTGTTATATTCGCTATAATAATTATTACTGTTTTTTTCTTTTGCATATGTTCAGTTATACAGTTCCAAAAAAGGAAGCCACTGAATTCACAAAAGAACTTGTCAACAAAGTTGAAAATAGCACATTAAAGGTTGCAGTAGAAAAGGCACTGCTATTTTTAGAGAAGAATGAGTTACCTCCCCATTGGGATAGAGATTCTCTTTTTGGACATTCTGTATCAAGTGGAAACAGTGATTCTGATGGAGACCTCGAGTCTGATGTAAGATTTTTTTCGTGAATTTTAATACTAGCACTACCGACGTTTGATGGACATCAATTTTTAAGTTGAAAATAATACATAAAATTAAATAAATACGGGATGAAACATAATTTAATATATATACATCCATTCTTTATCTCGACAATAGCCAACATAAATTCCAGGAAAAATACCTCGATAAAATTTATAAATTAAAATAAGAAACTTGAAACAAGTCATTTTGACTACTCTGGTAGTTCTAGTGTTAATTATTGATAATACCTTACCCCTACTATTTTTAACGTAATAAATTTCATTTTTCAGAGTTCTGACGATGAGCCACGCGAAGAGAAAGATCATTTTGTGGCACAACTGTACAAATTCATGGACGATCGTGGTACACCGATCAATAATTGTCCGATGATCGGGTCCGAGGACATAGATCTGTATAGACTATTTCGAGCTGTTTATAAACTAGGCGGTTATAATCGCGTAACAAATCAAAACCAATGGAAATTGATAACTCGTCGTCTGAGTTTTACAATGCAAAATTCACCATCCACGCACAATTTGGTTAAACAGGCCTATAAAAAGTTCTTACACTCCTTCGAGGATTTTTATAGAAAATTAGGTTGTACTATGGTAAATCACCCTAGGGGTGCTATGCGTAAGCAACGTCCCGGTAGAAGTTTAATTAGAGATAAAGATAGAAATACACCTGTACCACCGCAAGTATCGGTCGCTAAAACTGAGAAGGAAGATGAAGAGAAAAAGGTGGTGGAGGAGGAAAAGAAGGAAAAGAAAGAGGTAAAGAAGGAACAGGTAAAGGAAGAAGAAATTGTAAAAATAAAGAAAAAGGAGGAGTTCGAGGAAAGCGGTAGCGGACAGGAAAGCGACGTGAACGTAGAAGCCGAAGCAGAATCGTCTTCTAGTAGTGAAAAGTCTCAAAAAATGTCGGGCTCGTTATCACTGTCGAACAGGGGCAAATCGAAAAGTAAAGAAGATCCAAAGAAAAAGGTGATGGACAAGAAAAAAAGTGAATCCAAGAAGCAAGAGAAAAAGGACGACAAGGTGAAAGAGGACGATGCCGCTAAAACAAGATCAAAATCTAAAGATGATAATGTAAAAAATAAAATCTCCTCTGAAGTTAGAGAAACGCGAACTCCATCCAGAGAATCGGAAAGAAAGACTTTATCGAAACAGAGACGCTTGATAGACGAAGAGTTAAAGAAACGAGGGAGAAAACGGAAGGAATACGAGGTAGAAAAATCACGTTCGGACGAACAGTTAGCCGAGTCTGCGCCATCCTACAAGGGTCCTGTGGAATTAGGGGATAGACTGAAGGTATATTACGGACCTACTCATGAGTCTAAAGTTACTTATGAAGCCAAAGTTATTGATATGGAAAAGGATGGGACAGAACCAATGTATCTCGTCCATTATACTGGATGGAATACCAGATACGACGAATGGATCAAAGCGTCGAGAATAGCACAGAATTTCACCCAAGCTCAAGGTAGGATAAAACGTATTAAAACTACATCACGACCTCAAACTCCTAGTACGAATTTATCTAGTAACATAAACAAGTCATCGAAAACTATTTCCAACACGAATTCAAGTACGTCGCAGAGTCGTCGTCGGGCGCAAAGCGTAGCACCATCGACTACGGTTTCCTCTACATCAACAAAGGAAGTAAAAAGAGAGGAAAAAGAAAAGGATAAAGAAGCGTCACAGCCCGCTAGATCAACAACGCCATTGTCCGTAACAAGTTCCAGTTCTAGAACTAAAAGTCCAGCAACACCGGCGAACAATCGTCAGACGCGAACGAGAAACATCGATGTGTCTGGCGTGGAGCATCGACGACGTACCAGGAGAACCTCCGGACACGCGGATGTGGTACCGTCTGAAACCGAGGAGAGTGAAACGTATGATTCCGACACCACGGAATCCGAGCAAACGAGAAGTAAATCTAAGAGTACAGAGGAAAGGAAACGCAGAGAAGCAAGATACAGGGGGGAAGATAGAATAAAACCTGACGAGACTAGCGAGGGCGAGGAGGACAAGGATAATTTGGAAGAACCACGAAGAGGTAGACGATTAAGAAGAACGATCAGTAAATCTCAAGGTATAAAATCGGAGCCGGACAGCGACGAAGAACAACCGAAGGGTCGAGATTTTGATTTAAATCAAATACGATCCGAGCTAAAAGGCTTCGACAAGGCGGTGAAATTAGAACTTGTCAGAGTCGAGCCTGACCCAGAAGATGATATAAAAATGACAGAAAAGGAAACTGTATTGGTTTCACCGAAATTAGAGAAAAATTTGGAACCATCGAAAATAGAGGCAACCGTTGAGACTAAGCCGGTAGATAATACAGAGGACATATACGAATTTAAAGAACCAGAACCGTTTGAATTCGAGGTAAGAAATAAACGTGATACGAATGGAGAAAAAGAGAAGGCGAAGAAGAAAGTGTTTGAGGATGAACCAAAAAGTCCTAAGAAGAAACAGAAAATAGTTGTATCGCCGGTTATAAAGGAAATCAAGCCAGAGGTAGATAACGATTCACGGAAAAAGGTAAAGAAATTATTTAATAAAAGAGTTGACGATATCACAGAAAATCTGTCTCCTCATAAATCATTACAGTCTACATCATTAGCGACCTGTGAAGAAGCGTTTGATAAACTTTGCGAATCGCCGCCGTTTAATCCAGTGAAACCAGCGCTTATCATCGAGGAACCAAGTAAGAGAAGTAATGGAATAGACATTTTATTTACCGATCTGCCCGGGGACGACGATGCTACTCACGACGATTCGGAGGATCGTCTGATAATATCAGAAACAGAAGTTTCCGAAGTAGAACAGGAGAATTCAATTACATATCAACAAGAAATGTTCCCTGCAAATGATATGAATGATTCGATGGAATCAAATAAAGAAGTTGTAAGTCCACAGATTGAATTGCTAAAAGAAGATTTAACATCAACGGTTTCAAATAAATCTGATGCGCCTACCGATCAGAAGCAAAATGTTAAATCACCATTGCACAGACAGTCCCCAGAATTAAAGCCAGTCGATACAAAATTGCTAGATGTTACCCCTGTTTCATCTCCGATTGTTACCACCCCAGCACCGATCAGTGCAAGACTACCAGCTACGTCTTCGATAGAGGAAAAGCTATCTGCCGCGATGGCTTTTCGTAATAAAACAAAGGACACTAAAAAGGAAGATGAAATTCCTGAGATTATATGGAAATCATCGAAAGAAATCCCTAAAAAAGTGGATACCATCGTTGTACAAAAGAATAAAGAGGATCAGCATGGGCCTAAGATAGAAATTGAGAATAAAAAACGGGAGGAGGAAGAGGTACCAGTAGTGAATAATGAGGATCAATGTAGGGAATTAATGCGTGTAGTAATTAAGCAGAAAGAGGAAGAGCTTCAACAGCTTAAGTTGAAGAAAGAAGTAGAGGTAAAGAAATTTGAAGCAAAAACGGAGCATAAAAAGATCCAAGAAACGGAAGAGGAAGAAGAGGAAGAAGAAGAGGAAGAGGAAGAGGAGGAGGAGGAGGAAGAAGAGGAAGAGGAATGGAAGCACGTGGAAAATGAGAAATCTAAAACGGTGGAAGATGAATTTAAAGATCATGATCTTAAAGAAAAGGAGAAGGATAAAGAGAAGCATAAAAAGATAGTAACTCAAGACGTAATAGACTCGGCAGATAGTAGTGATTCTGAACAAAGGCTAGTAATTGATAATGAAGAATCACAAGATATAAAGACTCCGTCTAACTTCGATGTGAAATTAAGAGCTGAATTGGACAGAATTCAAGATACGCAAGATAGGTATTCGAAATTACAAACGCCAAAAACTATGCAACCTTTGAAACTCCAACCACAAGAATACATTGCGGAATTTAAAGCTGAAAGTACACCTGTTACAAAGACGGACGAAGAAGGTGAGGCAATTAATTCATTATTATGCGAAGAAGAAATACCAGGCTCACCAGCCCCTATCACCGAAAGTATCGAACAAATAAATGCCGGTCCATCCTGTTCTCCTCCAAAAGTTGAAACCACAGAAAGTAGCATAGTATTGATGGAAATGCCATTTGCTAGTGCACCAACGTCTGGCCAGAGTACAACTAGCAGTACTGTTGCTACTCTCAGTATGGCACTGCCAAAAACCATAGAAACATCTGTTCCAGTCTCTTTACCCCTACAACAGAATCCTAGCTTAGGTGTAAGACAACAGTCTCATCATCTACCTGCATTAATGCCAGCACAGAGAAGGGAAAGCAACGAAGCAGCACCTGTAATGGACAATACTCCTCCAACTACGCCAGACTCTAGTATTTCCAATATATCTGGATCTCCGAGAGAAGAAAGAACAGGTGGTTCGTCGCCAATTTCAGAGGACAACCTGAAACTCAATCGGGATAGTTCAGAAGCGGACAACGATAGCGGTGGTAAAGGTCCAGGATTCAGCGAAGATGATACGTTACCAAACGTGGAAGGAAATTCTGCGGACAGGATACTGAAACCACCGGCGAAACGGTCGATCGAGGAAACGCAATCTCCTAAAAAACGCAAGAGAAATAGGAAACATTCGGAATGTGATAAAAATACAAATAAAAAACCGGGAAGACATAGCGGTAGACACGGTAGACACGGTGCTGGTAGCGATAGCGATGATACCAGTGAAGGTTCTAATCTATGTGGCGTCAATTCAACGCCGACGAATCATACAAACATCACTACCGTTGCCGAGCTTAGTAATTACTCGTCAAGATCACCACGACCAACAAAATATAATTTCTATGTGGAACTAGGTAAAGTTTACATATACTCTCTTTTGATTTAATTGTGCTACTTAAACGAAAGATTTCACTTTTTATATTCTTTATTATAGATCCTGAATTGGACGGGAGTCAAAGGATAGCTGTATTACAACAAAAGTTAACCGAATTACGTAAAACGTATAACGCTGTGAAAGTTGAACTGGCTGCTATTGAAAGACGCAGAAAAAAGTTGAGAAGAAGGGAACGAGAAGGTAAATAGTTTGTTATTTAAAAAATTAATATAAAGTTTCATGTGGGTTTGTTTGTATAAATAAATGAAATCAATTTCAGCTATAAAGGCAGCTAAAGCAGAAATGCAACAAGCCTGTTCGTGATGAGCAGCCTTTAAACATCCTAACTCGGTTAATCTGCGGTAAAGAAACTTTTATACGACGCCGGGAGATAATAGAATCATTATACAGACACTCAAAAATCACAGCTGATTTCATGACAATTTTTACCTACCTAACATCACTTAGGTAATTTTTTCCCCCATTTAATATAAATTGTAGATATAGATATAAGATTTAGTATAAAAAGGAGGAACATTTATCAGAATGAAAATATATATTCGTACGTGCTTTGTGTTGTATATTGTTTTTTTTTGTCAGAAACTCGATGTGACAGTTAAAAACAAATTTTTATCTTCGATTTGTCATTTCACCTGCTCAGATGCAAAGTACAAATTATCGAACTTGATGATCATTTTTCATCGTTCATTATTCTTTTTTAAGAAAAGGCTGATAAAAAAATGTTACCGATAGTATGTTTACTGTAAAGACATCTTGGGAACAAATAATTGTCTAAGCCGTCTGTCATTTCCGTTTCAAATATAACTTATAGCACTGTTTGCGGTTGAGCTGTTTTCAAGACGATGATTATAAAAATATCAAGTGCAACAACCACCATATATTTCGTAGGATAGAAAAATTTTGTATATATTAGAAGTAGTAATGTAATAGTGGTTTGCAATATACGTATGTACGTAGATTCTTAGCGAAGTTACAATCGAAATTTTTTATTTAAAAGAAAATGAAATGAAATATGTAGCAATTTAATGTGGTTTTTAATGTAATAAGATGATCATATTAAAAGTAATGCTCGTTTATACGTTAACAATTTACGAAATGAGCGGATGATATTGTATATTGAAATGATATGAATGGGAGGTATAGCACAATTTTTAACTTCTAAAGAAAAGAATTACTTTAATTCATGTACATAATTTACATAAATAAAATATCGTACTATAGTTGCTCTAAAATGTAAAACGATTAAAGTTTATTATAATTAAAAAACACGTTCGTACTTGAGAAATGAATATCTTGACAAAATGCATAGAATCAAATATGCAATTGTCATGAATGCAGCTCAACAAGATTCATCAATTTACAGCCTTTTGCATTATATCTGAAAAAATTGCTGCCATTGTGCTTTAATCATCAAATAGGTTTTAGACGTTCGTCGTCATATATCGTAATTGGTCAAAGATGCATTTATATTTCTATTTGGGCGTTGAAGTACCCCGTTAAATACAAAAAGAATATTAAAAAAAAAAAAAAATGGTTTAAACTTAAGAAACAAGTTGCAGGAAACGAAATCAAATTACCCTTGAACTAAAATTTGTATGAAGAGATGTTGGCTGAAAAAGAGAATGAAATTTTATATAGATAAATATAATATATTTTTTATAAAAAAAAAAAAAAAATAATCAATCGTGGATGTGATTTATGTTATCAGACAACATGATTACAGTCACGCTGATTGGGGGAAAGATGAAAGAAAATTAGGAGTTAGACTCCACAAATCTTTGTACATATTTTACATTGTGTGTGTTAAAGGACTCTCATAAGTCAAGTTTTAGTAGTTATTTATCGCACACAGATATAGCTACACGTATTATTGTATAATGGTTTCAGAAATCTTGCAGTAGCACATGCTAATGTATTTGTTTTAAGAAGTCGAGAGGATGTGTGTCGACACTCATCAATTTTATAAACTTATTTGGATCATATTCGATTTATATTGCAATAAAATTGTAATAAATGTGTATATTTCATCTCGATAAATAATTCTCATTTTCAAAATTGATAATGGGAACAATATGTGTTAGATTATTCTTGTTAGCGCTGATAATACTTTCTTGTGCAAATCTTTGCTTCAACATTACACATCTTGTAATATATTCGTTACGTTGCATCAATAGTTGTATATAAATTACACATTTTTTCAGAATAGTATTATTGCTTTTTTTTTAATAATAATTCACTTTTATTCATTTACAGGGTAAACAAAATAGTGAATGAATATAACATTATCTTAGGCAGATACAGAATACACGTAGAAATCAGTTATTCTATTATCAGTTATTATGTTTTACTTCTATTTGCATTTTATATTTAGGCAGTAATGTTTGTAATTGAACACCACTATTAGATATCAGTAATGAATTTTAAAATTATTATATACATGTTTTCATCACAGATACAGCAAAGCTTATATTGTCGTTCCTTTTATGATGAGCATAACACATTTAGCAAAATGAAATGAAAGTAATTCTCGACTAACATTAAAATTTTTAATAACATATATCAGTAATTGTAATGTTTGAGTGACGAACGCATCCTTGCCTTCTGAAAACAAATTTTCTCCCTGTAAATCATGAATTACATGTGAGGTAATACATATAGTAAGCACAATGTGGATTGTGTCGCCAACCAGTAATATTGTTCCACATAACATTTAATTGTGTTAGCAAATATTGTTAAGAAATAAATATTATCTTAACAAATTATAATAATGCCATTTACCCTTCGCACAATTTTTAAACACGATTTTCATTTTTGAACAATATAACATAATTTAAGGTGCTTTACATAAAAGTTTTTTTTATAAATTATTTATTATATTGCAACTTAAAAATAAACATTAAAATGTTATTAAAGTTTGCACAATAATACACGCAAATATAATATAATTGTTGTAAATATTTTTGTCATATTTTTTATCATACATATTAAAAATTATGATATTTAAATACTCTCTAGTAAACAGAACATGAACAGTTTAATATTCGATAATATTGGCAATCTTAGATCCAATATATTATTAGTAAAAACTCTGTTAACTAAAATCTTATTTGTTTTTATTTCTACATTAAATTATTTCGTATAATTTTATTTAATATTTTAAGAAATCACTTGAATATATTTATCTATTTGTCTTTGTACATTATTAGTATGAATGCGATAAAGGAACAGAAATACAATTAATCAATAAAAAAAAAGATTTAAAAATAACTTCTAAAGAATACATAAAATATAAATGTAAATAATTTAATAATAGAGGTATACCCATAAGTTTTTGTCTGAAATATCATTGATATAAATAAACCTAATTTTATTGCTCATTGCCATTTAAGAAAAAAAAATTGAATGTTTTAATTCTTTGAAAATATAAAATATAAAAAGTTTCAATTACTTATATATTTCATAAGTATTATTGTATCAGTAGTGAATTGGCTGTAACAATTGATATAGAAAACAAAATATTTATACATTAAAAATATTGTTTTAAACTCCATAAGATGAACATTTTCTCTACAGCTCCAAGGTAACTAATTAAGCAAATAACCTTTTAAATTGCCAAGTCAAAAGAATCATTGTGTGTATATCTTTTCATTCAACAATTTACTGTCCTTCTAGTAATAAATTACTAAAATAAAATGACCAAATACAGAAATATTCAGTAGTATTGAGCGAGAAAATCTGCTTTCAATTTTATATATCATTATGAGGATGGGCTAAATGTTGATATATTATCAACAGCTTATGTAGGTGTTAATGCTACTGTTGATGACTTATTTTGGGTAGTAACCTTACTAGTTTGGCAACCATAAATTGTTCCATTAGTTCATGATGTGCTTCTAGTCGTTCAATGCAATGCAGACATGCCGTTTTAGGTAATGGATCATTCATGTTTACCTGTATGACAGAAGTAAAAAATTTAATGTTTTAAAACTACACATACATATTCATTATTTATTAATAACAGTATTACATGGTGTAGAGTAGTATAAATCAACATAGTACAATATTTTATAATTCCAAAATAATTAGTGCATATAAATTAAGGATACATAAAAAATAAATACGAAAAAATAAAGAACTGTCATTTTGATGATCTTAACTAGTCGTACATAGCACATATGTAATGTGAAATGTGAAAGTTTGCTTAAAAATGTGATGGATGCAATTTAAATTTATAAAAGACAAAAAATAATTTTACCATAATTGGAAGATAAGCATTTATTTTTTCGGCCAGCTTCATTCTCTCACCCTCTTCGCCGTATATGTGAATCACAAAACGGTTCATTTTACTACAAAGTCTGCATATGAATCCCGTGATCACAGCTTTATCGGTGCTACCCATTTTGATTATTTAATGAAATTTATTCTTTGTAATATGGCACTTCTTAACACCTTTTATTGTGACACATACATCAAAAACTTCGCACGTAAATTACTTACTATCCTATTAAATCTCATGAGATATTATGTTCCCTATAAGATTAAGTTTGTTCAGTGACTATAGATTCAACGAGATTGGACACTGGATATGTCTTTGTTCTCGAAGGGTCTTGAATTTGTGCCTCGAGAATAAGCGCCATCTGCTCTATCCAAGTACAAAAATATAAAATATTTCGCATTCCAATACTCTAATTCAAGTTGACGGTCACCAAATTGCTTCGATATCAACAACTACGTTCCATCATTCATTGTTTCGACTACAATACTAAGCATGTTCAGTATTTTTGGATCTGTAGTCACTGCTATATATTAGTCGCTCCGCGCCGAAGCGCGTCAGTCTGTCTTCGGACGTCGAAAATGTATGAGGTTTTGCTCTTGTTTTCGACACTAGCGCCATCTATACAAAAGTGGCTGAAACTATTCAATGACTTACCGATCGATCTTTCGAAAGATGTGGCGGCACCGACGAGATACTGTTACAGTACTGTAATAGGTACTGTACGATACTGAACAGTATCTCGTCGGTGTCGGAAACTATTTGACGATTAGTTTCCACGATTTCCGATGGCGTTAGTGTTCTGTTTCGGAAAATCGATCGGTAAGTCGTTGAGTAGCTTCAGCCATTTTTGTATAGACGGCGCTAGGATCGAATTTTAAAAGTAGTTTATGGCGGTCTTTTTAAAATATCAGTTTATGAATACAAGTTTCTCAAACAATTATTTTAATAATTATTTGTGCTGATCTTGATTGATTTTCTTTCTGATCGGTAAAGGAAGAACTGGTAAAACTCCTAAGTGATAGGAGAGCTATGCAATATAAGAATACAATAGTACTTCGTTTATGTTTTATTTCAGATATTTTGAATTGAAGAGAATTTTATAATGCGAAAATACGTATGCACGTAAGTACATACCGTCGACATCTTCCAATATTATTTAAACGTTTAAAATTTAAGAAGACCGTGCAATACTCAGCCGTATAACAACTTCGATGATTATAATAAAATAGTTGTACATAGCAGTTATTTCTTACAATATTTTATTTATAGTAAATGCAGTAAGCTGACTAGTAAATTTTACAAATCACAGGTAGGAAGGGAGTGTTGCATACGCAACACAGAGGTATGTATTAACAATTTTTTTTTTCTTTTATGTACATTTGCTAATTTCACGGTCTTATACAATTTTCCTATTGCTTTAATTTAATGTTTGCCGTAATTGTTATCAGCTGATACATTCAAACTAATTGAAAACTTACTGCATAAAGATAAAAAAGAAACTTTAATGACCAATAATTGGGAAAAAGATATTTTATCAGATATATCTTAAGCGCAAATTAATATCTATAGCTTGTCTGTAAAATGTACTGCATAGCTAGCTGACATTACAAAATACATGAGTACAGAAAGTACTTTGTTGAAAACATTTAAGTTGAATAACAATATCGTTAGTTTAATGTTTGTAATATATTAGGAAACCTCATAAGATTGTATGCCTTCAAGAAACGTCTAAACAATTATGAACACTGTATAATTATATTCTGATAGCTAATAATAACGATAAGTAAATTTTTGTGCACCTTTTCGCATATATAATGTATCTATTGAAACAAAACTTGCTCAGAATATAAATAATACATTACAATAGTAAAGAAAAAATATGTTTACAAAATAATGGCAGTATGTACCACTTAATCTGTGATAATCTTAATTTAAGCATCAAGCATCTTGTACATTTACACTGAATTCAATTGACGAACACTGAAACTAATATGCTAGTAACACCTTTAAAAAAATTATTCTGTGTTTTACAATGTAAGGTACAGGCATACAGTCGCACAATGAAATATAACATTCGTGAAGTGTACATACAAAAATAATACTCTATGAACTAAAATAATATTTACTATTCACATAAAATATATTAACTTCTTGAATAATTATGGAAAATATATACATAAAATAATACTTCATGAACGATTAAAAAATGAAGCATAAAAACATAAAATTATGAAATAAAACAATTAATGTAAAAAAGAGAAAATAATTATAGCAGATACATGATAATTATCAAGATACAAAGTGAACATGATCTATGCATAATTAGTACCATATTTTTAAGGCTACTCGTTTTACAAGTGTTTATATAAATACGTCTAATTTGTAAACAGAAATTGGCAATGTTCGTTGAATGAATTAAAACATGTCACGCTGTGAATACAATCACATAACAATATTGAACGTACTAGACTTTTCATTGTGATTGTTTCAATAATATTAAGATCGTCTTCGTTTCTTGTGAGATCGACTCACTGCGATAATGTAGTAATATACCGAATAATGACGGGTTAAAATGCTACACTGAACTTATGTCTGTGTCGGCATACGCGTTTATATCACAGCAAATGAGTTGAATTCGTGTCTACTGATAATTCCACTGTTTCGTGCAACGCAAATGGAAAAATACAATATTTCTCTTTCGTGGTGTGCAGTTAGTAAAAAGCTTGTAAAATGCGACTGAAATATACTCTTTGGAAGAATAAGCTGCAAAAATCTTGTATTAAATACTGACGGCATTATATGGATGGATAAGGTCTATACAAGTTTTATCTAATGGATTGGTACCTGCCAAACCATGTCGACAAACATTTCCCATTTTTTTATCGATAACCACATCATGAAAAATCGTGACGTGCGTTATTTAAACCCAACTTAATGTCATTAGGAGTATTACTAAGTCACAATTAAAAATTATTGTGCGAGCAGATGTGTCGTTACTACTAATGCAAAGTACATATTGTATCTTATCTAGCTTGAATTCATTAACCATTTTCATTTCTTATTGCACTTCGAAAAATCGTTTTCGCAGAAGTTCCCTAATTTAAATACTAATTTATTCGCAAAAATTCAATTCGTTGTACCTGTGCAAATTTGTAACTTCTATATATTAATTCTATCTACTATATTTTGCATGGACGAATTCAAACCCTCAGGCGTAGCGTTGTTAAATAAAATTATAACGAATAACAAAATGATTGTAAAAAAAAGAAAGTAAACGTGCTAATTATCTGCCTTTAATTTGACTAGACGTGAAAAAGGCAGTTTGACGTAATTTTATACAAGTAACGATATTTGTTTTAAACGAATGAAAATATAACTTAAATAGGAACATTTTCAGTAAAATAGTAAAAAAAAAATGATAATTACATGCTAAAGTACTTCTTAAATTTATGGTAACGAAATTGATATGTAATGAAAAAATATGATTAATTGGGTTCTATTATTTGTTTAAAGTTGTAGAACATTTTTTTTTTCAAAATCTGTAAACTCGACAAATTCTTTTTTAAGAAGTAAATATTAATCGCCTGTTATGTAGGCCGATAATGCTTCTCTATTAAAATCTAATAATTGATTTATTTGATCGTTTCAAGGTGTCTGATTTACTCTAACGACGATTCAATTTTAATTGGCCGCTCGTTTTGCACGATAAAACTCGCGAAAAACTAAGTCACAAGTTACTTTTTCTTTTTTTTGTTTTATTATTATTATTACTTTTGAATATTTTCTATCTAGCTTCGATGAATCTTTGATACTGAAGACTAGTTTTAAAGATAAAATCGTAATGTAAGAATATGAACTTGACTGTATAGACTAATAAAACTTCTTTAAGAAGGTTCAAAATATTATTTCGTTAGAAGTCTCGTACAACGAATTTTCTTTCTCTTTTTTTACCTTCATAAATAAGCGAATAGTAAAGCGCTTTTAAAGCGTACCCAAAATATTAATTTTGTGACCGTTTTCTGTGCTAATGTTTACGTGGGAAACGTTAAGATTATATATATATATGTGTGTGTGTGGATGATTGTCCACTTGTACTTGGGAAGTCCTAGAGCAGGCCGTACTTAGTGCTTTAACGAACAAATGTGGCTATAACAAACATTCACACATTATACCATTAGATGCATGGAGCTTTTGTAGGCCTTGTAATAGATTGATTACATTTGCATTGTTCGCTGGTGGCGGCATTCGTGTATACGCGTGATGTAATGTGTGGTAAAGAGCCCAGTAAATTAGAGCCCGGTAGGCTACCCGCAAAACCACTTCTTCCAAGAAAACTATGAGCACACTTGTATAGTCTTGTTTGTAGAATTAATATGTCATCGAGATCTTCTTCGCTGTTTGATAATTACATTACATATTAGACAATGTGTTGTGTGAAAAAGGATGAAATAAAAAGGCTAGATACAGACTTACTTTGCTGCAGCTAAAAACTTTTGAAAAAGCCGATTGGGAACTGTACGAGGACGATCAACCGTGTCTGCGTAAAGGTCTGTTTCTCGATTGTATAAGTGTAAGAAGTCTGAGAGTTGTTTAGCAGTAATAGCAGCTCGGTCTTTATCGCTTAACTTACTGCTCGGTAACTATATAGAAAAGTAATTAAACGAAAAGGGAATATGAAGCATATTAAAAAGGGATTTTTATTAACTTACCGCAAAGAAAAACGGTGTTCTTAGATTATTAGCTGACTGCTGAAGAAATTTCATCACTAAATCACAACATGCTGGGTCAGCATTAGGCTGCGATATCTTACGCAATATGTGTCCTAAATATAAACCAAAGGCCTTTCTAGCTTCTCCAGGACTGAAAAATTCAATTAATTATGTAACGTGTTGAATGCTTCTTAAATTCATATACCACCGGATAAAATTCAATTAATTATGTAACGTATTGAATGCTTCTTAAATTCATATATCACTGGATAAAATTCACTGACCTAAGTTTATTTCCTTCGTGCATGGATTGGACAACTTGACTCTTGTACTTATGCTTATCTGTATCTATACTCTTTTTACTGTCACCACGGTCTAAACTTTGTTTGTGCCCTTTTACTAATGCTCTTTCATATCTTTCATACCTGTAAGACGTTATACGAATTGAATTCTACATTTGGAATGGATAACGAATCAAATATTTAATGTCTTTACAGAACTACCTAGACAACCTGTCCAAGGTGACTTCAGGAATGATGAAACCAGTGGTACGACTAGCCGCAGGAAATAGCTGTTCGTGTAACATTAAATTATGATTTGTATTAATGTGTTGCGGAACTCTGCCTGGTCCTAAGGGATCTGAGACTACTGGTATCCCCGTTGTTGGATCTATAAATAATAATGCTCGAATTCAAATGATCATGACAAATTGATGTAACAATAAGAAAAGTGATTCATAAAATTTTACCTAAATACTGTGAATACATCTCCCACGATTTCGGACTAGGAAATATACGAACGAATCCTCCTCGTCGTTCGAACTGAGCTTTCGCAGACGCTACTATTCGTTGTTGTTCAGGCGTTAATCCCGTTTTACTGATATTACTTCTGCTAGTATTCTTCTTTCTCTGAGACAACGTTTCAGCTGAGTGTACTCTTCTACACTAAAGATAACCATCGAGTTATACGACCACGATTGAGAATAAAATTTCATGAAACTTACATTGGTTATTCCTTTTGTTGCAGTAACGGTGGGTCGATTCAAGTGGCTAGTTTGAGGCCGTAACATCGGATCAACCGCAGGTACACCAACGAGGGTAAGTAAATCAGCTATTAGCGCCGATTTTAACCTAACGTCGAGCGGTGAATCACACCCTAACGATGGGGTTAAATTAACTTCCAATAACCACGGTTTTAACGTGTCGTCGATCAGAATGTCGAAGCCAAATAATTCTAAAACAAGACACGCGTTTTCTAACAATATCTTCGGCTAGTAACATTTTGTTATTCGATAAGAAGTAGGGTGTGAGAGTACCAAAGCACGTTTCTGGGTGTTTTACGAATTGTTTGATACCGCTGACAATGCCAGAAGCGGTCGCAAGAATTGATTTAATTATAATATCTTCTATACGTTGCATGAGCAGTTCCGTGTCACGTCCCATGGAGCGTAGGTGTCTGAGCAACGCTGACAATGTCCATTTATGTCCTACATCCTCTGCGTCTGGATCTTCGCTTCTGTAACATAAACAGAAGATATAGTATTTGGAAAATGAAAACTAACAGTAAAACAAATTTTCTTACTTTATATAATCCACATGGAATTTGTTGATACTGTAATTGCACAGATGCATGCAGGGATTCCAGATGTATTGGTTGCCACCGTCGTACTTCACTGTAGCGAATCTTACCAAACCCTCTTCGTACAGGTATATCAACAAGGGATCGTAATTTGTGACAGCAACGTACAGTCTTAAATCGCATTTGTGACCATCGACCAGAAGGGGATTGTTTATGTATTGCGCAACGATCACAGACTCCTCGGTAAGAATCTTTTCAGGCTGAAAGCATAGCATGCAATATTTAAAATTAAAACTATATACATGTTTCAATGCTTTACCCTGATGTTACTGACAATTAAACAGAAAGCAGCACAAGTGAGGCCAGCTATTTTATCTTTTTGAGAACAGAACATTGTTGATCCTAATTCATGGTATATTTTATTTATTTTTTTATTTTGAGTGAATATGTGAAATTATTGTTCTCAAATGGTTAAGTTAGCTGTGTGCAGGGAAACAATTATTCGGTGAAGCCCAGGGGTACTCTAAACTCATACCGAGAAATTATTATGCTCACACTGTTAACGATATAAATGCCACGTCCGCGGGAACTGGCTTTGGGTTTGACAATCCAGGGCCCGCGATACCTGAAATGAGCCGTTAGCAATTCCCTCGATTCGCTGGGCAGCAGAAATGTTTGGGGTATGAAATCCAAGTTCCTCAGCCCTTTGCAGCGCTGCATAGCCGCGATGTTTTTGTAAAGCCGATCCTTTCGCGTTATCTCGTACGACCTGCAACGAAAACAATTTACATTTAACAAATCTTTATTCGACGGTACTATAAACGAAACGTTGAAGTTACTCCAATTGTTTCTACAATCGAATACGAACAATGTGTGTTATTACAGTAAACACTTCGTCCCTGACGTTTGATTTATCCTTCGGAATTATCCAGAAACACGATCCTCGTGATTTCCTCGAGGCAGTTTATTTTTTCACGCGAATCGAGCACAGTTTTATATATGTACCTTGGAAAATGGTTCACTTTCTGGTGGGGCATCAAATTTCGTAGAATGTCTGGTTTCGGATGATTCCCCATCCATAGAATGTTGAAGTCACTCTCGTTCATGGAAACCTGGAATACAAAGGCAATTTAAGGTAAAGGTAATTAGCTAATTACATAAAGAAATTTGAGGAACGTTACATAACAATGAGTTTTCAAAAAGTGAGTTCAATCTTCAAGTCTGAAGACGCTCCACGTGCGTCATATGCAATTTATGTAACGTTACCGGTGACGCGCCGTGTGCGCCTCATACCCCTTAACTACCGCAACCGGTGACGCACCGGTACATCTTAGCCCCTTAGCTGCCGCAACCGGCGATGCACCGGTACATCTTAGCCCCTTAGCTGCCGCAACCGGCGACGCGCCGGTGCATCTTAGCCCCTTACCTACCGCAACCAAACACGCACCACATGCGTCTTATAAGAAAATTAATATTATCAGTCAAAAAATATGTTTTTTGCAGTATGTACTACGTCAACGAAGGTGTTAATATTCAAGCTGTATTATCGGGTGTCCATGCGCCGCCTTGATCGACCATGCGGTCACTTTTCGTAGGAACAATAACGTTTATCCACTCAGACAGACTACTAATTATCAAAGTGGATACTCTGATAAGAGCGACAAGGTGCGACCTCAATAATACCTGAAGTCTATCCTATTAGGACAATTTCATTTTCTCGTTTTCTAGGTGTGCCATTATTCCGCTCGGGACAATAGCAATTACCTTAAATAGCGGTATTAATAGCGACGCGACGTTCACGCAATAGAACGAGCTCGATTTCAGTTTCTATTCAATAGTGAATATTTTTTTATTCCTTCTCGCGCTTTATTTCGAAAGGTGTTAATAGTCGAAGGAGAGAGAAGGTTCAACGGCATGAGTCGTTTAACTCAAGTTCGACGGTGTGTATTTTCGGTACAGTGTTTTTCCCGTTGAAGAGAAGAGGGGAGTCGTGAAACATCAGAAGGAAAGGGTTTAAACGCGCGAGCGTTTCGCATGCAGAGCGTTTAATCGTTTTAACGATCTTGTTTCCTCGGTTCGTGACGCAAAAGCAAATCCATTATATCTTTATGAAACGTGGAGTCCGAGCCGATAAATAAAAAGTCAATGTGTCTCCGATAGACACCGTGTTCACTGTCACGTAGTCAATGGGGAAATTACACCGATGACCATTCCTCGTATTCCGCTTCCTATCGCCTTTCTGCTTTGTCTTCGAAGCTTAAGCTAGAATATCGTAAACAAACATGTTTGCCCATAACTTTGAGTGATTCAATCACCGAGAAATTTTATTTTTCCCTTGAAGATTCATATTAATTTTTTATCACTTGAAGACCGGTGATACCTGGTGGAAACGGAAAGCGTGTCGAGTATTATTAAAACTCGAGTACCATCTCGCGAACGAACGGCTCGAAGAACAGTATCGAATTACGATAAGGTTGATCTTCATTAGAGTCAATTGATATGATCTACATTCGCGGTGGATCACGTGAACGATCGTCAAGCTCTTTATCGAGGTTGGGATATTGCGCGAGGCTCTTCACTAAACTATGCAAATTATCAAATGATATTTACATTCGACCACGTGTTTCTTAACACGTAAGAAACACTATATGTTATTTTATACGTATAGATAATTGTTTCTGATCGTCCGTGGTTGCGTGTACAAACTGACGGATGATAAAGAGTTAAAAGGAATTGAACCCATTAACCGATATTCATTTGCACAAATCATTGCCGTAGAAAGTCTAGGCGTTGCTCCAATTCGGACAGGTTACCGTATTGTCACCTGCTTGCTTAATTTCCTGGTTCGTATAAAGAGAAGTCACCGAAGCGACTATAACCAATGTTAAAGAATTTCTGAAAATACTATTTGAAAATGGAACCTGTATGAATTTTTTTGATTTTCGTGAATCTTTCGTAATATCAATGTTCCTGGAAGTAAAGGAGGGACGTTTGTCACGAATGGAAGTCATCAAGGTCCGCGTTCGATTCGATTCGATTCAATTCGATTCGAAGGCCCCTTTTTAACCAGCCCCGTCACCATCGGTCTCAATAACGCTCGATCGGTGTCGAGGATCGATCGGAAGGAACTCTCGCGACGAAGTAATGCGGAAGTTAAGGATGAAATCTCAGCTGGCCCAGGGACATTGGTACGCAATTGTGGACGGCTTTTCTACGAGTCACCGGGAGGCCGGTGGTTTCAGGACCGGTTAGCTTTTCAGTCACGGACCTTCCGAGACGACGCGGCGTGTGACCCTCAAACCTTATCCCACCAGATCCGCTCGTGTCCTCACCTGTTGTCCGCCATAATCTCTTATACGTACGAATCCCACCGTGTTGAAAAGTTACGAGTAATCTCATTATCGCCAGTATAAACCTTTCTTCGCCTCGATTTTTTTCACCTCTCTTATTCCGTTTCTTTCTTTACAGTTTACAGCCTCGAAAGTCAATTCAGTCTTAACCCTTCGAGGGAAGGTGGTACGTATCTGTACCACCTTTTTGTTTTCAGTTTTTTCTTTAATTCAGAATCAATTTGTGAGTACTTTTTAGACTCTTGGGATTTTAAGTTATATAATTTTCATGGAAAGCTGTATGAATGTGTTTATTTAAAAATAGTTGTAAACAATTAAAACACAAAAAACTCGGTTTTTTTTGCTATAACATATTTTTTTCAGAATTTTTCGTATGCCAGTTTTCTCGAAAAAAATAATTGAATTTTGCCGAAAAATCCTTTGATTTCGATCATTTGGTCGGAAGAAAAATGTGCCCCTCAAAGGGTTAAGCCTCCTGTCACCGGGACTGAACAATGATTTTATAATTGCGGCCCGGCACGGATGACACACGGAGTTTTCCCAAATTGATGGACTCTTTCAACGTCACGCACGTCTAATGAACTTCGTTTTACGTCACAATGAAAATGTGATAAGATTGGAAACGCAAGCTCCTCTTTCTTTTACGCTCGCACGAAATTTCCGCCTAGAGGACTGGCAATTTTTTCCGGGCCAATTACGTCCCGCCTCGTTCGCCATCGAACGGATGCATTTTTCTCGTTGTTACGACATTTGTCAGCGGGAGATCCCGTGGTAAACGATCAGCCGTTCCCGGTCGAGATTCTCGCAGATAATAGAGCTCGCAGGATCGCGAGCAAAAAACGAAATGAACATGGTGAGAAGCGAAGAATGTTGCTCCCTGATCGTCACTCTCACTATGAATCATCTTTCGATCGCCAGAAAAAGATATACGTGTTACGTTCAAAACTAGACGACGCACCATGTGTGTCACATGCAATCCACGACGCACCATGCGCGTCATATGCAATCCACGACGCGCCATGTGCGTCATATGCACTTTACGACGCACCATGTGTGTCATATGCAATCCACGACGCACCATGTGCGTCATATGCAATCCACGACGCACCATATGCATCTTGAAAAAAGAATCGAAATTATCAACGGAGGGTTAAAATAATGAAGTTCATTAAAATTAATAGGTAAATAAAAAAATGCCAACTTTTATGGATCGTCGTTGTAAAAGGCGCGTCAGGAGTGGGTCAAAGTGCCGCGACGAGCGTCAAGCGTTTAAGGAGACGTTAATTAGAACGAAGCGACGAGAAGAGTTGTAGGAACGTCGTCATCTTTCATTCCGCCTCTTTTTCCTCTCTGTTTAAGGTGCACGGCGGTTTGCTTTCACCTCGGTATCGATCGGCCACGATGGCCCGTAATTGCGCGAGAACCGTGAACGCGACACCGTAAACTACTCCGGTTTTACAGCTCGCAATCAACTCCAACTGGAGAACGCGACGGGCACGGCAAAAAGAGGAGCGTGAGAGAGAAACGAAATCGCGTGAGCGATACGATGGTGGGAAAATATGTCGAATTGTCAATGGGATAACTGGAAAACTAACGATTAAACGATAGGAATAAGAATAGGATTGGTAACCAACGGCAGACGCAGCTGATTCGATCGGCGGTCAGTGATAAATCAATGGCGACGATTGTGACGAAGGTGACGATCAGTGGATTCTATTAAGACGATTAAAGGAGGCTATTGAAACGGAAGATGCGACAGACGTGCGCGGGAAGAAGCAAAGAGCCAACTCGTGCTCACACTCGTCGCGTTTACGTGAGCCACATATTGCGTTACCGATCAAGGATAACAAGCTCCGCGCTCGTCAGCCTAAACGACCGAAGACGAGACAACTGGAATTGTCTCTTCCTCTGTTTGTCCTTATCATTTGGAAGAATCTTTTGCACATATATAGGCATCGAAATACGAGTAGAGGCAAAGGTGCGTGAGAAAATTTATTTGTCATTAGAAGGCCGATTTCAACCCTCGTAAAATCGTTCCAAATTTCGAAGAAGAAACGCGAACGGAGTTGAAAAGCCGCTTGGTCCCTTTGATGTGTAAACAGACGAAAATAGAATGGAGGTACGCGAAGAGACCTCGCTACAAAATCCCGAAATAGTTGAATAATTTCTGAGCTTTTGAGCCCTGATATATCGCGACGCCCTACAACCGCGATACGACAAAAATATTCCAATGGTACCTGAGCTTATTACGTCTTTCAGTCACTGAACGTTATAATATCCCATAATTTCAGTGAGCTCCGATACCGCTTCGATTTCGAGTCGACATACTTAAAGCTTTTGATCTACCACAACCTTCAAACGTTACGAAGCTTTATGAATTTAATCTACCGAGATATCATTGAACCACGAAACCTTGAATTTTAATTCGAGATATCCAATCTTTCGAGTATTTATAAAACATCGGTTAGCCTTTCGAGCCTACGATTATGTGGCATAAACTCGATGACTTTGAAACGTCAAAAATGGTGACTCTATAACTCCCGAGGCCCGCCAAAATCTCTAAGCACCTTGTATGGTTTGGGCCGTAGCTGTAAATAACACGTATCCGCATAAATTTACACGTTCATGAATATTAAAGCCCCTTCCGCCGCTAAAACAAAGTAGCATCGTAGTTAACTTTGTTTTCCTGTCAACGTGAAGCACGTTCCAAGAGCCGCCTAATATCGATAAGCGTATCGATTCGTATCGAACGATCTGCGCAGCGCAGCTTATTGAAATCGTGACGTCACGATGAACGCGCCTGAAGATGATGACCTGTGCAACGGAGGCGAATGACTGGTAATTAACGCACTTTCCAATCGCCGAGTGCAAACGAAAACGAACCTACAGTGGCGTTAACACGGTTTTTACAATACAGTCGGTCGTTGTGTGCCGTAGCTTTTGAATATAAATGGTGGAACACGCGGTATCGAGTGAGCGGCATTAATTATGTTAAATCAAAGTATTTTACTCCAAGAAACCATGTTTGCTACGATGAAAACGAAATGGACAGCGTCTAACGATGCCGTGATATGTCCTATAACTGCAAATAAATGAAGTCGCATATTTTAAGACCCCTTAAACAAGGGGGATCCCAAACTTGCTCGGCCAGTGTCTCGGAATGGACGGAGAAGCGTGGCGCCTGTGTGGTAGTGGACAAGCTGAAAGCCGAACGGCGAGGTCGCGAGTGGTGCCGAACGAAATCGAATACAGCCGAGCCGGGACGGGACGAGCCACGAGACGACGCATGCAACTGCGTGGCGGCGGCAGTCTAGCACGAGCCGCCGCTCAGGAGACACCCGTAGGGGACTTGCTTGTTTCAAGGTAGGCACCTAACGCCAGATTATCTCTTTTTCTTCTATAATCACCAGTCGTTGGTGATGGGTTAATGATCTCCTCGAATATAAATCGGAATTATAAATATCTTAAGATAATTTTCAATGTTTTAAAAATTCATTTTCTGTATGATATTGTTATGAGTAAGAAGTAACAGTGTATACATGATAAAAAAGATACTTTTTTTTTTATTCCAAAAATTCAAGGCAGTTATTGTTTAAATAATGTATCGTTTTTAACAAATCCTTGGAAAATTCAGTATGATTAAATTACACAAGAATGACGTTAATTTATTAAGTAAATAGTAATGTTTAAAGTTTCAAGAGTCGTGTTTACTTTGAATAAGTGTAGGAAAGTGATTGAATTGCCTGAAAATTCGCAGGAGAGAGTATCGAATGCCCATCACTAGTCGCCGCTTCTTCCTAGTAACCAAGCCGAACCCGTTCACTGCATCGCCCTAACCTTCCGTAAGCACAATCTTCGGGAAAGGGGCTTTTTATTTTCACTGATAATTGGAACGAGTCTTCGAACTGATATTTCATGTTTATCAACGCATCTTTACTTCACATAACAACACATGAATGACTAGTTGTCGCGTCGTCTGATATTTCGCCCTTTTCCTTTTTCCCCTTTGATTTTTAACTTTTTCCGGTTTCATATTTGAGCTCTGTCGATACAGTAGAACTTCAGCTATATCTTGATCAACCTTTAGTTATAATTACAGCTTTTTCGATAAATTACTAATAATGTACATATACAACAGATTGAACATGACTTCGAGAAACATACGCGTGTTCAGCCTCGAATTTAATTTAGCCCCGCCATGATATAAAGAAAAAAAGTTAATTACAGTTCCGAGAGGAAAAATGGCATTCGTTCGTCTCAAGGTAAACGTTCCAAGGGTTTCTTTTTCGATCCAGTTTAGACATAGGCGAGACACGAGTTCCTTTAACGATTTGAAAGTTTGTTTGGATCGTTGAATTGTCGTTGACGCATCGACACGTGGGCAGCATACACTCGGTGTGTCTCGAACCGAGTATCCACTAGGAGCACAATGCTCGAGGTAATTGGATAAATAACCTTGTCTCCAGAAAACGAATCAAACATCAATTCTATACGAATGAAATAGATTTAGATTTATGAAGTCGGTACGATTCAATATATAAGGTGCCCCGTTTGAGGTTATGGCGGAACCTTGGAACGCGTGACCTTGAGACGACCTTCATCCCTGTTGCCCAACTTCTTCCCTTACACAAAACGCTCTGTGCCATAAAATAAATATTAAAACTTAGAAATTACGAATACCCGTCGATAAAGGCTTGATATTTTTATCAAAATTATATCGTTTCGTCTAATTATTTCGAACAACGTAGCACCATGGTTATCGAGTGTCAAGCGTTTTAATACCGTTACTAGAAAGTAGCGTCGATCGCTTGCAAGTAGAATGAACGAAAAAATAAAAATGGTCCAGTGAAAGTGTCGCAACGGTGTGCGTTGGATTCGGTGCGTTTGCCTTTATGTAATCGAACGTGTGAACGACTCAAGGTGGTAGTTGCATTTGCATACGCACACTGTGCGGATTTCAAAGTTACCCTGTCAAGTGCATCAGTTTAACCCTCGAACGACGTAGCTTGGGTGAATCGCGACCCAGATCCACGAAGCGTTTGCGATCTAACATCCGAATTGTTTATCTTAATCATAACGAACTGTTTATCCTATCCTTGTTTATCCTGATCGTGCATTCGATGCAATTTGCATGAGCTTCAATTTCCATACGATTATTTCTATTTTCAGCGAGACGATATCGAAATAATGTGATCACGCTATCAAAGGAATGCTCGCGTTATTGGGTCTGGGTCATACGTTGGGGCGGGCAGGTCTGGGTCAAGTCTACATTCTATTGAATTCGAATGTCATCTAAATTGCGATAATTATTTTAAGTGAAAGTATCTGTACGCAATTCAATTTGCAACTGCATAACGTTTTAGTCGCGGATCAAAATGACCCTACTTTCGTTCACTCCGTTCTCCGACGGTCAAGTTTCACGGGGATTAGAAATAGTACTTAATTGTGATGCGTTAAGCGATGTCACCGGGAATACATCGATAAAACATCCAATAAATTATCGATACGAACAATTTAGCCAATTGCGGTTCTTTTTACGCAACGAGAAAATTACATACACTGAACGCCTTAGGTAATAAATTAACATTCCTTCTTTTATCGAAGCAGTAAAAGTCGTGTATTCGCGAACGCTCGAAAGTAATAACGTCCTCTCCTTGTTCGCCAATTTGTTCGCGATACACGTACACACGCGTACAACGCGATGCGTAAGCGTCGTTAGAATGAACCATGGTTTTGAACATGTTTCCTAGTTTCTCTGATTGATCTATCGTGACACATAGAATCACGAAGGAGAGACGAACACGTGTATCGTGCATATAAATATTTGTTTATCTTGTTTTCTTTATTTCCCTTTTAAAAAATGCATTCATAATTGTTCTATACTTTGACGGTTTAATGCTGAAAAGCTTCAAGTACTGCATTACATTACCCATTAGCTACTGCGATCCCCAAATGGGGATTTGAATATATATATTTCTTTTATCACTTGCAATAGGATTATATTAAATAAAATGTTAAATAAAAATATCAAAAATAAAAATTTGGTTGTTAATGGGTTAATTAAAAGTTCAGTGTGTATGTTACCGTGCTACTAAATTGTTTCAGCGACGTAAATTTTATACAAAAATATCAGCGATCTAACCAAAATTTACTTTTCATTTATTTTCATTCTTATCAGGGGTATTACATTTTTCGATAAATGCTTTTTTAAAGGAATCTTTTTATGCCGTGACTGCTTCTTTTTCTTTCTTTCCTTTATTCGAAGCAATTCAAATACAAAAATAGAAAACAATTCGTAAGAGGTTACGCGTTCGTTTGTTTTCGCTAAATGGTAATAAACATGCAGAAACATTTTTTAACGTTTTTATAAATGTTTGGAAATAAGCAAACTTTACGATGAGCTTTTCTTCGAATTAAGAATGGTAATTTGAAAAGGCAATAATAGATTTATCCGCGAAAAAAGGCGTCAGCGCGTGCTGTCACGAAAGTTTACGAGCGCAACATCAAGAGCTTTTCGCTACTAATAATTACACAGGAAAGTTGTTTATATTGCATGTTTCTTTTAATTAATAGTTATAATATATTTCGTGTTCGTATTCACAAAAAGAAATTCACGTAGAACTAATAATTGACTGTATCCCATTCCAACCATAGTTAACCTCAAAATTATAACTGCAACACTTCTTTGATTACTAATCACTTACACAGCATTCTAAATATGTACAATATCTAATGCAGATAATTTTTTGTAATATTCATGTGTTTTTTGTTATTCTAGTTTTTAATTTTTAATAACAATATATAAAAAAATATGTCACAGCAAAATTTCCTTATCAACACAATTTTTAATAATTATGTTAGAAACTTTAGGATCATGATGCTATAGTTAGTATCGTGTAATGATTAACACATGGAATATTACAGTGAATGAACAAGAGAAGATGCCTGGCCACCGTCAGCCTAACTCCCTAGAGGGACTTAGCTTGGGACGTGTGTGTCAACAACTCGACGGGACGTGCCGACGGCTGCAGGTGCTTTCACAAGAATCATCTGCTGCTCAAGTATTGGCCTACGCGAAGCAAACTATCAGACCCTACTACATAAATGCACTGCCAGCACGTTTGAGATCTCAAGTTATACAAGAAACTTCCAAACTGTTATATGGACCAGCATCTGATGGATCAACTTTAATCTCTGGACCAGCTCCTCTATATCTATTAGCCCTTCTTCTTGGGCACGATATAAAGCAACTGAAAGTGAATCTCTGTTGCTACTATGGATGTAGCCATCAGACATCGTTATTGAAATTGCTTGCATCAGAAGGAATTGGACTTGAATCTTTAGAATTGGCCAGATCTGCTCTATTAAGATTGGACTGCAAATTATTGCGATCCGCGCTTCTGAACATGAAAAATTTGTTGAGTTTAACTTTGAGAAACATAGCTAGTGATGCAGTGCTTCAAGTAGTAGGAAAAGCTTGTCCAAAACTTGTACTTTTGGATGTGGCTTGTTCCAGACAAGTAACAGATGTTGGATTGAAGCAATTACTGTTGCAAGTAGAACTTAGAGACAAAGTGCCTCATGCTACGATGCAAGAACCTACTAGCTGGTCTCGCCTAAAAACTCTACTTTCAAAATTAAAAATGAGGAATTCTAAATCAGAGAAAAAGGAAAAGCAAGGGGTACTGTTGGAATACTATGAGAGCAGAAACTTTCTCTGTGATACGCTTAGAGTACTTAATGTTGCTAATACTCAGGTGACCAGTACAGGAGTACTTTTGGCATTGGTACACGTTCCAAAATTGGAATCTTTGGCAGAATACAGTCATATGGGAAGAGTGGTGGAAATTATGAATAAAGGGTTCACTGGATTTAGAACTCCATTTAGCCTAACTCAAGCAAGAAGCTGCAGAACAACACCGGTTCGCTTAGAACTTTTAGCACAGGCATGTCCGAAAGTGGAAAAATTACATATCTCAGAGCCTCATCATCCTCCTGAAGCTTTAGGACTATTTCCCTACATTACATCTCTCAGTGTACACAGTATACCTCCTCAAAGAGAATGGTTAGATGGTTTTTACGAATATCTTCGCACCAACGGACAGAATTTACGCGAACTTAATCTCAGAATAACCCAAAACGACAATCTCATACAAGTGGACTTGAAAGAAATCTTTAACAGCTGTACTAATCTCAGAACGTTTACTAATGATGGTTCCAATATAACTTGGAGAGAAGGACCTGATCCTCCTCCCTTAAAGTACTTAAAGAAAATTCAATTGGGACGTATAGTGAGTGCACTTGCTATTACAAAAATTCTTTCACTAGCGCCAGAGTTAACAGCCTTGCATGTACATAGTTGTTTTGATCTCACAAATGAACACTTGGAAAAGTTACTGAGTGCATCAACTAAAAAGAATACACGAAAATCTGATAAATGTGAGAATAGTTTAGTACAAAATCTAACATGTTTTTACATATACGAAGCCAGTAAAGTGTCTGCAACTACTGTGCTGAATATGTTCAAAAATTGTAAGAGACTGAAAAAAATTGGTAATCTGGCAAATTGGGGTTTAGATTGTGAAGGTGTGAGAATGCTAAGAACAACACTGACACGCGCTAATTTGGATGTAGACCTGTGTCCAGGGGCACACTGGTTCTGGAGTAATTGTATTCAGTAACAGCTTTTTTTTAACTCGTTGTATTAAAAAAGCAGCTCCTTAAAAAATTCTGTCCATGACACGATTGGCTGCTATATAATTTGGATCTGTTATACTTGAGTAGACTGTGAAATTGTCAGTATTAAAAATTATCTTAATAAATATAAGGCAATTTATATCGGGAAATACATGAAGAAACATTTTATTATATATTAGGTATAAATGAAAACATAACTGGCAACAGAAATTGGTCATTTTATCATCTACTAAGAAAACTATTTCTCCTTGACTTAATAAACTCAGAATTAACATATCTGTGTAACTCTACAGTTTGTTACAACTGAATGTTGAAATATCTGACAATTATATACTAAATATAACATAAAAGATTATATTACTATGCCATGTTATAATAACTTACTTTACAATAAAATAGTGTTCTAACAAACAAATCAAAATATACTTGTACTATAAACTGTTATTATATAAACTAAAACTTAAAATTCCATTATGAAATGTAATGCCAATAAGTAAATTACGTGATAAAATACATAAAAATGAAAATGGATTGTATTTAACTATAAGGTTTTAAATTGTATATAAGTACTTAAATATTTGAAAGAAGAAAAAAATAATAAATGACTAGATGAATTCAAACTTGGTACACATTTGTACTACATTATAATAAAGATCTACATAGCACAAACTATATACTTATATCACTCTTTTGATTTTAATAAAAATTCTTTAAAAAAGCTAATTCTATTGTTTCAATTTAAAACAGGAATAAGATATATGAATTAGAAACAACTCACCTCTGCCAAGCCATGTGATTGTAGCAAAAGACTGACAAGTTTGGTGTCTGTTTGAAAAATTTTGTAAGTCATGTGCAGTTTCTTTCCTGGTGCTTCCTCCGGAGGGGTCGCCAACGCGGAACATCTGCAAAATAACAAACGATGGTAGAAATAAAATAGGCGTTTTACACGAATCGGACACTGAACAAGATTCAAAACTCACTTGAAGCGCAAAATAGATGTTTTATTTCCACTTGGTCCATTTAACAGCCATTCGTTGCGTTGCGAACTTACGTCCTTCGTTGTGCTATAAAAATACATTTTATGAATCGTTAAATACCCTTGTGATTTAACGCTTTTGAACGTAAAAGTACACAGTAATTGAAACATCCGTTACGACTGGAGCGACACTCGGAAAATTTTTCCCGCAAAAATGTTTCCTGTTCGTAATGTAGCGCCATCAAGCTTATCCGCCGTCGGTAAAAAAGAAACCATACATACATTCATTCAATTTGAATTAAAACTTTTTACGCTTTGAACACATTTTCAATTAACAGTTTTTAGTACTAAAATACTATGTAATTTCTGTTACTATAAAATCAACCAATATACCTTTCCAACGATTCCGGTTTGTGCGGCTTATGTACAAGGGGTTCGAGCGTCTCCTCGCTGCTGTTTGACAATTGTGACATGCCAGGAAGACTAGAAGATGACATCAGTTCCTTAGGTCGTTTCCCTTCTAATTTTTTACTAGAGTTGGCCTTGATTTGAGACAGCATGATTTATCTGAAAATTAGAACGGGAACCCTGGTAAATCGTTCCGCTAGTTTGCCCGTGTGTTAATTTAAATTCTATCAATCACAACGCTGTCAGTATCAGACACTGTAAATTTAATAGAAAACTTTTCCGACTGTGGTACGGTAGATAACGCCAATCTCGTCAGGGACGCGCAAAAAAGATAGCACCTGCAGTTTGAACGAGAAAGTATCAAGCAAACATCTGTTTAAACGCTTCTCGCGTTGCTTCGCGTCGTCCTGTACATCGACAGAAATGTCAATAACTGTATGTGAACGGTGAAAATCGGTGGGACTAACTTTTACCGTGACGTCGCTGACATTCAATAACAGCGTTGCAAAAGAGAACCATCTACATGTATACCCATGAATAATTGATTCATCCAACTCTGGGAATTTCTTTCTTCGGCTATAAGTCTAATGAAAATTATATTTATACCAACTATCCCTATAAGTTTCGTACTCATGGATATTACATCGATTTCTCCATGCTCATCGCTCTTAGAACACTAATGTTAAATGACAACGAATATAACCGAGACGTAACTACGCCTTGACTCTTGCCAGACTTGCCAAGTTTATGTAGGTAATCGGATCAAGGTGCACTACGAAAGATTATTAAAAGACGAAAACGAAATCGAACATTTTCGTGCTCACGACTGACCGACTGCCATAGTCGCGTGACTGCGACACGCCGTCAGGATGATTACCCCGAAATATCATATTACATTGAAAGACTGTGCGCTTGGAATATTATAGCGTACACGTTCGAGTCTCGCTTATTGATTCGATTGATCTTCGCGCATAAAAGAATCAACCATTGCTTTATAAATGTAACCGTTCATTTATTTAATGAACTATGAAATTTCTCTGAGCCTTGCTATGAAGAATGACGAGCAGTTCGAGATCGCCTCATTACGGGCTTGAACCTAACCTTGAACAATCTCGGATCGTAAGTCGTTGAACTTGTTGCGAAACCGGTTGTCATCCTGAAGGGGTAAAAAAAGTCATACTTTATATAAAAAAAGAAAAGAATTGACATTGAACCTAAAGTGCACTTTACACTTCTCTACTGAAAATTCATTGTATTATTAAATAAAAATAAGCACAGGGAATATAATATCACGGAACTATTCTTTTAAAACTTCACGAGTACCCTACAAAGACTGACGCCACTGTCAGGAGTGCGAACGTCAGAAGGGGCGGCCGATAAAAAGGAACTCAACAGGATTCCTTGGATTATTCCATGTAATTATGTATGCACGATACGTCGACATCAACACTGTCGTGACCGATGTATACGTCCTACACTCTCTACGCAATATTATTGACGACATACTTTGTTCTACCCTGTTTGTGCAATTTAATCACTGACGCACCATATGCGTCGTCGTATATTAATTTAAGATTAAAGCGAAGAATGAGTAGTTTACGTGTTACATAAATGCGTGATATGTGAATAGAAGGAGAAAATGATGCTTTATTATGCAATGAAACCCTTGTCTCGTCGTGCACGTGTACTGGAGGGTCCTTACCAAAAAGCCGAATTCGCCGTGCGGTTACGGTACCCCACGCACCGTAACCGGAATGAGAAGCAGGTGACAAACGAACGGATCGATGCATGAGTCAGAATCCTTATTCCAATGTGCCTCGCATATCAACGCGATCATTAAATTTAATGAACTACAGAAATTTAGCCATCGATTCATTTCTAAAGCAAGGAAGAGAAAAAAAAAGAACAGACATCGTTCGATGCGAAGAGAAAACAAAAGCATAGGGAGGTTCTGACATATGTCAAAATTCCTAGTCTCCTTACAGACGTCTTAATGCGGTAACCCCTACAAAAAAATAAACACAACAAAATCACTGATCATTGCGAGCGAGGATATAATTAAGGATAACGTGTCGAAAAATAATGTGAGAACATGCACGAGTACCAATGCCAGAAATGGAAAGGCAACGAGAATGGACGAGGTTGCAATTACTCCGGAACCCATTAGGAAGAGCGCCAGAATCGGTAACAAGTGTGACCGGAAATCGGTGGAGACGATATCGTTCCCGACGTCCGGAATCGCGCGTTTGCCGGTGGAAATCATTTTCGAAATTCTTTCTTATCTCTCCAACGAGGACCTTTACGCGGTCGGTCATGTGTCCAAGCTCTTCAAGATACTCGCTCATGATCCCTTTCTATGGAGAACTTACGAGGTAACACCCTGAAACTTCTATAAACGATTCTGGGTCGACTTTTACTTTGGACCGTACAAAATGATCTCGGCGCTCGTTTTGACGGAATACCTAAAACGTTCTCTCGTTTTTCCTCTACGTTTCTTCGTTATTAGGTGACGAACGACGGGCAAGATACATCCGAGGTGATCAAGGAGTTGAAGAGGATGCCGTTGCTGAAGAAATTCAGCATAAGCGCCAGATCGGACTGCGACGACATACTGCGTCATGTTTCGTTGTCGAACAAAAGCCTGGAAGAACTGCACGTTTCTAACTGTACAGGTTCTATTCCCGTCGTCATCAGCTTCTCTTCCTTAATTAAGTTTCTTTCTCTTCTTACCACGATACTTGTATCGGCGAAGCAAAACAGGAGAACCTTTTTTTTCTGGCTCAGGTTCAAAAAACTCTTTGCTCACCTCTCGTTCCTTTCGTGTCTCGTCAGATATGCCTGACTCGCCCTGCGTCGATGAAAAACGCAAGAACGATGAAAGAGAAAGAGATACGACGAGAAAATGGAACAACAAAGACGGGCTGGGAGGTTTTTGGCTGCGTGTCAAGCAAGAAAAAGAGCCGCACCACTCTGCTTTCGCTATGTTCCCTCTAATGGTGCATCGTGCTTTCTCCTCTTTTTGCACGCCGATTAGGTACTTTTCTTGCGAGTCGACAAACCGTGCCACGCAGTCATAAAAGGGGTTGTGAATTTCTATCGATTCGCGGGGCCGTTTGCGTACACGTTTCAGCAAATGGGATGCGCTGTTTGACCTGGCAACCGTGTTTACCAACCGGCTTATCGCTTAATTAGTATTCCAAACACGTCCCTTCGGTTGCATTCAACCGCAGTGCAGGTGACGAAATGGTCACGGAACGATCGGTCTTTCTTTTAACCCTTCAATTCAAAGGAAACGTTGAAATTCATGCTTCATAATAGTCCAGATAAGCTCTGTCACAGATTACACTATGTATTTCGTTTTAACGAGGAAGAAATATTGAAACCTTCATTGATGATTTATCAACAGCTTGTGAAAGGGAAAATCGCCTTAGGGAAACATCCACCCTTCTATTTATCCAGTGGCATCCCCTTCCAAAGAGGTCCACGAATGAAACTCCTCTTTTCTTCCCTCTATCCTTTGTTCTCCCTTTCCAAAAGGCTCATTGTATTCAGCCATTTAACCAAATATCCTCTTTCCAGGTTCCACCTCGAAATTGTATCTATGCTCGGGCCACCTGATCCGGGTACTGGAGAGGTGCCGTAAGTTGCACACGATCAATATACTCGGGAGCAGATTCCGAGGTCGTAAGTTCTATCGGCTATTGGGCGACATGGGTCCACGGCTTAGGACCGTCTACGCTCCAGCCACTAGATCGCAGTTCTGCACGTTCATCAAGCACGCCCGGCTGATCAGCGAGATCGATCGCGAAAGGATCTGTTCGATGTACATCGGGGCGAAAAGTTGGGCGCCTTTGTACTACTTCGTAACTAAACAGGCTAATCGTGTGTGCACGGCCCTGATCAGCTACCTACACAATGACATTCTGTTGATCGACGTGAATAGACCGATTCATAAGCTGTCGATCACTGAGAGAAGAGACCTCTGATGAGATCACGAGAGACATCGGCGATCGATACACTCTGATCTTCGTTGCAACTTTGATATAATTTTAATTGCATAAGTCAGTGTTTGATAACCGATGTCCCCGATCAGGAAGTTGTACAGTGGAGAACATAGATGTTCTTTATTAAGTAATAACTCATTCTCGTCGCTGTACAAAATTTGATTTTTTCCATGTAATTTTAATTCCCCCAGTCTGTGAATATATTGTATATGTACGTGGTATGAATTATATACATGTATATTTTGTTCCACGCAGGTGCATTCTTTTTTTTTTTTTAAAGATCTTCTGAGATCTAGGTTCGAGGAAGTAATCTCAAGGCGATCTACACGGGTCGATCGGTGTGTAAATGTCAGCCGACACGAGGGGTGAGTTTCCATCGGCTTTAAATAGAGAAATCTGGGATGTGTTGAACGAAGGATCAGACGTTCCTCTAATAATAACACGATCAAGTTTAACGTTCCATTAAAAGTCACGGCTCTTTATGTCGCGACACAAACTTTTCAGAACGTCTTACTATGAAAAAGTTGTAAAAGAAAAAATGAATCATCCTCACGTGCAGCATGGTCGTTGTCTATTCAATTAAATGGATCCGTTAGTGTTGCAAGGGTCTAGATTAATAGGGCTCTCAGTTTTCGACGGTTAATTAAAATCAAACTTTCCCTGGATCGCGGGACACGCGATCGTCTGTGACGAATGGATCGATCGATTTCTATTACGCAAATGGTAACGAGTTCCGGTTTAATGTTCACGAGGTTGGTTCGTCGATCGCGTGGTTCCTGTTACCTACGATCATTTGCATTCACGCGTACCGTAACGATATTTTACAGGTAATTTGCGGATATTCCGGTGTATTCCGAGCCATGAAACACGAGACTCCCGTAAGGATAGCAATTTCTTAACAGTAACTACCATAAACGCAGACTTCCGTCTATTAAAGGCAACAACCAGTTACGTAGACGTTTTCAACAAACTTTCAGCTTCAAATTGATACGCCATAAACGCCATTTTGCGGTATTTGTAAGTCATCAAATATGATGAGAACTTCTTTGTTTCTGTCAGTCTCATCTGCAATTCTTCTTTCGGCTGTGTTTACGAATGACCCCACCAAAATTGAGAACTCAGGTTCGGTATATAACCTAAATTAACTACAAGAAACCGATTAAAGTTGGTCTCAGCTGGATGTCTTATCGTTTTCGCGATATCGTGGTAAGGTTAGGTTAGGTTCTGTGTATGCGCAATATCGAATAGCGCATGCGCAGTGTCGAATAGCGCATAGTCCCAAAATTGTACAAAAATTTCTTACCACGATATCTCAAAAACGGTAAGACATCCAGCATTGAAACCAATTTTAATCGATTTCTGGTAGTCAATTTAGGTTATGTACCGAACCTGGGTTCCCAATTTTGGTGGGGCCATTCGAAAACTTATCCCTTCTTTCTTGTATATCAATCGCCATAAAAGCAGTAAATCGCGTCGCCTTTCGAGTCAGAATAAATAAGGAAACGCGTGGGTCGAGCATTGGCGATCGATAGAGGGGTGACCCAAAAATTTCCCAAGAAAATGGGTAACGAGTATTTAAACACTGGAGGAGACGTTGCAATTAAGCAAGCTACAGCTACACAGAATTAAGTAGGAGGAAGCGCGAGGCTACATGTTAACGATCCAATAACACGACACTCATTACTGAAACGAGCAACAGGGAAAGTTGCAACTTTACGTCGAGAGGCTGATTTTGACTGTGTCGGTATGAAACACTTTCCTGCACGCATCGCGAACGAAATTAGAGTATCTGGAGCATGTCTTGCCGGTTAGCAGCCTTTCGAGACTGCATTGCGCTTGCTGACCATCGAAAGCTCGCCAGTTTGACCGATAAAAGAAGGATGAAGCAGAAAATAGCTGAGAGATCTTCAAACTGGAACGCAATAAGATCGCTGCTTTAAAAGAGGAAGGTGTTCTTCAAATTATACAGGGTGGTCCAAAAGAACCTGTATAATAATTCCAAGAGTAGTACAACCCTAAAGAAAATGATTCTATGTGAAATTCGAGAATAAATGTTTGATTTAGAGAAGAGATTTCAAGGATCTACCACAGGATATCTTAAAAAAGAAGAAAAAGGGTCTTTACCTTATTTTTTTTTTTTTCAATTGTTTCAATAGTTCACGGCACCTCTATCGATCACACGCGAAACAAACGAATCACGATTGTGAGTTAACAAGCGGGTGGTTCGAACTCGCGTGATATCTATGTAAATGCAGCCCATCCTGATCGCGCCCGCAGCGATCACGACATGCCGCGATATAGACGTAATCCTCCCACTCATTCACAGGACCGCCAACAGGTATTTCCGATAGCTCCTACGTCGAATAACAAAGTAGTCTGGAAACGTGGAACCGTGTAAACGGCCTTTGCTGGTCACTTCCTCTTCGTTCGGCCATCGACTGGCCCGGAAGTAACGTACGGTACCTGTCCGTTTCGTTACATCATCGTAAAACGATACCGTTCGCGATGGACAATTAACTGTACCGCCCGTCGTTCCGCTCGATTAATCATTTTCGATCGCGATTTACCATAACCTTAAAAAATGTTTTATTAAAAATGAATCAGAGGTTAATAACCTCAAATGATAATTATATGCCCTTCGAACGATAACCATCTTTCTTTCTGTTATAATTTAGTAGAGAAATTAAAAAAGAAGGTAAGGAAAAAAACAAAAGTAGCCTGTTTGGTCTCAAGCATCAAGTATTCCTCTGTCAAGTACAAAGAAATCAGTATTGTTCTATAACCTCTACCATTCCAACGCGTTATTGAAATTCTATTTACATCAGCTAGGTGGAACGCGTTACGCCACTTGCTCGTTCTTGCATGCTACGATTAAGAGAAATCATGTTTAAAGCCCTCTCCCTCCGTTAATCTGCACAATAGGTGCCCTCTATACATATAAACGAAATCATGCGACGATTAGTGTTACTTGTTAAACTGCATTTCGATTTGTATCGCCCAGTTTTATAATATTGCGAAGTAACCTAGAGACATTTATTGCTGAATCAATTCACTTGAGTCAGTCGACTGCGCGTAATTACTTTCGTTCGGTATTAAGAAAGTTGTTCAATCGCAATAACCGCAGACGTAATACGATTTCACTTTATCAATCGTACGGTTAGTCCTCGTTATTAGATGAACGATTATGTGCTGTAATAATGAACTAAGAAAAGCATAAAACTCCCTAAAAATCAAGGGGATTAAAATCAAATTTATTTACAAAATCGCACACGTTTTGTACAATGATTGCTATTTCGACATATCGTTGCGATAAGCGATAATCGAGTGAACCGAAATTCTATTGTACGCACAATCGATTCGCCTCGATTAGGATCGATTAATCGGTTGAATGGGTTACGTTTGTCCATGTGTAACGTTTGATACGAATTCAGTGCCAAGCATCGAGTAAACGACACGATTGTCATTTTAATCGGTTAACGTAACATGCAGTTGTGAAGGGTTTCCTCGTGGGAACCCCATCAAACACTTTACGCATTACACGGTAAGCAAATATAATGGCGAATTCAAGAGAAAGAATGTAACCCTTATTTGCTGCGCTAAGTCAAAGTTTCACGTTGTTGAATTACGTTTCTTTCTGTTCTGGTAACGCTTTCGACACAATTTTCTCTTTTACCAATTGTGCGCTCGTAAATCAAGATAGAAATCTCGCTACCGTGCGCAGTTCTATTAATCGTATTTCCTGTGCGGTTGGTGAAAGATGCGATTATCGATAGAATCGAAGACGCGTGCAACGAATTTCCTCAAAATCGTACATGTTATTGAGCAAACTATTAACTACAATCGATGCGTCACGGATTTGAGAAACCAGATCGATTGATAGTTTCGATTGTATTTGAGATAAAGGCGGCATTTAGATTCGAAAAAGACAAAAGAGAAACAATCGTGATATTTGATATCTCTATTCGAAGAACAACCGTCTTATTTCGATTTAACATTTAAGATGACTATTAGAAGAAACCCATGTGCTAGGATTAAAATAGAACGCGTAAAAATAAACCATGCTTTCCGACGAGCAAAGCAAAGAAGCGGGTGTCGGAAGTTTAAACAGACGGCATGGCATCATCGAACGTCATGAAAATAAAAATTAATTCGTGGTCGAAAAATCCTTCAAGATGGCCAAAAATCAAAAAGTATTTAGAAAATACGCATGTTTAATTACTATTTTGCGTGAGTTTCATGTATTGGTAATTAAACAGATAATAGACGGTTTTAGAAACTATAGAAAAACTGTCCAGTTAAAATACGAGTCAACAAAAAACAAAAACAAAAACTAGTACATAAACCTAAACGGTCCATCAACTCAGCTGAGAGGAAAAAGGATGATGCTTGTCACCCTGGCAGACGACGTGTTGGCCGCGTGCTTAGCAAACAATGAAATGTATGTGTTTTAAGGGATTTTATAACATAACTCACCAGCAGTTGATAGGACGGTGAATTTTTATCGAACTTCCGGACGAATAAAACATTACTATCAACGATTCACTTGAAATTATATCGGGATAAAGAGAAAACTTTGACAAACCGCAGCCATACCGTATGGCAGCACGACGAAGACTGCCTCTATCAACCGAAAGTCGAACTAATGCAAAGTACATCCCGCAACAAAAGTTTTCATCTTTGCTGAGAAAATGTACGTCCCTGCTTTTCGGTGTGTCTGTACAAGATAAAAATAGTCGGCAATTCCGCGGGAATACACAGCCACGTGCAACTTAGGCTTTCCATAGTTAAGGGGAAGTATAAGGGATGAAGTTTCCCACCACAACCCTTGTTTGTCCATGTTCTTTATATAGGAGGAAAAGGGATTCTATAGTCCGTCCAACGAGACGAGTCAGCAAATGTATACAAATTCTTGGGCGCGAAGCAGGATCGGCTTACGGTATATTGATCCCTACATACTAAAAAATAAAAAGCTACTTTTTTTGGAACAATAATAATAAGTGTAAAGTCATCTCCCAAAATCATGACAAATAATTTTTGCGCATCCTATATACGGGATTTTGCTATGATCACGGTGTGCGTATTTGAAAAAAGGTAAGTTCCCCCCCCCCTTTTTTTTTACGTGGAAGAAATCTTCAGAAGACACCCCCCGCCCCCCTGGGGAGGAGCCGGGGGTAGTGTGGGATTTATACCCACTAAAATCTCCACGGTGGCCTGCACAGGACCTCTGAAGAATACACCGGGACCGACGCTAACAAGTTCCCCCCTGCCTTTCTAAACAAGGGCCCACGGCAAGAGACCGCCGAAAGTTGGCCCTGAACTCGACCCTTGACAGCCAATAGTAAGAGCCGTTAACATCTATCGCGTGGACACCACGCAGCTGTTTTGTTTACATCAGTTTACATTTACTGACCCTGTTACTGACTCGTTTCGTTGGACGGACTATAGGTTAGATTCATCCAGGAAACTGCTGATAATGTTAGATCACCACAAATGAAAGCAAATCATATTTTTAAAAAGTATATTTATTTTTCATGTTTAATAATACACAAATTTCATTAGTTGGTTTTATACACTATAAGTAATAATTATTTTGCCTTTTTTGCATATTTATCCTCTAGTTCGTGTAATTTGCAGTCAAGTTCTGCCATGGAATATGTCCTTTTTCTAGTTGGTTTAAATGTTCCTTTAAGGCTATTAATATCTTCTTCTTTCTGTAAAATAGAAAAGGTTGAATGAATAGAAACATTAGATGATTCATAAAATTTCATTGTATCCAAATGAAACTTTACCCAAAAGTCTTTGTATTCAGGAGAAATGCCTTCTAAATACAATATTCTGTTTTCAATATTTTTAAGTCGTTCATATATATCTTTAGGAACAGGTCTATTTATTCCAAGAATCCTTTCAGTGGTTGAGATTCTATCATCTAATACAGATGAATAATTACTATTTGTTTGATTCATTCCTGACATAGAGGCCTTCCGTAAGGTATGGTGATCAACCATTTGTGGTCCCCATGCATTGAGTACTCTGTGCACTGAACAGATTCACATATAAAAATTTCATCTTCTGATCGTTGTATTACTATTATTTTACATTACCTTTAACGTGGCTTTTAGAATCTTTTCTTCTAATAAGGATAGCGTCTACCCTTGCACATGAATCTTCATTTTCATCACTTTGATCTCTAAAATGCAGTAAGGATACTGTATAAATATTATATAAAACAGTTTTTTATAAATGTTTCATATGTTAACCTGTGACAACAAAATTCTTGTACATTTACAATGTTCACTTGCTGACGTTTTCTTTCAATAAAAGAAGATATTCTGTGATTCAATTCGTCAGGTGTGGCACGAATTTGAACGAGATTTGGATCAATTATAACTTTAGAGTCTTCCTCTTCCATTTCTTCTTCTTCTTCTTCCTCACTGTTAAATAGATCAGAATTTTCTACCACAGTTTCTACTACCTCGTTTGATATTGCAATCATATCTTCTGATTCTTCTGAATCTCTTTTACTATTAACTGTGCAAAATAAATATTTGATTTGTAAGTACTTAATGAATCATTAGTAGATTTGAAATGGGTAAATGGTTATAAGATCATAAAAATGTTATCATCAATTTATTAATATTTATGTATGCATTCAATATAAAATATATATTTTTTTCAATTTTTTAAAACTCAACAATACATTATTCAAGCACCATATATATTATTTTCATATAATTAAATAAATGCATTTTAGGTTTTACATACATTTTCTTTTTAACTAATACTTCAATGATATAAAAATATTATTTACTATTTGACCAGGAACATTCTTGATTCTCTTTCCATTGAGTTTCTTGCGTATCATACACTTCCTTCTTCCAAATTGGGACTGAGGCCTTCAGTGCATTGATAGCATACTCAACAGCTTTCAATGATTCTTCCCTGTGAGGAGATGAAATAGCAATCATCACACTTGCTTTGGATACTGGTACTTCTCCAAGACGATGATAAATAGCAATATGATGGACATTCCATTGAGAACGAATTTTTGCACATATATTATTCATTTCTTTTAATGCCATTGTTTCATATGCTTCATATTCCAATTTTAGTACCTGTGAAACATATACATAAATAATACGTTCAAATTTATAGTTGAAATTAACATATATACCTTTTTATTATTAAAATTATCACGAGTAACACCAATAAATGTAGATATAGCTCCACAATTAGGAGCTATAACTAAACTAATCATTTCTTCAATGTTTAGTTCTTCCTGTTGCAATTTAACACTGTCTTTTGGAGTTTCCATTCTAACCTAAAAAATCCACAAATAGAATTTATACTTTTCTATATTAATATGTATCATTAATATTATAGATTTACTTGTGAAATACGAACCTCCACTGAGCGGTGGAATAACTGCAATTTCGTCTTTTTCGGAAAATAGTAATGTTGTATCCGAAGAAACGAATTCTTCATTCACCGCTAAGATTGCGGTATCTCGTATACTTTCTAATTTAAATTGACTAATTACTTTATCCACTAAATCAGCATATGATAATCTCTGTGGAATAGTAATATAGCATTTTTGTTTTCCTGTTAATTCTCTTGCTTTGGCAAAAAATAATATCTTCACTTGTACTTCACCAGCACTGTCACCCATTACGGAATGTCTGCATATAATGATATAATAAGTCTACAAATTCCTGGAAAATCTTTATCACACGGTATATAATTATCAAGATATCGAAGCTTGTTATGTAAGTGATCCATCATTTAAAATAATAGATATTCCATTAATATTCGAAACAAGGTTATGTTCCTCTCATAAAGGTCTTAAACAATCGATATACGTTGTCAATACTTCAGTATTATTGATACTATTAAATGTATGAGATGACGTTGATATTGATAAAATGAATGAAGTAATTTGATGAAAATCAAAATATATTTAATATCAACAAAATACTGGTAATATTAATCACCTGAGAGTCATTATTGACAATACTTCAGTTGGTACTAAAGTGATCTATAGATCTATAGTTAACAGGTATACTGATTGGTTTACACCTGTATCATATAGAATTTAATTTGACTGATATTATGTTTGTTAATAACTGATTAGTTTTTTATCTATAAATACTGATAAATAAGAATTAATTTTATTTAAAAATGTAGAGGATTGACTGTATTGTAAGACAATGCCATAAAGATGAAATTGGTGAACTATTTAATAGGAATAAAATTGGGAAGGATAAAATCTGATCAAAAATTTGAGGGGAAGATTTCATAAATTATATTTTAACCAAAGAAGAACTTGGTATATCATATTGGCATTCAATATTAAAGTCAGTATTTCCTATTAGCACTATTACTCCCGCCTTCCACATCACCGGCGGCAGTGCCGGTTAAATTACGTGGTTAATCAGACTAGGATTTATGTATATTAGAAGAAGTAGGTTAACATTTTTTATCATTTAAAGTTCTAATGATGTTACGTTAATGGTGTAATATCTAAATAACTACCACTTTTAAACAGCAATCTATCAAGTAGTTGAATAAATAGTCGAGGTGTAAAAAGAATATTCTTTATTTAAATTACAATTTGTTATATACCATAAAACAATCAGAATAATATAATTTCCAAAAAATTAACAAAATGCTACTCTATAGATCGACGGGAGTACCTTGTATCATACATATTAAGGTCAACCAAGAAATGAGGTCAACGTAGCAAAGAATCGTACTGTTCCGCCTGCATAATATTCAATGTACAAGATCTAATATATTTGTTAAATTATTATTTCAAATGTTTCGATCAGATAACAATCACTTCATCTAAAACATCGTAATACGTTATGTATTAGAGACAAATTGCATTTATATAAATATTCGTGTATATCAGGGTTTCAAAACGTATAGAAATCTAATCTTATCGGTATTAGAGATGAGAAACTTTATAAGACACACGACCCGCAATTTTATGAGTAATGTATTAACAGTAATACGTCGATGTGTTGGTAAACGACGTCCTTGGATAAGCATTTAAATGTATGCATCGTGCGTGCGGCACAATGTGCGCTCACGCTTAAGTATAGATGGACAGCCTGCTAACCCAAAGTCTAAAAGAGTGCAGGGATCTAGCTCGTTCACTTGAGTTGCTGTGATACAAGGACGATACACGTTAAAGGAACTTATTCCTTTAACGGTTAGGTAACATTCTTAAGAACAATCTAGGTATCACAATCTACTTATATGTATACATACATATTATTCAGAAATGCTACCTCATCTAAACGCTGAACATATGACGCAGTTAGGAAAAAAAAAAAAAGAATGATTCCAAGATCGTTGCTCAACTTAGCCACTTTTAAAAGGCCAAAGTCATTTTGGTTTTAGGTAAACGTTACACCTATCACAGGAAAAGTTCCGATACATAAATTTCAGCGCATTAGCGATAGGGCTTAAAACCATTGTGTATGCTATGCATTCGTTGACATACATACATATACATCAAGTGTAGAAGTTCAAAACGAATGTAATCGACAGCGAAACACGGTGTGTGTCGCATGGAAGAGAAGTGCAATCGAGCGAGGTCGTGTGGTGATTATATACCGAGTAACACTAGTAGTACCATCGCTCGAAAAATTCATGACAACGTACACTCCGATGCAACGTAGAATACTCTTGGTTAAGAGGAAAGGTAGGAGACTCCGACCATTAAATCCTGTAAGAAGACCCTAGGGAGAGACTGACACATCTCCTGTCCTCATAGATAAAAAATATGGTGGAATAAGGTGAATGGCGGGATATTTCTTCCCCTATACTTCCGCTTAACTAAGCGAAGCCGAAGTTGCACGAGACTGTACATGCATGTTACATGCAGCAACATAATTGAATCTGAGAGACAATCGCGGGACTTGTACACGCGAGGCGACACAATCCGATGTGTTTGCGCGTTTAGTTCAAACGTGTACCAGACTTTTAAAAACATAAGAGGAAGTGTCACGGGATGGACAAATTGGTTCGCACAGGTGAGACGATGGAAGATCCGGATATGTATTGCGCGCACGTGTCTGAACCGTAGTTTGGGTTATCAGGTGAACGTTTAATAGTACTCAGGAGCCACCTCGTGGCCTAAAGGCAACCTTTCGGGTGGAAGAACCGCGCGATTCACGAATTGTCGCTCTTGTCGTTTCAACGATGAGTTGCATTCAGAAACTAAGTTGTAACAGCATTGCGACACGCGAGTGTGATCAAAAGCTTGTTGTGTGTGTATATAGCACACCGATTTATTTGTCATGCGAAATGAATTTTTATCTACGTAATTACGTATCGTCTGACATCACTGCAACTTCGGACTTTACTCCTTTTCGATAGTGGATCCTCTTATTGGTTGAAAGAAAGAAAATTTGTGTATCTTCTTCAAGTAAATTTTAAGAAGTTGAAACACGGGTTACAGTGTTACTCGTATATTACAATTCAGTCACATGTGCGCGTGATCGGTATTAGAAAACAATATGTTCAAGTTTTAACGATGACTGCATTGTTTCCTGCTCATTGCAAGAAAACGTTGCGTCGATCGTGCACACCGATAATGCAGTAATCTTGTCGATCTTTCTCATTTAGATTTTCCCGTGCAAATTTACAATTTTTATTTCTTTTTAATGTTAATCTAATAAGGGCATTTAGTTGACTCACTTTGTGTGAAAAGTAACGTTAAAGGGAACACATTTTTAAACACGTGATTCATTAACGTACCAATCGCGCACCGTATCTATGTTCTTTCCTTAGATAAGATACTTAAAAATACTTTCTTTATGCCCTAACTGTATGCACTTATAGAAATATTAATATAGAATATATGTACACAGACATATATGTTCTATGATTTCACTTTCGATAAAAAATGATATTCCATTTGAGTATCAACAACTAACGGATATTCTGATCGATGTATAGTTAAAAAGGTATATCACAACTATGATGAAATAATGGTAAATTTTCGACAATTCAAACGCCGATACGTTAATCGTAACACGTATCTACACATGGTGATAAAAAGTGAACCAAACATCGTGCTTGATAAGCGAGCAGGATTCTACTTTTAAAATCATTGCTAGGAAATCAAATGCATCTTATTCACTTGCACATGAACTATGATGTCATACTGCAGTGCGCACCAACGGCAACAAGATTAACGGCCTTGAGAGGAAAAATATTTTTATAGCATAGACAGTTTTCTCTTAACACGTATTATCTAATACGTTAATATCTAATATTCGAATTAGATTTTCTCTTTTATGAATCGTAGACATTATGTACCCGTACATACATACATATACGTTAAATGCAACAACTGCTATAGTAAGTCGCAAGTGCAGCTGTGCGACGGTTTAGGAGTAAAATCGATCGATAGTTATTCGTTGATCTAACTTTGATTCATATAATAGACGATACGTGATGCGCATTAGAAACCATTAAATCGTTTATGACGAGATACCGAACTATATAATAAATTATGTAATATAACGTCGAATAGTCAACCGTCAATAAAAGAAAGTAAATCAATAAAGATGAATTTCGAGATAAATAATTAATTTGAAGGTACAATGTGTAGATTGACGATCAAGATCAGTTTGATCGAATTTTAAATAGTTTTGTGGAAAGTGTACGCGTGAACGCATAAGGGCCCAAAATAATGACGCCCCTGGTGCAGGTTGAGTAATACGTCCCTGCAGAACGGAGCCCGCGAGGGCTGGTGGGAAAGAGAGAGGCGGGCTAGCGATCAGAAGTTGATAGAGGAGAGACGAGGATAGAGAGGGCGAGAGAGGAACGCGAGGGCCGAGGCACACCATCGAGTATCAACCAGCTGGTTGGCAAGGCAGCCGCGAGCAGTCGCCAGTGAGACGCGGTACCCCGCGAGGGCTTTCGTCGTTTGTTCCGTTCGTCTAATCGTGTGTCTATATGTCCGTCATCTCCCTTCCGCTTAAACCTATCGTGGTCGTGCGTACGTTCATTCGTTCGTCCGGTCCGTGTGTGGTGCGTCTCCCTTCGCCTGCTTTCAACGACACTTGCCACCGGTCGGGACTATCGTCTCTGTGTCAAAGTACATCTCTGTCTTTCTCTCTCACTCTCTTCGTTTCTCTTGGCGTGCCCGACCGAAAAGACAAGATGGCTGCCGACTCAGGAATGGAGACGTGTCCCTCCCCGGAGATTGCAGACTCCAGGAAGCGGCCGCTCGATTGTGACGCGGAAAATGGCGCGACGAAGAGGTCTCATTACGGATCAGGTATTTTAATTACCCGTTGTCATTGATTTTTTTGTTGACCGCAACGAAACATTCCCTACGTACCTTCATAGCGATGTTCCTATACTCGTACGAACCGATAAAATACACGCACAATAATTCTCTCCTTCTCTCTCTCTCTCTCTCTCTCATTTGCCCCTTGCTCTTTTTTATCTTTCTCTTTTCCTTGCTTTCAATGCCTATTCTTTTTACTCTCTCACGCGCCTTTGACAATCTTGTCGCTGGTGCTGCTGTTGACACAGCGATCGCTCGCTCTGCCGTTCCCTTTCGTTTCCCACTTCGAAGTCTGGCGAACGTGTACACGAAGGCGAGAACGCGAACACGGTGCACCGCACAGCGGTTCGCGCATCCTCTCGTGCCACGTCTCCTTCTCTTTTTCGTCTCCCCTTTTTTTTCCCCAAATCTGTTTGATATCTTCAGTCCGATATCGTAACCGCGAAATCGTACGTGACACCTGTAACGGTGTTTTTTTTACGTTGACGTTCATTTTATTATTGTCAACGTCATCGTTGTCATCGTTTTCGTCTTGCTCGTCGTCGTCGTCGCCGTCGTTGTCAGTCCTCTCCCCCCAGTCCATTCCTCGTCACCCATCGTCATCGTCAACATCGCTGGCTCCTTTTCCTTCGATTTCGTTTTTTTCCTTGCCGTCGTTGCTGTCATCGTGGCTCTTGTACTCTTATCCTTAGTTCTTAGTCGTCGTAGTTGTCGTCGTCGTTATTATTCCTGCGTGGGCGGCTGTGCCTGTGGAAACGTTGTTAATGGAGAATCGCTGCTGCGGTGGCTGTCGAACACGCTCCGTGACTCTGCAACTTCGTTTCTGTCGCGGCCGTTTCATTGGACGTACGATCGCTAGCTTTGCGACAGGAACGTTAGAAGTGGTTCTACGTCAAGTATCGTCCGTACGCATATTGTTGTGTACATTTCTCTGCCGCATTCCCGTAGTGCAGTGCCGTGGTCGCTGTTGTCGCGTAACCGCCTTACTAAGGAACTCACTGCTACCCGTTCAGTGGCAGTCACTAGGATGTGGCGTATCGGTGAGTTGTCAGGCACACCGTTCCGCTGCCGAGGTTGCGGGTCAAGGTCGATAACGAAGCGAGTGAGCGAGCGCACAGGGCTTCCATCTGTCAAACAGCTGTTTGCCTTCAACGCATCGAAACTTTGTGTCATTCCGTATTACATTTCCTTCTTCTTTCGTTCGACGATTACGCGATACATTTTTTTTTTCCGTCGTCCGAACGCCGTTTCGCATTGCTATCAGTCGAGACGCTCGCGTGTACACGAGTACGGTTAACGATTTCGCGTTCCTTCGATTCGGTGTCCAATCAAAAGTCAAAAGTTTCGTCACGAATGTCGAAGCTACGTGATATTTAACAAAAAGTATTACAAGATCGTTCGACAGCTATCTTGAATGTTAAAGTTCAACGACAACAATTTAATTTATGCACGGTATATTTATTAGCAGCGTTTTGATTAGAAAGAAATATGAAGTGTTATCGTATGCGTGTATTTTATTAAATTCGTTGTATTTATTTAATTATTGTATGTTTTTAAATTAATCTTTATGTTTTATTGTTATCTTATTCTCATCAATTCAACAAACATGTACCCTCTTTTTACATTGATACATAAATAAAATAACAGAATTTTATTTGTTTATTTTTTCTATAAATATTTTATACATAAGTGCTACGTATCGTTATGTCTTTTATACAACTAAAATAATAAGCTTTGGTCATTGTTTGTATTCGATAGGAGGAGATGGAACATATCACCTCAAAGTATTGGTCCCTGGTGTGGCTGCAGGAGCTATTATCGGAAAAGGTGGAGACACGATTGCTCAATTGCAAAAAGATACCGGAGCTAAGGTTAAAATATCTAAATCACACGATTTCTATCCAGGTATGGTAGAAACATTTCCATGCGTTCTACTTGTCGTTACAGTATTCGTATGGTTTTCAGGAACGACAGAAAGGGTGTGCCTAATAACTGGTAGTATAGAAGCTATAATGGCAGTTATGGATTTTATTATGGATAAAATACGTGAGAAACCAGATCTCACATTAAAGACAACTGTTGACTCTGAATCAGGAAAGACCACGGCAGAGAGGGACAAACAGGTAAATCCTTTTTTTTTTTCTTTTATTTACAAACATTATTTTGACACTGGTTCTTATTAATGTTGTCCTAGTTATTTATTATAGTAATGCGTAAACAAAAATAAATGCAATTTTTTAGGTAAAAATTTTGGTACCTAATAGCACCGCAGGGATGATAATAGGTAAAGCTGGAAACTATATTAAACAAATTAAAGAAGAATCTGGCTCGTATGTTCAAATAAGTCAAAAGGCAAAAGACGTGTCTTTACAAGAACGATGTATAACGGTAATCGGGGAGAAAGAGAACAATCGAAATGCGTTAATGATGATATTAGCTAAAGTGGCGGACGATCCACAAAGTGGTATATGCCCCAATGTTAGTTATGCAGATGTAAGTGGTCCTGTAGCTAATTACAATCCCACAGGCAGTCCTTACGCTCAAGCGCCTACAAGTACACCGACGTATACTTCTACAGCTGGCATTAATACAGGTATTGTTTTAATAATTTCAATAAAATAATTGTTATGAAACTAATTGTGTGAATGAAGATTATGTAACCGAATGAACTGATTCATCTATCATCGTATATTTCTGTTCACAGTGAGTCTTTTGAACGGTGCTGGTCTTAGTTTGAACTTGAACTTGGGAGCTGCAATAACAGCTGGTACCGCACCAGTGACGACGCAGTTGTTGGAACACATAAAGTTAAATCTACGAACAGCAGGTTTCTCGGAACCTGCTGCTAGCGAAATTTTATCAGCGATTGCTACTCTCGCTAAGTATAATCTCCTTGGAATGGGGATTGGAATGCCATCGAGTATGAGTTACCTTGGAAATCCTATGGATAGTACCACAACGGCAAATGGTTCGAACAATAATGGCGGCGTATTTGGGCCAATCGGAACGGTTCCTGCCCTTGGATCTACATCACCTACACCACGTAATACACTTGATAGATACGAGGCCTTTGATCCGTTCAGACAAAACAACACCGCTGCCAGTGCTATTCATCTGAACAACAATTCGTTTGGCCTGGGTACTAACCAGTTATCACTTGTAAGTAAGAGTCCTACACAGGTAGACGTGAACAACAAGGAAACCAAGAAAGTAGACATAGAAATTGCAGAGGTTATAGTGGGAGCTATTCTTGGACCCGGCGGTCGTGCCCTGATTGAGATACAGCACCTAAGTGGCGCCAACATACAAATCTCTAAGAAGGGCATGTTCGCTCCTGGTACCAGGAACCGGATAGTGACTATCACGGGTTATCCTAATGCGATCGGCACTGCTCAATATTTAATTGAGCAGAGGATTAGCGAAGAGGAAGCAAAACGAGCACGTCAAAATGCCCTCGCCAGTATGATCAATTGATTTCAAGTACAGCACTTTTGTTCATCCCCATTATTGAGCTCCGTTATTCATCTTTTCACATCTTGAGATGATGCTACGGTAGCTCTCTCTTCCCTTCTTTAAAGAAAAAAAAAAAAAACTCGTCCACTACCACCTACCACCCGTTGTCATCTGTCGCAACATCACTAATAGCGCTTGCATTCTCACATCACTATTCATGCATCCATCATGGCTCGTCAACATTTATCTATCTTTTAAGATTATTATGATATATAAATATTATATGTTAAATGATAACTACTACAATTGTTCTGTGATACACCACGTTACGGGGCTTTATCACAAATAACACACACGTACCACATCAGAGTCACATAATATATCTAGTTGTATGGTATAGGATATTGAAAACATGGCATGATAAAACTATATAATTACATTTAGAAACGAAATGGCACAATTTGGCCGCAATTGTTTTTGAAAGATCGAGATTGCAATGATACCATGCGGTAATTGTTTCGTTTCATAAAACGAAATCGGTTATTTTTTTTTTTTTGTTTTTTTTTTTGTTTTGTGTATAGGAGCATAATTTATCTATTGATAACGAGAGAGAGATACTTTTAGTTACAAGGTCATACAGAACTCACAAATTGAATGACTTCGATCTGAGAAATTCGTACTTTAATGTGTGTCTTGGAAACTAAATTACATTCGTTTATTCACAAAATCAGGTTTTGTGAATTTATTGTATTGAACTGTTCCTTGAACTATGAAATGATTAGGCTAATTAAGCAATTTTACTCTTGCTTAACATACTATCCGAACGAGTTTTTTTTTGTTTTTTTTTTTTTTTTTTTTTTTTTTTTAAGTACAGAGTGATACCTTGGCAAAACCAAAGATCTTACATACGTTAAACAGAAATAACTTGGCTGGAAGATAAATATACATACAAAGGGAGAGCTATTCTACATATAAACATATATTTATATATTTACAATGCTGGCTGGCCCAGCTAAACGAGTAACATAATACCCCCTATTGCCAAGTTTTATTCTGAATCCCAAAGCCTTTATTTCTCAAAAATCTTCATCGAAACTCTTATAGCGTTAGAATTAATGTACACAGAGATAATATAAACATCGAGTCTCATTATTTCTTCGCATATATCCCCTTAGGAATGGAGAATTCATTGCGCTAGGACGATAGAATAAGAATCATTCGATTCGTTAGAACGAAAGATTCCCGAGTAATAGTTTCAGTACAGTTACAATACAATGTTATAGATGCACGTTAATCACATTCGATTGTTCGTCTAATTATTTTTAGTTTCAAGGTATATCAGTTGAATACAATTTCAATTAATGCAGTTTTACATTTCTTGACACTCGCATACATTATTGTTTCTCTTTCTTTTTTTTCTTTTCTTTTTTTGTCATTCCTTTTACGATTACAAAGCTGCATAAATACAGTTCTTTTTATTGTATAGAAATATTTATATATTTATATACACGTATATTTTCAATAGTTTAATCGTTGAATATCCTCGATGGAAATATTTTTGTCTTCTTAGCAAGTATTTCTTTTCTAAGCAATGATTGAACGTCTCTCGATTGAAATCCATACAGATTGAGATTATACATCGTTAGATAGATTAATTGTTAATAGAATGAAAAGTGTCTGTCAAATGATCAGCAGTCATGTCATACATCCTTGGGTTCTGTATGATACTGCTTTAACGAGGGCTTCTATTTAAGGACAACCAAATCTTCGACAGATGTTTTTTAACTAATCGCACTTTGACATTGAATCAAATCATTAGATAAGAAATGAATTTTAGCTAGGAAACTTTGTTTCTGTTGATAATTGTCGATACAGATACAGCTTACATTTCATTGCTAGATAAGAAAGAAAAGATATATATATATATACACACACATATATATATATATATACAGAAATGGAGTGAACGAGAGAGAGAGAGAAAGAGAGAGAGAGCGAGAGAGAAAGAGAGAGAAAGAAAGAAAGAAAGAAAGAAAGATATTGTTAATAACAGATGTTTCAAATCATTGTTTTCTCTTTTTGTTTGTTCTCGGGGAGGGGAGGGGAGGGGGGAGGGGGGTAGGTATCTAAGAAGGGGTGATATAAAAGGGATAGGCGGTAATCAATAATGGGTTTAGTTAAAGTATCTGAAAACGTTAGCTGTAGCGTGAAATGAAATATATAAGTGTACATGAAGTACAATTCGTAGCTGGAAGCGCTGGCTCACCGCTCTTTAAAATAAATTGTATATTCATAAATATCGCATAATATGAGTAATAATATATTACACACAGAGAGAAGATAAAAGAAGATATATATATATATATATTATATTATATATATATAATATGTATACATGTATGCATATAAAGATGCATATATATATACACAAAATATATATATTATACATTGAAAAGTTTCAATTAGATTATTATTATTATTATTATTATTATTATTATTATTAAAAGAGAATTCAATTATCTAAAAAAAGAAAAACAAATCTAAATGACATATATGTGCATATTTATATGTATATATGTATATACATGTGTGTATATACAATTATATATGTATATATATATATATATACATATATAAATATAATATATAAAGATATTAATATAAGTAATGAAATGATATTATATAAACATTGTTGACAACAAACAAAAAATATATATATATTTGCGTCCGCGTACGTAGAACATGATTTTTATGTTTATCCATAAATTGTATGTGAACTATTGTCGATTAAACTTCACTGTGTTGCCCAGAAATGCAAAAGGAATGAGGATATCCATTGGAAAAATCACACAGACACGAATCTGAAGATCGAAACTAACCGTTAGGTTGCTGTAGATAGTTATATTCTGAGAAACTTTCATATAGAATATATACATATATACATATATATATATATATACATATATATATATATATATACACATTACGGAGTTTTAGCGTTAATTTAATTTATGAATCGCTTGCGTTTCGACAGCATTGGCGCGTTAATTGAATGGCAGCATAATAGTTCTTTACGTTGATTTCCCATCATCGCATCGTATCTATCGTTTCGATGATACTCTGAATTTTAATCCTGTTGCCGCTTTTCTTTTTATTCTGTAATACCTTTTGTGATTCTCGACTGCCGGTGGGCAGGTGTGTTTCCAATTCAATCAGCTCATCATTTTCAAAAAAAAAAAAAAAAGGGAGATAGGTATTCGATTTGGATTTTCTTCTGTGCTGCTTCTTGGCAAGCAACAGTTTTCATTTTTCTAACATTTGATTTCTTGTCCCATTTTTCGATCAAGCCTAAATTTTTTTTTTTTTTACATTGATAAAGATATACGTATCTTGCAAGTGATTCCCCGTGTAAAATAAAAGAAAAACAACTTGTAGGTAGCAGAAGATAAATATCATTAGGTTATTATACGGTTCTCTCAGTATACACATTCCTTTAGTAATGCAGATATATTGTTAATAAGGCTAGCTGTGATGGAACTATAAGGGTGGGAGGGACAGGGATATATTATTCGTCAGCTGCCAGTACATGAAAAATGCCACGATACAATGTTGTTGATAGTGCTGTAAAAATCATTAGAGTTTATTTGTTCGGGATGGTGTAAAAATTGTTTGTTATTTGGCAGAACGATGCCAAGAGGATTGATCGTTCTTAACGAATGATAGACGATGGTGTTACAGGTGCAATTCAGATTTTGTATGTCAGTTAGCGATATTTATAATGTTGGTTTTTACGGTGGATAATGAATGCTTTGGAATTTAACCCTTTCCCTGCAAAAATTGATTAACTTTGATGATAATTGCGCTAATAACATAGCCAAGTGAAAGGGTTAAATATCTTGCATCCATGGTATAGGAAAGCCATAGAGATCAGCCAGTCTAATATAAGTGTTTCCTTTAGCGATTTATACGTCTGTACAATAATTAGTATTTTATAAATATCGTGAATCTTGCGGGGGTAATGATACGCATCGGTATCCATTCTACACACGTTAGACGAATTTATTTTTTAACACGTTGACCGACTGCTTATGGTAATATGAAAAATTAATCATTTTCAGTTCCTCGTTTTAAATAAAAAATTAAATCGTAATTTGGAAGCTTAATAACTGCATGGCAATCGTCGACTATCAGTGGCCTTTCGGACCGATAATCTCAGGGGTCGATCGCTTTCGTAACGAAAGGGTTAAAGAAATTAATTCTTAATATTCTTTAACTGGAATTTTTGATGTTCTTAAACTATTTTTAGAACTGTTACAAAATTAATCGTTAATATTTTTAACGCTCTCGTTACGGATTATAATAATTGTATCGGCAGTCAACGTGTTAAAGATCGAATTGCAATTGCTAGACACAAAATTTCATATTAGAAATTCGTACGGTAGTAAAAGGTTCAGCGAGAATTCGATTACTGCTTGTCGTTTGTCAAAAAAGAAAAAAAAAAAGAAGAAAAAAAAATGAAACGAAACAAACACGCAGATACCTCTGGTGCAAAGTGGCAGGAACAGTATTGGTTGGCCAGTCTATTTGTTACCTACGAGTTGTTTAACAATCGGACCGCGAAACACCGTGTTAGATTAATTCGAAGCCGGCAGTCGTAACACGTTTAGACGAATTCTTCTCTTATCTCCATATACGACGCTTTATTTTGTACAGTTTTTCTTCGTTTCGTTTCTTGCTCCTTTCTCCAAGCGAGGAAAGGCGCATAAACAGTTCTTCGACACCGTGCCGTGTCCTGTCGTGGATAGTTGGTACACGAATTAATAAGTCTAGATGTGTACGTAGTGTCTTAAAAAAAAAAGTCTCTTATAAAAAAGTCGTGTCACGTTACAGGTTCGACGTTTTAATTCAATTTAAATTACGGAATGAGTGAAGGAAAAGATAGGAAGAAAGGGGTGAAAAAGGAAGAAAAGATGAAATTATTAACTCTTCGCACTTGGAGAACACATATAATAGCGTGTAGTTTGATCAGGGAAACGTAGGAATTGCATTGACTCGCTCGATTCTAATACGAACTATTGTTAAACAGTAACTATAAATAATTATTGAATTCGACACAATTGTCGCCACGCGGATATGTGGCTTTCCGTGTCACGTTAACTTGGCTGTGTGTGCTAGGCTACATTCGTAATTCATTGTTCCATCATCAATTCACCTCCACTCGCACAGACCTTCCCCATTCACTTGCATTAGAGTTCAAAGAAATAATTTAAAGAAAAAAAAAAAACCATTTGTCAGAAGTGTGCGACAGTGCGTTCTATACGTTGTTTATTTTATTAACAGTAATATTTTATTATTTCCTTTGTTATTTGCCATCTAGGCAAACCTGGGTTACACTGCTGGGTATACCATCCCTAATATATGAAATATTAAGTATACTAGGTATACTAGGTTACACTGATAGAGTATACTAACGCTAGTGTACTTTACAAGTGTAACTTAGGCTTAACTCTACCTCCAGCCTTCCACCACTTTAGTATACTAATTAATATTCCATTAATCAGCATACCTCATATAGCAAACCCTTCTGATTCTGAAATTCAGTAGCGGTAAATCGGTTAGACTTTGGGCTCGTGTCGGCAAACATCGTTATACAGGGTGTCCCAAAAAGAGTGTTAGTCCTTTAAGGCGGTGGTAGCTGGGGTGATTCTGAACAACATTTTCCTTTGCAACAATGTTGTTCGAAGCTTTGTTTTTGAATTATTAAGGAAAACCCACTGGCCAATCAGAGCGCGCGAGCTCAAGGATGATAGCCTCAATCATAGTGTCCGTTTGTCTAGTGAAAAAGTACTGACTTTGGAGTGAAAGTTTAACCGCAGCAAATATCATAAATTCAATTGTTTAATAAAAGCGTTAAAATAATTAACATAATCATCTGACAAAAGCTTTAGAATATTCAATAATATATTTGAAATTACAAAATACACTAGACGAACGGACACTATGATTGATACTGTACAATATCAATTATAGTGTCCATTCGTCTAGTGAAAAAGCACTGACTTTGGAGTCAAAGTTTAACCGCAGCAAATATCATAAATCTAATTATTTAATAAAAGCGTTAAAATAATTAACATAATCATCTGACAAAAGCTTTAGAATATTCAATAATTTATTTGAAATTACAAAATACACTAGACGAACGGACACTATGATTGATACTGTACAATATCAATTATAGTGTCCATTCGTCTAGTGAAAAAGCACTGACTTTGGAGTCAAAGTTTAACCGCAGCAAATATCATAAATCTAATTATTTAATAAAAGCGTTAAAATAATTAACATAATCATCTGACAAAAGCTTTAGAATATTCAATAATTTATTTGAAATTACAAAATACACTAGACGAACGGACACTATGATTGATACTGTACAATATCAATTATAGTGTCCGTTCGTCTAGTGAAAAAGCACTGACCTTGGAGTCCAAGTTCAACCACAGCAAATATCATAAATCTAATTATTTAATAAAAGCGTTGAAATAATCAACATAATCATCTGACAAAAGCTTTAGAATATTCAATAAATTAGAATTTCAATAATTTATTTGAAATTACAAAATACACTAGACGAACGGGCACTATGATTGATATTGTACCCTGCCGTCCCTGAGCCGGCGCGCTCTGATTGGCCAGTGTTTTTCCTTAATAATTCAAAAACGAAGCTTCGAACAACATTTTTGCAAAGGAAAATGTTGTTCAGAATCACCCCAGCTACCATACCCTTATGCTATCTAACACTCTTTCTGGGACACCCTATAGAGCCCGTACACCCCATTAATGTAACATAGACATTACTTGACTTGCCATGTGCTCCTTTTATTCTTCTTCTGTTGCTATATTTTTTTTTCCACGTACCGTGGCACACTTCTTACCATTTTTCGGGCGGGCTAGAGAAGAATGAAAGGACAAATGAAGAGTAAACGATGATATTTATCATTATCGCGTGTAAAATAATTAATTGTTTGGAAAGGAAAGGGAATATAAGGGATACACATTTGATATCAGAGAAAGAGAACTTTTTCGCGCGACATTTAAACACACACTTCACCCAATCACTTTAGTGCCATATTGATATATCCCCATCAGCCACACTTGTTGACGTTTTGACGGTAGAAACGTGTTGTTAAAGATGTGTATATTTACTGCGATCGGGCAGGCTGTTTTGAATAATGTCGGGATACGTTTAATCTTTTCGTTTACACGAGTATATATATTAAACCGTTGCGAAGTATTAATGAAATACAACAGATACATACACACAAAGGATACACACACAGTTGTATATGCTTGTTTTAGTTCATTTATTTTTCTTACACGTGTACAAAGAATCGTTTCACCGTTGTCGAGGGATTATTTTTTGAAACACCTTGTAGAGAGATATATATTCGCGGGAATGGATGAATTCTTTCGTTGTACATTTCATTGAACACTATCGATCGTGATCGAATCGCAGATACCTAAGTTCGAACCTGCCGTTTGGCGAACACACGCGTACGCACCACACGAGGGGAATGAATTTTGTAAAAATAAGAAAAAAGAAAATTTCACTGTTTCTTAAATCAAGAACAATGCGTTCCGTTCTTGAATCGTTTCAGAGTAAAGAGGTGTGGTCGCTTTGCGTAGAGCTCAGAATTGCTTCTTCCTTCTATTTTTCTTTCAATTAAACAGCTTTCGAATCACTGTTTTTTTTTTCAAAGAAACATTGCATTTGAAACGCTTTAAGAATTGTTATATTCTTGAGAAGATTCCTTTACTGCCACTTTTTGCAATCGTTCGCTAATAATCAAACGTGTTTTAATGAATATAGTGAAAATTTACCATAGTCGAAGGAAATAATAAAACACACAAAAAAAAAAAAGAAATATATGATACATTGATATAGAGATGTAACGTTATGTTAAGAAGTATTAAATATTAAATATATATAAATTATATATTTAAGAGATACGATATGATAGTTGTGAAGGGAAAAACAGGATGAAGAAGTAATAATAAGGATAATAATAGTTAATCGATTGCGTTAAAAATTGATCGACAATAGAGCAGAATTCTTAAAACGTAGAAACAAGCAAGCTTGTGTCAGAAACAGAACGAGGAATAAGATGATCTTTATCTGTTTCCTGTTAACTGGAATAAATATCGATTGTAATATAATAGAGACTTTTATATTTGTTCACATCAGACTGATACTTATTTGTGTAACATAATTATATTTTATTGGTACAATGGTGCTCAACACGAATAATTATCAGAGTATAGAAAAAATAGGATATTAATGTTCAATTTACTATAAGTTCCATAATAAGGTATGGTGTCACCACGATTCTTAGAATTTTCAAGTATCTGAACAAATATATGAGTCACTATAAAAAAAGAGAAGAAAAAAGTATACTATTCGTCCTAGAGATATTGAAATTATTTAAAAATAAAAAAAAAAAGATTTTTCGGCGTTGTTCCCGCCATTTCTTGAAACCGGTTCGACTTCGATTTATCTCGAACGATCGATCATCGAACGAAGGAAATCGAAATTTTTTCAAAATTCGATAAAACAATACCAAACGCTAGATTGCTGAAAATAATTTCATTTTGGTATATGGTAACCCAGTTAACAGGTGAAACACTAGTCTTTTAATCTTCAGATGTCTCCACTATGAACACCTCCATGTTGTACACGAAAATTTTCGATTTACCGTGCACGTTGCCGTTTTTGTATACAATCATGTTCGAATTTCTCCGCTAGCACTTCGAAGAATCATGCATTATTTCCTCCACATTCGTCGAAGCTTCGTTTTTATTTTTATTTTTCACCGATTTAACGATTTCACGATACACGTACCCTTAAAAAAAGAGCGGCATATAATACAAAGAAAGAAGATGATGAAATAAAAAAAAAAAAAAAACATACATGTGGCTGTAAATATTTTATATAAGAAAGAAAGATGACGATGAAATATATATAAAGAAAGAGAGAGATCTATCTATTGTAGAGATACGCGTGGAATTAAACGAAAAAAAAATAAAAAAAAAAATAAGAGGCTTTTATTTTTGTCTATAAAAAGAAATGAAGTAAAAAAATAAATGACGATGAACCGAATAATAGAGGGATGAGAGAACGACAAACGATATTGTGGGCGATATGAAATATCCTGAATTTTTTAGCCGATTTTAGAGAGAAGAGCATATTTATAGGGTTATTTACCGAACGAGTATTAAACCTGCGCTTGTGTCTTCTGTGAAACGCGAGGTTCCAATCTATCGTCGTGAAATCGAATAAAAATAAAAACGCTCCGTCAACAAAATCTAACAAATGCTTGTTCTAATAGAAAAACGAAACGAGCCTCGTTTGGTGTATTCGAAATAGCAATGCGTACCGAAGTCTTCTGATAAAAAAGGAAAAAAAAAAAATGAAAAATTGTTCTTTTTCTCGTCGCGGACAACCGAATATACGAAACAATTAATTGTAAAGGAAATACTATTTAAAAAGCTGAACAGAGCAGAGCAGAGGGAAATCGTAAATCGTGACAGAAAGGGTATATTTAAAACGGCTTAGAGCATTCGTTTAACGTGTAAAAAAACTAAGACAAAGGGTTGTACAAAAAAAAAAAAAGAAAGAACACAGTGTGTATCGTAATGTTATTTCATTGGAAGTGAGAATTTAGAGTTAGACTGTTGATACACGGTATATTATTTTGGCTAAGCGTATATGTATAGAGAAGATTTTAAAAATAAAAATGATAAAAAAAGAAGGGAGGGATAAGGAAAACATAATAGGAGAAGATACGTGAGTTAATTGTTGAGATAAGAAATAGCGCATAGCAGCTCGGGGATTTAACAAACAGGAAAGGTTATGATGATGATGAAGAAATTAAAAACAAAAAAAAAAAAAAACAAAAAAGAAAACACTATTAAGTACCTTGTTGAGTATAAGTAGATTAATGATCGCTAAGTCGCGAAGAAATAAATAAATAAATAAATAAATAAATATATATATATATATATAGTGCTCACCTACGAGGTGTGCACGTGTGCACATTCATGTTCATGAATCATTCGACTCGTCATTATTGTACACATACATACACACACACACATACACACAGGAACTTTCATAAATATGCATCTAAAGGAACAGCGTTACGACACTTGTGTAACGTGAATTGTTGCATGCCTATACACGGAAAATGAAAAAAAAAAGAAACAACACGATACCATGAAAAATAATAATAATGATAAAATATAATGAATAGAGGGTTGTTTCACGAGATGCGAAACGCAGTGCCGCGCGTTTGTGCTTCACCTTCGAATTTGAAAGGGTCGCGTCCGAATGAACGATAGCCCGCGCAAACTTATATGTTAACACGGGATAAATAGCATTATTATTATTATTATCTTCCACGAATATATTTCGAATTTCGAATAGCAGCTGGCTGCGAGAGAAAAGGTACCAATAGAGAGGATTCGTTCGTCATTGATCACGATGGAACCACGATTCAAGTATTGTACCTTACATTCCTTTGGCTATAAAGAAAACAGAGTAAATGAGCGAAGAGGCACGACGACCGTGTGATAGATGGAGAAATATAAAAACGAACAGAAACGAAAGGGAAAGGAAACAGGGTGAATGATGATTCCCTTTTTCGATTGAGTGCCACTTAAAGTTAGCGAAATGAAGAGAAAAAAAGAAAATGAAAATAGAGAATTTATTTGTTCACAATCGACGCCCGTTTAATGCGCTCGATCTTTCGTTTTCTTTTCTTTTTTTACTCCTTCCTTCTCGTTTCTTCGTTTTTCGTCAGGATATATATACATATATAATATTGAGAAACGGTGCATCAAGAACAGTAAGCGAAATTGTATTTTTTAACGTACATATATATATATATATATATATCTATATGTTTATATATATATATATATATATTCCGAGGTCTCACCTCCCGAGAAAAAGGGTATTGCGATTCAGCTTCGAACGTTCACAAGGAATTTTAGATTTAATTCAGACTATTGTTGTGCGATAAGTTTGGCGGCAGGAGAATAGATCATATTCTTTCAAGACAAACATTATGTGTGTGTGTATATATATATATATAAATAAATAAATACGTATATATATGCACACATATACACACCTATAGACGAGTAAAACTCTCTTTCAGCGAATAAGAAACAAGGAAAAGAAACTATATAGGGTTGTTAACTATTAAGAATCGTTTGAATCATGTATAGTTGCGCGCCAAGCGAGAGTGAAGGTTCCAACGCGCATGCGCAGGCCGGTTATCGGAGAGTATATATATTGGGCCTCTCCCCCACCACTTCTCAGTCACCGTTTGGAATTTCTATCGCGTGGATCTTTATCGCTCACGATCAGTGTATTTTTTAATTATGTTGATGACGATCTCTGTCCACACCATCTTCAATTCTCCTCCACGTCACGTAAAGTACTATTAACCTTTACTCTCACTTGACAAAGCTATATATTAAAGAAAGGGATGCACGTCGTACGTTCTTTTATTACAAGAAACAAACAAAATACTATAATTGTCGCGTGTCAAAGCAGGGAAAAAGAAACGTTCGTTCGTCCCTTTGTTTTTATAACCTCCTTCGGCAAACGAACGATAGTCAGATTTGTATCGAGTGCACAAAAAGCTGCGTTAACATTTTTTTTTTTCACGAATGAGACTTCTAACCTGTACATCGTATCTTTTATCATTGAAAGAAAGGGGAATATTATTGCATTCGATCAGGCGAATCGTTCGACGCGAAATTCACGAACGAAACGAATATCAGAAGGATCAAAGTGTGATACTCGAGATGATAGAGATCGGTTAAACCGCGAAAGACAAGCGAGCATGCATCACAAAGGGCTTTTGCAAGCCTATTAAACATACATACACACATTACACACACACACGCATACATATACGAGAAGTCTCTGTTGATCAAGAACGCGATACGACGGAACGATACGTTCTTTTCTTTCTTTTTTTTTTATTTGATAATTTTGCTGGTTAAAATGTTTGTTGGGTATTACCACCCACATCGTGACCTCTTGGGCACCGCTACATTGTTATTGATGAAGTATATATTATATATATACACACACAATTAGTTCACAGCATTTTTTGAATTTTAATCTAAATAATTACTTTACACGCTCTAACCACATTTATTTGCATCCATGAATTGTTATTCTTTCATCATCAGAGAGTTATTCCATTCAATGTTAAATAATTATAAATAATTAAACATAATATATTAACTATTTTCACTCATGAGAAAGCATCGTTACCTGTATGACAAGTGACCATAAGAGCATAATAAACAATCGCTCATTAAATGCATTCTGTTGTTCTTCATTTCATGACCTGGCCACCGAGCGTCCATCCATTTGCTCCATCGATCCATCCATTTTATCCATTCAGTTGTCGTTGTATGATCGTCATACGCATTCTTCTTTCTTTCTTTCTCATTTCGTCAAATTTCTCTGAGCTCACAGAATTCTTCTTATTTTTTTCTTAACCCCTTGCCTTCTGACATCAAGTCATGTTCATCGTGTCCATTGGTAGTCTATTAACGGGGGGGTTAAGTACACTATCGTAAGTGCATGAACATTCGCAATTTAGTAGTAATTATAGCAGTCGTATTCGAGAAAGAAATTTTAAGGCAAGGGGTTGAAAAGAGACATGCACCATGAAAATTGCATAAAACAGGGGCTGTGTTTCTGTAGTATAAGCGATTGAAGATTAAGTTTTCGAAACGATCAGCTGTTCGGCGGCCGCCATCTTGGTGCCACCTAAGTAACGGTGTACATCTTTCTTGAAACGCCCTGTGTAAGTCTCCGCTATCCATGGAGCACCTACGGTTCTCTTTTTCTTCCTCTTTCACTCTCTGTCCAATATAACATCCAGTTGATCCTAAGTAAATTTGTAATTTTGTCGAAATTGGGAAGGTCACGAATTTTCCGAATTTTGATGAAACACCCTAATGGTAGCACGTGTACCTGTAAAATACCTGATCGATGATGTGTATATAGAATTTTTAGATCGTTCCATTAGTCTGTAAGTCTACCGTATATGTGCGCGAAGAAAAGAAAAGTAAAAGAAGAAAAGTGTGTTTGTATGCGATGTAAAAGTGACGAGGATCCTCTCGTTCATCTCGTCTGTTGTACAGCGAGTGAAACGATGAAATCGTACATTCAATGTTTCGTAGCACCGTCGAACGATAAAAAAGAACGCAGAGGTACATCACAGATTTCGATTAATATTATTTAATGTTACTCATTATAACCGTGTCGTATTTTTTTTATTGTTGTACCTCGCGTTTGGAATAGCATATCATCCGGTGTACAAGGTGTTACAAGAAAAAGGTTCAAGACCTACAAGACAGTACTTCTTGTACCGTATAAAAAAGCAATGGAAGGGAACGAGATCTTGAACCCTCTTCTGTTTCAACGCCCTCTACACGGTAATTTGGGACCTATTTGGTTCCCAATGCATTTCGTCAGCGTACAAAAATTCGACGTCTAAAAGGTGCTATTCTAACTAGTCAGTATAGATAAGGGAATGTATTTTTTTACACGATGGATTTGTAATAAAGATATTGAAAACGAAAGAGTATCTAGTTTAGAAATAAGAACGCTTGTCGTTGAAAGGGAAAAGCATAAGTATGGACAGTTTGCTTTTGCTTCGATCTATTCTCGTTTCAATACATGCGTGTACCAATTGTTTGGAATATTCCACGGTGGATTGTTTGAAACTTCTTATACCGGGTAAGTTGCATTCTATATCATAGTTTGTCAAACTGCGTGTATTTCCGTTTCATTGTTTTCATTGTTCCATCGTGCAACGATTAATTTGCTAACAAGAGAATAATCCTATCAATAAAGACATAATGTTGTTACTGCGGTAAACGCTCCTCCATAAGTGTATACTCTTTTCAAATGGGAGTGAAGTGCCAAACGCGCATGCGCGAACAGAGTGGCGGGAAATACAAACCGCGAGTCTTTTCCCGCTACTATTCATTCTTTTGATTACATTTTATAATGAGATCACAGGAATGATCGAGTGCTCATTATTACTAATTAATTGGGTTGATGACGATTTCTATCCCCCACCTAACCTTCTTAGATTTTCAAATTAAAGACGCATACACTATGACACAGAATTTATTATTCCTCATAAGCAGTGAACGTACATAATTCATTTTTTTTTTTTTTCACTTACAAAATATCTATGCGTATCATATCGGTTCGTTTGTTTTCCCGTTAAGTTTCTTGTTTGTATTCTTATTTTATACATAATCGCATTTGCTCCTTCTACAATTACCTCACGCATCCTTTTACAAATGGTACGCAGCTCTACCTAACTAAAGTCTATTTAGGACCAGTGGAAATAAAAGTTCTAACTCGTTATCGCCTTTAACCTCGTTCAGCTATACAATAATTCATTCTCTATGTCCTGCGTGTGTCTGTGGTTTTAAACACGTTCCGTGTCCACTGATTCAGAGGCACAACTTTCTCGGATCAAGCGTGGAAGACTAAAAAGCGAAACGAGAGGATAGTGAATGTATTATAACGACAGCTTTCTATAATAATTAAGCAATAAGATATAGTATCTTGCACCTGTTCTCCATACGTGATTTATGCAGCACGGAACGTGTAGGAAACGAGAATTTTTCGTTACAGACTCGCACACACGTGTTCGCGAACAAGCTAATGCAGCGTAAAAGCAGCGTACGTTAAAAGTAGTTGTCGGTATCTCATTTCACAAATGTGTTTCCAAGCAATTACCGTAGACTAAATAAAAACTTTCCACCAAAATATTATTCATCTCACTTGTTATCAATACTCAGTTGTAAAAATAACAAATGTAGTTAAAAACATCTAAGTCTCTCCTCCTTTCATTCAATAATGAAGAACAGATTCTGTTGTGCGATTAGGGAAGGGTATCAATTGTTTGCATTCATTCCTCCTTCTCGTTATAAAACATTTATGCTGTACGCTTTAAGAGATGCTATACGAAAAACAGTCTTGTTAATAATCTAGACTGGTTTTCCTGCATGCAGCCATAAAACTTGTTGGTATAAAAATTATATACATTATTATCTAGTCACTCGCTTACATAATGCACACGCGTTTAAATATGAAATGTATATCTCTGTTATTCTCCTTCTTCATTATAATATAAATTATAACAATTACTAATCGTCTAGCGTGAAGAAACGTGCAAACAAATACCCCTCCGTTTCTGTGTCGTACAATATTTTCCAGAATGTTAATTCATGATCATACGACCCTCGTTGGAAATCAAGATTAGTCTTTGTCCTTTGTGGAAAAATGACGGCAAGAAGGAAGCCGGCAATAAGGAACGATGCTAACAGATAGAAAATTATTAACATTGTTCGACACACAAGTACAGTATTATCTTTGAAGTCTTGTAGCCTTTGTCGTATTAATAAACGTATCACTTTATGTATAAAACTACAAAATATATATATATAATATATATATATATATATATATAGAAGTTATACAATATAGGCGGTACAATAAAAAAATGTATCTCTATATAAGATTATGTCTCGCAAAAAATACACTGTCAAGTATTCGAGTGTGCTCAATAATGAAACGTAGAAATATTCGATGAATTTTTCTACGATCCACTCTTGGTTATCGTTTGTATCTATTTGTAAAGAAAGATTACTTTAAAATATTATTAAGTACAAACGTTAACAATATTTCTTTTCTATTTCTGTCATTTTAGTTTTCGGTATGTTTGCGGAATGTTTACGAAGGAATAGGTACGTTTTATTTAACGTACGCATTACGAGCTTTTGTGTTACATATGAAAATTAAAAAAACAAAAAAGAAATAAGAAGTACCAGAAACGAAAGTTTGCATTTGCATCTAACATTTTTATGTTTCACTTCGTGGACACAGGGAGAAACGAAACGTAGCCAAAGACGAAAGCTTTTGAAACAAAAGAATTTGATTTGTACTTTTCATTCCCCAATATTATGAAGTTTGAGCAGACTGCATTCCCTTATTACACGTTTCCTTTTTTCTATTTAGTCGGTGTATATTTAAGTATGTGCGTTTGCGATGTTAGATCTGCTACTTTATACTCGGTAAAGAATTTAAAGTTATATTTAATATTATTTAATAGCAACACTTCTTCTTAATCTATGTAAGCTAAAAGTAATCGAAAAATTATATTATTGTAAGTGTATAAAAAGTAAACTTTTGATTTCAGACAACAGAACCTATTTAGAATAGGTCAATACACTTTATAAAGTAATATTGTAAGTACTGCACGAAGACGAATTCTTTATCTTTCTTATTTTATTCATTTATTTTTTTTTGTTAATTTTGATTCTGTGTATATAAAACCAATGGAAAAACATAACAAAATTAAAAACAGGCCAACATTTCTATCCTTTGAATAAGTACAGAAATGGAACAGCGTTCCGTCCCTAATCGACATCGATGGCACAGCACGTAATTCGATTTTATATATAAATGAAAATTATTATAGAGTTAAATACTCTACACTGTTTGCCATTTCAGTACTTATACGCAGTTCATAAGTGATAAAAGGTGTATTACAAACTCGTGCTAAAACAAGTAAAAACGATACTTATAAAAATCATTAAAAGATTGTTTCATTTGCAATGTACCCATGATTATTTCAGTCAATTTATCAACGTACGATTGTTAAAAAAATAAGGTATACTTTGGAAAATTCATGTGCATGTTATCATCAGTATAACATAATTACATGTTACTAATTTTAATGGAAGTGAGGTTGCACCACCTTTTGTCACTATAGAACCACAAAATAGGACCACCTCTCTTCCTACTTCTAATAGATTAGAAGAGGAAAAGGGTGGTCTGCCTTGCTTGCTACTTGGTTGCCTCTGGAGGACAATCAGGCTGATTATTTGGATGAGCTGCAGTGAATGCAGGATGGTTTTCTAAATGTCGATCTACCCTTAAAATAGTCGGAAAAGGTCTTAAATCAACTAGAAACCTCCTTGCGTTAAATATTTGTGGTATTAGGCAGCAATCTGCTAATGTGATTTCATCTCCTACACAGTATTTTCCTGCACTAGACGACAATAATTTTTCTACAGCTGAAAAAAATAATTTTCATTATTATCAAACCAGAATTTTACTTTAATTATCTGCATACCTGTTAAACCTCTAGTGATCCAATGCTGAGCCCATTCCTTTTTACGTTCTTCTCCAACATAAATCAACACGACTAAGTTTTGCAAAGGTTGAATACCACTGGCAATGACCTCGCAAATTTCTCTAACTCTAGCTCTTTTCACAGGATCTGCAGGCATTAAGGGCCGGTGTGGTCTAGTTTCCTCCAGATATTGCAGGATATTTAGCTTAACAAACACATTCCCATGAGTACACGCACTGTTTCTAATTAATCAGAAAAATAGAATTCTTCATAAACTCACAGATTCTATTAACGTATGATTGTCGATATGAAGTGCAGGCACCTGCTCCATTGGATTAATTTCACGAAATTCATTGGAATGTTGTTCTCCACCACCCTTTATCAAGCTAACTGGTTTTATATCGTATGGAATTTCCTTCAAATTCAATGCTGTGAAAAGATGACGTTACTGAATTTATCTAAGAATAAATAAAAAAATTTTTAACTTACCAATTCGGACCCTCCACGAGCAAGAACTCCGCCAATAGGAGTAGAGTACTGGCTACGAATGAAAAAAAAAAAAGAAGAAGAAATCAAGATAAGTACTCGGGAAAAAATTCGCGATGTTTACCGGCTCCAGGCGGCACGTTAACAAAGCTATATACTGGTTTGCGCGAGCCGGTCAAGCAAAAGCGGATTTTTATCTGAGAAAAGAATACAGTAACGATAATGGAAGATCGTAAACAGTACGAGATAACTTTAAGAAAAAAATTGGTCGCGGACTAATGCGAATTTTAATCGAACGTGCAAACATATGATGTTATCGCGAATAAAGAAGCAGTAATAAAAGCAACATCTCTGTAACGATGTCGGCTTCGATATGTTGGACTGATAATTCTTTTACCTTTCCCATGACGGACATCTCGTCTCAGGCTTCGATGGACGGACTCGCCTGCTCGATTATTAGCTCGATTACTCGAGACGATGCTGTGGTTCGTGAATTCCTTCGAAAATTATTCGGTGTCCGTTCAACGCGCGAAATCACTCCTCCCTCCTCTCTTATTCGATTGCCAGACGTCCCATTCTACTGCCCCATTCTAGTCTGGGGTTCATGCAACCAATCACCATCCACTTTCCGATAGCAAGCAGTGCTGTACGATACAAAAAACCTTGAAGGTTGACGTAACCGTAAAGTCTTACATATTTATTCATTAATTATCTCTTCTCCGCATCATTCTTGATCAGACATTATTTTGTTAACATCGTCTCACGTTCGTTATTCTATACCAGTCAATTTGCAATTTAATTACCAGTTTTTGTAACTTGATTGGAAATATAAGGTAGGATTCAACAGGGACGGAACCAGAAATCTTGGTTGGGGGAGCAATATAGCATACATTTAGATTTGTTTCGCAACACAAACAGGAACACATGCATCAGTCTACACCAATTAGGAATTATAATTTTGTTTTCGCTACTAGTTGCCTGTTACATATTTATACATAAAAATGTATAAACCGCGAAACGGAGATAGACATTTTAATATGTCCCCCAGTCTATTTAGAGCGCTGATGTCGTTCCTCTACAAGCATACCGTCGTTGCCAGAAATAGGGCGAAAATGGCCGCTTTATTTCGCTAGATCCGGTCGTACCCATCACTACCTCGAACAAGTGAGTTTCACGATTTGTTCGTGTTTAGGTCTTATATTTCGCTATTTGCTTCGGGGTCCCTGACACCCCAGATACCATAATGTCGGTATGCAAAGAGAGTCATCGGTGCTTTGGGTTCTACGAAACCCCAGATACCATAATGTCGGTATGCAGAGAGTCATTGGGGTTTTGGGGTCTCCGACACCCAGGTTGCCATAATGTCGGTATGCAGCGTCGTTCGCAATTTGGGGTCTTCGACACCCCTGTAGCCATAATGTCGGTATGCAAAGAGTGTCACTTGTGTTTCGGGGTCTTCGACATTCCAAGACCCAAAGTCGTTTTGCAGATTCATTTAATTTGCTGTATTTATCTACTTAGCTTACTGAATAAACTCATTAAGCACGTGTTGATTGTATTACTCCTGTGTGCATCCTTTACATCTGTGATTCCTTTACATTTCAACATTCCTTACATCCCACCATTCTTCTCATCCGTGGTTTCTTTATTCCCCTGTATCTTTCACATCTCTGTATCCCTTATATCCCTGCATCCCTTACATCCCAGCATCCCTTACATCTGTGATTCCTTTACATCTCAACATTCCTTACATCCCTGCATCCCTTACATCTCTGCATCCTTTACATCCCTGCATCTCTTACATCTCTTACATCTCTGCATCCCTTACATTTCTATATCCCTTTATAAATAAAAGGGAACTAATTTTTACCGAAATTTTGGCCCTCTAGCGGGAAAAATGGGAACTAAAATCTCGACGTCGAATCGGCGCCATCTGGTTTCAAAAAAAGGAACTAAAGCTTGCTCGTTTTCTGGTCCTCTGGCGGCAAAAATGTGAACTAAAATCTCGACGTCGAATCAGCGCCATCTGGTTTCAAAAAAAGGAACTAACTTACCTTTTAGCCGTCTTTGTAATATATTTATTATAAGGAATGCAGAGATGTAAGGAATGAAGGGATGAAAATAATGTAGGGATGAAAGGATTGTAGGGATGAAAAGAATGTAGGGATGAAAAGAATGTAGGGATGTAATGGATGAAAAGAATGTAGGGATGTAAGGGATGAAGCGATGTAAGGAATGTAGGGATGGAAAGAGTGTAGGGATGAAAAGAATGTAGGGATGATAATAATGTAGGGATTTAAGGGATGAAGAGATGTAAGGAATGTAGGGATGGAAGGAATGTAGGGATGAAAGAATGCGGGGATGTAAGGGATGCAGAGATGTAATGGAACGAGAGATGTAAAGGAATTCCGTAGGGATTCGGGGCTGGGGCCCCGGTCTCCACTGCACGCGGCCCGAGGAGTGCCGGCATCGGGTGTGGCCCCCGATTTCGGCGGAGTTAGGCACATGGCGGAGGGTCAAACGACCCTCCCTGCCGCCCTAGTGCAGGCCGCCGTGGTGGTTTTAGTGGGTAAAAATCCCACACTACCTCCGGCCCTTCCCCAGGGGGGCTGAAGGTGTCTTTCTGAAGATTTCCACCACGTTAATAAAAAAATAAAAAAAAAATGGGCATTTAAGGGTTGAAGGAATGTAAGGAATGCTGTGATGGAAGGAATGCTGCGATGGAAGGAATGCAGGAATGTAAGGGCTACTGAGATGGCCTTGGCCTATAATCAGGGATAAAATTATATATATAACTGGAAAAAATAAAATAAATCCGGTCCTCGGCTGAAACCCAGAAGAGGGATATAATCATAAATGTTTTTTCCCTTCGATGAGCTTATTTAATAAGCAAAAAGAAATAAATTAAGTATATTATATAAACTCTGGAAAATAATTATACTGGTTGTACCCTCTTCATACGGACGTGATATTATCCCAGGGTGTTAAGGACCCCGCTGGGACAATGACGCCCTCTGCGTACCGACCTGATATCATTTTGGGGTATTAAAGACCCCGTAACACCAGGACTATATTTGCATACCAATATGATATCGTGGGGTTTCAGAGACCCCAAAACACAAAAGATACTCTACATACCGAGATTATAGCATCCGGGGTGTCGGAGACCCCAAAGCACCAATGTCTCTCTTTGCATACCGACATCATGGTATCTGGGGTTTCGGATACCCCAAAGCACCAATGACTCTTTGCATATCGACATTATGGTATCTGGGGTGTCAGGGACCCCGAAGCACCGATGACACTCTGCTTATCGACACCACGGCATTCGGGGTATCTGAGACCCCGAGATACCGGTGACGCTGCATACCGATATTATGCCACGGGGTGTCAGGGACCCCGAAACAAGTAGCGAAATATAAGACCTAAGAATGAACAAATCGCGGAACTAACTTGTTCGGGGTAGTGATGGGTTTCACTGGATCTAGCGAAATATAAGACCTAAAAACGAACAAATCGTGAAAGTCACTTGTTCGAGGAAGTGATGGGTACGACCGGATCTGTAGCGCATGCACACTACAATTATTTATCATGAAACAAACTTGTAAATAATTAAGAAATTATTCACTCACAAACAATAAAAATGATGTATTTGTAAATCATAAACGATTTCCAATCAATTACAGTTATCAGTTATCACAAAATCTATTTATTATAAAAAATTACCAAAAAGTTTCGGCTCACATCATGATTGAAATAAAATTGCTAATTATAAAAGAACTAATTTGTCACAAACGTTAAAAACAGACTCACAATCAATCACGAACGATTTACAAAAGGAATAAACTAAGAAAAATTAAAAATAATCATATCTTATTATTCCTTCCGGCTAGCTTCATGTAGGTATAAAACCTTATACGAGTCCAATGACTACAGGCAAAAAAAGAAGACTGGTCAGGCCTTTGTTTTCGAAGGGTTGCCTCCTGAGCTTTTGGGGTTCTAGACACCCCCAGGCGAGGTTAAATTTGTATGTAAAAGTCGGTATGACAGTCGTTCCTGTCTTACCAGTCTCCCTTACCAACTAAACATGAAAATTGGTCGGTAAGTTATCGAGTAATTTCAGCCGTTTGTGAATAGATGGCGCCGTGCTCGAATTTGGTGCGGGGAAATAGAAATAAAAGGAAATAAGGATAGAGAAAAATAAAGGTAACTATGTTCTGCGCAAGATTTACTTTATTATTAACACTCTTGCTTGTATCAAACTTACTAACTAGAACGTAAGTACTTAAATCTAGAACTAAATGAAATCTAGAAACTGTAGTATACGTATTTTGTAGGATTAATTAAACCATTTACTCTGTTGTTGAAACATAAATATCCGACAGCAATTATAAAGAATTAATTCACTGGTTAATTCGTCTGGTTAACATTTCCATTAATGCAGTTGCATAGGTTCTCTACGTGTGAAAGTATCATTAGTTGAGCTGTTGGGTGATTTATACGGAGCATCAATTTTCCAAGTATCGACTTTAATTTCGTTGGTAATACACAATGCGAAATCCCAGGCACACTTGTGTTTGAGTCCCTTTCAATTTTGTTTAGCCACAGCCGTGCACGACTCACGATTCACTCTCTCTCATCGGTCATTATTTACGAAACTGTAATATCTCTGTTGAATGATGCTTTATGTTACCTAGTCCCCCTTTACCGTTCAATACCCATTCAACCGTCGTTAATTTAATTGTTTTTCTACAATTATGCGTGCCGCTAATGTTATATACCGGGCCCAGCCAGCTTTTTCTTCATCCGTCACTGTCACTTCTCAATACACCGTAATCACTGCTGCTATAATGAAATGTTCACGGGCGGTGTATTAGGTACTTTCGTATACAACATCGATGCGAAATGTTGGTGAAATTGAGCGAAACCTGAGAGAGAGTTTCTCCTATGGAAGATGCGTTTTAAACGTTGTTTCATTTATCATCGAACGGTACGAGCTGCAAGCGATGCAGAGTTTTACTACTTTTACTTTATCTTTGTACTAAAACTCGCATGCAGCTAGTATGGAGGTGGAACAATTTATTAGAAAGTGGAATGGTTTTTATTATTCGGAGGAGCGTAAACATTTTCATTTTTAGAGATGCTGTAATATTATCTAAAGTATTGAAGTAGTTACCATAGGATGTTAAGGATATAGTAGAAAGCTTTTAAATTCAAAGTAGAAAAAATACCCCTCCCCTTAGACGGTCGCGTGGACACTGGCGATTCTGGGGTGGGAGGCCTCATAAATATAGGCCTGTGGCGGCCCACCACTGGCGCCTGAAGTTTACGCGCGAATATTTGAATTAATATTAATTTCATTATTCATATTTCTCAGTTATATACTAAATTTTATGACATGTAATAATTAGAAATCACATTATTATTGTTTTAAATTACTTTTAATATTAATAGTATCAAAGTTAAGGTTTTGAGAATTGCTGTTTCTCTTAAATCGAAAAGGTTGAGATTAATCTTCAATTCTTTTTTATCAAAACCATTAATCAAACACAGATATATAACATAGTAATTAACAGTTCATTTTCGAAACTGTCAAGGTGCGTTGACACATTTCCTTGGAAAGCGTATCGCATGAACTCCATGAAATGGAATAATCTTCTCTCGATGCAATTAATAACGCGCGGATGAACAAGCATTACGGTAGATTCAATGAGCCTCTCGCTAATATAGCGGTCGGACAGTTAATCAAGAATGGAATTACATTAACAATGCGTCCACTTCAGACGAATATTAATAGCGTAGAAATCCTATTTTTACGCTTCTTCTCGTCGAAGATTCTCTGCTTACTTGCTATTTAAATAGATGTTATATAAAATTATAACTTTATATAGACTTTCGTATAAATCATTCGCGACGTAATCGAAAATTCCATGTATCGATTAAAATAGAATATAAAATTGAACGTTCATTTAATTTTAGCCAATCTTCCAATAATCACTAAAATATACGCAGCCGAAAATATCACCACGATTGAAATGAGCAAGTGTGATATTTGCAAATTACAGCAGTCCCACTTCCAATTAGACGTTATTCAGTTTGTTTACAAACATTCCTACGTAATTTATAGGTACACTTCGGTTAATTAATGACACCGCAAACATCAGTTATAGCGACAAGAACAACAGGGTGAATTCAGGGTTTAAAGAATGGATTTTACTTGTAACAGTAGCGTAACTGATGGGATCAATAGGATGAATTAAAATCCTTTTTCTTTTTGAATAACCGGAATATTTTCACGAATATAAAAATTGATGCAATCAAAATTATAAACAATTTTTCACTTTGGTTGAAGCAAATATTATTTTCTTCTGGTATTTAGAAGTACCATACAAATAACGGATTAGCTTTCCATTTCTCCTTTCAAAAGGGAAGCCAAGGATTTCGTAAACTTCAAAGTGTATAGAAAGTTTTGCATGTACCTACACTCCCATTTCCATACAAGCCTCAGCTTTTCGAATCTCAAGATTGTAAACTCTTTCAAAAATTCTGAATTTTATTCTGTTTGTACATATGTACCTCCTGTCGCGAAATACATTTCTTTCTTCCATCAGATCTCTTCTCATTCATTACGCTGTCGGTGGTTCCTTTCTTCCTGATAATGTTTATCGATACCTTTAGTTTATTTGCAATATCTCGGATAGAATAGTCTGCATTGTGAAGAATACACGCTGCAGAAATCTTCAATAGAAATCTCCGCAGCATTCACCATTTCCAATACATTACAATGATCGTACTCTTGACAAGATCTAAACAAGTAATAATAAAGGTAGAAGTGCATTCCATATTTAGGAATTAATGGTTCGAATATAGATCAGAAGTTATTATAGAAATTATACAGATCGATTATGGTTAATCAAGCTTTGGAATTAATTCAGTGCCATTTTTGTTCTAATTTTTTAATTAAAACAATAATTATAAATAATTAAATCTATTTATATCTATTTTTTTTTTTCATTTTCTATCCTACTAATTTCGCGATAATTTCAGTAAGGAACGAAATAAAGATAGACATTATCGTATGTTAAAACGAAACGAGGCGTAAGTATAAGAATTAAGCGCAACGACGCGACGTCTCCCTACGCTGGTATTACGTTCTACGCTCAAGTCACGTCGCGTCGAGTCGCGTCGCGACGCGGGATGCTCTATTGTGACAGGAAAAGTGCAGCACTCCACGTTCAAGCGTTGCAGCTATTGAAAATTCATGTCAACCACGCCGTGTAAAAATTTTTAACATCCTCTCGGTGTTCGCCATTAAAAAGACATACACTTGCTGTCTTATTAAAGGACTTTAGAAAATTTACCGCAATTCTTTGAATCATCGGAGTTACCTGCCTGAATCTAACTTAATAGAATAAATGCAATTTATAATAACAAATCGATCTGACTATAATAACGTAACTATGATTTTTCAATTACTATAAAATATTTCGATATGAAATTGGTGAAAAATTTAATTAAAACTGGGGCTCTCTCCATGGTCCGCCGTTCGAGGGTAAAGCACTTGGTAAAAAAATGATTAGTTCAAAATATAATCTAAAGTAATGTAGGTTCTAAGTTAAATTCGTACCAAAAAATAGATTTGGTTTGGATTGTACTTTCCGGAAGTACAGCTCCTCGGAAAAGGGGTTGGTAAGATTGGCGAAACCTACTACGTCTACGCACATACTCGTACTCGCATATAGCAAATAAAAATGAAAAAGACAAGTATCATTGATTGAATGATACGAAACATGGAGAGATAGGTACATCTGAATAGGAAATGCAGACAGCAGGAATAACTGATTTAGTTACCTGGTACGTACGCGTTGTCGTGACGCCAAGAATGTCCCGTACGGTGGTAACAAGGTTGATGTGTATTGCGGTTGACGAACGGTCAACGTTTCGTTGATGGCCTGCATGGCTATTGCAGTTGCATCGTACAGATCGTATTGCATTACCACAATCCCGTCTCCCTTCAACGTCAAAATGCAATCAAATGCGAGTAATAATATTTCAACCGTTTTAAACATGCAAATAAATAAACACCGCTGTTACACATTCGCTGACATTGACCCCTCGATGCATTACAATGCAATTTTTTCTATATAAAATAATGTGCAATGGAAGCTTTAATTTTTCTCAACTCATTTGTAATTGTATTTCTGAAACACTTCGTTGCGCTACTTTCATGAGAGATTACGATGGAAGAACGCAGAAAAATACTTGGGAATATCGCATTAGATGCAATAATATACTTTGTAACTGTAACTGGGACATTACTGTTGGATTCATTAAATATGGTTAAGTAGCAACTTAAATCATCTTTGAGAATACTTGGGAATAAATGTGTCAAGACGATTCTATATTTATAGATACATATAAATTTAATATAGTAGGTGAATCATTTTTACGAACAAAAAATATTCACACTTGAAATTTTATGTAATTGAATAATGAAGAAAATAAGAGAGAAGATAAATTTCTAATAGTATTATTATAATATTAATAATGTAAATTATACTAGCGATCAAATCAAATTTTTTCAGGAAAAAGGGTGACTCTGGGTGTCCAGCCTCCCTCAACACCCATGCTCCCCCCTCGGTGGCCGCGAGGAGACTGCCGATGTACGGGAGAAGGCCCCATATATATAGGCCAGTGATCCCCACCCACTGCTTACCTACACGCATTGACGCGCGAAAATTTGAATTAATATTTAATAGTTATTCCTATTTCTCAGTTATTTTATCTAATAGTTCTACTACTTTTTGTAATTTCACACAGGAATTTATAGTAAAAAGATCGGATCATACAATTTTTAACAGGGGAATGTTCTCAATATCGAATTTATACACTTCAAAAGTTTTTTCTGCATGAAGGACTGCAATGCCACTGACTCCCTATTCGAATTTGATTCAAGCTTCCCAGATATTCTCAGTGGTAATCAAACTTACTTCTGAACAACTGTCTAACTTTATCTAGTTACATGCATCGTTTCAAACTGACGTTGACCACAGTGTTTCCATGTCACTAATTCTGTAGAATTAACTATGATTGTATTTAATTAGTTTAGAAATGAAAAGAAAACTTATTGAACAATAACCAAAATTCAATTTCGTATCTCCTACAAACAATGCTCTATATTTTCTACCATTATAAAACCTGCAGCAGGGATTTTATTTTAGACTAGCAAGGCAATACGTTTCAATATTTTCCGCTTGCTTCGAGCGGTATTTTCTGTTTGCATCTTACGATACTGCTTTCTATTCGCCTTTCCTAATCTTCCATTTTGTAATCTGTCCAGAATGCAGACTCTTAGAAACTCGTAAGGAATTATTTAAAAAGAGGAAAAGGAAAAGGAATGTACAAGAATTTCTTATAAATAATCTTTGTATAATTTAATATAACAATATTTTGCTGTTATTGTTATATTTGTCATTTCCTTCTTCAACTCAACAATTCAACTTGACTTTGTTTATTATTCTGAATACAAATTCATCTGAAACGTCTAATTAACATTTCACATATCAATTAAATCAATGCATTCTAGTATTCTATGGTATGGCATATTATGCAATATTTTCGGTTCACGTATTCCGATCTGCAATTCGATCAGTGGTGCTTCAAAATAATTGTGCAATTCTTCTTAATATGATACTGACAATTAGAATAATTGAAAATTATCAAAGATGGACATATGCTTATTAAAAGTATTTTTGATTAGACGTGTCTAAAAAAGAGAATTTAAGTGCTACCTGTACACTTAGTTTTTACTGTGGCTAATAAAAAACAAATACGTAGAAAGTTTTTGTAGAAATTAGCAAACCTAATTTCGTTCTCAACAGCATCCACGTTTCCGCTCACCGCATTGCTATTAACAAAGTGGAAATCGAATTTTACAGTGCACAATGAGGGCTGAGGCATGCAGCCACTTCCGAACTTCGAGCTCTCGACCAAATAACATTTATTCTATTATCAACGAGGCATTTGTAATTCAAATCATTTTCCACCGATTGAACAGGTGATTCCATCAGTGCGCTATTACCGCTTAAAATCGATATACCGTTTCTCGTACGCCTCTCCAATTTTAATATATTAATAATATGTATCGAAAAATTGATTATAAGCAGGAATTCTATTAAATGCTACAAATTTATTCACAATCAAAAAACTAATATTAATATCAAGAGATTCAAATTTTCATTAAAATTTTTTAACTTTTAATTATTTTGTTCCCTTAATTGCGGATTGAAGCTCTCATCAATTTAAAATTGTAAAATTCTAGTATCTCAGTATTCTAGTATGCAAGTACCTTAGCATTCAAGTACCCTAGAATTAGTATTCCAATATCCAAGCACCCTAGTATTAGTATTCTAGTATCTAAGTGCTCTAGTGTTGGTATTCAAGTATCTAAGTATCCTAGTATCAGTATTCTAGTATTCAAGTACCCTAGTATTAGTATTCCGATATCCAAGCACCCTAGTATTAGTATTCTAGTATCTAAATGTTCTATTGGTGGTATTCAAGTACCCAATTATGCTAGTATCCTAGTGTTCAAGTATCCTAAATATCAGTATTCTAATATTCAATTATTATTTATCACACTTTTATTAACCCTAACACTAAGAATGAAATTATTATTTATCACACTTTTATTAACCCTAACACTAAGAATGAAATTATTATTTATCACACTTTTATTAACCCTTACACTAAGAATTAAATTATTATTTATCACACTTTTATTAACCCTAACACTAAGAATGAAATTATTATTTATCACACTTTTATTTTCTGGTAAAAAAATGATTAGCAGACGAAAAAATGGAGTTTTGAAGGTACCTGTCTAGACCCTACTCGCGCATTTGATATCGCGGCACGATCTTTCTCGGTTAGGAGATCCGTGGCTTGATAAAAGAGCAAACGATAACTGGACCGAGGGAAAATGGATCTGACAGCAGATTACCGCAGGTGAAAGTGAGATTTCCGAATGTCTTTATTCGAGTTTTCCAGAAAGCAGCCGCGTTATCGGGAAACTGTCGAAGAAACGTTTATCCGATTATCAGTCGGAACGTTTATTTTTACACCAGATTACTTTACGCTTGATAGAGAAAGGGAACAGAAGTGGAAGAACAGACTTCATTTTTCAATTTACTGTCCGCATAATTCTGGATACCAACATTTAATAAATCAAAGTATCCAAACTATCGTCAAAATTTCAATTTCGAAACTCTAGAAGGAAGAATGGTTCGTGTAAGAAGCTGGCTTTAAAATCATCCTCAGAAGTTCAGCTTTAAATCGAACGGACATGGATATTTCATGGATGGAGACGTAACTCGAGATGAACGTATCAAAAGAAGAAGGAAAGTGGAAACTTTTTAAAAACTCTAAAAATTTGAGTTATCAAAGTTATAGAAGAAAATTCCTTTCGAAGAAGAAACATAATCTCGTATCAAAAGTTATTTGCAATGTCTTTCGTTTCTTGTTCTACAAGTATTCATGGTTGTAAAAGAATTTCACCAGTCAAATTCTACCGTTTATAGAATAAAAATTGAAAGGTTATTTTCTGAGAACAGGATTAAGTTTTAAACATTTCTGGGAACATTCATTATTTAGACTGAAATGGAAGAATCGTCCTACATCTTACTGTCTGGTGACGTCAAGAGGTTCCCAATTACTGCTCGAGATTTTGCCCAAACTTTTGTCCGCGGGCAACGTTACCTCGGAGCGGGAATTTAGCAAGCTTGATTTAGGGCTTCTCAACTCTTTCCAAGGGCGAGTCGCTGATTGATGTGGTAGCAAGAACTTTCATTCTGTAGTTACAATACTTTCATCTATTTCGAACAAAAGGTTCTCACAGCGAATCGTCAAAAGACACAGTAACGTTCTCATTTTCTAGCTGGGTTATTCCTTTATTTTTCTTACCGCAGTGAAAGTTAATCACCCTACTATTTTTTACAGATTTATTCTTTACTTGCTGAATAATTTATAAAATTAAAATATCTCTCATACCTATGAAGAAATTAAATCGTGATCACAATCAAGATGCAACTTTGATCATTAGAGTTTCATAATTGCTGAAAATTAAGGAATAGTTCCAGCCATTCCCGATGGAACAGCATTCAGTCAGGAACGTTCTTCTTCCCTATGTTTCACTCTTTCCATCAAATAAGATTCAACTGGAAATTGCGTCATCCGTTCCTGTAAAATCCACCTGGATCAGTTTGTCCGTCAAGGAGGGAGCTCCTACGAAGTTCCAATTACAGGAACATCATGGCAGGAGTTGTAATAGGCATGCGCCTCCGGCAGCAGAAGCCGATCTTCCAGGTGATTATTATCGGAAGAGAAAGAACTACCTTTGGGAGTTTCTAACAACGTCAATTCGCGTATGGAAGCTATTAAATTATATTTTTATTATATATTTTATTAATTATTGAGCGTGTATTGTATATTTTTAAGGATTTCGGTATTTGGGAATTTGAGAATTTGGGTGTTTGGAAATTTAAGAATTTGGGTTTTTGAGTGTTTGGGAATTAGAGAATTTGGGTGTTTGAGAATTTAGGTATTTGAGTATCTGGGTATTTTGACATTTGAGAATTTGAAAATTTAGGTGCTTGAATTTTGAACATCAACCTGTAATAATTAATATAGTTATAGTTTTTGAGTGTTTGAGAATTTGAGAATATAAGTACTTGAGTATCTGGGTGTTTGGTAATTAGAGAATTTAGGTATTTGAGTATCTGGGTGTTTGATAATTAGAGAATTTAGGTATTTGAGTACCTGGGTGTTTGGGAATTAGAGAATTTAGGTATTTGAGTATCTGGGAGTTTGGGAATTAGAGAATTTAGGTATTTGGAAGTTTGGATATTTAAAAATTTTGGTTTTTGGGTTTTTGGATATTTAAGAACGTGGGTATAACAGAATTTGAGAATTTGAGTATTTGGGTGTTTAGAAATATAAAAATTTGAAAATTTAAGCGTTTGAATTTTGGAAATCAACCATATTAATTAATATAGTTACAGAATTCATGTTATTCGAATCCCTTTGAAAAGATTTATTGATTACAGCCGGAACTAAAGGTTTGAAAACAATTGTCCGTCGACTACTCGTGAAGCAAACTCTATCTAGCAGCGTACTGCCCATCAACCGTTTCAGTAATTAACGAGCAACCACCAAGCTCGTCTCTGATTCGCCGACATCTAACCTGTCAATCGATTAATCATACACAATTCCAATTTCTATCACGCCACTGTCTCATATCGAACGCATTTTTGGATAACGAACTGGTACCATTCGTTACACTCAAAGATTGAAACTAGCAACCTACGAAAGAGATAGCAGTTTATATTGGTTATTGACCCTCGGATGGCGGACCATCAAGATTTTGCATTGTTTGCATTTTCTAAATTTATGATATCTAAATAAAAGTGAGAATTCAAACTAAATTTATTCAATTACCATTTAATTTCACGATTTCACGAATGAACAAATATGTCCATTCGACTACTTTGGCATCCTAATTACTGACATCTCGAAAGAAATCGTTGGAAAGAAATACAAAAGAAGCAAGCGGGTCGTAGCACTCCATGAAATCGCTCTCTAGAGATGCTGCATGATGTCTTCGATGAAAGAACATCGGGAACATTCGCAACAGAAGATAACAGAGTACTTTCTAATAATAGATAAAAA